TCACTCCTTGTCTCTTTAAATATATGTCAAAAATATATAAATCGTTTATAATGTCGTTGAATTCATCAATTTTCTCACGTTAAATTGGTTTGTAACCTATTTGAACAATACATTTTAAACAGTAATTTAAATCGGATAATGTAAATTTAGGAACAGCATGGCAGAACATGAGCCAAGAGCTTCACCATTGTCGAAGAAGAAAAAATTTGAATACCTGCAGCCACGAGAACATTTCAACGGTACAACATTTTATTTACACTTGTTTTTTTCAAATATTCTCGACGATAAGCAATTAGTTTCACTCAGAAAAAAAATTAACGACACTCGTGTATTTTTAAAGCTATTTTTGTACTTATAGAACAATTATATGAAGAAGAAGAAGAAGAAGAAGAAGGAAGTACGCTAATTGAGGATATGGAATCGACAAATAAGGCTGAGGACGTATTCTTAGTATGTTTTACTTTGATTTTACTCGTGGGTCACATGTTGAAATATTTCTGGAAGGGGTTAAAATATGCATAATTAAATAATTATGCCATACACAAAATTATGAACACGGACAACAACAGTAATCACAGACATAGGAAAAATAAAAACAAGCTTCAAAATTACATATATTGCATTATTTTCAGAGAAGAAGCCACCGGAGGTCACATCTTCCTCATAAATACTATGATGTAATTTTGTTTTATTCTTTTACTAATATTGTTCTGGCGTCTTTCTTACAGTATTACGAGACATCATCAAATGCATTGCATCGGAATAAGCCAACCACGGAGCGCGATCCTTTGGATATAGTTACCCATGTCCGCACAAACAAGGTAAATTCTTAATTTCACTTTTATTTGCCTCGTGTAACGCATCCTCTCCCGGCGCCATACGGGAGAGTACCGTTAACCTGTCAATGCCCTGACTAGCTGACCAGATATCCACAGTGTGATTAAATATGGTTTATTGTGAATAAATGTAGATGGGCCGGTGCCCGGAGGCATCCGGCCTGTAAAGCGGCAAGCGTACCAACTCCCAAAAAAGGGGCTGGGCCTCCCTCTCATAGTGAGATGGAGGCGCAGAGATGCAAAGGAAAACTCGCCTATGCATTAGTGAGAGTGTATAGGTGTCTGCGTCTACTATTTCGTCGCACTCGGAACACCTTGCCATACAACCAATATCTTTAATGTTTCATTCAATTTAGAAGTCGAATGAGCCGCTGGTTAAAGATGGATACCTCAACGCATCACAGCTTGCACGCCGTGTAATTTTCTCTGGTGGCGACATAGCGAAATCTTACGATGAAGTCAAGGTAACAATTAATGAACATAGATTTGCTGTTAAAGATAAATTCATTCCAGAGTTCAGTAAATAACTTTGTAAAAAACGCAACAAATGGAATTGACGTGGACGTTTTTGCAAGAAAAGCCGAAGCAGAGAAAGATGAGGGCGTGAAAGAAATGTGGATGAGTATGTGCGGGATGGCCATTATGGTATGAAAATTTTAATCTGCTCGGACAATGGACTATACAGTTTTTTTTTTCAGTTTAATAGACTAGACGAATATCGAACGCGCATCTGGAAAAGGTATTGAATGCATAATGATATGTGCAGTGAACTTTTTCAGAATAAAGTTGATATCGATGAGACCATCTACCTATTCCAAGGCTGCTTATTGAATCACCAACACTGTAAATACACACTGCCGTCGGGTGTAGTTGTCGATATCGCAGAAATCTGCTCAAAATTTGTCGGAAGTATTGGTCAAAACCTTCTGACATCGGCATCGAAACTGGTGCGTCATGTATTTGCCGAGGTTTAAAGTTGTCTTAGATAGAGCTCATATATATTTTGCAGATTTACGATAAGGATAACTACCTGATAGCTTATACCTTGTTAGGAACGCCTGGTGCTCGTCTGGAATATCTCCACATGGATTCTGCTGTTAATCAAATGATATCTGGTAATTCTGATAATACATACATATGTGAACAATGTTAAAAAAAAATTAAGAAGCATTGTTCATTGGATTAGATATTGCTCCAACGACGGATCAAGCTACTTCAGTTGCTGTGCAAATCAAAGAGTCTGCGATTACTTTCATGTAGTTATGCGAATGTTTCACTAAATAACACCATGTACTTTTAGCGATCGCCTTCGTTCAAATTATAACGATCAGAAAGGATCTCACCACGCTAGCAAAGTTATGGCGCATAGTTTGGCTATCAAAATTGGAAAAGAGCACCAACTCAAAAAACTGAAGCCCGATGCCGCTGAATATTTCAATCAGCATTTTTCTATTTAATTGAAATTTGATATTTCTAATGTTAAACAATTTATTGTATTTTTCTTTTTTTTTTATTTTGTTGTTTTCCGTTTACTGTTGTTTTTTCATAAAAACCATCCAGAAGAAAAATAGACGCAAAATAGATGAATAAGAGACAAGAAGTAGACAAAAATGGGTTAAAAAAAGGATGAATCATGGATGAGAAATAGATAGAAAACTGATGAAGAATGCAAGAACGAGGGACAGAGACAAGACATAAAATGGATGAAAAATAGATGAATCCAAGATGCTAAATAGATAGAGAATGGCTGAGAAATAGATGAAGCGCTGATGAAAAATAGACTTGAAAATAGATCTGTTACAGATCCCTCTTTCATCCAAAGTCTGCACTATTTTTCAACTATTTTTTAACTATTTTTCGTCTGTTAGCGCAGTTGCAGTGCAATGGTTGCTTTTAAAACCGGGCGAAAGCGACTCGTGCTTCAAAAGAAGGCAGTTTTAAGGTATTTATTTTAACGGAAGACCTTTATATGAAAATCTTTTAATTATAATATTTCGTTTCGCATTATGCATCATTTCATAATATATTAAGACACCATCATTTTCTTGGCCGAAAAAAATTTTAGATTGGAAAGTGTTTTTATGTTCGCATAGCGTTGAAAATTTGTGAAGAAAACTGACAGGCAGCCAACTGAATTTAGGATTAATCGAATTTGCTGAGAGGGCGCGAATTTGTTTTATTTCATTAGTTGGTAATCTTGAGATTAACAATTCCATTGAAAAACTTATGCAATAAATCATGAAAAAGTACACATTTTTCCAATGTACCGTTGAAAAAAGTATTTTAAACATAATTGTTTAATCTTTTGTAAAAAAAATAAATCTCATGAGTAGGTCTGTTAAAGTGGAAAGGAAGAATGAGTGAAAGCAAACGCACGATTTTCATTTTGATCTTATCAAATATATCATATGACCCCTAACATTCGGAAAAAACTGGTTTCATTTTTTTATTCGCGTTTTCTGTTATACGACTTTGAGAATTTGCATTTTTTGAATAAAATTTAATATTCGCTTATTTGTACTTTGGTCTTGTCATCTATCTTGTTAACAAGTCTGATTTATGCTAATTTTATTTTTATTCAAATAATTTATTTAAGAGAAAATTGACAAACCTCGTCGAGAAGTGGAATTCCGGAAATGTTCTCCATAATTTTGTGCAGAAAATCGTTGTTTTAATCGTTAATTGACACCTATCCGGGTTGCTCGTGTTATCGAAAAGAAAAACCAAGAAATAGAATTGATTTGTTGAGCATATAAAATGAGCGGTAAAAGGCAACGAGGGGACGACAACGAATGGCAACGGGGCCCCGAAAAAAACAGACGCGAAGAGCGAGACGTTTTTATTATCAGTTAGGCTTATTTTTGTCGGTTGCGAACAATTGTAACGAATGAGTCAAAATAAAATAGAAAAAAATTATTCTAAAAACGCAACGTTACTGTAGTTCACTAATTCTGCAACGTGTTTGTACTTTTACCTACAGTAGAAATATTTTTCTACTTTTCAACTTAATCGTCGTTGGTCTAAAAAAAGGTTACAATTTCCTTAAAACCTTGCACTTTAATGAATTTCGGCTGGTCTTTTAATTAATGTTTGTCCAACATTTCATTTCACACGATTCATTTCTATTTACAACCATTTTTCAACGTGAAACACAAGAATGTTAGAAACAAAGAGTAATGTTAGTAAATATAGTACAAACTATCCGTAAATCACAAGAGAATGCACAAAATACATATACATAAAAGGCTAAATACCTACTAAACCGGTATGTGGCCGGAAAATCAATAATTTTCCGTTGCAAATAAATACACGTATACAGGAAAAACAATCTCAATAGCATTTTAAAATCTCGGGATGAATGGGGGGCGACTAAACATAAATGTTCTCTTTGGCACGCTTCGAATTCTCCGTATTCTGGGCGATATGCGAATAAGGGTTCTCTGAAAAAAAAAAAACATAATTATAAGCTTGAATTTTCAGCCAGAAATTTGTTTTATATTGATTCTCGAAATGAATTTCGCGTTTTCACTGCACAATCTACGAAATTGACGATAAAGGTGACAGAAGGGAGAGAATTTTCGGGGCTTCTGTGCTTCTCTTCATCTTGTTATTTTCTAACTATATTTTTCGACGAATAGGAATGAAACTCACCGCTGCGACTCAAACAGTTGAACCACTAACGTGCATGCAAAGACAACACCACCACCATCCATTAATCATCACTGAGGAGTACCAATTGAAAATTGTCCCAGCTTATATACAAATAATGACAATAACGACAACTACGAAACTAACAAAAAAAGGAATTCAATCATGCAGACTAGAATAATTCCCCAGGAATATCATGCAAATTAGCCGTATAAAAGTTTCATGACTATTTTCGAAGACGTGCGACTGCGGATGACGCGCTCTACTGTAGAGTTGGGTCTCGCAACATACATGACGATTTAAGGATGGCAATATTTACGTAGAGTAACATGAATGCAACTCTTCGCCTCGAGACCTTCCCTGACTTTTCGCCAATACGTCGCAGTCGCGCGACTTCGTCAATATGACTTAGTACAAATAACTTGCATACGGCTAATTGAATTAAAAATGAGAAGCATTAGAACCCCCAAAAAAGCGATCGTGCATTTTAAAAATAAAATCTCGAGAAAACGTGGCTCAACCGTCTTGCGAAGCTTGCGGTGGTGCTTCATTCCCCGCCAGAAGCGGTGTTCGCTCTGCACCTGAAGATGATGGTCCAGCGCCGCCGTTGATCTCGTCAAGTGTTGCATATCCATCTAAAAACTCTTATAAAAATAAAAGAAAGTGAAGAATAAGCGTACAATGATTGCTTTCCGAAGGCTTTCCACCGCGAATCTTCACATTCTCCAATTCCTCTTCTTCGAGAGTCAAGAGCCCATCGTGATTGTGTCCGTCGAAATCTGGAACACTTTGGCGATCAGCCAATGGATTTTTGATGGCAGTTCCCCCATCTTTGTCGTCATGGTTATGGAATCTGAACATGCATCGAATCACAATATTTCAACACGTCTTCCCCTTACACAACAGTCGGAAGTGTTGGATCCTTCTCTTTCTGATACTTGTTCCTGTAGAACAATACGAGAACGGCGAGAACGACACAAACCGCCAACGAGAATAGGATTATGAACCATTTTCCACCGCTGCCAGATGGTCCACCATTAAGGGCTTCGAATTCTTGTTCTGAACATCTCTGTTAATCATCAATCGAAAAATTTTGACGTACTAGCTTTTCCGCAGCTCAGTTGATCGATATGACAGCATCCAATAGCCGCGTCACACTCGTATCCGTCACCACAATCCTTCGGACACTCATTTTTACATTTCAATCCAAATGTTCCTTCGGGGCATACTATAAAAAAGGGAGTTATAGTAATATGAACCGCATGGATCAACTCACAGGCATGACAGAACTCGCCAGTGAATCCGGCGTGACATTGACACGCTCCGGTAACACGATTGCACGATGAGGTCGCCGTTCCGCGGCACTTGCACTTCTTGATGCAATCCGGACCATAGAATCCATCATCGCAAGCCTGTTCGCAGCGATCTCCCTGGAATCCAGCTGGACACGAACATTCGCCGGTTTGCGGGTTGCATTGCTTGTATTCAGATGCGCATTTGCAAGTCTTCTCGCATTTCAAACCCCAGAAGCCGGACGGACATTCTGCAAGTCAAAAAAACAATTATTAGTAACAAACACAGAGTAGAATACGTCTTGTGCATAGAAGTCCTTCGAACCCGGATGGGCATATGCACGTTCCATCGAGTTTGTTGCACTTTCCGCCATTGGCGCACTTCGGGCACTCATTTTTGCATCCGAATCCCCATTTTCCATCTTCACACTCTGAAAAAAGAATTCACAAAAAAATCAATTGGAAGCCGTTGACAATTTCGTACTCTCTTCACAATTTGGTCCCCTGTATCCTGGTTCACAATCGCATATTCCAGTTTCCGGATGGCATTTGTGTCCATCGGCACACTTGCAATCATTGGCACATCCGTCTCCCCATTTTCCACTGGCACATGTTTGTTCGCAGGCAATTCCAGTACGTCCTGGTCGGCATTTCTGACAAATTCCATTACTCGCGTCGCAAGCATCTTGAGACGATGTCAGACACGTAACACAACGTTCAGCGCAATCGAATCCAAACGTTCCATTGGCACAAGCTACAAAATAAATGTAACGATCATGCTCGAACTCGGATTCGTACGGATGTCGCATCGAACTCCAGATTTGCCAGGAGCGCAGAGACATTTTCCCGTCTGTTTGTGACACCAGCCGCCTCCACAATCGCAGGAAAGTTCGCATGATTCACCGTAATATCCAGCTTCGCAGGAAGTCGAACAATATTCGCCTATAAAATGCACATGATGAAAAAAGTGATATCATCGACAATTTTAACCTTTGAATCCTTTGTCGCATTCGCATTTTCCGGTCACTCGGTCGCAGTTGCCATTCTCACAACGACAGTGCTGTTTGCAGTCAGGACCATACATTCCTCGCGGGCATTCGGATTCACATCGAGATCCAGTCCATCCCGACGGACAGAAGCACATTCCGGTGACCGGATCGCATCCGGCGCCATTTCGACATTGGCAAGCTGAGCACGATTCTCCGTAAGTGCCCGCCGGGCATGGGAATTCGCAGAGTGCTCCGCTGAATCCCGGCTTGCATTTGCATGTTCCATCGATTGGATTGCACGTCGATCCAGGAGCGCATTCGCATTTCGAAGAACAGCCGACGCCGAAGTAACCTTGACTGCAGTTTTGTTTGCAACTGAAAATACATTCGATGAGATCGGCAGCATTCGATGAATGACATACTCGGGGCCGGTGAATCCCGGCTTGCAAACGCATGACCCATCGGTTGGATCGCACTCGCTGGCATAATCCCAATCACACTTGCATTGTTTGTCGCAGTTTGGCCCTTCAAGAAATTTGAATTAATTTACCGATTATTTTCATGTATTTATCTACCATATGTATCCTTAGAGCACGTCAATTCGCAATTATCGCCATAGAATCCTGGCTTGCATCGGCAGAATCCAGTGTTCGGAGCGCACATCAGCGTGTTGCTCATCACACAGCTGCACGTTTTGGCGCAGTTGGCTCCGTACATGTCCTCAGCACAAACTAAACATCAAAGATGGATAGAAATTATTCGAGTGGCCAATTCAATACCGCGAATATCGCAATTGTCTCCTTTATAGCCTTTCTCGCATTCGCATTTTCCGGTGATTGCATCACACGAAGCATTCGAATCACCGAACTCAAGGCCCGGGCAATTGCATTTTTGAGAGCACTTTAATAATTCAAATTTAGTGACTAAATATTTTGCAGAAATTCCGAATTACTTGCAGTCCGAATTTGCCCTTCGGACATCCAACATCACATTGTTTTCCAGTCCATCCGACACATCTGCACTCTCCAGTCTCACTATCACAATCCTGATGGTTCAAACATTTGCATTTTTCCGTACATCCTGGTCCGAAGAATCCTTCAGCACATCGATCTTCACACACTGGGCCGGAGAATCCCGATTTGCAGAGGCATTTTCCATTGACGTGATCGCACGTGGCGCCATTCTGACAATTGCATTCAAATTTGCAATCAGTTCCGAATGTTCCTTCGGCGCATTTGTTCAGGCAAAACTCGCCCGAGAATCCATCGGGACACACGCAATGCCCCTCGCTATTACATTTGCCGCCGTTCTGGCAAGCGCACGTGTTTTTGCAATTCGGTCCCCATTTATCATCCGGGCACGTTTCTTCGCACCGTTTGCCGCGGTAGCCTATCAAACATCGGATATCCGACACATCAATAATCAAAAAAGCCTACCACTGAGACATTGGCATTCGCCGGTTTCCGGATCGCAGTTCGCACCATTCTCACAATCGCATTTTTTCGCGCATCCAATACCCCAGCCACCAATCGAACAGGCTGAATTTGAAATGAAAACCATCAGAGGAAGGATATAAATACATACAAGTAGCGCATGTTTTTCCGCCAAATCCGGCATCACATTCACAAGTATTCGGGGCCACACAACGTCCTTTCTTGCATACCGGATTACAGTCGGCTGAAATTTATATATTATTTATCAATTCACATCTTCAGACATTTAGCAGGCTTTAAATTTGACATTACCCCCCCCCCCTTTCAGTTATTGACCTACTATTCCAGTCATTCTATTAAATAGGCGTTCGCATTGTTAATTATGCGAACTCTACACCATGACGCGTCGTTTCACCGCCATCATTAACTATGCAATTGCGCAACGTATTTATATATGCGAAAATGATTACGTTGGCAGGTGTTTTCCTTGGTTTGATAGTAGCCGGTGCAGCATTTCTTCACGTACTTCTCCTTTTTCACCAGCACTCGTTGATACGTCGCCTTCTTGCCTTTCCTATAATGATGGTGTATTGAAATGTGATGACTAAGAAATGTGCTGAGATTACTTTTCGACTTCGCATTGGAATCCGGTGAGCGGATTGAGACATTGCTCGGTTTCCTTGTACACAACGTCGTGAACAACCTTCTTCAAATCATAGTCGTCAACGCTGCAACAAATCGCTCATTTCCTTTATGCCGAGGTCGACTATTAATACGACCGCAAAAAAGTGATATCAAATATTTATTTTGTGCGGGATCTACCGCGATAAACATTGGTTTAATCAAGTCGGTTTTAGACGCAGTTTACTATATTGCAATAGTTTGAATATAAATTGTGTATTGATTTAAAGCACTAATTATTTTTCACCGAAAAAAAACTTACATAGTCTTGACTGTGCACACATTGTCGCCAGTCGGTTCCGGTGCCTCACAATTTCCAAAATGTACAAATAATGTGGCTAATAGGAGAATCGGAATTGGGAGACGAGACTTCATGTCTGAAATAATGTGCAAATCGGTACAAAGGTGTCGCAATTGTATCAAATTACAAAAGAAATTTGCGGCACTGTCAAATGAGGCCAGATAGGTTTGAGTGCAATGGAGAGAAATGAGACCGAGAAAAGAGGGTCCGAATGAGGGGTGTGGCGGAAAACAACTGAATGCGTTCGTCGGTTGTGCAACAGTTCTCGGAACTTGATCAAATGTCACTTGGGACGATTGAATTGATCAAGTCGTATCAGATTATATGACTAATTGAATTCCATAAAAATGAATGAATTTCAAATGAAGGCAGTCTGATTCATTTTTTGTATTCGAACTGGAAATTGCGAAAAAACGTCGAGAATAGTGGAGGTCGAATGACCCACACAAAAATTTTCTATTTTGACAAAAACATGTACTGACTCATTTCTGGGCTGGCGTTGATAATAAATATAAACATTTTTTTGGAAGATGTTGAAGAAGATCAGACGCAGAGAGAAATGGAACAATAGAAGAAATTCTCCGGGATTTTTTTTGAGAATCAATATCTGGTCCGTTATTGGCCTTCAAAAAACTTTCAAACGCAAAAATAGGGAATTGCATGTTGTCTATTAATCCATACGCATAGAATCGCGACTAATTGGGCGAAAGATCAGCGTTGAAGCTGTAAACGAAAAATATATAATGATTTTGCGGCTCAAAATGAAATTTTCTGTCAATTTAAAAAGCAAAAAAATGAATCAACGGTGAAAAAAATTTATAAATTAATGGTTTTCTTCAATCGACGCCCTCAAAAATTTAATAAAAACATCTAGACGAGGCATTTTGAAAAGAAATGATCAGCAATTTTGTTTATACAGAGAGCACACATGTTTGAAATGAGCACGAATGGGATGGATAATATATAATAAATCGATTGGTATGATGGAATATGAGAGGCGGAGACAACGGAAAAACCAAACATTTATCTGGCGATTCAATGGGATTTTCAGACAGAATTCGTCAATTCAGAAAATATTTTATTTTTAATTTTTGAGGACTCAACCAACATTCTGACCAGTAATATATATATTTGTCAACAAAAGTGTAAACACGCAAGGCAAATATGTTCAAGTGACCAGTATTTTCAACACGAAATTGAAAAGGGCGGCGAACTGCAGTCAGCGCGAGACGAAGGGCGCACATAATGGAATTTGACAATTGTCACCGGCGGTGGCGCGCCTTATACGGGAAGATTCACGGCTGGTTACGAGTTGACCGGCGAATGAGACGCAGATGCGCAGCGAGCGCGCGGATGACAGCGCACACGAAGCGAATCGGATCGCGAACACCGGTAGAGAACGACCCGCCCTTATCTCGCGATGATTCATTCGGCAGATACGTCACATTGATACTAATTGAGGCAAACTACCTACTATTGGATGCGCCGACGAGGTTTTGAGCCCTATTCAACGCGACGTTATCGCAAAACGAATGATCATGGATTATACCGTATCTAATCATATATACCATTAGAGCTACGACATTTAAATTATTTTTTTAAGATTTCAGAATCAAACAATTCAAGATATTTTAATTTTTAGTATTTTTAATTTTTCTAGATGGGCGCATTAGAAAAATTTAAAATCCGCGGAATGAAAATTCAAAATTGTTATTTTTAAAAAACAGGTGAAACATAAACAAAATGGAAATTGCCGTCACATGAAATTCATAAATCCACAATGCTTTCAACTTCGTTTGTTTTCAATATTCCGAGAAATGTTCTTCATCTGTGCTATTCTTTTGCGTCCCTGCGATCTTTAAACACAAAAATGGACATTCGAAATTCTCGATCACGCGAAAATTACGTTAGGTGTAAACACGCGACATGCTCATAATATTATATTAAGGAATTTCGTGCTTCAATTTCAGAATTTTGAGCTTAATTACGTGTTCAAGTAGGTTGGGCAGTGATATTATTATCATTTTTGCAGGCACGCCTCTCACTTTAATTATTATCGTAAAACAAAATCAGCTCAAACTTTTTTTGTAGGCATCGTGCGGTTCTAAAAGAAAGCGAACGAATGACAGGTATGAAATTGCGATAAGAGAAGAGAATCAATGATATTTTAAAAAAAAAGATTGCTTACCCAGGACGATTAATAGCATAAATCACGCGAGAAGCCTGAGAATGACCTTGAAGCTTATAGTATAGTAGACAAATGGGAATTCGGATTCCTCTACGCGGGTCACTAGTACCCCGTGATATTTGTTTTAGAATGATGATTCATTGATATATTTGAAACGAAGTAAAAATATTAATAAAAATTAGAATCGGTATACAATCAAAAATATTAATCAAAAGTTGGGCTGCTTAGATGGATTGTAAAAAGAAAATGCAATAAATTGTTGGAGGACTCTTCTTTCGCGATTTTGAACAGCTGTTTTCCGTTTCTTCGACATTGCTGATACTAATTATAGAAATTTACTAGAAAAATATTATAGCAAAATTTTGGGTGATCGCTAAAAGAATTGAAAAAATTTCGGTATAAGAAAGCGGTTTGTTGAGTATCGAAATATATGGAAAAAACGTGAGAGCGCTGAGAAAAACGCACAAGACCTATTTTCTTTTGAGTGTTTTTGCTTCATCGTCCTTGTTCTTTCGCTTTTACCATTGGTCAGTTGGAAAGAAGAAAGGGTGGAGGAAATGAGAAAATGCTGATTCATCGGCCGCTTTTTTTGTTATGTTCTGTTTATCTTGAAATGTAAAACTGTATTTGAAGATGATATTGCGAAATATGTGGATCTTATTAAATTCAAAGTATTGCTATTTTTACTTCACCTAATGGGAAATAGCTTATTAAAACAGTTTTCAATAAATAAAAGTAAAACAGAAAAATGTATTTTCAATAAAATCCAACTATTTAAAAATGGCAGTTTGGCGAACCTATTAATAGCATTATCAAATGAACGTTAAATAATATTTTTTTCGATTATATAAATTGATATTTTCTGTGATCATACTGTAGTCTTGAATTAGTTGCGTGGTGTTAACACAACTTTGTAAACAGTAATCAGTATTTATTTTTTTCTTAAGTTTTTCTGAAAGTATGAGGCCTCGACCTCGAGGTTGAAGCAATTGTGAAATAAACTTGTAAAAAGTGATTGATAACAATTTGTTGTTTTTTAATAAATAATCGTAACGTTTTTTTTTTTGGAAAATTTAAGAAATCTCGACGAATTCTGAGAAAATCTCCATAAACGTTAAAATGATTTCACCTGTTTCATGCGTGAAAATTTTCTTGTCATTTTCTTACTTCATGAGTTAGTTTTCTGGTAGTTAATTTGATTTATTTCTGTAAGGAACATTAGAAAATATGATAATTCCCTCTATTAACTGTCGACAGTTCCCCGAACTTGACATAAACGGTTCGGCTCCGCAGTTGGTTTAATATTTGCACAAGAAGGTTCATTCTACTCGATTCGTTTAGGCTTACGTGTCCCAACAATTTATTTCTCTCGTTCTCGCGCAGTTCCTCGCTAGCAATCTCGTCCAGTGTGCGGCGGTCAGCACTCACTATACCATACTTTGTCCTAGTTGCTTTCAATTTTCAACTTCATTTTCCAGATATGCGGGTATTATACTTTGTAGTTGCGGCATTTATTGTTTCTGTTATCGCTGAAGACTACTACGAATTGTTGGGAGTTGATCGCGACGCCGACGACCGCACAATTCGAAAGGCATTCAAGAAGTTGGCAATCAAGAAACACCCTGACAGAAACAAGGTATTGTCGAAACATGACGAATGTGAAAAACTGCAGCGATATCCTATGTATTGTGTGCGTACACCGAGTCGCACAGTTCAACAAGAGCTACAGTAATCTCAACTAAAATTTATTTATTTTTTTTATTTTATTTTTTTCGTATTTTCTTGGAGAATTTTTGGTTTTATGTATATATATTTTTTTGTTGGAAAAGTGTGATAGAAATATTTTTTGTATATTATTAAAAGATAATTGTTTTACATAAATAGAAACTATCTATTTTTCGAAAAAAAAAAAACATTTTAAATGTCATTTTAGACAATTTTTGCCTCGAACTTATCAACTTTTTAACGTAATTCCAACGGGCTTGTTTCTTTTTTTCTTATACGTTTATATATTCATTATTTATTGGTTTCAGGTGAAGAAACACGTAACCGGCCGAATAATGATAGCCGAAAGAGCAGCCAGTCAACTATTTTGCAATTGATCAATTGTAATTTTTCCCCGAAGTCTTAATTTCTACCATTCATTCAAATTTAGGAATTTTCTATTCTAATAATTATATTTTATCTTTTTTTGTGTATAATATAACTAGTGATCTTCTAGAGCGATACATTTCTTGTGAAAATCTGAAATATGCAAAGGTTTCAAATAAATAGATATAAGTATATATAACATGTTTATGTTTAACAACAAAATAAAATATTTGTGGCTCTTAGGAGAGCCGTTGGGTTTCTGCCGACGAATTAAATCACCAATATTCGATCAGGTGACGAGAGCGACGTCGAAATGAATGGTTTTCGTTTATCCGATGATGAGCAAACTTGATAATCTGAATATTATTTAATTAATAAGTTCTATCTTTAAACTACAAACCATTTTTTATTCTTCCTCTTCGTCGACGATGACTGCCGCATGATCTGCAATTTAACCACAAAGCACGCATCTTTTTCAATTTCAACAAACTTATTTTCTTTTCCATTCATCTCAAAAAATAATAATTTTAAAGTTTTAAAAATTTTTTAAATAAGTTTTCTTTCTAGCCAAAAGGTGAAAACAATAAAAAAACTTATCTAACAGCGAAATAGTTGACTGACTGCTCTTTCGGCTATCATTATTCGGCCGGTTACGTGTTTCTTCACCTGAAACCAATAAATAATGAATATATAAACGTATAAGAAAGAAAAGAAACAAGCCCGTTGGAATAACGTTAAAAAGTTGATAAGTTCGAGGCAAAAATTGTCTAAAATGACATTTAAAATGTTTTTTTTTTTTCGAAAAATAGATAGTTTCTATTTATGTAAAACAATTATCTTTTAATAATATACAAAAAATATTTCTATCACACTTTTCCAACAAAAAAAAATATACATAAAACCAAAAATTCTCCAAGAAAATACGAAAAAACGAAAAAAATAAAATAAAAAAAATAAATATATTTTAGTTGAGATTACTGTAGCTCTTGTTGAACTGTGCGACTCGGTGTACGCACACAATACATAGGATATCGCTGCAGTTTTTCACATTCGTCATGTTTCGACAATAATTTCAAATCAACAATTAGTTTGAAGTGGTTCGCCGTTTACCAAATCAACCAAAATTTCTCTCTTTTTTTTCACAAAAGCCATTCTTGTCTAAATTATGTAATATGGCCGAGGTTTTAAAACTAGTCCGCTCTAAAAAAAGAACTAAACACTCCTATTCAAAAATGTTGTTTTAGGATGATCCAAATGCTCACGCGGAGTTTGTGAAAATCAACAAAGCTTATGAAGTACTCAAGGACGAGAATCTCCGGAAAAAATATGATCAATATGGCGAAAAGGGTCTCGAAGATGGATTCAATGGCGGCGACAACTATCAAAGCTGGCAGTTCTACAACGACAATTTCGGAATATACGACGATGATCAGGAAATTGTCACATTGAATCGTGCCGATTTTCAACGATATGTCACTGATTCGAATGATATTTGGTTCATTAACTTCTATTCAACGTATTGTTCACATTGCCATCAATTAGCCCCGACATGGAGGAAGTTCGCCCGAGAAATCGAGGGAACGATTCGAGTCGGAGCTGTAAATTGTGCTGAGGATCCGATGCTGTGCCAATCACAACGTGTTGGAGCTTACCCATCTCTTGTATTCTACCCAACTGTATGTTGAACAACTTTAAATTACGACCCAATTATGTTTTAGGGAGAATTCTACAACGGAGTTCGTGATGTCGAACTTCTCACGGAGTTCGTTATTCAGCGTCTTCGATCAGAAGTTCTTCATTTGAATTCTGAGAACATCAAGGCTCTCAGCGAGGATTGGGAACCTTACAATCGTCTTCCATGGGTTGTCGATTTGTGCGGAGAATCCCGCGAATGTCTCTCATCGACCACGAGAAGAAAGATCTCGGCAATGCTCGACGGTCTCGCGAATGTTGCGACAATCGATTGCAACGAAGAAGAGAATATCTGTTCCAAATTTGAGCATTCTGTGGGAGTCTTATACTTCCCAGCGGGTTCGATTAATCCTGAAAAACAAATGGTGAGATTATTTATAGTTTACAAGGCTAAATTTTTGCGAGTTTAGAATATTGAATCGATGGATGCTCAAGAGATTTCGAAGAAAGTGATCGAACTTCTGGAGGAGCTTCCTGAAATCGACGACGATGGTCTCAAAACTCTCCTAGATTCATCAGAATTGGACGAAGCGATTGCTGTTTGGTTCCTTAGCTCATTGAGCCAAGCAAACGAACGAAAAGATTTCCGACGGCTTCCAGCACTTGTCACTCAACAGATTTTCCAAATTGATTGCTCGAAGTCGAATTTATGCGATGATATTGTCGATAAGGCGAAGTTGCCACAATTTGCAGTCTTCAAAACAACCGGAGGATACGAAATTGATTACGGTAGAAGAAAACTGAAATTCTGTTGTCAATTACAATTTTCAGCTGGATCAAAGGACTTCTACGCTGCTGCCACTTTCATCCGCGAGTCAGCAGCGTCAACTCTGTACGCACTCAATAGGGAAACTTACAAATATGCCGTATCTGGTGGTGAAATGTTCATTGTCGACTATTTTGCACCGGTAAGAATTTTTTCTAACATATGATTTCAAGGTACAAAATGTAAAAACTGAATTCGTTACTCATTTCACATCGAACTGATTGTTAATTGTTCACAGTGGTGTCCACCTTGTCTCAAACTTCTCGGCGAATACCGCCGATTCCATTCTCAAATGCCAGAGGATAGTCCACTTTCGACCGTCGCCATCGCATCTATCGATTGCGTCAAATATCGCGATTTGTGCACTGCTGCAAATGTTCAAAGGTTTTTTTTGCATTGTCTATTTTTATTGGATAATTATTTGATATTTTAGCTACCCGACAAGCATACTCTACACACCTGATGGTAAAACTCATCGAATGGTTGGCTATCATTCAGTAGATTCCATACGTGATTTCATCGACATCGCAATGCATCCATCAGTCGTTGAAATGTCACCGGATGAGTTTGAAGAGCTCGTCATGAATCGTCAGGAAACCGAAACTTGGGTTGTCGACTATTTTGCGCCATGGTGCGGACCGTGTCAGCAATTGGCTCCTGAGTTGCAAAAGGCTGCGAGAGCGATTCTGGAATACGACGAAAAAGCAAAAACTGCGTCGATCGATTGCCAAAAATACGCACAATTCTGCAAAGAGAAGGGTATTGGATCGTATCCAACAGTTAGAATATTCCCAGCAAAAAAGACGAAGCAACCAAGACGATCCGATTACTAGTAAGACCATTTTCTAGCTTAAATCCTCAATAAGATTGAATTTTCAGTGATTATCCAAGTCACATGTGGCGAAATTCTGAATCGATCCAACGTTGGGTGTATAACTTCTTACCTACAGAAGTCGCGAGCCTTGGAAACGATTTCTGGACTACGGTATCGCACGGTTTTTGTTTTCTAAAATATTGAAAATTCAATAGGTTCTTGACTCGAGCGAGCCGTGGATCGTTGATTTCTTTGCTCCATGGTGTGGTCATTGTATTCAGTTTGCACCAATTTACGATCAAATCGCGAAGGAATTAAGCGGAAAAGTGAACTTTGCAAAAATTGATTGCGACCAATGGCCAGGTGTCTGTCAAGGAGCACAAGTACATTGAACCCGTAACAATTCAATCAAGAACTCAGCATATTTCAGATTCGCGCTTATCCAACTGTGCGACTTTACACTGGCAAAACCGGTTGGACTCGACAAGAAATTTGGGGAATTCAAATTCAAACACAAGACAAGAAGACGTTCATTGATATTGTGAAGCAGCAACTCAATATTAAGGAGCATGACGAATTGTAGTCATTTTCTCGCATTTTTCTCAATTCTAATGGGTCCCTTTTTTGACACATACTGGTCAATACTCGCCTTAAACATAATTTATTAACAACAATTCATAATTTTGTATTATAGTCTACCGATATATACATATTTATTACAGATTGTAGTCTCTCGAATGTCTAAAAGACCAAATTTGAAAAAAATATGTAGACATATCAATGTTTTTTTTTTTAATATGACTACATGGCGATAAAATTGGATTTTACACAAGATACGCAAAAGTAGAATGACACCAGACTGGTCACACGAAATCCTGAATCTTATGTGTTTTGCCTCCGTCGAAAATACTTTTCAGATATTGATAAATTTCGAGCAAACTTAATATATCATGAGACCATTTGAATGCGGAAATATGTTTTATTAGATGTTACACACATAAAAAAATCATTATTGCACATTGGCATCTGTAATGGAATAATCTATCAAAATGAATTTGAATGTCGAATGTAAGCAGGAGCTTATATTATCACATCACGAATTATCCGCGATAATTGAAATTGAAAAAGAACTGTAAATTCCAAAAATGTATGTTTTGTCTCTTATCGACTAACCCGCTATTATTGCCGATTTCATGAAATTATCAATATTTTTTATTTCATAAAATTCACGAACACGAAAAGACGAAATTTGTCAATATTGGTTTCTTTAAAAATACAGGAGCACACTGTTTATGCAGCGATTTTTCGGTCAATTTCTTTTTAGACATAATTGGCTTCAACATGTTAGGTCCAATTTTTAACGAATATTGGTCAATACTCGTCTTAAACATAATTTATTAACAACAATACATAATTTGTATTCTAGTATATCGATATATCTTCCGGATGGTAGTAATCCTCTTTTAGTCTAAAAAAACAACGATTGATAAATAATTCGATAAATCATAGTTTACCTGTTGATATGAGCGGGAATTATACACGACGAATTCGACACAAAGAGATTGATGAGCTGCGCAGGAATCATGTCGAATGCGGGTTGAATGATTTCAACGAGTCCTGAAAGAATTCCTACTCATTTTTACATCTAAAAATAGAAAAATACCGGCAGATTTTCGAGAAAATTCGAATGGCATTGCAGCTTTTTTGAATGTATTCATTGCGCATGGATCAGGAATGAAGAACGGAGTCATCTAAAATTAAAAATAGCGTAATCAATAGTTCAAGCCAATTTACACTAAGAAATTTTAAGTAGAATATTTCGGAAAAAATAAATTTAAATTAGTTTAACATATTTCTTTCATTTTTTATCTTGACATATTATCTGGATTTTTAACGTCACTTTAATTAATTTGGTGTTTTTTCGAATGCTTAAAACGGGTCACCTAAAGAATGTTGATTTACAAGAAACACTTCTACAGTACACTACTACTGGTGGCCGTCTCATCGTCTTGAGACACAGCTGACCGTAGAGGCAATGCGAAACAGTATGTTCAAACTATCAAAATACACGTACCGCTAGGCTTGAAAAGATTTGATAAAACGGTTATAAATATACCTTATAGAATGGTGCCAACACATAAACCGGAACTGAATGTTTTTGAGCGACTAAGGCGATACTAAGTCCACCGGCCGGCACCAAACATGATCCATCGGGGAATACTGCAACACTTGGAAGGACTACCTTGGTGGTGTCAACGATTTTCGATGCAACATCCGCAAATTGAATGGGAGTTGTGTAATCGGGAGAATCATCTACTTCTGCACTATTGACGACACTTAAAAGCTGAAACAAAGCTTAGTCAATTTTTTAAAATCTTTTTCTTCTACATACTCTAAATTTGCGAGACCGACACGCGTTTGCAAAAAATGCTTCTAATGTTGGAGATTTTGATAATGAATGCACCATAACAACATCTTGATTAAAAATGAGCTCTGTAGATTGTGAAGCAATGCTTTCGCGACAGGACTCGATTTCAATAATGAGCTAAATTTAATGAATATCTATTTTTTTTAACTTTTACTCACTTCCTTGATATTGGCAATCAAGTCTTTTTTAATTTTTTTCATGTCTGTGTCTTCCGCTTCACTAGGTCCATGTTCTTTCCATAAAGTGTAAAGAGAATCGTATCCTCTAGCTTCTTGCCCTTTTCTGGCTTGAAGCTCATCTCTTGCCAATTTTGAGGTCATTAGAACAATATTCACCATGATAAGCTCATTTGGTTCCATTGCTGACAGAAACTTTGCATGAGCGTGAAGGGATTTAAGAAGGTCTCTAAAACAAACAAAATTTTTTTGATTTTCAACTTCCTCTTACGATATTGTTTTTGCCTTTTCTACCATAATCACTTTCCGAAGAAAATTGATGACACTGAGCGCAATCGCTGAGGACGAATCGCGTGTTTGCCTAAATTAGAAGATAATTCACGATTTTCTTTTTTTGAAATTCTACTTTTTTCGTAAAGACAAAATAAATTCTTTGCGTAAATTATCCACATCACTTCTAACTGCTACGGCCATTTCTACGACCTGAATTATCATTTAATCTGGTAATTATAAAATAAATAGAACGGACTTGCGAAACAACGAAAAATCAAGAAAATTAAATATAATATAATTGATATTTAACTTTATAAAAATTTTTAAAAAATAATAAAAGAAAACATCAAGAAAAACTTGAAAAATGGGAGCTAATCTTGCGTGTAAAATAAAAATTCCAATTAAAACAGCAAATGCGCTCTAATGAACATATTTCAACGTCGTAGTCCACACGGTTTTCTTGCTTTAAATTTATTATTATCAATGATCGAGAATTTCGTGTATCGTAGTTCTTGAATATTTTAACAAAAAAATCCTAATTTTAGCTTTTAAGCTCAGGAAATGAATCTTAAAAGGATTCTAGTCGATACAGGTGAAGAATATAGTAGGTTTTTTAAAAATTATTCCTAAAAAATATTATTTTAAAGTTCAAGACGATCAAACACATTCTCCAAACATAAAAACTTTACGGGTTATTGAAAAAGAGGAGCTCCACGAGCTAGAAGTGAGCCCCCAAGATGTCCCATCCTCCAGTGTGACAAGTGTACATCCAATTGATATCTTGCATGAAGAGCTTTCAAAAAATGACATCAAGGTTGACCAAATCGGAAGAATTATAAATGATGGAATTATTCAAGGATATTTTGCACAAGACGATCTCAAGGTTTTGATGATTTTAAAGGTTCATATCCATTTATTCACAAATCTGTAGGACATTGCTCAATTATATGGGAAAACAATTCAAGGTCTCGGAAACATCGATGTAATCACTTTGGCGGATAGAATGAATTACGAACAAGTCGATCATAAGCATGTTATAATTGGAAACGCTTTTATGGTAACTCTTAAAAAATAACTCTTAGTTAAATACTCAAAAATTTTAGTGGAACGTTCTGAAAGCGGGCATGAATCAAGTTCGAGATAAGTGCGACAACTTTAACTTCAAAATTAGCGCAATGGCAGAAACGACGACAGATAAAATAGAGTTCAATTCGAAATTGGTCCATGAGGGACAATTTTGTATTCCCGACGTCGCCTCTTTCGAAGTACTTCAAATTTTTCGTTTATTCACTAAATTTGCTGTTTAGAGAATTGATCTTCTTGAAATTTATCGATCAGTGACATTTAGAAAGTCTGCAGATTTTGTTAAACGAGCCAAACACCTTATCAAATCGTATTTAGTTGTGGTAAGTCAAACTATGAGAATATTTGATTTTTGAATTTTCAAATATTTTAGAGCACTGTTCCGGCTTGTGCTATCTGGCATTACGGATTACGTTTAAGCGGAGCTTCTCACAAGAAGACTATCGAGAATATTCCAAATGCAGTTGTCAAAGTTTTGATCGGTAAAATTGGTAATTTTTTTTAATTTTCAAATGAAAAATGCAGATTTTCTCCTCGCATTATGCGGTTTTTGCCGAAATGAATTGAACGAGGATGCAGAAACAATAGTTGATTCAGTGTAAGGATATAAACGCGAAAAATTGCGGAACCTATTCGGTTTTCAGTTTTTTCAAAGGGCTTGGCAATACGGAAGATGAAAGGCTCACCGAGTTCCAACGATTAAAAGATACAAGGGATTCGTTGATTGGCAAATTCCGCACCTGCATTTCGGATTCCTTGTAAGAATTTTCTGTAAAAACGCATTCTATCAAAGGATTGATTGATTCAGAAACGAAGTCCGTGAGATGCCCTATGATTATGTTGTAAAAAAGCTTCTTCCTCCGCCGGTATGCTTGAATATTTTTAAAAAATTTGAAAAACTTATTTTTTAAAGCGAGGTAAACCTTTATCTGAAGATTGTGTATCTTGGAAACAATATGAAGACGTCGTAAAAAAATGCTATTCGGATCCGTCCGTGGAAAATATGAGAGCCAAAGACATTATAGAGTATGTAACATTAGAAATCAGCCAAAAACCCGCTTAAATTAATTTTCAGATCTCGTTTAAATTATAAGTTGCATCTGTTAAATAATGATAACTCATCGTCTTCCTAACATGAGCAATGCTGGTTGAATTGGCGGGTTTCCTCAGAACTCAGTGAATTTTTTTGGTGACAATTCGGGATATTCCTATTCAATTCATCACTTTCATTTCTTGCTTGGTATTTTCTGTTTCATTTCGTTTTTTCCGAATAAATATTTCACTTTTATTATATTTTTCGGAGAATAATCCTGATTATTTGGATTTTGCATACCTGTCCACCTTCCTGCGATTGTTTATTTTCGTCTATACGCCTCATACCTCTTCCTCGCCGGGCTTTTCGTGCATTCGTGCACTAATGTCGGACAACTGGCTAATAATAATGCCTGTTCCACATTTTCCGTTCATCAATTTTCAAAAATTTTTTGAATTTCACTTTTCAAATATATTTGCGTTTTTATATGATTTTCTAAAATTAAATGTTGAGTGTGATTGTTGGATAAAAGATTTTTCTTTTTGACGAAATATTTTCGCAAAGGGTTTTTGATGCATTTCTTTCAAAATTAAAATATTTCATTAATGAAAATCCTTTATTTAAGAATGATTTTTCGATCACGTGTCTGGACTCTAGAGATATGTTTTTTTTTTGGATTTCCCCAGAGGTTTTGGAAACTGCGAATATCTTTGCAAGTTAAACTTCCAATTTTAAACGTTTTTATTGTCCAATTTAATTTGAAATAGCTTAGAATTTAAAAACATTCTTAAAGCGGATAATTAGTGATAGGCATGAATGCGTAGATCCTCTTGATATCCACGTACTGAATTTCATGCAACGAATAAAGAAGTTTGGCCAGATGTTTCCGTTCAAATTGAGGCCGGATAAATGGTTTTATCCATCTGAAAAGCCCTCGTCCATTTTCTGAGTAGAATTTTGATGATTATACTCAAATGATTCATCATGTTTATTATGTGATCTTATGTGGAATCTCCACAATTTTTCCAAAGGCATTTCACGAAGAATATCGGTGAAAATAGCTCGAGCCACATGCATATTATCACAATACATCGGAGCAATCACACATTCTCCAGATGGATATGCCACCACAGCACCAATGCCAATAACCTTACCGTTTTTGTCATAAGCAACCTTCAAGGTGTCTAGATTTTTTAGAATTCAGAATGGACTCAAACTCGAGCGAAAGCTGCTTTATCTTGAATGTAGGCCTTAACAAAATCCGATCGTTCATACGGGAAAATGTCGCGATCATACGTCACAAAGTCTGAGATCGGAGCATCTTTAATATTCTGAAGAATATTTCTTCATATATCTTTTTTTAATTTTGAAGCACCTTCACAACAATGTCGTCGTATTTTGTGTCAGGAATCACAATGTCCTTCATTTCATAGAATGATATATAATAATCCATTTGGCAATTCCCATTTATTTCGCTTCCCACTGATTTCGCCCAAAACCGAGCCAGTGGTGGTGCTATAATTATTATAGTTCATGATTCGTTTCTCGGCGATCTAATTGATTGTTTAATAGTGCTCTATAATCGTTTCAGCCTGCTTGCTGCGCTAGGAGCAAAATTTTATAATAGTTTCTTGAAATCTGCGCGATATTGTGGCGCCGCATCATAGGCAAATTTTACCATTTCATCTCCAGCAACTTTTGGAACAGTTTACTCGGGGGTTCGGTCGAGTTGCAAGCGATCGCGCCCGTCTTTCGCTCTCAATCCCACGGTAAACGTTGATTCGTTTTTGCCCTTATTCGCTCCGAGGTTGCCCGCTGCTTGCTTCGATTTGCCCCAAGCCTTCCGACGTTTGTCCAAAGGAGAAGGCTTCGGGCGACTCCCCAAAAGATCAAATTTTCCGATAGACAAGGCCAAAAAGTGAATTCATCGATAACGCGGAACACAAAATTTATAATTTGCATACGAACATCTGGGCTTACTGAGATTCCATGAAAACTTCATTTTGCCCTTATATAGTGGTTTGAGAGCCCATGTGGTTAATCGAATCATAATAGACGTAATAAATATTATCTAGCGGCAAATCATATGCGTGTAAAATTGCGAGATAATTATTTTCGAGACACGTGTATTTTCAAGCGCGTGGATTGTGGAGCACCGAGAAAAATTCAACTTACTCCCTGCCGTTACTGTATTTATTTTGCGAATCAAATGAACATTAACTCCAAGTTCGTGCATGAATTTCATGAGTTTAGAGTTCCGATAATCGGGATGGACAAATCCAAAGCTATAATGCTGCATATATTCGTCTCGTAATAATGATGGAGTTGCTACAAGCATACTAGAACCAATTACAGTATTCGTGCCTAAATTATCAATTTTTCGTTGATTTTTTAAAAATTTAAATTGCCTCTTTTCAAAATAGCGCCGAATCGAACAATCGAGTTTTTGAAGCAAATGTCCAAATCATCCCTTTTGAAATCTTTTCGATCTTTTCCGTGCTAAAATTAGGTGAACTCAGCAAACCATTCGTTTTTTTTTTATTTTTCTTTTAAAAAATAACGAAAAATAATTAGTGTGGCAAAAGTTTGTCAAGATGATGTTTTTTTGTTATCACACGGGCAGCTGCTCTCTTCAGTAGTGAACGACTCAAAAGTATATCATGGTGTAATAGGTTTAAAAAACAAATTTGGAATAGCTTCTCTTTTTTTTTAAATCATGTTTTCCCTACCATTTCCATCCATTGGTCCAGCATTGGTTTAGTTGCCATATAACAGTATTCATAATCTCCTGACACGAATCGTTCCCCTTTCATATTCCATGGGTGATTGAATGGTTTTTTCGTACAATTACTAAACGTGCGAACGATTTGACGGAGCATTTGGCAGCGAGTTGAAATTCGAAATTAGTGTTAGTTTGTAAGAATCTCTTCACGTTTAATATATATTTTTTCGCTTAATATCATTATTTCCTCTTATTTTCAGCCTGATGAGTGTACTGAAGGCGCGAAAATGGATATTAAACGGGACAACGGCGAGCACTTCGAAATCGATTGCTCATACGATGCTCATTGAGAATGGTTTCATTTTACCTTCAAGCAAAGGATTTTACAGGTTAGAAAATTGAAATTATTATTTTAATTTAAAAAATGTTAAATAATTACTTGTTTTTAGTCTTTTACCTCTTGGGCAACGGGTAATTGACAAACTTTGCCGGATATTGAACCATGAATTCCAAAGGGCTGGAGCTATGAAGGTTTCGATGCCGATAGTTGGCACGAAATCGCTTTGGGACAAATCCGGACGATGGGAGGCCATGGGTGCGGAGCTCATGCAGCTCCAAGATCGAGCCAACAATCATTTATGTCTGCAAGTGTGAATTTCCTCGAAAAAAATTGAGTAACTCGCTGAATTTCAGCCAACTGCTGAAGAAATGTGCACCGAAGTTGTTGGAAATCTGTCGCCATTCAAAAAACACATGTTTCCGTTGATGTTGTATCAGATTGGCGAGAAATTCCGCGATGAGATGAATCCGAGATTTGGTTTGATGAGAGCTCGTCAATTTTTGATGAAGGATTTGTATTCATTTGACGTTGATCAGGAACATGCACAGAAGACGTACGCAAAAATTTGCAAAATTTATGATAGGATATTCAAGGAAATTTTAGAATTAGATGTTATAAAAGTATGGTAATTAGTTGGAATTATGAAAAATCAAGTTTTTCTTTCATAGGTTGAAGCCGATTCCGGAGTTCACGGAGGAATTTTATCACATGAATATCACTTGAAGAGCCGGTTGGAAGAAGATTTTGTTGATAAATGCACAAGGTATTTCTGCGGAATGTTATAGCAAAATATTGGGTTTCTTTTTTCAATGCCTTATTTGAGCATAACTATCAACAATTCAGTTGTCAACGATTTACGAAAGCAAATCCGCCTTGTACGTGCGGAAAATCGGAATTCGAAAGATTAAACACGGTGGAAGTTGGGCACACATTCCATTTGGGAACAAAATATGCAAAAGCTTTCGGAGCAAAATTCACTGGAAAACCATTAGACATGTGTTGCTTCGGAATCGGAGTTTCTCGACTACTTCCCGCTTTAATCGATGAGCTATCAATATCTGAAAAAGCAATTCGACTACCACGAGCGGTTTCTCCATTCGATATTGTTATTATTCCTAAAAAGGTAAATATTGTATTTTATATTTGTTTATTTTATTTTATTCTTTTCAGGCAATGATGTCGAATGTAATTGTTGAAATGACAGTCTCCTCAGCTGCGCGATACTTAAAAGGCGGAATTCTTCTTGATGATCGAGTGGATTTGTCGCCCGGTAAACGATTGCATGATGCGAATCGATTAGGAATCCCGTATATAGTAGTGCTCGCGAATGAGACTGAACGATCGTTGGTTACAATGGTAAGTCAACAAAAACCATACGAAAAAAAGTAGACACGACGTGTTCAGAAACCGCTTGTTGAAGTCTTCGCGACGAAACCAAAATCTGATGAATTAATTTCACACGGTGCAATGCCTCTTGAAAAATTTGTGACGTTCATCCAATCGGCGTCGATGCCTCAAGAATCCGCAATACCGGTATTCTCGCAATGATCTAAAACATTGTTTGTTGCCCACTAGTTGTTTTCGTTTTTTTTTTTAAATAAAATGTTATTGTCCTTTTTTCATTGTCTTAATTCATTTCCGTTGGTTGATACCGCTTTCATTATCTTATGTGTTTCCGTATATAATCCTCATCATATTTAAAATTGTCGATTCAGAATGTCGACGGAAATTGCGGATAAGACTGAGCCGACTATTCGCAGGGAATCTTTTTCGTATTTGGGAAGACGAGGTACCGATCTTCCATTGTTCGACAAAAAATATATATACATATTATGACCGACAACATTTTGCGAATATAAACACACGTTCAACATGTGTTTTGAAGTAGTCAATATTTTCCTCATTTTTATGTGATATGAGAAAAATTCTTATGTTACAGCATTTGAATGGCGCCTTCATTTTTCTATTACGTGTTCTTTATTTTAGCCAAACTTGATCCTACCCAATTACGAGTTGTCACCCTCAATGCTTGGTGCCTTCCTCAACCTCGTCCAATTGGCAGCGCTGATCGGGTACACCGACTTGAGCGAATCGGCGAAGCAATTATGAGTGAGGATTATGATATCGTCGGTCTACAGGTTCATTGTTCTTTTAATTAATCTTTTTATAATTTGTGTTTTTTTATTTTTAGGAGCTCTGGAGCTATTATGATTTTGTGCGCCTTTCTGAACAAGTCAGCAAAGAGTACCCGTATTTCCATTATTTTCATTCTGGATTCACTGGAAGCGGTGTTTGCGTATTCTCGAGACATCGAATCATATCGACGCTTACTCATAGGTTTTTCACTGCGGTCAAAGAATACCCACACTAGGTTCTTTGGATATCCAGTTGTTTTCTGATATCTATATGTTAGATTATTCCAGAATTTTTTTCATTTTGATTATTATTATTATTATTATTCAATTCGCAGTTAGAAGCAAACGAATATTTTTCATGTTTTCGAAGTAGTATGGGTAATCGTTGGCCACCATGTACACATTTTTCCAATATTCATAGAAATTTCTAATTTAACAGATATTCGTTGAATGGATTCGCTCATCACATCCATAGAGGTGATTGGTTCGGTGGAAAAGTAGTTGGACTAGTTGAAGTCGAAGTTGGCGAGCTTCGCGTTAACTTCTACACGACTCATTTGCACGCGGAGTATGATAGAGAGAACGATCTGTATCTGCCACATAGGTGAGAAATCGAAACAAATTTTGATATTCTAAACAATTACAATCAGAACCTCGCAATCCCTTGAATTGAGTCAATTTGTTCGCCATACTTCCCGTGGAGCCGACGCAGTTATAGTGACTGGAGATTTGAACATGGAGCCGTGCGACTTGGGATTTCGACTAATATTATCGCAAGCGAAACTTTTCGATGCTTGGAGAATGTGCCATGAGCCGGGAAATCCTGATTTTGAGGAACCTGAACAATTAGTGAAATGTCGAGGTGTCGGAAGAGGTGGAACGTGCGATCGACCAGACAACTGCTATACGAAATCAGCGCAAAAGCGAGACGTTTGAAACTTTCGATTATTTACGGAATTACTTTGAAGTTTTAGGATGAAAGCAAGAGAATCGATTATATTTTGTTTAAGAGTGGTCGGGCGAATGTGAAATTGGAAGAATGCGAAATTACTCTCAACCAGGTTTGATATTACTCTTATTGGAATAAAGAAAATTGGAATTTTCATTAAAATATTGATTGGCATTTTATTCGATTTTACAGATTCCTGGTGAAGATATCAACTATTCGGATCATGTTGGTCTTTGTGCTCGTTTTACGATCGACGACACTATCCGCCAAGAAAGTGCGACATTTGAACCCAACCGACCATTGCTGATCGAAGCGATCGGCATAGTATCTGGTGGTGAACGACGTGCAAGACATGATAGGACCTTCTTTTTGGCTTTGGCTGCGTTCTGCTTGATTCTCATTCTCGCGTCTCTCTTCATTGAAGGCCTTCCTACTTTGATGTCCATTCTAAGGTAGAGTTGTCAATTGATTTTCCTTTGAGCATCTGAATTTAGATTCTGCTTAACTGTAGTAGCAGTATTCTTTGTTTGGCAAGGATTCATCGGATTGACCTTGGAACGAAAAGCGTTGAAGGCGGCGAAACAATCGATGCAGCAACTTCTTAATAATTAGAAACTGTGATGAACTTAGTCAATGTGAATATCTAGATTAAACCTACTGTGATACCCTATATAAATTTTAATTCTTTAAAAAAAAACATTATTCCGTATTATTACGGTATTCCATATTTTTTGGCTTTAATTTTTTAACTTAATTTCAAGCTGTTCAGATGGAGCGAATGTTTAGTTGGTTGAAACGGAAAGCAGATATTAATGTTGTAACCTATTCAAGATTCGGATTGCCTGGTAAGAAAATGACAACTACTGTGAAATATGCAAATTTCCATTTCAGGCGATGAAGTTGATGATCGTCCGCCTCCATCCAAGATCTACGTTGCCTCGTTCGATGAGAATGCACCGGAATTTCGAATTTTTCGAACGCATTCTGTCCGTGCTGCCCTTGCTAGTGCTGGAATCGGAATGTCGGCATGCTTGTTCTTGTTCCTAAGCATTCTGTTCGAATATTCTCAATGGCCAAATGATACCAGCGCTGACGTTGGAATGCTTGTTGGTCTTTTGATATTTATAACGATTGGCGTTCTTGTGCATTGGCAAGTAATTCGAGGCCTCAAACTCAATGATTCGCGATTTCTGGTCCCATCAATCGTCTCTTATTCGTCGATGATCATTGTCGAAATCATTTTCCTAATGCTTTTGCTGTAAGATCATATAGGCAAATTGACGAACATATAAATTTTAAGGAGTCATGTGATCGGAGGAACGTTTATTATAAATCACACAAAAGACCGCAATCAAATTATAATGGTCATCATAATGGCAGCAATTGTAATTGCTTTTCAAGCCGCTATGTTACTATCATTCACAAGGTTTGAAGAAAAATTTAATTTAAATATACACAAAAATTGAATTTTCAAGAGCTCGCAATTTTCTAGAAAAGAAGTCGACTCATGAGAGTGAAGTGATGGTTGCTGAGAAAAGTGTAAGTATTCAAAAGAATAAAAAAGAATTTTGCATCGAAACATTTAAAAATCAACTAATGATTTGACCATGTGTGTGATTTTCTTTCCATCGAACCGCTGATGATTAAACCTTTAGATGGACGGCGTTTAAAGGTTCACGCGCTGCGTCTCTTCTAATTTATCAATATTTCCTCGGTGTTGTTCACCTAACAACGTCGTCCAATTTCGACATTTAGTTACAATATGGCGAAAAGAAATAAATTGTCTATCAACGATTTAATTGAATTTGCAGAAACAGAAGAATCCAAACCTTCAAATCATTTATATTGCTCGAGGCGAATACGTCGAACCGCGAGCCGACATTGCACCCAACACGGTTTCATCGCCTCCGCCGCGTGTCATCCTCGCCGCCAATGACAACATTGCGTAATTCATGTTTCCTTCCCAACTGTAACATTCAAACGTGGGCTTTAACTCTGTAAAATTGCGTTTAACACAGTTTTTGTACTTTGCTGGTGTACACTTTCTAATCATTGATGCATAATTTCTAACATAATTCGACTGGTCATCGTCTTGCCTGTATGATTTAAATAAATTTTTATCGCAATTTTTTAAATGTTTCCCAAATATGTTAGCTTTACCTCGCATATTTATTTCACACAAATTTCTTCATAGCCATGTGGCCGTCAATTCAAAGGCGTCAACGCCGCGGCCGCCGACCATGAATTGTAAGAATTCTACAAATTTCAGTCAAACTAGAAATCAATATCCGATTCCAATTTGAATATCTTGAAATTATTTTTTGTTATTAATTGTTTATTAAAATGAGAACGTATCAAATTTTCAGATACGAAAAGATGGAAGAAGTCGAAGCGATTCGCGTAAGTGATTATCAAAATTCTTTTTGGTTAAAGCTGTTCAGTGAAAAACTAGTCGCGTTTCGTGTTCATGCCGTCTCAATTAGAAACTTCGTTGTTGTTCTCGACGCCCAGAAAGATGGTCTCGCAACGATGGTCCCATCCAGCAGATCCAATCCAGTTGCTAAAAACCACTACATAGTTGTTTTGAAAGAAATAGGCTCACCGAAATTGGCAAAGGTTTTTTCTGGCGAGTTTGCTCAGTTCTTTGGTGTCCACCATCACAATGGTGATATTGTCGATCATTTGGCGATTCATTATATAAGCGCTTTTAACACCGTAATCCAGAACTCGCGACAAATAATTCGTTTGCCAATGCTCTGAGCGAATGGTGAGCTCGCGAAGTTGTGGCCAATAAACTTGACGATTTCCCACCAATGGGCATAGGAAGTGAAAATGTTCGCTGTCATAGGTGTTGAACAGCTTCATAGTACAATGGAAGGTGTACCATCTCTCCATACACACGTCCGAATTTGAAACAACGAGCTAAATTTTTTTTGCGACTAAAATCAATCCTCGCAAAATGTTTAGTGTTACCAGTTCAACAATTGGCGCCTCAATATCAGCGATTTCGATCCATTCATGGAACACTCGCATCATTCCCATAAGAGCTCTAATATCGCGACCTGTCCATTGTTCGTCGATCAGCATGTAGACGGTGTCGTCTTCAAATCGAATCGCGACGTATTCTCTTGGATGTCGACTCCAATCGGGATTATTTCGTATTGCCTCGTCGATGTCTTTTTTCACAACATTAATTTTTTTAATCTAAAATTCCAAAAATAAAATCAATATTCTGCCGACATGATTCCCACCTGGCGAAATCGGGATTGAACGTAATTGTAGATGGTGGTATTCGTACGACTCAGTCGGACTTGCTCGAAGAAATTCAACTTGTCAATTATTTCGACAAGAATTTCAAATGGCAACGTTGACCAATCATAATTCGGAGCATTCTTCTTTGAATTCTGTAGCAATTTCGAGTTATTCTAACTATTTTATGTCATCTAAAATCACTATGCTTTGTCTGTAGACTAGGCAGTATCAAACGGCATTCCACACTAATTCGGTTTATCTTTTTCTTGTCGCTACCGTTTGGTTGATTTGCCCAAACGATCTTATCAAAAATTTCTACTCGTCTTCCGCTTTTTTGTTATAATAATCACCAAACTGGATCAATTATCAATCAAAAGATCATGTTTGTTTTAACAATGTGAAATAAGTGTGTAAAATCGAGTGTGATCTATCAATTCGGATCACCAAACGCTTACCTTCTTTTTCGACCGCAGCGATAGTTTCCGTATCAGGTTGTGAACGGCGTTCATTGGCAACGTCCGGATTGAGGAAGTCGGAATTCTGCAATAAACTTCTGTTGAACAATGTTATTTCTTTATATATGATATAAGTAAGACGAGTGAGAGAGCGAGTACGGTAGGAAAAAAAATGATATGGTGAAAATTGTTCGGTTTCGATTCTGGATGTGATTTTTGGAGTTCCGATTGCTTATATAAATAAGGATAGAGGGGAATGCATGGTCGAGGTGTCTTCTTTGATCACTGTCCCGAACTCCGCCCATTTCGTTCCTCCGCATCAATAGCGAACAGAGTTTTTTTCGCCTTCTGCGTATGGGTCCTCCCACTTTTGCTGATGGATGAATCGGTCACTGAAATTAACGGCGAAATCGTTGACATGCGCGACGCCACAATCTTCGAAGGTTCTGTGATGGATGGACAAAGTCCGCGCGGACACGCACGCGCGCTCTACCGTCAATGTGCTCGAGCAACGCGGTTTCTAGTAGTTACTGTAGCGTCGTAGACGACACACCCAGTGAAACGTGATCGATTGTCATCGCGTCACTAATTTGATTAGAAGTCGTCTGGAAGCGGTCACATTTTCGAAATCGTTGGACTTGTGCAACGTGACTCACTCGATTGGTTCTTCTTTGAACTCGAGGAACCGCTCGGAATTCTACATAAAGGAAGATAAAACAGTAGCAACCGATCGGTATCGGTCTGCGGGTTTATCTTTGAAAATTGCCGATGATCGACGAAACACTGATTTGATAGAATCAGTTGAGAGATAGTTGTTGATTTATTGCAGATGAACTGATAAGTGGATGGTTTCTAAACTGTTTAAGACATTGACTGAATCAAGAGAGAAGTGCTTTAAAAATGCACTTTTACCAGTTTTAGAAATTCGAGGGAAATTCTCTTGGGTTTTGAGGAATTTTCTGCAAAACGAATCTGCGCGAAAAATTCTATCAGTGTTGAATTAAACTCGTGTCGTGCGATTTGCAGCGATTTCCTCGCAAGGCAAAGTGTGATTTTTAAAAGTTGCGCGCTGATCTCTGTATAAGGGCGTTTCGCATTGGAATTGCACTGCGAATGGGAAACGAAAAAAACACATTTTTAAAAGGAGAATGAAAAATGGATATTTGTATAGTATCAACATTTTTTATCCATTTTTTTTTGTCCTTTTCTCAGTTGCAGTGTTGGAATTAGAGAACGAGGATACTGTAATTAGATAAGTACGATAAACTGAATTTTCTTTTCGCGAAATATCGTTTTTGGAGACGAGATCATAGTTTCTTTTCAAAACGCAAATGTATATTTTTTTAAGAAAGTCGTAAAAAGTTCTTAAATAATTTTATTGTATTTTTCCTTCTTCTTTTTTCGTAGTTTAGATATCACTTCTTTTTTTTTTTGAAAATGTTCAGTTATTAATTTTTTAAAGTAAATTAGTGGATGATGATCTTCAAAGAAAAATTAAAAAAAATTAATTTCTTGCAAAAAAAGAAAAAAGTAAGAAACTAATATGTGTTTTTCTTTTCACTTTATTTGACTTTAGTGAATCATGAAAGTCTGTGAGAAAGTTCGAACTAATATCAATGACGATTCAAGAATTGAGAATTCAAGTTTCTAAGTAGTAAAAAAAGACCGAAATAAGAAAACGCGGTGGCATAATGTGAATACGATTTGTCCTAAATAGTCGATTTCGAATCGACGATTTTCAAGTCATTCGAATGACGTCAAGTGTGACAAATAATTTGTCGAAAAACGCTGACAAACAGCTCGTTTCTCAATGACACCCATTTAAGGAATTCCAGCGGTCGTGTTGAATCGGCGAAGTGTAATGAGTGTGGTCCTGTTTGCCGTCCATATCGTTCCAGTAGATTCAGTAGTGTTTCTTCACAAAAATTTACACTAAATTTTTGGAATTTCCGTATTGAATTCGTCAGCGGGGGTCGTTTTGTGTGTATTATGTGCGTCTCTGGGTCTATGTATGTGTGTCTTTCGATTCAAGACTGTCGCGGTCCTGTGACGTCACTGTTCGATGAATTCAGCTTCTGCCAGGGTGGCAATCATTGCCTTATGTTTTTTTTGCGAAATGTTTTGAATTTTTCAACCAAACGGCATTATTGAATCCAATGGATACGAATGACCTGCTAGATTCAAAAACTCCAAAATTTGATTGTTTTTTCCTTTTCTGATGAGCGAAGAATCTAGAAGGAATGTTCAACTTCCAGATTTTGATCGTGGACGACGGCGGTGTTTCATTGGCAGTTGAATGCAACAGTTGAAATGACCGAGTCAATTGATCTTTCCTTCTCGTGAACCATCGACAAACAAATCACCGATTGGGATCATATATGATTGATTGCGTTTTTTTGAGGTGTTTGATTCGCAAAGATTGGGAAACCTTTGCGTCACTTTCGGCTGACTTCGGCAAACGATGTCGACTCCGATTGGTCGACAATATTTCCCACAAAATATTACTTTTTTTTGCGGATCCAGTGATAATGAATGGCGATCGGCCAGCGAAGAATAAGGAATGGAAATAAAATTTGATAACTTCCTGCTTGAACTTGATGAGAGCGACATGATACGGAAAAATGAAGTTGATTGAATTCCAGAAACGGAAGCTATTATGAGGAGAGTTAATAAGTGAGTGGTTCCTGCAAGGGTTTGGGATTTTTTGGAAGATTTTAGGCTTCATCTCTTATTTAGCCTTGAGCTACAGATCAATCAAAGATTTTGCAGTAGTTTTCCTAACATTCATTCAGAGTGAGAATCAGTTTTCATTCTAGATTGATATAACTAAGCTTTAAAAAAATAGTATGTCAAGTTGTTATGAATCCAATGTATATGCATTTTACTGTAACATTTCGCAATCTATAATCCAGACGAATCGCTGTGGTTGTGATTATTTTTGGGTGTGGTAGACATCTTCCGCTCCCATCAGAGTGTCAACGACTACAACCATTGTGTGTTCGTGGAACATATCATTTGTAAAACCCGACGGTTTTGCTTCGGTTAAATTGTAGGCCAGCAACTTTTTGATATGTTATTGTGATCATTCTCACGTTGAATCGTCGCTGATTTCACTTCGACTTGTACGCACGCTGACGGAAATTGTGATTTTGAGAAAGTGATCCATTATAATTCAGTACAAAAAAAATGAATTTGTGATCAACATCGTGTCATCAAATAAATCACGAGTTATTTTTGATAAACTATTAAAAAATTCGTGACTAGCTAGAATTCAATGAATTTCAGAAACGCACATGGTTCGGATATTTCGCATTCTCGGATTCCGTCCTCACGGTGGTCCAAGATGACTACGAACTCCGAAGTTATGCGTATGAAGCTGACATTGTTGACGTCGCGTGCACACGATGCCATGTTATTGTGGCTCTTGAAGGCGATGTTTGCATTATTTCTCATATCAACTTTATCGTAAATTTCGAATTTCAAAGAGTTTTCGTAACTGAAACTTTGAAGGAAAATGGCGTGAAAATCGTACCCGAAAAACAATCGCTTCGAAACGTCAGAATTCGACAGCTGAGTGATTCTAGAATTCCTACTAGATTTCGCGAGCACGCTTGCATTGATCCGATCGTCATTGCGAGCATGAGAAGAGCTTATTACATTCAGCGAGATGAGGACGCGGGGGTCACAAATCTTTTCAAGTATTATTAATCTCGAAGGAAAAATTAACTTCATGCTGTTAAAGAATTTTTGAGAATGATGGTTTCAAGTGCGAAGAAGTGAAAACGAAGATTCCTGGAATGGTTGTACAATGTGCTTCGGGATCAGACTTTTTCCTTTTTTTGACTGACAGAAAGGTAGTTTATTCAATGGGAACTGGACTGTAAGTGAGATTCAGGAAATGATGAATCCAATTTGAAATTTAAGACATGGTGAATTGGGTCGAGGAATAATTGTCGATGAGGCGGAACCAACGGAAGTCAATGTTCCTGATGAGGAGGTTTGGAAAATCGCCGCGGGAACCTGGCACGCTGCAGCTCTTACTAAAAAAGGAGATCTTTATGTTTGGGGCTGGAATAAATATGGTCAATTGGGAACAGATGTACGTTGCTTCGAATCGCTTTTCTATTCGTATTTGAAGGATTTCATTGAGCCGTATCCGTATCCAGTAGATCCGTTCGAGTTGTTCAACATCGAGGAAGACGCAATTACCGACGTCATCGCTGATAGATTCTCGACGAAAATTATCATTGAACGTGACGGAGGCCATCAAATTTTTACATTGGGCTCAAAACCGAGAATGCACGAGAGCGAAATGGTTGAGGAGGATAGGGAATAATCAGTTCATAGTTTATGAATGTGCACAATTTACAAGTTATTAGAGGTAGCTGTACTCATACTCCTCCTTGCAGTTGCTGTGATAGGTGCACCGCTGCTGACTTGCGAGAACGCTTCATTATTCGGTTCGGCGACGCGACTGTTTTCCTCATCAGCCAGTCTCTCTATTTCGGATATCGTTTTCTGTAAAATTTCTTAATTTTAATTGTTTTCAAATGTTGTGAATTACTGGCACATAAATTAGTAATTTATGAAAAAGTTTGAGTTTTTTTTTTGAAAAATCGATAGTTTTTCCGCTTTTTAAATTTTAGAACAGTGAACTAATTTTGCGATTCACAAAAAAACTTATTCGACAATTATTGTCAACGTTCAGCATAAGATTTCAAATAAATACCAGTGTGACCAAATTTATTATTTTTCTCTAGTCGAAATGAATTTAGGTGATCCTTGAGGATAATAAGGAATATCAATTCAACCCAATCCGGCTTTGGCCATCGAAAATATTTTTATGGAATTTCTAGACTTCCTTAATGCTCTTCAAACCCTGTTGATTATAAAACAAAATCTGACCTCGATGTATTTTAACCGTCCTTCAGCTCGATTAACCTCACTCTTTTGCATTATTCCCATACTCATTGCACATATTGCAGTTATCACATTACTCCGATATTGTGCTTCGAGCGACAATCCCTCCCTTGTTAAATTCTTCTGAACAATTTCACATTCGCCAATAAAATCAATAAAAACACGCAAACCAATTCTTTGCGGAAATCATCATCGAGCAATCCGAGTGTTTTCATCAGATTCGTCGCCTCCTTCTCATCATATTTTTGCGTCATTTCAATTGGAAACCGTTGATCAACACGAGCTCCTATATTTACATCTTCGCCGTTAGTTTTAGATTGTTGCTCTAAGGATGTCGACGGCTTCCGAGACGTCACATCTTCTGAAGGTTTTTTCCTCGGCATCTCTTTATTGTTAATTGGGCTCATCGGCCTAAAAAATAAACCGTTTTCTGTATTTCCCTTTTGGTTAGCCTCACAATCAAATTTTTATTTGGATGTCTTCAATTTTTTCTCCAAAATCGGTTAAAAAATCATAATTGTTTAAATTCTCTTCCTCTCAAATTGAGAAAAACATAAAATTCAAATCAAGATTTTAAAATAAGAAAATTACCTTTTATTGTTATTAGAATTCTTTTCGTATCTTTGATTTTGTAAATTTGCCAATTCCCGCTTGTAAGATGACTCGTTTGACTAAATGCAAAAAATGAAAAAAAAAATGAAGAAAAATAGAATTACTTTATTATTTGTAGATGGTGACGAATGCGTAGCATGGCTGTAGTTCCTGTAAAGTTTTCAAATTTTCCTATGAAAGTGAGACTCGAATGTTTCCTATATTGTCATAGAAAAAATAAAATTAACTTCTTTTAAAAAACACAAATATTATACAATTATTTTTGCAACTTCAAGAAATTTAAACCAAAATAATGTCGGCATCGAAAATTAGCAAAGTGTCAAAAAGTTAGGTAAAGGACCCCCATTCCTTTTATAGGCCCATAAATCTACACTCCGAGTTTTGCGTTTCTCTTGCCTACCCCCTGTTCCCATTACTGTAGCTATTGTTCATCATATGATCCGAAGGTGGTGGCGGCGGCGGAACAACAGACGACGATGATGGCGTATGGGAATCGTGAACGGGTGTGTAGCGATGATCACTTATTTGGGAATGATGCTATAATTTTTAATAATTTGATCATTTCAAATTTATCAAGAAATTCATACCGAATACGGAGGAGGCGGCGGAGGAACGCTGTTCGTCGTTCGCGGCGTCACAAGTCCCGGCGGTGGTGGAATCATTGCGGGAAATTGCGAATGCGCTTGGGGTCCGGGTTTTACCGGTGGCGGTGGCGGCGGAAAAATTGATTGAGACGAAGGCGCCGGCGGAAAAAATGGCGGAGCTGGCGCAAATCCTTGATGATGAAATTGCATGGGGAATCCCATCATCGGCGGCGGAATAGGCAAGTAGCCTAATTGATGAGGAGGCATGCACGGCGGAGGAATCGGAGCTGGCGCTGACGAGCCGCCATATTTCGATTTATCCCCAAACATACGCTCCTGTTCCATTTTCGCATCATGCTCCTTCCATTCGGGCGGTTTTTCCCATTGCGAAACCTACGAATATGGATTTATTTAAATAAACATTGTAAGTAATGTAGGAAACGGTTGAACATCCAATCAAAATTGCACACATTCGATAATTTTTAATGAATCCTTGAAAATTTTCTACTTAAATTTCTATTTTTTTCAATGCGTTTAAAAGAAAAAGAATTGATTTTTTTACTGCATTGCAATGGGAATTGTTGCCATTTTATGTGCCGCGCATTCCTAATTCTTGCCAAAAATTGAGTCCGTAAATTTGGCATTTCACACATTAATTCATAATTCAGTCACGAAACTCTGCGAAATTTTCTCAAATCAAAATTTTTCGGAATTTTCATTTACTATATACATATATCATAATTGTTCCTCGTTTCGTTAAAGAAATCATCTCTCTTTAAAATCTATATAATTTTTATTACTTTAACGGAAGAATATTGCGGAAAGATGAAAAGTACATTTTTATGAAAAAATGGGTATAAAACTAATTCAATAATAATACTTTTATTATAAAAATATTACCTCAGTCTGTTTATTGTAATAATAAATTTTTCCAGCCGAACTCTTCTGTTCGGCCCAATTTTCAAACGTCCTCAAGGGTTGATTTGACATTTTCCTGAGCAATTCAAATTCTTTACTTGTAAAACAATATCTCCAAATCAATATTAAAAAGGGAAAATAACCCTAATATCTGACAATGCGATACAAGAAGAAAAAAATTAAATATAAATTTATAATAAAACAAGTGTGCAATAACAAAAATGAAGGGAGCTACTAAACACAGAAAAAAAATACCAAGCAGATTCCAAAATTATGAAGGACGGCAAGAAGCGCAACCGCTTACTTCTTTTTCGCTTGAAGACCAGCGCCAGCGTTGAATTTGAAGAAAATCACGTCGCCGTCTTGCACAATGTAAGTTTTTCCTTGCTGGCGGTATTTTCCAGCAGCTTTAACCTTGGACTCATCTCCAAGTTCCATCAAATCGGCGATCTTCATGACTTCAGCCATGATAAAACCTTTTTCGAAGTCGGTGTGAATTCGTCCAGCAGCTTTAGGAGCTGGAGTTCCGACCTAAACGCAAGTATTAACACAATCATCTCAATAAATCAAACTATAACTGCGTTCTTTAAAAAGGTTACCTGAATAGTCCAAGCTTTGACCTCATCTTCTCCAGCAGTAAAGAAGTATTCAAGTTGAAGCGCCTTGTATCCGGTGCTGACAATCTATAGAGCCACATAGGAAGACGAAATGAGACATTTGATACCTTGTCAAGATTCGAGGTGGTCTCATGTTCCTTCAAATACTTAGCACGCTCATCTTCTGGCATGTCCAGAAGCTTAAGCTCAAAAGCTCCGGAGAACGGAATCAAAACCGCTCCTGAATCATGAGCATCAATCCAAGCCTTGATCTTTGGAAGCCACTTGTTCTTCTGAGAGTTACATAATACAAAATGTTTAATATAAAACTACACCTACCTTTCTAATATAATCCTTTTCAGACAAGTTGACAAGATAGACAATTGGCTTGGCGGTAAGGAACAAATACTTATTAAGAACTTCAATTTCCTTCTCATTCCACGATTCTTGCCGAATCGGTTTCTTCTCATCGAGGCATTTCTTGACCCGAACTAGAGTGTCGTACTCAGTCTATGTTTTCACAACGTAGTATTATTTCCTTTTCAAAGGATTTTATTACCTTCTTGGTCTTATCATTAGCTCTAGTAACCAACTTTTCAACCTTGTCAAGTGGTCCCTCGATGAATTGCAAATCCTTTGCGAACAACTCGTCGCTAATGATTTCCAAATCACGAACTGGGTCGACATCTCCTTCGACGTGGGTCACGTCATCATCGTCGAAAGCGCGGCATAAATGAAACAGAGCGTCGCAAGCGGAGACATGAGAAAGGAAAGCATTTCCTAGCCCTTGTCCTTCAGAAGCTCCTAAAAATGTGGAAAGTTTAGGAATAGATCGTAATTTTAAATAACCTTTCACAAGGCCAGCAATGTCGGTAACATTGAGAAATGCTGGAACCTTGCTAGCCGGTTTGTAATGATTAACAAGCCAGTCAAAGCGAGGATCCGAAACAGCAACCTGAAATATAAGATCTTCGATTTCCACTTTCACCGAATCTCAAAAATTTAAATGATCAGAAAGTAGATCCACCTACCATACTAATTTTCGAAGAAGAAGAATTATGTAAATTATTACAATCGAAAAAACAGCACTCGGTGCCGATTATTTAATTATTTAAGGGGCTCGTTTTTTGCGATGGTAATATAAAAAGCGCGATTTCCACATAAAGCGGAAGTTAGAAATAATAAAAACTTTGTCTAAGTTTAAAAAAAAAAAAGAAAATGTTTGGTAGCGTTGTCTTTTTTCGTCGAATACACTAAACCAAAATGAAAAACTGTATATTAATTGAAAACATTTGTGATTAATCATCATTATTCTCCCCCAAGATTAAATATCTATGTGACAATATTGTATGTAAGGAATAATCAAATTAGGTTCATTTCACATACCCTACTCTCATTGGGGTCAATTGTGCAGAACGGAAAGTTTTCAGCTTGGGCCTCGGACTTGGTTAACACATTGAAAAATGTACTTTTACCAACATTCGGAAGACCCAGAATTCCGACCTAAACGCTCAGTTTTAAATCGAAAACCGGAATAACCAAATCACTTTAAGATTGGTACCGAGGCGGCCAATGAGAGCTGGCTTCTCCTCAACAACCTTCTTTGGTGGCATTTTCCTTTTTACCCTTAAATTAGAATAAATTATTGAAACTAATATGTTTCCTGGAACCCAAAATATATAAACAGGGTGAACAACCCGCTAAAAATTATTTTTTAATTCAAAAGAATACAGTTTATTACTGACAAAATAGGAAAACGAAACAGAACTTAAAAGTGGAAGTATGTGTTTGTGTATGTGTGGAAGATCTCGATCACCCGAGAATTGGTTAAATAAAACAATTATCATATTAAAGAAAAAATAAATAAAACAAAAGTGGGTTGGGAATATAACAAAAATACAAGATATTCGCAACGTTTAGAAACGTGGAGCGCCAAAACCGGGTTGCATTGCACCCATTGACGGACCACCAACTCCCCGAACTGGTCCTCCGAGTCCTCCGACACCTGGTGGCATTGCTGGCATTCCACGACCAGCAGGCTTTGCTTGACCAACACCACCAACTCCGCCAGCCTTTGGAAGTCTGATCGAATCCTCATCTCTTGGTGGTGGTCCATCGACAGTCATTGAGACAATATGTTCACCGCGTACTAACACAAGCCCAAGAATACGCTTTTCTTCGCCGTCAGACTGAAAATTTGAAACTAGAGAATGTTAATTAAAAATATATATTCACCTTCTTTCCTACTTTTGGCTTTATCTGTCTGTGCTCTTCACACTCAGCAAGTAAAAGATTCATGTGTTTGTCAAAAGCTGAAATGAAAAAATAACCGGTAAACTTAATTCAAATACAAACCCTTGAAGAATCCAACAAATGTGCGGCCATCTTGAAGAATTATCTTCATTCTGTGGTTCAAATGAGCCATCATCTTATTGTTTTTACTAATAGTCTAAACATTCAATATAATATATATTATTGCAATATAAATTACCATTTTTGAAGCGTTTGGTGATGACCGTAGTTTCTCCTGAAACATTATTGAATTATAAGTTAAAAAATACGAAATAAATAAGATATTCTCAGAAAATGTTACTATGAATGAATCAATATATACATTTTTGAAAACATTAAAAAAATGACTAGTACTTTGATGAGTAAAGAATTTGTAAAAGCGAGGCAATATAACACGTTCTTTCATTTGATTTTTTTGTAATTAACAAACAATTTTTATGCACTCTAACTATTTATAAAAACGTTCTGCATAAAATTCTAAATAAATAAAAAAGCAGAAAGACAAAAAAAACGTTTTGATTTGGCTTGGCTTACATTAAAACAAATTCGAAAAATGGAGTGCGCGCGACGAGACCCCTCCGCATAAATGCGTGCGCCTTTAACCCGTTTTTCGGCGGATATTTGAAACACACGTTATTTCAACCAATTTTAACGCGACTTTCATTTCATTTTTATTTTTCACTCACAAATCAGCTATTTTTAACGATACATTGATGATACGTAGCCAGGACGGCGAAAATTCTCTTAAGCAAGAATCAAAGCAGTTGGTGACTCTCGATCAAGTAAGGATAGTTCCATGTTTCGTCATATTCGGTTCTTTTTAAGACAGTTCTAGTTTTTGATATTGAACAACCAAAATATGCACAGCAAAAAATAACTGTTAGCAGAATACAGGGCGTAGGGCCTATTTATTGGAGATTTCAGGTTGTTTTTCGAAATTTTCTCTTTAAAAAATGAGAATATCATAATTGAAGACAAATGCTCCGACGTGTTATATAGTTAATCCGAACGAAGGACTAATGCGGGATGATACTCCTATTCAAGTCGTTATAACCCTTTATAAAAATAAGTTTCGCCCTCAACATGAGCTCATACTCCAAGCGGTGCAGATCCCTTTAGGCGCATTTAAGAAAAAGGTTTAACGCATAGGCGAATCCAAAGTATATGATTATTTAGGAATTATGGGATGATATGGATAGCGTTCAGGTTTTAAATCTGGAACTTGGCACTACTGTGATGAATATTGAAAAGGCTTATGAAGTGCAAAAGGTTGAAACATTCGAATCTTTTTAAATAATTCGAGAAAAAAACACTTCAGCTGGGTGCTGAATCGATCGACTTGAACAATTTTCTTGATTCTAGTCGGACTAAAGGAAAAGAAAGGGTTGACGAATTGTTAGGTATTGATTAGTTATATAAAATTGTTGTATGTGGAAAATGGACTACAGATTACATAAAAATGACAATGCACGATATTGAAATAATAAATAACAATGTTGAACAATCTAAGAAATTGAAAAATGTGCTCACTGAACAAATTGAGGAAAAGTATATTCAATTTAGTAATTTTTAATTCTAAAAACAAATTATTTTGAAGGAAGAAACTAGTCATTGAAATGAGAAACAAGGCAACTTCTTTAGAAGAAAACTACATGAGGAAATGTGCAGAGGTTACATTTTTATTTGATTACGGAAATTAATGAGGTTGTGAAGTTGGGGGATTGTTGAAAGAACCAATTTTCAATATCCGCGAGGATACTGATTAAAAGCAACGATTTTGAGTAAATCGTTATCTGATCTAACTTATCAATTTTTAAAATTTAAAAGATTTATTTGATTTAATTTATCTTTCTCTTTAAAATTATTTAAAACGTTACTCGTGAAAGTTTTAAATTTTACCTAAAAGTGTATTATGATATTATTTCTGATTTGTGGTTTTTCGGAATCATCCTTTCACATCCTTATTAACTCCCCCGCGTTTTTCTCCCTCATCCCGAGAAAACGTGCATTCAATTCAGGTCAACCGGCTCCACAATGAGCTCATGAATCAATTGAAAACGTGCGCCCATCAGAAGCAGCAGATGCAGCCGCAGAATTGCTCAATTTCCTAGCTCATATGTCTTCATAAAGGGATTTGTTTCGCGGGTTTTTCGCTCATTTGCAGTAATACCAGGCAGACAGCAACGATGGCGATGTTGTCTGACCTCTCGCACCCTCTCGCACGCTCACACTGTGTCTCGATGCGCGTCGTCGCGAGACCCACCCGCTTCTCTCTCAATGTCATGCGTCTCTTCAACGAAATGCGTGTTTTTCTGTCCATTTTTTTTCTTATATTTGTCGCGATGTTTGACGTGTTTTTGTGTTCCTTTATATTTCACTTGACTCGTTATTCCTCACCTTTTTTGGGAATTTTTAAACATAATTTATTTTAGATGGCGGAAGAGAGCACGCCAAATTCAGAAAATACGGTTGAAAAGAAAGAAGCCAACACCGAGCAAACTTCTGGACAATCGACGAAAGCTGATGAAAATGACGCTGAAAAATGCAACAATACCGTGAGTCAATTTCTTCACGATTTAAATCAAAAGTTATTTGATATTTTACAAAAATACGTGAAGAAATATTTATTTTGAGAAAATTTGTCATGTTTACGAAAATATGTGTTTATCCCTGCGGAATTTTCATGTTGAGCAATGATAAATCTAAAAAATGTTTACTTGAATTTTTCTGACGTAATATTTGATAATATTTTGCGGATTTTCCTATAATCGAGCAAGAAATTTGAATTTATACTTAAAAAATACAACCTGTTTATTGTGGAACGACGGAACGAAATTAAAAATATATATATTGTCTGTTTGCAAGATGTCTCGAAGCAAAGAGATAAGCGCGTGTCTGCGTATTCGGCATTTTAGCGTACGCGAAGTTAGTATTTAGTCCGCGCGTAAATTTTCAATTTCGTGGTTTTTCAGCCACCTATTAGTCATTTGACCCCAAAAATGTATGGTTACAATTTTAGGAATTAGAAAGAAAATCAGAAATTCGATGTTTTTATGAAAAAGTAAAACATTAAAAAAAACTGATTGTCTTGAGCGAAAAACTACTACCGTAACATTGTGCTGGGTCTCGACACGAAAAATATTTCTGCTTATTTCGAATATTTTTGCGGTATTCAAAACGTGTACTGATGCATTTTTTTTAATTAGAAATCATCTTGATTTACTTAAAATTGAATATATATATATATATTTTTTTTTTTGAATAAATGGTTTTGATTTCTCTATCGTGTCAGAATAATTTTCTATGGAAATCTTCTTAAAAATTTGCATTTTTAGTTTTCATTTTGTCTGGTTCTCAATTTCTTCTTTTTTATATTCACATTGCCCGATTTCAGCAATCTGAAAGCAACGGGAATGAAGAAGAAGAAGAAGAAGAGCCAGTTCCAGCCAAAAAAAGGGAAGCGGTTGACAATAGCGAAGCCAGCGGAACGGAGAAAAATGGTATCGTTTTCTGGCTAGTTTTTCTTCTTTTTTTGAATTAAATTTTTTCAGAAGCGAAAACCCAAGAAAGTGGTGAGAAAGCTGAAGAAACGAGCGATCTCGATGACGATCAACAAGTCGAAAATCCAGCTTATATTCCGAAAACTGGAAAATTCTATATGCATGATGACGATCGACGAGGAGAAGAAGACAAAAACAATACAGACACGTAAGAATTGGTGACAATTCTTCTTCAAAATTGGCATTGATTTTATAGAGACGAATTGAAAGAAGGAAAAAAGAAAAGTCGAGCTGATGGCATGTGGAAGCACGATCGTTTCGACGAGAAGAATCAACGACCGAAAACGAAAAAGCAAATTGTCACCAAATATGGCTTCGATATTCGTACCGATGCTGGTGAAGATGGTGACACATCGGAAAGAAAAGAAACAGCGGCTGAGTCGAATGGCGACGATTCGGATGTTCGACGGGAAGTACGGAAAACGAGAGGAGCGCGTGGACGTGGAGGACGGCGTGGTGGAAATCATGCGAACCGGGGTCCGAGACGACCGCTGAAGCAAAGAGAACGAGAGGATACGGTAGATGAATCAGAGGAGAAAGTGGAAGAGAGACCAGCTCAAAAGAGACAAGAACGTCCTGAAAAGCAAGCACCGAAGCCATCAAAACCGAAAGAAAGTGAGTTATTTATTATATAATTATTTATTATGGATATTTGAAAAGTAGAAACAAACTGCCGAAAAACAGATTTTGATCAGTTTTAATCGAACGTTTTTAGACGTTGTAAGTCGTAGCAGCGATGAGTGTGAAGACGAAGAAGATGATGATCAGCTTCGTCGCGGACAACGGCGTTCTGCCCCACGGGGAGTTCGACGCGGATTTGGCAGTGGGTCTCGTCTTCGCGGGCGAATCACAACCGCACCGCGGCGATCGGATTCTGGTCATTACCGCGAACGCGAAAATTCTCAGCGAGCACCACCATCGGTGCGATCACGCGGAGCAAATCGTGGATTCTCGCGTGGGTTTGATCGTGGTCCGACTCGAGGAAACGAGCGCAGATTCTCTGATCGTGGACCGCCATCGAGACGCGATTATAGCTCGCGAAGGAACGAGGATAGCGCAAGGAATGACGATCGATTCCAGAATCACCGAAGAGGGGTGATTCGTGGCGCTGGAGTAGCCTCGAGAGGATCGAATCGACCAATGAACACTCGTAGTGGACCACCGGCCTCTCGTGGAGCTCCGCCAATGAATCGGGGTGGAGGCCAACGGTATGGAGGACCTACGAGAAGAGAGGACACCTCGGAGCATAGTGACAACTTCCAGAAAAGTATATTTCGCTTTTTTTATTGTTTAATATTTCGAGACCAGTAGAATTGGGCGAAATTCTTTACCGAAATAATTTGGTCTATTTTTAGACAGTGATTACAATTCTGGACCACGGGCTCAGCCGCCACCGCCACCTCCACCACAAACCTCAACTGCTCGGGGCCCTACATTTGTACGCGGTGGAATACCTAATCCGCCTCCACCAACGTACGCCAATGGAAGAGGGGGCTACTCGAATGGCGGACCAACACCTTACCATGCTCATGGTCCAACAGTCGCATATCCGCCAAAGAGGTTTGTTGAAGCGCCCGCTCATGTTGACTATGGTGTCTCCTGCAGTTACCCGATGCCCGTTCAACAAATGGCTCCGATTCCGGCGATTGTGCCGGTTGGCGTTGTTCCAACCAACGTACCGCCACCTCAAATGACACGCGGTGCATCATATCAACGAATTCGCCAACCCACTGACGTTGTCTATTATGATCCTGTTCAACAGCAGCTCAATCGAATGCCTCCGCCTTCCCGCGCCAAAAAAGTAATCCCAATAGTTGATCCGAACACATCTAAATAGGTTTTATTTTGCTTGATCAGTAACATTTTTTTTCATATTCATTCAAACAAACTTTTAATTTATAAGAATGGGTGATTCTCGCGTTTTTCTATTGACTTGTTATTTCTTCTCCTTCATTTTCCAGCATTTTTACTTAACCCCAAAAGCCCGTTTTTATTCTGGTCCAACCCCTGTTAAATTATACTCTAAATTATTATTCGATATTTATATTTATACATATTCGACATCGTATTCCCTTTTATTTTATTTTAATTATTCTTATATATGATTACTCCCTAAATTGTTAGGATATAGAAGTACCGGCCCTCCTGCTTACGCACTGTTTTACTTTCTTGTTCATTGTTTTTTTTTTTTGAATAAGTGCTCCAAACCGCATTAAAATATATTATCATTATTAAAATTATATAAGGTTTTTTTTTTCAAAGAATTGCGCATGTTGGGGAGCGTATGTGATGGCTCGCTGGATCGACGCTTGAGCCATTTGCCTGTAAATTTTGCGAATCTTTATGGCAACTTGTCCTCGACGAACCATTTTTGGAGCCGCAGCTTCTTCTGTTGAATTGGATGCATCTTCGATGTAAATATTCTGGTCGTGCAGCTCCATATAGCCATCGATTGTCTGCTCTCCCGCTGAAATATCTCACTACAGCAAAATTTCGTGATAGTCAACTTTGATACATCTTGGTCTGGCACAGAGCTCCCAGACACTGACACGATCGTTCCGCTCAAGGAAGTAGGTGTACATGATCCCTTTGCCGCGAATCTCGGTGTTGCCGCGATCGGCGAATACAAAACACGGATTCGTTTTGACTCCGTTGGTCTTCGCCGATTTGCTCACGTGGATCATACAGGGCACTCCACAAGATTCCATTTTATTCGCAACATTCACACTGTCACCAAATAGGCAATATCTGAGATGAAGAAAATGAATATAATGAGATAATTCAAAGTAAACGAACCTCGGCATTTTGATTCCAACGACTCCGGCGACAACTGGGCCACTATGAACTCCAAGACGAATTTTGATCGGTTTATGAGTGATTGGCGATAGAACAAGCTTCGATTCCATTAGCATTCCTTAATAAACCCAGAATAGTTTTGATTCTCATTGAAAAAAACTACCTATAGAAATATTCAAGACTCTTTCAGCATGATTTTCGCATGTTTCTGGAACACCACCAACAATCATATAAGCATCTCCAATAGTTTCGACTTTGTAGGCTTCATGCTGAAAAAGATAACCTGATTTTAATAGATCTCACTTTGTTTTCTACTCTAAATGAAAAAACAAAGAATTATATTAAACGAATTGATGGGATTGTTCGACTTAAAACACTCACTAATCCGACAAGACGATCAAATCGTAAGTATAAATCGTTGAGCAGTGTGACAACGTCATACGGAGTGCACATCGCACAAATATTGGTAAACGTGACAATATCTGTGAAGAGAAGAGTGCAATCCGCAAATTCCTCTAGAATATTATTTATTAAAATCCTGCAACTCTCAAAAAAATTCTTACTAGCATCCATTGGTTTCCCGCTGCGAAGACTATCGGCCACGGATGCCGGCATGAGTTCGCACAGGAGCTCGTCAGTTTTTTGCTTTTCGATTTCAAGCTCTTGGGCCATTTTTTTGAGTTTCTTCGTCGTCTCTTCAAGCGTTCGACTAAAAATTTTTAGGGATGATGTTTTCGAAAGATAATAAGACATACTTTAGTTCAACTTGACTCATTCTACTCTGATTCAACATGATCACATCGCGAGTACCATCGTGACGTTGCATATCAGACAAATGAAGGTTTCGCTCAATTAATTCTCGAACCTAAATTGAATATTAAAACAGTTTTCGAGTTCTACAATTCATACAGTAGTCACATTTACGGAGCATAGATAGAGGACGTACTTTCCTTCATCTATGAACACCATACTTCCTAAATTCGAATATTTAGAATAATTAGGCATTAAACGAGACCTTTCAAAAGCACTGATTTAGTTTCTTCATGATTCGCGTGAACGATATCACCGAATCCCTGAAAACGAGAGATTTCTTGCTGTTTACATCCGCAAACTTACCTTCAATCGGAAAATAAACAGACTGTTTTTATAGTATCGAATCGATTCATACGAGAACGGCACCTGAACCATGGATGAATCGTTAAACTCGGAAAGCAGCCAAACCTCCGGATAGACTAATTCGAAAATATCGGTGACTCGAGTTTCTTGCATAACGGCATTTGGATACGATTTCTGAATCGGGGGTGACTTTGAGAATGAGAGGAAAATTTTTATGAAAATACCTTGATGAAATCACCGAAATGCTCGAGAAACAAATCTTGATCGAAACATATGTGATAAGGAAATGCGGCGGCAAAATCGGCTGGTGTGATTTCATAGAAACCCTGAATTTTTGGATTTTAAACATCTTGCAACCTCGCAGATGATCTCGAGATTATATTCGTTTTCTACATGTTTTCATATCACATGCTTTTTGCAATTTGTCTGAAAGATCTGCTAGTTTCGCGAGACGGACGACCGCCCACATTTCATCGAAATATTTAATGACAACCGATAAATAATTCTCAAATAATCAGAAATGTTGGCTTGCAAGCACTCGTGTTTGACACGAAATGAATCAAAGCTTACTGTGGTCAGATCGTTTTGAGAGTCCGACTTCGAAGTGATTGACTTTTGAACGACATTCTGGTTTTCGATTTGACTAATTACGAAAACCACATGCTCGGTGACATATGCATCTGAAATAATATGGATTTAAAAAAAAAGGGAATTTTTATTATCGCATACCTAGATGTTCCTGCTTTCGTTCCTGGACTTTCATAACAACTTCGGTGTCGTAAATTCTGCGAGCCACTTCTCTCACAACACCTGAATAGTTGGAATGAAATTAAAATTCAGCGAGACGGACACCTTTAACAATTGGATAAAGTCCGCTTCTCTTTGAGTAATAATGAAGGAGAAGAGTTCCATCTGGCTGGCAATCACATCGAAATGACGGACCTCGCAGTTTGGTCTTGTACACAACATGATCGATGAAGTAGTGAAGCGAATCCAGCGAATCCAAAAACCCTTCTAAATCAGAAGCCATTGCTCGCAAAAGCTCGTCCCATCCAGTTTCCATTGTGAATTGAATAAGGAATCCACCATAAGCTTCCCAAATTTCCTCAATAGGAATTCCTAGAAATTCAATTTCAAGGCCAAAACATCGTATTGCAACTCACCAATTATTGTTGCCATTGAATTTATCAGTCGGAGGGTTTCTTCGTCATTATAATAATGCGCGATTTCGCTTTCTGTCCCTACTTCGAACTTTGCCATATACCTAAAATAGTTTTGATAAATTTATTTTTCGAATCGTAGAACTTACACAATTTTTTCCCAGATATCTTTTCCATACTTTCTGGTAACAAGCTGACGAAAACTTTCGTGAATCCATCCGAACTGTAATCATTTTTTTAAATCATTTTATAGTCATAAAATAGTCATAATATACTGCCTTAAATAAAAATTATTCTTCTCATTTTATTATTTAAAGGCGTAAGAAATGACTTACCATTTTCTTCGATGCCTTCTAATCGCAAAATTGAAGTTAAAGTAGTGGAATGAGGATCGCGTGTCAATAAGATATTCATTCCAGGGAATATCCAGAATTCAATTATTCATGAGTTTCATGTAACTTGGCAGGTTTGAACATTATTGGTTGGAGAGCATTAGTCTTGATGAAAAAATATTTCGAATGAATTAAACAAAGATAATTATGGATCGATTCATGAAATCTAGGTTTTTACAAAAAGAACGAAAAAAATTATATTAAATCTACATTATTATAACCCTTCATTGGAAAAATGAGTAATTTTTTTTGGAGAAACTACGTTTCATGAACAGATCCATTAAAATATTCCGCTCCTCTGTGATACGATAGCGATAGTCGTCTCGGGATTCAACAGCGTCGCACATATTCTGCTTTCATCGTTATTACTGGGTGGATTTAGGCTTCTACTAGAATTTGGTTCGTCCGGAAAACTACAATACTAAAGTACCTAGTGGTATGTTATCTCTGATATTCTCAGATTTAAAATGTGTTCCGTGCATTTGACTAGCATGAAATTACCACTCGGCCTTTCTTGTTGATGAGTATGCCTTGCTTCCAAATCCATGAGTGACCTCGGGGGATCTTCACAACGACAGAATCCTCGATAGCAAAAATCTCTCTAATGTTTCACACCACATGTTTTGCTCCCCATCGAGATTTTCAGCATCCACTATTATGCTTCCTTTGAAATTAAATTTGCTCCCATTTTTCTAGCTGCCAATTTTCTTTTCAACAAATTTTTTAATAGGGGTTCATTAAATTTAATTGAGGGGGTGGGGTGAAGCAACTTTTCCTTCCGTTAAAAAATGTGATAGCCAAATCTTCAATTTTATCTGTTTCTCTTCTTGTTTGGGTGTTTGGGATAATTGTGCGTAGAATGCGAAAACTCTGCAGAGAGATTCAAAGTATGCGTAGACTCTTTTGCAGTATCGAACCAATGACGATTGAGGAAAATTGACAAGATGCTAAAATCAATGACAGCAATCTTGGACAGTAATTTTTCAGACAAATGGAATTTTTGGCAATTTCGGATATTCTTTGGTCTTTAATACCTTGAAGCGAACAGGTATAATGAATAAAATATTACTTAAAAGAAAACATCAAAATAAAATGCATTTGGTTTCGTCTTTCTTTTTTCCGACAATAAATTTTCGGTATAACAATTTCGACAATTCGACAAATAGCCGATCGAAAATTATCTTCGGCAATAGGCAATCCTATGCTGCACCGTCGTGGCGGACACCACGCACCTACTCGCGCAACGTCGATTCAATTTCTGTTGTAGAATTTACCATCGGGGCGACATTTACGCTCCAGCGTAATAGCAATCGGGCATCGCGCCAAACCGAAATAATTAATTTCATTTAAATTTTTATCTAAACATTTTGGATTTCTTGATAACAGGAAAGCGAACCACGATTTTAAACAAATTCATATTTCAGATTAGCTATCGAGTAACTGTATGTTTATATAAGCGATGGACCATTACATGCCTCAGATTTTTTGGCACGATCGAAAGGCTCTTCTCTCAGTGGATGTTCATAAGATCTCGACAAATAATAAGTATAAAATTGTGACGTCCAGTGTCCAAAAAGAAGTAAGTTCGATGTATTATTCATAGAGAATTTCGTAATAAAATGTGCAGGTAAGAATATGGGAATTCGAATTTGAAAACGATCTCAAATTGGCTGTGGCCCCATTATCTGTATCATTCATTGCTAACCTCACCGGACATAACACCGCCATTAATCAAGTCAAATTCAGCCCAAGCACTGAGCGTAATGATCTTTTTTAATATAAGATGAAAGAGAGGTTATCTTTTTTTAGACAATTTACTAGCTTCCGGTGATTGTCATGGTCGTATCACTATTTGGCAGATTAGCGATAGTCCACCACCACCACCACAGGACGAATTACCACCAAACAAGGAAAATTGGGTTCGATTTAAGGTATTTTGGAGTAAAAAATATAAATTTCGAATTTTTAATTGTAGATTTTAAACCATGACAGTGATGTTAGCGCTATCTGCTGGAGCCCTGACGGAACCCAACTCGCCTCGGTTTCTAATGATGATTGTCTTTGTATGCATCAAGCGCTAACTGGTTTGTTCGGTTATTTTCATACGAGCTTTTTTTTTTTAACTTTTCTCAGGTGTTCGACAGTTTGTCATCCGAAATTTCCGTCATTTCCCAAACGGAATTTGTTGGGATCCATTGGGAAAATATATCATCACAATGTCGGCGGACCGTAAAATGGATATTGTCGACGCTGTAAAAGGAACCCGATTAAAGTATTTCTCAACTGCAGAATTGCCTATGAGGCATTTGCGGATGAATGAGGAAATTACTCTCGAGCCAAAAGTACATTTCACTTTTCACCCGCGTTTTTCTGAGACACTCTTATGTTTCAGCTCTACAAGCTGTTTCATGATGATCAATTGTTCAGTTTTCAACGCGGTGTTACGTTTTCTCCGAATGCCGAAGTTGTCGCAGCTCCATGTGAATATTTTCTACTTTCGCATTACCTGAAATAGAAGCTTTCAGGTGCTCATTTGGAGCTCGGTTCTCACGATGTGTTTGGCACGTACATTTTTAAGCGGGAAGATCTAGCAAGGTATCAAATACGATAGAAAATTACGAGAAATACAATAAAATTTAAGGGAGCGACCATCCGCATTTTATCCGTGCGAACGGCCGACGTTCTTGGTTAGATTCTCACCTTTAATCCTTGATTTACTCGAAACGTCTACTAATGTCTTGGGGTGAAGGAATTCTTTCGAGTTAAAGCTAATCAAAATCATTTTCAGTCTACCTTATCGTTTAATTTGGGCTGCATTAACCAAGGATAGCGTATTGTTCTACGACAGTCAACATGAGAGTCCAATTGGAATTGTGAGCAACATGCACTACAATGCGCTTTCCGATGCTTCATGGAGTTCTGACGGGCAGGTTCTCGTTTTGTCTTCGCTTGAAGGATATTGCAGTTTTATCAAATTCAAGGTTGATGCCTGGGGAACTGTGGTAAGCAATTAGAAAACTAAAGTTGCAAATGCTCGCTGTTCAGACGACAAGGCCCATTCCCGTGCCAACATCACCACAATTGATTGAGGATAAGAAACGGAAGAAGAAAGGTTTACTCTTATTCATTTAAAATTTAAAATTAAAAATCTTAAGCGCCTGTTGTCACTTCTGTCGCTGAAGAATTGAGTGCACAGAAAAAGTCGCCAATTCGTCCAGTTGCCACAACCCCTAAAAATAATATTACTCCGCTCACTAAATTCTTCAAATCTGGCAAAGCGAAAGAGTTCGATTTCCAATTCGATAAATGTGTAATTCTATTCTTGCTTTTACAGCACGACACTCGGTAAGGAAGCTGTTAAAGAGGATACTCCGAAGGTGAAGAAACGAGTTCAGCTGATCACCCTTACTGACTGATTTGATATTGTCAGGATTGTATAATTCTTCGTAATTTTCAATTTATTTTTATATAAACAATTTTCATTAAACTAAGCCCTAAAACAGCAATAACAGTAATTTACAAAGGATAAGAGATTTTCTTGGATGGTGCCGGTTTGGTGATGTAGCCAAGGAACGGTTGCTCGCGCAGAATTCTTCTCATCAACATTAGCTGTCCGCCTTTGGTCTTCGCGCGCTTCTCAACGGTGTCGACATTCAGCTTCTCCTGTAGTTTGAATGGAAAATAGCATGGACGAAAACTATTTCGATGCCAAGGGCAATTCCAGCGAATTGATTGAAGAGTGAGCGAAGGTGTTCGAAGAAGCGAATGTAGCATTCCTAAAATATAAAAAGAAATTAAAATCAACGGATTTTCAAGCAACGCGCAATGAAATAAGCTTATATTCAAAAAAAAATTTTTTTCATTTTTATACCCATGTTATCGAAAATGTGTAATATTTTATACCATGAATAGGCCCATAAATTTTTATCGAATTATAAACACTGGTCAAATTAAAATTTATTATTTAGCTGACAATTTCGAGTTTTATTTTCGAGCCTATGTAACAATTATAAACTATAAGTTTTTCTCCAAGTTTTTTTTATAGCGAGAATGAAAAAGTTGAAACGAAAAATAGCAAAACTTAAATTCAGAAAAACTATTTCTTTTGCATTTAAATTTCTATTTTTTATTTTTCTACATTTCTCCTTTAAAACATACATCTAGGTCTTAAAATATTAATTTAAGTGTCTATAAATGCAATAAAAAAGTAAATAACAACAAAATTTCCAAAACATTTTTATACTTTATGAATTTAAAGAACAAAATAAATTGACAAAAATGATTCGAAATTCGAATACTAATTTATATTAAACAAAGAATTGGTTTCCCATAACAATAACATTTATTACAAACTATTTAATTAATCACAATTTTTATAATTTGATGAGAACACGAAAAAATTCTGCAAAACCACTATGATAATGGCAAAATTAAGAAGGAAATAAAAACGGGCCGCGTAAATCTACACGGGCATTAAAGGCGCACGCATTTTTTGCTACGATATCTCGCCACGATTTGTCGTTCTCTGTCTAAATTTTCGTTTATTCTGCCACATATCCTAAAATTTCTTCCTTTTTTTGCTTTTCTGAACGAGTTTTTGGAGATTTTTCAAACATTTTTTTCTTAAAAATAAAAATTAGGCTGTAGGATTTATTTTATTACTTATAATTACGTTTCATTTCGTCGATAGTGCTAATTTACAGATGACAAAACGCCGTGCTTCAAATAAAAAACCGACGGGTTTAAACAAATCTTTGGGTAATTCATTGAGCAACGACAGGGACAAAATTAGGAAAAGCCATCGACGTGCCAAATACGATGGAAACGAAATCGAAAATCCAGCATTCGCCGAGCACGTAATTTTTACCGTTTTTAGGCAAGCTTAGTTCTAATTATAGCAAACATTTAACCGCTCTCTTTATTTATTTTTATTAATTAGATCGTTTAGGAAGAAATGCATTATATCGATTCCGTAACGGACGAAACAAGTTTGGAGGAATTTCTTGCGAAAGCCCAACTGGCTGGAACAGAGTTCACTGCCGAAAAACAGCAGTTTAAGATTATTGAAAGGTTAGTAGTTTCGTCACTAAAAAACTTAATGTTTTATTTTTAAAGGAATTCGGCTGTTATCGTTCCCTTAAGAGTTGATTATCGTAACAACATCGAGCTCCAAAAGCAGAATGAGTATCGTCTGCGGATTCCTCGTCGACCAGCAAAGGAGCTATGGGAAAATATGGAAGAGCTTACGAAACTGGAAAATGAGACGTTTCTTCAATGGAGATCCGAACTGAGTGAGCTGCAAGAGGCAGGATTGATGAAAAAAGTCACTATAACTAGATACCTTTAGGTTGACGGGCTTGTATTAACTCCATTTGAAAGGAATCCAGATATGTGGAGAGAGCTTTGGAGAGTTGTTGAGAAAAGCGATGTTGTTGTACAGGTGAATATACGCATTTATAAATGAATATTTTGATGTTTATCTTCAGATTGTCGACGCTCGCAATCCGCTCCTTTTCAGGAGTAAAGATCTTGACAATTATGTAAAAGAAGTTGATCCTGCGAAACAAATTCTTCTCCTTGTCAATAAAGCAGATTTGCTAAAACCCGAGCAGCTTATAATGTGGAAAGAATACTTCGATAAGGAAAATATCAATGTTATGTTTTGGTGAGCAATAATTGACAAACACAATATTTTAAGGTATTTATAGGTCTGCTTTGGATGATCACCTGGAAAAAGTCGATGAAGAAGATGCTAGTGGAGAAATCGTCCCTTCAACTTCAAAAACGCCACTTTACATTACTAGTCGTGACGAACTTATCGATCGGTTGAAGAAAATTGGCCATGCTTCTGATGAACCTTCGGCAAGGCCGGTAATGGTGGGAATGGTTGGATATCCCAATGTCGGCAAAAGTTCAACGATCAATAAAATTGCCGGAGGAAAGAAAGTATCAGTATCGGCTACACCCGGAAAGACAAGACATTTTCAAACAATTCATATTGATAGTCAAGTAAGGCATTGTGCCATTATTTTTAAGAGAAAATCTTTTCAGCTTTGTTTATGTGATTGTCCTGGATTAGTGATGCCATCTTTTTCGTTTGGAAGAAGTGAAATGTTCTTAAATGGTACACAATTAATCTATTTTCATAGCAAAAATTAATACCTTGACAAATTATTGGCATTATTGCTCATTTTGCGATTTCAATAGTATTTCTACTTATTACTTCGTTTTTTCAGGAATTTTGCCAGTGGATCAGATGCGCGATCATTTTTCACCGACATCGTTATTGTTATCGCGAGTACCTGTCCATGTAATCGAATCGATGTACTCTATCATGCTCCCCGAAATGGAAAATCCATCAGCTGTGAATTTGTTAAATTCTCTGGCGTTCATGCGAGGTTTCATGGCCTCATCGGGGGTACCAGATTGTTCAAGGGCGGCTAGACTCCTATTAAAGGATGTAGTAAACGGACGGATGGTTTGGGCTGCCGCCCCTCCTGGTGTTGATCAAGAAGAATTCGACAAAATTACATATCCGGAGAAAAAGGCAACCGATGTTGGTCGCGTACAGATGGAGAAGCTAGCAAAGCTTCACCTGTTAGAGAGCGACAACCTCAAATCAAAGCAGTTCGATAATCAGTTCTTCTCGGGGGCTGTCGGAGTCGCACATGTTAAGGATTCGAAATCGCTACAGCGAAGACTTTCAACTGCGGTTCCTTCTGGACCAGTTGAATCTAATGGAAAGAAACATTTCAAAGGAAAAAAGGATAAATTAAGAAAGATATATGTAGAATAAACCGTTCCTAATTTTTTTTTGTCGCTATTTTACCTTTTCGGTTTAATTTCCGGTTATATATCTATTTAATTTCTTTTGTTCATATTTATTCGTATGCTCATTTTTTCTGTTTTCAGCAACTATGGGTAAGATTATGAAGCCTGGAAAGGTTGTTCTTGTCCTCCGAGGCAAATACGCTGGACGCAAGGCTGTGGTCATCAAGCCACAAGATGAGGGTGTTTCTGATAGAACTTACCCACATGCCATCATTGCCGGTATCGACAGATACCCGTTGAAGGTTTTGATTGCTTTATTGGTGAATATAATTCCCAATCGCTTCAGGTGACTAAGGACATGGGTAAAAAGAAGATTGACAGACGGAACAAGCTGAAGCCATTCCTCAAGGTGGTTTCTTACACTCATTTGTTGCCGACCCGTTACTCCGTTGATGTCGCCTTCGATAAGGCCAATATCAACAAGGTAATTAGTCAATTAGTTTTTACTATCATTCTCTGAAAATTTTCAGGAGGCCCTCAAGGTCCCACAAAAGAAGAGAAGAGCACTCGGAGAAGTCAAGTCGAAGTTCGAGGAGCGATACAAGACCGGAAAGAACAAGTGGTTCTTCACCAAGCTCCGCTTCTAAATGAATCCGTTGTTTTTGTTTTCTTTTGAATAAATCTTGTTACATAATACGGTTTTGAACTCGCTGTGAATCATTAAGAATTGTGGCTCTTTCAAAATGAAATATCTCTAGTGTTGTTTCCACGAAATAGTGAAAGCGCCGGGGATCGCACAAACAACGAGCGATTCGCGAAATTGTGTAGAAAACGAGAGAGAGGATGACTGCAGGAGACACTTGGCCTGCGTATCTAGGTCTCACTGCGGGCGAGAGTACGATTGGTCGAGGCGCAAAGCGTGTTAGGTGCGGTGCGTGCGCTAGCGTTGCGGTCCATTTTGGTCAAGCGATCCCCGAGCTTTTATATTGAAAAGAACGTTGTGTCCGAATTGTGATGTTTATAACTTGATGCAAGTTTCCAATTTTTGGTAGTTTTTCGCAACTTCATATTCGCTGGCTTCATCTGCGGCCCTGGTGGCACCTTTTTGCCGCCATGGCCTGCTGTTTATCCGAAGAGGCGCGAGAGCAGAAGCGAATAAATCAAGAAATCGAAAAACAGCTTCAACGTGACAAACGTAATGCTCGACGAGAACTCAAACTGTTATTATTAGGCAAGTTTTTCATCTTTTTACAATTTTCGCCTTTCTTATTCGTTTTTTTTGCGCCGAAATCGTGGTTTTATTTGCTCAAAATTGAGCTATTTATCGATTTTTTGCCATTTTTGTTCTATCGTCTTCCATTTCTGCTTCCTTTTATTGCACATTTCGTCTTGTATCTTCAATTTTTCCCGATTTTTCATAATAACGTTACTGTACTACAGTTCCGCTCATCCCGTTTTTATCTATTTGTTTATTTATTCTTCTCGCTATCAAAAACCACACCGTCCCAGATGCGTTTCTCGTTTTCTTCCTGGTTTTGTTATCTTTGTCGCTTTTCACATTTCATTTCATTGAGGGCATTCCACTTACCCCCGTGTTCAGTTCATTCCGTTGAGAAGAGGGGGGTTTTTCGGGGCGAGCCGGTCCCCCGTCGCCGCAAAAGCGCGCTTGCAGTTCATTTTTGGTGTTGATCCCGATTCTGTTGGCTGGGGATGAAAATGGGGGAGGGGGTGAGCTGCGACGACGACGATGAAGAAAGAAAGACGGGTGAAGATGTAGAAACTAGACGGCGACACAACATTTGCCTATAGAAGTGGGTTGCCCTCAGTGTGCCGCTGCTTATCGATTGGAGAGAGAGCGCTGTGTGTATATATGTGTGCCTCTTACAGCGGGTTCGGGGCCCGACGGCAGCAGCGGCGGCGACGACGACAATTTCGCAGACGACAAGAGTTTGATGGGATATAGACGCAGACATGTGCGCATACACACACACTCGCTCATACATACACACAGCTGCTGCTTCTTCTTTTTCTTCATCTCGTCCTCTTGGCTGGGTCTCGTCGTCGTCTTCCTTCTCCTCGTACTCCACCACCTTCTCCTTCTTATTCTGAGGGCTAATGCTGGCGACGAAGCTTTCGAGTGTGGCGGGATGACACTGACGCGTAAGACAAACGCAAATAGTGCAAGCACTGAAGAGAGGCGAAAACGCAACCTAATCAGCGCGGCCAGCCGAAGAAGCAGCAGCAGCAGCCCGGATGGCCAAGCCCCTCTCCAAGCAAGCGAGTAGGAAAACGGAGGGGGTGCCTCGACGGCGGCTAGATGAATTCACATACAAATGACTAATGGACATGAGTTGTATGCAGTGCAAATTGATTTCCAACCCCAAAATTCGTTGGAAGGCCGCGTGTGTGTATGTGTTGTGTGTGTGTGTGTGTGCTCGCGCGCTCTCCATCTCCTGCGGACGGCAAAGAGCTTTTTGAGATGGAATAGTCAGCCGAGATTGAGGTGGAAAATCTTGGGTTTGAAGAGCTAATAAAAGAAAATGGGGTAATTAATGAAAGTTTCATCAATCACCGGGCGGATGGCGGAATTGGCACCGACGCGCCTCGCCACTCTATTTGGTTTTGGAGCGATGCGCGGACGCGACACATATGAGAAATTACGTTGAAGATCTGGAAACTAGGCCAGAAATTTGTGCTAAATTGAAATATAACTGGGAACGGACAGAACTTGAACAAGAAATGATATGTTGAGAGTTTCTAAATATTAATCTTTTTTTTCGAAACCCTTGGAAAATGCCCTTAGCTGTATCATAAGTGCTCTAATTTGTACTGTGTGAAATGATGAATTAATCAACCTGATTTCTCTTGTTAATTGGTTTGAAACTAATCCTTTCTTTTATCGTACTGTCTTTTTTGTTACGTAGTCTGTTTTGTCGATACATTTTCTGTACATATATTTCCTTAATTAAAATCCTAATCGTAGACGATTTGTAAAATACGTTTCTGACTACACTTATGGGTTAAGATTTTCGAATTGTATACAAAAATTTGATATTATTAAAATCGTGTTCGTTCAAATCATGAGTCTTTTTTTTTTCCTTTTTTAAAAATATTATTTTTAAACTGCAATGCCGTCTTAATGAGCCAACTAAACCCGTACAGATATTTTCTATAAAAAAATATCAATAAGAAAATGACTTCAGATGGAAATTGGTTGATTACCACCTTCATTCGATCTATTGATATTCATCATTAATTTTCTTTTCCTCTATCTGTTGTATATTATTTTCACTTTTTTGCAACATAGAAATGACTGAATTCCTTATCCATTTATTTAGTTTACCAATCCACTTCCTCTCCAAGTATTTTTTTCACGAAATCGGCTAATTTCGAGATATCTCGATTCACACATCCAAAAATGGCAAAAATCGATAAAGAAACGAGCGAAGCGGATTTAACAAAAAAAAATAATGGCGAAAATGATATTGATAGTAAAAAGAAAAGAATTCTAATTGATGTTTGTTTTTAGGGACGGGAGAATCCGGAAAATCGACATTCATCAAACAGATGCGAATTATCCACGGTCAAGGATACTCTGATGAAGATAAACGAGCGCACATTCGACTCGTGTATCAGAACGTGTTCATGGCGATACAGGTACGAAAATAAGCTTGATCCTGATGAATAAAACCAATTTTTGCATTTTTAGTCGATGATACGGGCGATGGATACGCTAGGCATACAGTTTGGCGATCAATCAGAAGAATTACAGGTATGATTTTTATCTTGGTAATTCTATTTTTTATTATTCACTTTTAGGAAAAAGCAGCTGTGGTTCGAGCGGTGGATTTTGAATCGGTGACCTCATTCGAAGAACCCTACGTGTCTTATATAAAAGAGCTGTGGGAAGATTCTGGAATTCAAGAATGTTACGACAGGCGGAGAGAATACCAACTCACCGACTCTGCCAAATAGTAAGATGATTTTTCGGTTGTTCTAAACGTGTTTAATTTTTTCAGCTACCTTTCCGATCTTCGGAGGTTAGCCGTGCCGGACTACCTGCCCACCGAACAAGATATCCTCCGTGTTCGTGTCCCGACTACTGGTATTATTGAGTATCCTTTTGATCTTGAGCAGATCATCTTCAGGTTTGTCTTGTATGTCGTTTCATTAAAAAAAAGTTGTTTTTAGAATGGTGGACGTTGGTGGACAAAGGTCAGAAAGGCGGAAGGTAATTGATTTTTATTTAATTTATTACACTGTTTCACTATTTTCAGTGGATTCATTGCTTCGAAAACGTCACATCGATTATGTTTCTTGTCGCACTATCCGAATACGATCAGGTGTTGGTGGAATGCGACAACGAGGTAATTTTTTTTGTCCCATCGAAATAATAAATCGGCGATCCGTGCGGGAGAAATTCTGGTGTTTATTGGAGCTTTTTTGCGTCTACTCAAAAAATAACTCCCCTGTTTCACCCAAACACCGATGTATATGTGTGGAATGTCGTAGTGGCCCTCGTCAAAAACTAACAAATCAGTTAACATGCATAAAAATATGATGGCCTAAAAGCGATTGAAAATATATCCAAATTCTCTTTCTATTTTGTACGAAATAACGTGAGATTGTATTGACTCAATATTCTTGAAACATCATGATATATATATCTTTCACAAAAGGTTAATAGTATTTTAGATGCATTTTCTGAGGTATCAAAAAAATTGTAGAACGAAACTGTTATTTGGTTAGCTTAAATTGTAAATTTCACTAAAAATTTGTCCGTTCAGTTTGCGGACCGATAAGTAGCTCAAAATGACGTAGCCTGAAAATCCATAATCCAATTAAAAATGCATTGCAGAGTGCCTTACTCTATAGATTTACTCAATTAACTTTATTCTTGTATTTGTATTATCGGCGTCGCGCGAGAAACCACGACAGTGGTCTTGCCGGAAAATTAAGTGTGGATTTGTAGGCCTTTATATAGGAATAGGTTGTATGTACATCGCGTAGTGAGACCTCTCCTTAAATTTTTTTAGCTAATTTTTCGCAGTCACACGACCTCGAATATGAATGCCAAACTAAAAACTTACTTGTAATTGGCTGTGACAGATTAATCGCATCAGCACATTCCATTTATTTCTTGATACCTTGTACTGACTCTCGTCCACCAGCCTAAAACAAGAGATCATTTTGTTTCTTCAAATTTTTTAAAGTTTGGTGTTTCGACGATTTTTGTAGTTTGTGAAATAAAAAAATGGTTTTATCAACAAATAAAATTGTGTATTTATGTATACGTATATTATTTGCAAAATTTCCTCCATTCTTGCATTTCCTTCTCATTTATTTTTTGTTAATAATTCGGGAGATACAGAGTTTATTCTTTTCTTCTCGAAGTTTGAGTTTCTTCCTCGATAGTCCAGAGAAACTCCAACGTTTTTTCCAAACGCGAGAAACACCTCAGTTTTTTTTACGAATGAATTTTCGAGTTACCCAAAAGTGTTCTTTGATGACATCCTTGTCGCCTCGAGGCATTCCACCGATCGCGTACAAATTGAGACACTTTTGTTTTTTGTAGCCAGCATCTTGTCTAATGTTCTATAACATATTTACGGTTTTTCCCCATCAATTCATCGAAAAGATTGGAAGCTCTAGAGAAATGTTAACCACATTTCGAACTATGCCTTAAACAATTCTGTAGTCGGAAATAAGATTGATTATCTTGACTGCTCAACCCGACAATTTTCTTACTGAAAATTTATGGCAATTCCCTTTAATTTTTTGGAAAATGTAATTTCGAAAAGTGTCCAACTGTTTTTCAATTTTAAAATGGTCCTACTGAACCCAACGGTCATTTTTCTTTTTTTATTTTCTTCCGTGTTGTGAGCACAAGAGAGAAAATCAATACATTTGTAATCTGAAGAAGAGCACTCCCGAGCGGCGAACATAATTCAAATCGTATGGAAGAACCCCCTAATTTTTGCACTCTTCGCAATATTTTAGCTGCAAGACGACGATTTATTAGGCGGAATTTCGAGAAAAAAAATATTTTTTTTAATGACGAAGCGATTTTTTGCAGAATCGAATGGAAGAATCAAAAGCGCTGTTCCGAACGATCATCACATATCCATGGTTCACGAATTCGTCGGTGATCCTGTTCTTGAACAAGAAAGATCTGTTAGAAGAGAAAATTCTGTACTCACATCTCACCGATTACTTTCCTGAATATGATGGTATAGATTATTTTTTAAATTTGATGTTTCGAAATTTGATTCGTTTCAGGACCACCTCGAGATCCCATCGCCGCTAGAGAATTTATTCTAAAGATGTTTGTTGATTTGAACCCCGATGCCGATAAAATCATTTATTCACATTTCACATGCGCTACAGGTGAGTTCATGGTTTTTTTCCGATTTAATTTGAAACATATGGCCATAAAATGGGTAATTTAAGTTTTTATGGTTTCGAAAACAAGTATAAATGAACTTTTGGCTAATGAAATTTGGGCCCGAAAAATCGACCATAGTTCGCAATACTAATAAAACGTGAATATGCGAATTAAAAATTCTATTGATGAAATGAGTTCGGTATGAGTTTTTGGAGAAATTTTGATGTGTCATTTATATTGCATATATGTCGAATTAACGGAGTAGAGATCCTCAAAACGGAATTTTTGACAAGAAACTTTGTATGATTTTTCTGCTAGGAACTATCGGCAGAATGGTAATTCAAATCATATATATATATATTTTTGCAGATACGGAAAACATTCGGTTCGTATTCGCGGCGGTCAAAGACACGATTCTACAGCATAATCTGAAAGAGTACAACCTGGTGTGAAGACGTTGTTCGAAATCACCGACAAGAAATAAAACCTACCAACCACCCATACACTGAATCTCTTCCCCTCCCCTTCTCCCACTCACACTTATTCACAAACTCACCACAAAATTGATGCAACAACAACAAGAATTTTTTGTCAAAAAAAAATCGAGACGAGCCCGTTTTTCTCTCTCACTGGGTCGAGTGAGACTTACCCTAGGAATCATTTGCTTGCTCTCTTCTTTCCGTTATTATTTTTTATTTTATTATTATTTTATTATTTTTTATTGATTTTTTAAATGTTGATCACATCAACACTGAGGAATTATTTTTTATTTAATTATCCCCCAAAAATCCCACATCCCTAAAAGTGCTTAATATTGACGTTCTTGTTTTTTTTTTCTTCTCCGTTTCGCCCTTCTTTTCACACCCAATCAATCACTAATACTCGAATTAATTGCCCGCAACACCCCCTCCCCTCCCGTTTCTTTCTTTCTTCCTTCTTTTTTCGCATCAACTTCGTATAGAATTGATTATTTATAATGTATATTAGTATTATATATATACATATTTTAATATATCTATATATGTAATATTGTCGTCGGAAAGTACAGGATGATTAGGATATGAGTCGAAAGAGGCCGCGATAATGATGAATGAGACGAATTAAATGCAAAACGATGATGAGGGTTTTGTTCTTTTTTGAATTTACGAGATTTTTTCAACATTTGAAACATTTTCGTATCCAAAGTCCTGTATTCGTTGATATTTTGGTATAATTGAGCCTCGTATTATATATCAAACGCGCGCGCGATTTCTATTATATTATTATTATAATTATTATTAGTTTTAAATTGCCCAACCACCATCACCACCACTCATCCTGTTTTGATATATTCATTCTCTCACACCGTTTTCTCTCTCCCTCTCTTTCGTTCAAAAAAGTTTCACCGTTCATTTTCCTTCTGCAGTTTTTCTCATATTTATTAACACAATTTGACCCCTTTCTTCATCTTCCCCCCCCCCTTCGCATCACTCTCACTCTTATTTTATGTAAATGTTTTGTGAAAAGATTGGTTAATGTTTTGTTTGTTCGCAAAATAAAGAGTCAAAAGCTATTTGCATTGAAAGGTGTGTTGCAATTAAAAAAAAATGAATTTGAATACACGGAGACAATTGTGAAAGAAAATGATGCTGATTGTCTTTGAATATGATAGTTGTCGAATTCCAAACAAGGGCATTTCATAGAGAGGTGATCGAGGCTATTCTAAAAAACAAATTTCATAATATTTTGAGTTCCCCTCCTTAGATCCAAGAGGTGGATATACAGGGTGGCCCAAAATTATGGAAACACATTCAAAGTGATGTAACTTTTTAAAAAATGATCGAATCAACTTGAAAATTCACAAATAGTTTATTGAATCAATTATAAACAAAAATACATCAACATTACTCTATTCGATTTTCTTTGTTCTTCATTACTTCCTTGAGTTTCTTCGGGAATGCCTCGACTGTGGCACGGAGGTATTCTGGAGATAGTTTGGCCCATTCCTCAACCAAACATTTCTTCAATGACTCCAAATTGGTATAGGGATGTGCCTGGACCTTTGACTGATGTACTTCCCAAACATAGTAGTCGGGTGGGCTCAAATCCGGCGACGACGCTGATCATTCTGAACAAGAAATAAACCGGCAAAATTTGCGGCACACTGGGATTTTACGACTTTTGCTTTGTGAGTCGGTGCAGAGTCCTGTCGGAATGTCCAAACCTGGTTTCCAAAGTGTGTTTGGGTCCGTGGAAGCACGTGTTTCTTAGAATTTCTTCAAAGTAGTATTCCCGGTTGATTTTGACTCCGGGATCCACAAAAACAGGCGAAATCTTCTCATCAGACGTGATCGCCCCAAAAATCATGACTGTTCTTTTCAGATAAAACGGCCGTTTTTTGAACACGATACGGGGTCAGTCCAAGCTTCTTTTTCAGCATGCGCTCCATCGAAGATTTGCTCATACTGAGGTCCCAGCTCATCTTTCTCATGCTCCGGTGCGGATTTCGACGAATTCGTTCTCTGGCGACGTTGATCCTCTCCGGAGTGATAGAACTGCGAGGTTTTCCGCTTCTCGGACGGTTTTCATGTGTGTTAAGCTCCTTGTATCGTTTTACGGTTTTACAAACTGTTGATCGAGCGATTCCGAGAGCTTTTGCAATGCAACTGTCGCTCTTTCCTCACGTCGCCATTCGATAACGGTACCTCGGTGTTTTGAATTGGCTACCATTTCAGCAAAAATGAAGCTAGGAACTAGAAAATTTGGGAAAAGGGTAATTAAAACATGCTGAAAAATAATATAATAAAATTGGTGCGCGAAAAATGCGCCAGCATCTGCCAGAAGGCTTCAAACTTGTGTTTCCATAATTTTGGGCCACCCTGTAATATTAACGCGGTCTGCCTGGGACGACTTATTCCGAGCCAGAACTCGCGATTATGTATAATGAAATGAACTGTTTATAAATACGTAGTCTAATAAATGGTAGATGAATCCGGTCAGTGTGAGATTCTGTCCATTGGTGCGCAATTATGGGTAGGGCGAAACATGATCCGAGTCTGTCTAGTCGCTACGTTGATCCTATTTAATTCGAGCCGATCCGGCAGCAATCGGCCCAACAAAAAACGTTGGAATGCTCAATCTAACATAATCTTTATAATTTTTGACAGTTCGTTTTATCTTTTATGAGAGAATTCATAGATTAAAATCGAATAAAAATGAATGGTAATATCCTGATTCCATTTGCCCTGTTTGCTCAGATCAATGATTCGTCAAATAAAATTAGATGGTTCCATATTTTACAGAGTATTTACAAGAAGATTATGAAACGAATAGCCGAGCAGAATGAAAAAGTTTCAATATTTCACAAATTTATAGACCATTTCGTCCAAAGCTTTTTTTCAATCATTTTTAACTTAAGTTTTTTTTTTAATTCTTGAATTTTATTGATTTTTTGAAAATCGATTGGTGCGCAAATTAATCGTTGAAACATAGGATCCCGATAATTACCTTTGGTAAAGGATCTCTTAGAAAATTTTCCAGAACGATGAGGGTACGAAAATTGGTAGTGAAAATATGGTAGTGAAGAATCAATATTTTCATTAGTGAAATTTTGATAACGAATAATCATTGGGGTAGGAATCGTTTATTGCGATTACTTATATTTGAAATCTTCTTTTTATACCCTGTCACAATTCTGGGCTCCGACGAGCAAATGCAGCAGTTTGCTAGGCGCGAATTTAAAAATTTGACATAAAAATAATTGATATGCGAATTCAGCAAAATTAAAAAAAAAGAGGAATCCAACAGAAATCAAGATTTTCCTTGTGAGACCACTATTAGCCATATTGTCTTTCAAAAACTACAGTACCCCACTTACCGCTTTTCAGGCCATTTCCGAGCATATGAAAACACCACGAAAATGTATGATTTTTAGTAATTTAACGAATCCTAGATTGCTAGTGACTTTAGATGTTTGTCTCGAATCCCGAATTTGTCATTTAATAGCAAAAAGAAAAATTAAAAGTGTCAAAAACAAATTTTTCTAAATTGGATTTGAAATTACTCTTTAAATTTGATTCAGAAGTCCACCTCCACAATGGCTCAATTGATGCTCGTATTCTCAATCAATTGCTCATTCTCAAAGATTAAAACGAGATTAAAATTGATATTTTTTTAAATCTAGGTTTTCTCACAATGGAAAAAAATTTCCAATCGGATTCGAGAAATTACTAATCGGATCTGAAATAATACAAAAATCGAAGAAAAAAAATCCGAATTATCTAAACAAATCTGATCAGAACAATTTCCAATCAGATCCAAACATTTACTATTCGGATCCAAGAAATTATCAATCGGATCGGGTTGATTCCGGAGCCGAATTTTGTCGGATCCGGTTGGTTTTGAGTTAAAAGAGCAAAAAACTCGTATCTGGTAACTCAATACCAATCGGATCCGAATTGGAAAATTTTACCAATCGGATCCGAGAAATTACCAATCGGATCTGAAATAATACAAACATCGAATCGGATCCGAGGAATTTCGTATCGGATCCGAATTATCTAAACAAATCTGATCATTTGTAATTTTTCGGATCCGATTGGTATTGAGTTACCAGAGGTTAGTCTGATGCCTTATCAATTATCCTTATTTTAAAAGGAAAAAAGCTAACTCATTTTTAATTAATCTAAATTTCAAATGGACGCAAAAGAAAATCGGAAGGTTTCTCGGAAACAGTCAAGAAAGTTTCAAGAAGACTCCTGGTAGCAGTCGCGGGTCTCACCACTTTTGGATAATTCTCTCGCGAGAGAATTTACTGACCACCCGTGCATACGTTTTCTACATATTTTTCAATTACTAATGAGAAACTTGAATTTCATATTTCTTGTGCGGCTTGCAAGTTCGAGATGTGCAATTTGGTCTGAATGCAGTTTGGTGGTCTCGTAATCAAAATACAAACTTGTATATGTTGGAGACGTGACACATCACGCGAGATGAAATCTTATCAAGATAGGAGCGATATAAAACCATGGAGAGCAACACAGTCAAAGTGCTCTTAGCAGAACAGATGAGGCTGAACTTGGATTTCGTTCAAGAGATCACTATACTGATCACAATACAAGGACATTCTGTGACTAGATGGACCGACAGACGACTGCACCCAAACCAGGATTATCCTTTCAAAGCTCGATGTCTCCGCTTTATATGCCAAGGAAACCATCGGATCTGAAGCTCGTTGAGACTACCATCCGACTCAAGACTCTTTGGACACTGGAATTCAGTCTTCCGACTCAGATTCTAATTCCTGGAATCACAATTCACTGGTTCGGATCTTGTTCAACACACTGGCCAAATCAAGAGGAAGACTGGGCAAGCAGGACACCAGAGCAAACTCAGATTCTCATCTGGATCATGAGTCTCAACGGATCGGGTGTTTTGGACGTTTGCACTAGGGTTTTGCAACAAGTCGAGTCAAAGCAGAGCATCACATTGGACGAATTGCAAGCGGATGAAATGCGCATCCGAAGTTGACCCCAGCGTTTTCTTCTCGATTTGGCTGTTATTTCGTTGAACACCGTCCGACTAACATGATAAACGGCTTTCGGTTCCATCCGGCATATTTAAAAAAAATCTGTAGATCTACGAAATTTCGCGCATGATAACTGCGCGTAAGCTAAAATGCCGAGTACGCAAACACGCGCTTCTCATTGAGACACCTGCCATATGGCCACTACTTTTCGAGGTTTTCGATCAGTCGTTTAAAGCCGACAATATTTACGAGCCTCTCTCCATGGCGAATTAACATAAAATTTTTAAATTAGAAAAGGTTTTTTTCGATTTTTTAAATAGATTCCTTGATTTTTTTTTGACATTTAAAGGGGTACTCTCTCCCTTTAAATTCAAAATAGAATTACCACCTCTATGGTCACAATTATTCAAGGCGCTCATTATTTGCAGCAGTAATTATTGTAATCACTCTCGAGGGTTCTTTTAAGGGCCGAAATTCTAAATTCAAAAAATATATAAAAGCAAGCAAGATTAACTCAATTTGTAGAATTGTAGAACTCTCTCTCTCTCTCTCGCTTAAGCCACAAATTGAGATTCTGTCAGTATATTTGCAACTGATCCTCTTTCATTATTTTTCTCGGAGTTGTTGTTGTTGATCAATGATTTTCGAAAGATCTCACTTTAAAATAGGACGAAACACGATATTATCAAGATTTTTTAGTATGCAGGACAGTCTAGGCCGAATAAATTATTTTGATAGTAAAAGAATTTCCCTGAAATGAAGAGTTTGGATATGAGAAGGATTTATAATTTGATTATTCGTTTTGAAAATCGCCAATTCGATTTGGATGTGATCGCATTCGAAGAATTCCCATTTCACAATCAGATTCGAAATTAACACGACGATTTTCGAATTTTTTTTTTCGAAGTGGTAATTCAAATTCGAATTTAAGCAGTAGAAATTCGGATACCGTACTCTGGATAACCTGCGAATCAAATACACTCGGCGCAGGATACTCGTTTTTTGCGAATGTAATCAAATAGAAATAGAATACGGCAAATTTCGAATCGAAACCCGTCAACTTCGAAGCGAAAAGTTGCCGTATTCGATTTGAAAACGAACTACCAGGGTCGTCCGAACTATAAGATCTTCAAGTGAAAAATTCTGGTAACCGTTTATTTGTTGAAACACCCATATTGTTGATTTCAATCGACCGGGAAATTGAGAGAAGTGAAGATAAACGGAACCGGAATTTCGTGAAAACCTGAAAACAACTCTGCTCCGATTTATGGTGAGTTTGAACCTCAGGTTATCCATAGAGCGGTATCCGAATTACAAAACGGTTTAAATTGAAATTCGAAATACCGCCCCGAAAAAATACGGTGGTCCACAAATGCTCAATGTGATCCTTTTTTACGACGGTAATACTTACCCGGAGGACCAAAAAATGAATGTTGGCCTGATCAGGATGGTCCCGCCCGGCCACCATATATAAGGCAGAAATACTCCGATGTTTTTTCTCCACAAATTGCCGAGCACTTACTTACCTGAGAATCGATCGTCAAACATCGCGTGTGCTGTGGACGAATTCCTTACAATCTCATTTATAATCTCTTTAAAAGGACCATCTTTTCTTCTGGTTCTCTTTTCTTCTGGTTCTCTTTTCTTCTTGTCGTGTACCACTCAGTTATTCTTTTTGTTCTTCGTTGGTTTTCCATACCAGCGACGTGTCCGGAGTTGAGGTTTCTGATATGAATCGAAAATGATATGTTAAAGATGTCGTATTGAATCCCCTCAGCTGAGTTAATGAGGTTGAGTGCTTGTCGGAGTTTCGTACAGCTGCTCTTCAGAGTCGCCCAGGTTTCTGCGGTTTCCTTCAATGCGGTCCAACAGCTTTGAGCAAATTCGAAAAGTTGGACGCATCTTTTACTACTTGAAAAAAATATATTCACGTTAGGCTAACGAACAGAAATTAGGGTTATCAACCTATGCCACGTTTATTATATATGTATTTTTTTTTAAATAAAAAAAACATTTTCCAGGAATATCCGCTATGGTTATTTGCTAGCTCTATAAAACTATTTAATATAACGGAATATTGATAACTAAGTCTATTTAAGTTTAGTTCGAATTTAAAAGATGGTAACTTTGCTGGAAGACCATTTTTCGTTATATTTTAACTTTACTTAATAATATAGATGATTCGTTTTTTAAATCAATTTTCGATTTAATTTTCCGCCCTACCGAAGAAAATTCTGCAAACATCCAGCGCACTCAGTGAACTTTTAGGCAAGCGTGAAATTCAATTTTTCATTGTCACCACCTTAGGCGCCATGGATGTTTCCAAGCTTTCCGACGTTGAACTTAGAGAGGTTTTCGATTTTTTAACTTTATTTTAACTTTTAATTTGTTTAGGCTCTCGTTTCCAATGGAATAAACCCGGGCCCGATCGGCCCAACGACTCGATTAGTCTATGAGAAGAAACTCTCCAAAGTCCTCAACGGTTTGCTATCTTTTTGCTTTATTTCATCTATAAATTGTTTTAGATGACGATCATAACGTCTCTCAAACTATTGAACTGAACATTTCGAAGGTATACGCGTTGTATATAAAAATCGATAATATCGGTAATTGAGGTTATCGAGCAGCCCGTCACTCGATCGCCAGTCCCGCAAGTTGAGATCGCCCAACCGATTCAACCGGAAGCTGGTGATCTCAGCAGAACTGCAATTATTGACGAGAAGGTTTTGAATATATTTTTAGTTTGAATCATCCTTTTGATTTTCAGGAGTTGGATAAGGACGAGTCCGATGAGGAGGATTATGAGGGTGAAGAATCGATGCGATACTTGACTGAGGAGGAGATTCAGGCAGAAAGAAAAGCTAGGAAGCAAAATAAGAAAAGCAACACTGTCAAGAATATTGTAAGAAATTTTCCCTAAATTATGAAAAAAAAATAATTTGGAAGTGACTCAGCAAGTCGTGTCGTAGAATCTGCGGACAAACACGAGGTTTGGTGAAATGGGGGAAAAAAATGTTACCGTGTTTCAAAATCACGCCCTCTTTCAAATACGATTTAAGCGGAGATTCTCCTGCGTTTCACCCAAACCTTTTCTACAGAACGATTTGCCGCGGAGCAATTTTTAAATAACTGAAGACACATTTCGAAATAATTCAAGCGTATTAATAATTTAATTAAACCGTCTAAAACCAATCAAAGCTCTCTTTTGAATCGTACACTAATAAATATGTCTCGTCGATTATTTTTCAGGGTATCTTCGCAATCGCGTTCGGCGCCATCGCCGTTTTTGCGTATTTTCTCCTGGAGAACACCGAAATGCTTTTGGCTTCGATGAAAGCCAACGAGGATGATCAGCTTTAAGCGAACCTTGTGGGCTTCGACTTGTTTTATCAACTGCATTGTTGAATATTTATTTCAGTACTATTATATTTATTTTGACTGACATTATTCCGATTTCTTTTCTCTATAACATTTCATAATTTTTGATCATCAAACAAATCCCGAATCTCGTATATGAAACACTTTTCAATTAACATGTTCGTTGATTATTTTCGGATGAAGTAAAATCATTTCGCGCTTCACACTTGTTGCAATTAATGGGTTTTTTCCAAAGTGGGCGGGTCGGGTCGTTGAGAATGACGACATTTTCCGGCGGTATAAAAGTTGCGGCGACATGGCAATCCTCACTTCATTTTCGCGCACGTCGAAATGCTCAGCTGCGTCCTTCTGATGTTCCTCGTGCTTTCATCAGGTTTCTAAAGCTTTTCAATTTTATTCAGTTTCATTTTTTATTTACAGTAATTGCAACGCAATCGAGCACCTTTGATCGCCAAGATCGCGACTACAGGCCGCTTCAGGTAATTTTTGCTGGAACACATATTCTGCAAAGATTGTGCAAAAATATAATTAAAACATTTGGTTACAGAATTGACTGAAATTGAAAATAGCTTTGTTAATCCTTTTCCTCTTCTCAATTTTCTCAAAAACACTTCCTCCAACAATTAGAAAAAAAAAACCGAAATGAGAGAGTTGCAATGGAGCTCCCCTAGGAGGAAACATTTAAATTTAAATTCCAATTTTACGTATATCTCCGAAATTAGTTTATTCTATAAAACTAGGAAGTAAATTCCAATTTTTTAGGAATTTAAAGTTTTCAAAAATTCGAAGAAGCTTTTCAGCGGTTCCACGTCTCGTTTCGGACCACTGGAAGTGCAAAAACCGCTAGTTACCCACTTTTGTCTAAAAGTGGTGCGTCAGCTCTTAATTTTTCAAATCAAAATTTGGATTCATAAAGAAAAATCGAAAATTTCCTAAATTGCCTACAAATTTCCAGAAACATGATATATTTAGTTAAAATATGTCCCAATCAGTCACACTACTTAATGGAACTTCTAGGAATTTCAAATTCATTGGAGGATCTCTTGAATCTTTATTTCATCGAGTTCTTTATTTTTCAGCACCTAAAAATACTTTTGCTTTTTCCAAGAACCCATACCCAATTGCTTGTAGTTTTGTTTTATGAGCTTCTTGTGTCGTTGCAAGACCAAGTTCAGCTAATGTCCGCGCGAAAACACATCATTTCGCCACCAATTCGAGGGGTGTCTCAGGCGGTCCATAAACGCTTCAAAATGGCTGCCATGGAGTCGTAAAAACAATTTTCGGGAAGCTTTTTTCTCCGCCGCAACCACAACCAATTAATTGATATTCTCACTATTCTTTTTTGCAGTTTGGCAAACGCGACGGCTATCATCCACTTCAATTCGGCAAACGCGAATACCGCCCATTGCAGTTTGGAAAACGCAGCGGAATGGTGTACGAGCCGGTATGGGAGATGCACAAATAAGGAGCGCATTCTAATTGAGACACACATGTAATATTCGATCATTTTCATATTTACCATACGATTTGATTGTCGCCTTGTCGTCTGATCGTTGCAATTCTCTCCCTTTCTCCCCCACCCTCTTCCTCTCTCTCTCATTCTCTCCCTTCCACTCCCTGTCAACCAACCATGTTTGATGTCGTTCTCAAAATGATAAAATAATAAATATTTTGTTTGTTTCGGTCTATATGAAATTGTTAGTTATAGTTGCACATTGAGTGCACGACGACGATATTTATATTCTTTCGTTTACTTATCAATCTAGCTCATCAATAACTGACGTGGCAGGTCGAATTGGATGACAGCGATCAAGAAATTCGAGGATGAATTCGAACATCCGCCTGAGATTTGTGTTAGATGTCCTGGAAGGGTGAATCTTATTGGTAGGGTCCAAAAGAAATTTTTAAAAAATCAGAAAATGGAATATTACAAGGAGAAATCATTTGAAATCCAGGTTTCTTAAAAACATTTCAAATTTTTAAGGAGAACACATTGATTACCATGCCTATGGGGTGTTTCCGATGGCAATTGCAGCTTCAACAACAGTCTGGGCTGCAAAAAACGAAACTTCGAATATGATCCGGTTCAGTAATGTTGATGACAACTGCAAGTTTGTCTCCTAAATGGACCCAGTCGTCAGCCTAGTCTTCAGACCATTCGCGTTGGAACTTCCATCGGAATGGAACGGAGCTTCTCCTCCAAAATGGTACGATTATATGTTGTGCGGATGGAAAGGAGTATTGAATCATTTCAACATTCAACAGTTTGGAATGGATATTCTTGTCGATGGTTTCTTGATATTTTTAATTTCATTTTCAACAAATTGATATTCAGGAAATATTCCAAGATCTGCCGGATTGTCATCCAGCTCGTCCCTGGTCTGTGCTGCAGCACTAGCGACACTATCTTTAATCGACAAGAGTCCATTCGAGAAAATTTCAAAGTTTTTAAATAGTTATCTCATATTCAATTTTATCCTTCTACCATTTTAGAGAAGCTTTTGCTCATCTCTGCGCTGAAAGCGAGTTGTTCATTGGGACGTTGAGTGGCGGAATGGACCAAGCTGCTGAAGTTTGTGCCCGAATTCTTCCAGCCTCTTCAATAACCATATTTCAGGTTCTTGCCGTAGAAGGCACTGCGCTCAAAATCGACTTTTTTCCATTGGCGGCTCGTCATATTCGTCTACCCGAAAATGCCTTATTTGTCGTTGCTCACTCGAACACCGAACTCAACAAGGCGGCCACTTCGCATTACAACGAGCGCGTCATCGAAGGCCGAATTGTGGCCGAATGGCTCAAAAACAAGCTCAACATCAATAGCGAAAGTTTCCGGCTCAAAGATGTGCAAAAGATATCGGGAAAATCGTTCGACGAGATGCTCCAGCTCATTGAGCAACTGCCTGATGAGGCCGATCGACATGAAGCTGAAGAGCTTATCGGAAAAGAAAATCTAGAGAAGTGTTTCACAGAAAACACCAAGCATTGTATTATTTAAAATGGAATAATTTTAAAAAATGATTAATGAATACTTATAGTTACCCACTTCAAACCTCGTCCACGTGCCCGCCACGTATTCAGCGAAGCACGTCGAGTAGATCAATTCGAAATCGCCTGTGAAAATGGTGACATTCGAAAAATGGGCGAACTGATGAATGAGAGTCATGAGAGTTGTGCCAAGGTATTCAAAAAGACACTTCACGCCATTACAAATCATTATTTAATATCTCAATTATTGATTTAACTAAACAGCTGATTTCAGGATTACGAGTGTAGTTGCCCTGAGCTCGACGAAACATGCCGACGGTACCTCGAAGCTGGTGCTCTTGGAGCCAGGCTTACAGGTGCCGGATGGGGAGGTTGCGCAGTAGTCCTTTTTGATGTAAAGGATGCTGAGAATGCAGAGAAGCTCGAACCTTTGTTTGTCTCGAAACCTGCTTCAGGAATCGAGGTCAACTACCTCTAAAGGCATGGAAATTTAGGAAAATGTGATATTTGATGAGATACTCACAAAATATATATTTATTTCTGTTTGGCCTTTGACACGATGAATATAAACTAGTATCTACAACGAATAAATTATTTTTCTTAAATTAAAGGACGATTATAATTTTCCGTTTTTTTTTGAGTTTGAGAATCATCCGGGATAAAAATATACTACATGTCAATTTTCTCAAAGTACGCATGGCAATTATATTTTCAATATCCAATCGAGGCTATGTTAGATGAATAAATTAAATCAAAGTGAATATTTGATGTTAGTAATGCTTAGAATCTGCCTTGGGCCGCTTGATTGAAAGCGGCGCTGGCGGCAGCGCTTGTCGCCGCCGTAGCAGCACGTTGGACACCGGAATCCGACATAACACCGTTAGTGAACTCTTGACGTGCTTTGTCGATCGAAAATCCGGCACCTCTGAAAATTGTTTAATACGAAAAGAAGATTTTCGTAATACCTACCTATAAAGGCGGTGAACCTTAATCAAAGCGGTAACCATTCCAGCGAAAGCAGCAGTGAACACGATAGCCGAAGCGGTCATGATCAAGGCAATTGGAACAGAAACTGTAAAATAAGGTTACGGTCTAATAAGAAATTGATGAAAATTCCCATATTTTGTTTTGCTCATTTTTCTTGAATTTACCTGAATAGGTGTCGAGGGCGCTGACCCATCCGCATGCATACGATGAGAGGCCAAGCGTTTGAATACCCGTGAAGATACAATGGAAGAATAGAACGAAGAAGAACACCTGAACATTTCGGTTTTTTTAGAAATCGTAAAGGAAAGAAAATAATACCATAAAGTTGAACGATGAATCATTGCGAAATGCTTTGTAGACCGGACGGAACCAGAAGAGGAACGAGCATGGCGAGAACAGAATGAGCTCAATGATAGCGAGGAAAACTTGACCAACGGAGCCTGAAACACAAATAATCGATTTCAACATTAAAATTATAGGAGAATTAATTGCTAATTACCCTTGGCAAAGATCATGAACATAATCGATGCGAACAAGTTGACAACAAGCGCGAGCACGTACAACAAGAAGACGTAGTAGACGAAAGTGACAGTCTTCTGGAACTGTACTGGGATCTCAACCTCAATGTCCTATAAAAAAAGTCAAATAAATTTCGAAATCTTTTAATCGCCAACTTGATAAAAACAAGGCTCAGCTGGGATGAAAGCTGGAATTGGTGGCCAATTATGTGGTCTTGGAGCATTATTTGCAGCACCGGTGTTCACTGAAACAAATAAATTAGCAACTGTGAATTTTGCGAAAATACTCACAATTGTTGGCTTGTGCTCTTTGCCTCCTATCAAGCTCCTCCTCGCGAATGCGCAGCTCTTGTGCGCGGCGTTCGAGTTCTTGCTGTTTACGGAACAACTCGTCGTCCATTCCGGCGCTCTTCTTCTCGTATCCGCCAGCGCCACCGACCGCCTAGAAGGAAAATAATTTTATTGGTTTTCTATTTTATTTTAGTTGTCATTTTTTTGCGCCGGACGAAGCCGTGTTTCGTTTAATCAATACACTTGTGTGTGTATGGGGGCACTTAATGAGACAGACAGCCGAGGGGGCGAATATGTATGTGCAACACATAGACACTCACGCGCTTGTACAAATGCGCACGCAAAAATTGAGCCCTCTGGAGAAACGAACCTGATGCGCGGTTGGCTGTTGAGTTGGAGCCGGGGCACTGCGATTCGCAAACGGGTTGAAGTCTTCGGTTACATTGGTCGACGATGCAGCAGGCGCAGGAGCCTGAAAGTAGAAATAAAACAATTTCTGAACGCAAATTAAACTAATACCGCAAACGGGTCTGCAAACGGGTTCTCCGACATTTCTTACCTGCAATGATAAAAATTGAAAGTGACAAGAAATTGAGTGAATTGTTAATATTGACGATTTTTTATTTGTATGAGTAAAATACATTCATTTTCTTATAAACCGTTTTTGTATTCTTAGTCAATACACATAAATTATGCAATTTGTTGCCTCGCAATTGCTACACGAAATGACTCATACGTTCTAACAACAAACTTAAATACAATCTAAATGTTGTATCACGAAACAAAAATTTTCATAAAGAAAAAAATAGTGTAAACACCTCACGAAAATATACAGAATTTGCGAATATATCGTACGCAATATAAAATTCAAAATCATATATATCATCAGCGTCGCGCAACTGCGGAAATTGGTTAAATAGAAAACAAAAACACAATGGATGTGGTCTTGGCGCAAAACTAAAAGTGTAGATTTACGAGCCTATGTATGAGGATAGGGCACATACTACTCAATTTTTTTTAATTTTTGGCATTTAGCCAATTTTTCGCATTCGCGCGACTTTAACAATATTTTTTTCGCCAATATGTCAAATTTGTGCAAAATTCATTATATACCCACTACTTTTTCAAAAACCGCATAACAACAGGGTATTAGGGTATTTAAACGTTAAATCTACTTTAAAAATCGAAAATAAATAGACGAGCTGCATGATTTTTTAAATATATAACTATGTGTGAAGAAAAAAAGAAAAATTCGAAGAAGTTATCATTGAAATCAATCAGATGATTCTAATAAGCTTAGAAGCATTGCATTTCATATTAGCACCTATTGAAATATTTTCAGAACGAAGATTAGAAAATGAGAGGATCAAAAATGTCAATTTTTTCAGTTCTTCGTGATAAAGCTGAACAAATAGTTCCAATTGCCGGCAATAATATTGCTAATCCTATTTTGGTTCCCTATTTCCTTTTCTGGTGTTATTTAAAGCGTTAAAATAAAAGAAAATCGCAAGGTTTAAGAGCAAAATCTACGATTCCCATGAGTCATAGCAAAAATTGTGAGTCTAGTGCTATTGCGCAACCCTTTGCCACCTCGTCTCGAGTCCTGCCACGCAATCGGTGTTGATTTACGCGACGACGAAGAATGCGGGGGCAGAGACGTAGAGGTCGGCAAGGGGTAGTTGTTGCGTCGTCTGCACTCTCGCCGTCAATCATTCGTCGCCGCTGCTGCTGCGCGCGCGCGTTGTAAACCGCACGTTTCACCATTTTCGTCGATTCATTGCTGTTTTTTTTTTCGCTTGTTCTCGTCTCCGCTTTACCCAATCGTCGAATACAAAATTTTCAAGCCCATTTTTTGATTGTGTCGTCGAGCCGCCAATGCGATTCCGATGAAGATACTATGGGAGAGCGAGGATTGGCCGGGCGCGCGCATCGAGCCTGCCATCACTCATCTATCATGGATTGCGCAGCCTGATCGACCCGATCATGGCCTTCTCGGTGTTGGTACCGAGTCGGGCTCCGTCGGAATTACAGTCACCGATCTGAAGCCGACGGACGACGACAACACGCGCTACAATTTCAATCTTCGCGGGCATCACACCACCATTCGAATGGTTACCTGGAACAAATCCCAGTGTAAGCTGGCTTCTTGCGATGCGTCAGGAATCATCTACGTTTGGGTTCGCAACGATGATCGATGGTCCGTTGAACTTGTCAATGACCGCGGCGTGAAGGTGAACGATCTCTCGTGGAGCCCGTGCGGATCGTCGGCCCTTATATGCTACGAGGACAATTTCGTTCTCATTGGCTCATCTTCCGGTCAACGCGTCTGGAGCAACTCATTCCCAGCGAGTCCGGTGACAACGGTAACCTGCGGTGTGTGGGCGCCTGATTCAAAACAGCTGGTGCTTGGATTCTCATCGGGAACCATTCAAGTGCTTTCGAATCAAGGGGCGAATATTGCCGAACGATCATTCACCAACGAACGACTCCGACAAATGTCGTTCTCAGCGCTACGCGGCGAAGATTGGACATTGGCGATGCTTACCGTCAACAATAAGATTATAATGATCTCCGCATATGATCAAGTCACAACCGATACCTTCAAATCGGCATATAATGTGATTCATATGCAATGGAATACGGATGGAACTATATTGGGGCTCATAAATTCGAATCACGAACTTGTGATGTTGAACACGGAAGCCAAAGTGATTCATCGGGAGAAGATCGGAATCGCGAACGACAAGCAGAAGCTGACCGCATTCACTTGGGCCCACAATGGAAGTGCCGTGGTACTAGCCGCTGGCGGTCATCTTGCCGTTGGACACTTACTGTTTGGGGTTCCAAGTTTATTCGACATCGTGTCGTATTCCGTATGGAAAATGGTGGGCAGCAGCTCGAAAAATGCGCAACATTTGCCGATTCCGAAAAAAGAGAAGGAGACGCTTCAGACCCTTGATCATCATATTATCCGGGTATTTTCAGTCATTCTATTACTATTCTTATTAAATATCTATTTTTTTTAGTGTCGAATTCCAAAAAGTCAAGATTTGTGCAATTTCGTGTGCAATGTCATCGATGCGCGTTGCTACTGCACAATTCGGCCAGTATCTCGTCGTAGTCACACTTATATGCTGTGCATTGAACATCTCGGTGGACTTGTACCGTTGTTAATAGGTAAACGAGTTTTCTGGAATGTTTAATAAATTCCACGGGTTTTTTTTTGACATCATTAAACATCAGGAATTTCTATGGAAAATTTGACGTGATTTCCAAACACATCTTACACATCCATTTTCCACATCTTAATTCCAATACAATTGTTTAAAAAATATTAAGAAATTATAAACACTGGTAAATTTATGTTCAGCTTTTTATTTACATTAGTTGTATAGTTGACGAGTTTCATTTTTTACATATTTAATCTCGTTTTATTTACGACAATTTACTGTCTGATAAGAAGCGAAATTGTCAATACTCGTCAATTACTTGAATTTTTCGTTCTAGGTCGTCAGGTGAATCGATTTCTTCCTCAATTTCAAATCTACTTGCATCAATCGCAAATTGCTTCTCAAACCGCCGCCGGCTCATCGGCTCAGGTCGAGGATGTCTCGAATTCTATGGTCCGACACTCAAACGGACGAAATTCGCTATGGCGACGAAGCAAACGACAAATCAGGGCGCTCATGTCAAGGTAATCGATTTATTTTTGGTCTCACTACCGCTGTCTATCATATGACCGCGACACCCGAACCCAGGCACTCAACCGGTTTCGCGCCATCGCCAATGTCGTCGCTCAGTTATGACGAATCATACCAGTGTGACCTTTATTGATTAGAAATAGACTTTCGATGCCATTTCTTTCGTTCCTGAAGCCGTCTCCTTCATCACCTTGAATTTTAATAAATTATGGAAGCAAAAATAGCAAAAAGTTCGGATTACCGTTAATGCGATTTTGAGATACGGGAATTTGTTCGATGCGTTTTTCTGCGAAAAATGTTGATTAATTGGCGCATTCACCGAATATTCGTGTACTTTGTAAAACGTCTTTGGATCGACGTCGGCGTCTTCCGTTTCAGCATATTCGATCAGAACACGTTCTGGTTTTGTGTTTAACGATGATCCAGGTAGACGAGTTATCCTGAGATTTTTGCATTTCATCGGCTCGACCACCTGATACACGGGATCAACGCGATATGCGATGTTGTTGTTGCATTTTGCCTAGGATTCAAGAAAAAATAATTCAAATTCAGTTTCTTACCTTTAAAATGAGTCTATTCTTCGTGTAGTTCACAATCATGTGATCTGATTTGCCACCTCCCGCTGCCGGAAATTTTGCTTCCTGTGATAGTGCAATTGTCTGCGTTAGTTTAAAGGTACATACCTCTGGATCGACACTAATTTGGACGTCGTTGATTTCTGAGATCTGCGAATCCGAATAAACACTAATGAGTGCTTGCTGTTTGCGATTGTCGCTGGGTTCTTGCGACTTCTCCTCGAAGTCCTGATTGCTCTTCGGAGCCTTCTCTTTCGTTTCTTTCTCTTTCGATTCTTTCTCTTTCGATTCTTTCACTTCTTTCTCTTTGACCTCATTGTCTTTAATTGAATCGCTCATTATATGGCAATTATAAAAAGAAATGCCTTTCAAAAATTGAAATGAATTTCATTTTAGGCACGTACGACCGGCGCGAAATGACACGAGACTCGTGCAAATTACATCGAATGTTTGGTGCACGAAATTCAATATTTCCTCGCTTTCACCAACGAATTTGCCACAATTTTTGGGACAGGTAAATAATTGAATTTATTTATTACTTTTTAAAGTTTTGATGTTGATATTTTTAACATTTTCAGGTGATTTACAAAACGTCGGTTCTTCATTTGCAACCACGACAAATGACCATTGAATTGACAGTGTTGGATGCGAAACGAAGGCAACGTGAAGCTAAAGCGAAAGAGAAAGCTGCGGCGGCTGCAAATTCCTCAGCCACAGACCATCCAGAATCCGTAGACAAAGGGCTCACGAATGAAGAAAGATCATTCTTTGAAAAGGTTGGGCTAGAAAGCCTTTCAGCATCTAATTGTCAGTATTTAGGTTCTTGCTGAATGTATCGCACTTCGTGCAGCAATGGACGACACCACGAAAACGGACCCAACGCCGAGTCCTTGTCAAGTATGACAAATGCTAAATCTGTTTTTTATCAAAATTAAATTATTTAGCCTTCTACTTCGAAACAAGAAGCGCCGAAATGCAAGAACTCGACTCCGCTGAGTAATCGAACGACTGATTCGAAAATCGATGTTACGAGTATGGCGAGCTCTGTGAGCACATGGCACGAAGAGATTGAAACACTTGAATTCATCGATGGCGACGATGACAAGGTGATTCCGAGCTCGTCGAAAGGCGGATGGCCGGGCGCCAGCAAAAAAGACACGGAAGCAATTCGTGTACATGTCGACAAACTGGCGTCGATTGCCGAACAACTTTCGAAACGACATGTGGATTTCAATGCGGTTCGTTTCATTTGGTGTAAATTTTCGCAAATTGTATCGTTTTAGAAAAAAGATAAAGCATCGATCAACAAGATGCGATCGCAGATGAAAGAGCTGCTGAGACGGGTTAACGAAATCGAGAAGAAGGTTGGAAGTGGTGATGTTAAGACTGAAGTAAGGCAGTTGCTGAAGACTCTTGAAGAAATGAAGAAGGTGGGGAATCGAAGATTTTACCTTTAATTATGTCTCATATTTAGACTCTTTGCGAAGCCCCAACCGGACAACCTCGCTCAAGCAGCTATCGTTCGGTTGTTATGCACAACAAAACGCCGTTTTGGAATGAGCATAATCAGGTTTATCAGCTCGATTTTGGGGGAAGAGTCACTCAGGAATCGGCGAAAAACTTTCAGGTAACCAATTATTGAAACAAAGTAATCCTATTTGTTTTTATTTATTTATTTCAGATCGAAATGGATGGCAAGCAAGTATTGCAATTCGGTCGTATTGAAGGAGGCGCTTACACATTAGACTTCCGACAACCATTTTCAGCTTCACAGGCGTTCGCTGTCGCCCTCGCCAGCATCACACAACGATTAAAGTAGTAACCTGTACAATAATATAATTCGCATGTTCTCCCTTAAGTGACATCAAAGTAATAATAATAATAATAACAACATACATCTAATAATACGATGGAGACTATTGTAATTATGAGAAGAAAAGTTTCGTCTAACGAGTTTCTGAGTCGAATCAAAAACACATTGTATATGCCCCATCCCCCTTCATCAATTTATTGACTGTGATTACTTTTTGAAACACAACGAGCAGAACTAGTACCCTTGAATTTTGTTTGATATTCCCTTCTTTCACCCTACTGTGTTCGCTAGTCCATAATTTACGTACTTACTTCGTTTTAATTACTTATACACACCACTCTTGTCAACAATTTCTGTAAGTTGTTTTGCTGACTAAATGAAGAAAACAAATTTGGTCGTTTCGAAACGAATTTGGTCAATTTTATTGTTTGTTTAGCCTGAGATACGCTTCAATGAGGTCGTAGATGGCAATGTATTGAGTTAACGTGTGTACCATTCGAGGACGCTGTTGACGAGCCCGATTTACCTCACTGCAAATGTAGAAAAAATGAAGTGGTTGTGTGTGGGTTGAACAAATTTGATTTTTGGACTTGTCTCAATTTTTTATATTTCGTCTCACCTAAAAACATCGATGATTCCTTCGTTATTGATACGATTGATAATATTATCAGTGCAAACGAAGACTCCTGTTCGACCAATTCCGGCGCTGAAGCGATATTTTATCAATATGAATAGCAAATCAAGTGTACACTGACCTGCAATGGACTACAACCGGCGAATCGTAGTGTCTTGAACGAATCTTCAGCAAAAAATCGAGAAAATTGGGAATGTTTGGTGCCTCATTGTCCTTCCAATTCAAAAATTGAAAGTGGGAAACCTGTCAAAAATAAGGATTTATTTTTTCAGTGACTTATATTGGCGACGTTTTTTCAATGAAGTCAAAGGAATTTAAAAACCTGATTTCATCCAGACTATTTTATTGGCAAACATGTTGTTTAATGTAATGTGTTCTAAATTCGAATCGGCAATTTCCTAGTTATATCTTTTACATTCTGTATTCGGCCAAATACTTTTCATAATGGATTGCGTTTTGTAATTTGCATATAATAAATACCTGTCTTGTTCCAGTACTTGTGAATATATCAAATTCGCGATGAATATAATGACCCATTTCGGCTTCGGCGACTAATTTCACTTCAACATCTCCAAATTTTTGACGATATCCTATAGTTTTTGGCCAATATTGCGCGCATTTTTGCTGAAAAAAAATCAATTTTAAAATATTGGAAGATTTCACCAAACTGTATAATCCTCGAATAAATCTGTGAGCATAACGATACATTCTACATTATATTGCATTATCATCATCCAAAACTCATCGACTGTTGAAATTTTGCGTTTTTCTTCTGGTCCGATTGGAGCTTGTGTTGCAATAAATCGTTGTGCATCACCTTCTCCCTAAATTTTTATTGTTTCAAAAACGGGATGTTAAACGATTTCATCAAAATTACTGTAATTCCAAAGGAACATTACCTTTTTATAGAAGGTCTCATATCGAAGAGATACTGTGCAATATTCTAGCTTCCAAGATATTGCATTTTTTAATATTTTTAGTTTTTACGTGAAGGCTTAGTTTTATATTTTCACGTGAACTGCTTAATTTTTCTAAATGAGTGAATCATTTTTTTAAATACTTATTGTTAGAATTATTGAAATTAATTCTTAACGGAAGGAACTCTAAAATGCCAAATAACCAGATAGTCCGTGCTATAGCGATATTTTTTCGAAGAACTGCTCATTAAACTTTTCTTTTTATTATTCCTTCTCCCTGGCCACGGGATGTTAAAATTTATTTGCACTCATCCTTTTCATCTAACGAATGCCCTTGTCTTGTTCTTTGCTCTAGGTCCCGCAGCGAACAAATGTGATGACCTTTAAAAGTTCACCTGAACAAAGCTCGCATTGATGTAATGGTGTCGGGTGAGAGGCACCAGGGTGTGTTCGTCTGAAACGCGAGTTCGTTTCGCAGTTCACAAACGCGGTCTGCACTCACAGGGCACAATGTCTGCGTATCGGTTCGCGTCGTCGTTTCTCGTGGCTGCGCACGCGATGCCATCGCCTCGTCGTGTCGTCGATCGTTTCGCTTCCGTCTTTGAGAGAACCTGAATCAACCAGTTGACACACAATAGCACCGCACCGGTCGCGCAATCCGCGTACGCCATTTTTTTTCCAATGAAAATTACGCGAGTTTTCGACACACTCTTGAGAACTTAGCGAACAAAAATGACAGCCCTGTTAAACTCGAAACGCGCAGTAGGTTTCTCAATCACATCCCAATGATTCATTTATTTATTCAGTTTTTCAGATTTCTTTATTCTACTGGATAATTGGGTTTAAATTGCGTGCCAATTTCTAATGAGCCACACAGCGAAATTGTCTCAGTTTGCTCGGAAATTCTACTCAGGAAGCCCCCAATTTTCTCAAATTTGCTCCGCGCATTTCATCTGTTTCTAATTAGCCGGGATTTCATTTCGTAATTGGATTGAGAAAGGATATTTGAGCTTAAGGGAGCGGATTTCAAAATCCATCTTTTCAACAATCAAAAACATTAGAAAATGCGTCATTGTACCTCATAGAAAATCAATTTTTCGTGAAAAAAGTCTCCCATCGTTTTCGGTAATCGAATTTTCGTTTCTTTCATGACAAAAATTGATATAGTTTGCTGTTGTGCGTTTTTTGAACTCGCAATGTTCAACTCGGAAGGAAGTAAATTCTTGGTCTTCATACTCATTTATGGTTTTCTAAATTCCAATCCGACGAGTTATTTCCGAAATTGGTGGGGGTGGGGGATGGGGGCGAACATATTTCCGAGAAAGCACACTTATACGGAAATGAGCTCACTCAAGAGTGAAAACTAGCTTAACGAATTCGAGTTTTTCTAACTCACTCACTAGATTTCACTTTTCATTTTCACAATTTGAAGACAGTTTTTATATTAATGGGTAAAGAGAAGGTCAAAGAACCAAAGTTTACACAAAGGTCACCATATATTCATTCTATAATTGTAATAAGCTGTAAGTATACAGTAATAATGGTCAAAAAACCAAGAAAGCGCTTTCGATTTGTGCGATTGATTTATGCGATTAACTTGACCTCAAACCATTTTCGCAAGTCACATCTTAAAGTTTTTATTCGTTCTCTCAACGATTACTTTAATCTCGTCAATATTTGAATTAATATGAGTCTATCTTATCATATTATGAAAAATTGGATTTTTAATATTGCGTAATCCTCTCAACATCAATAGACGCGTAATCGGTGGTGGGTGGGTGTGTGTGTGTGTGTGTTGAAGATATCATCTTATTATGTCATACGCAACAAAAAGCGTCCGCACATGTACCTCGAACTCATCCTCGAGAAGACGCCTTCTGTTCGGACTAGTCGATGACATTTCGCGAAGAAAGTGGTCTGTTGCATGGTCGCTGAAAAGTCAACGCTCATAAATCAGCGTTGCTTGTAAATTAGTAAGTCGTTCGACCCCTCGTTTAGTTTTACTGCCTGCCATTGCCATTCGCATCTGGTACCTTCATTCCTTTCTTTCGTCTCGTCCGCCATAACCGGAATGCCAAATTAGGCATGGGGGGTTTTTACGCTTTTCTGTCCCATTCGTAGTATCATCGTCATTATTGTGTGGCCGATGCGCGTACGTGATGTAATTCAACAAAGTGCACCGTTGGGTGGACTTTAGTCCGCAATTTTGGGCCGAGTTCGATTAGCGATTCCGGCGGTATAAAGGAAAAGATATGGATGAATAACTCACGTTTCCATGGCCACTGCGTTTTGTGCAACCATTTGAGGCGAGGTGTCTATTCGAAGGTGCGTCGGCCTGCAAAATCCCTCTTATACATTTTTTGGAATATTTTATTCCAGAAACACATTTTTTTTCTTATTCTTGGTCTTTTGCGACGTCATAAACCTATTCGTTTTGCATTTTCTAGACAAGTCCATTCGATTCACTGAATGCATGAATGAGTGATGAACCATCGGGGCATTCCCAATATTTGAAACAAAAAACTCCGCATTTTGTTTTTAAGAAAATCGTTTTTCTTTAATTATTCTAGTGAATTATTTACGCAATTTATTCCACCATTCTGAATTAATTTGAGATTTATAATTATTCGAAATGGTAATAATAGGTTTGGTGAACTTGTTTCGCATGAATCATTCCAGCTTTCTGAAAATCGATGAAGCTCACTTATGATTCAGGGGCATATTCTTGTTCAGAAGATCAAATATTCATGCGAAATTCGAGACAAACGTTTTTCGATTTACATATATAAATGTCGCGAAACGAATATTTCCCAAGGGGAAAAGTATGTCTAATTATGTGAGCAATAAGTCGATTTGTCAGGCTCGTCTGTCCTATGAATGCCCTTAAAGTCCGACCACGCCCACTTTCGAACATGAATAAGAGTCTTTGATTAAAAAACGACAAAATTTTTGGATGTATTCAAAACGGGTTTCACCTTTTCGATGTACCAGATATTCGGTTATCATCGCCGCCCAAATTATCCGCATTATAATTATCATCTTTCCTCGTTTCAATCGGCATTGCTGCGATTTTGTTTACTGTCGGTGGGTGCTGGTGATCTCCTCCGCCGCGGCCGCCACCGATGACGACGACGCCATTTTCTTGTGTTTTCGGGTCGCTAAAATAATGTGCGTTGTTTACGAAAACAATTGATTTGAGCAGCAGAACGTTGTGTTTTGTTTTTCCGCTTTGTGCTCTTCTTGTGCACAGTACCTTTGCCGCTTCTTCTCCTTCTTGTTCGCTGTCGTTGCCTGAGCACAAGCAAACAATGAGCAAATCGCACAGATCATGAGCAGCCCAATTCCGAGGCAAGTGAATATAATCTCCGGCGCTGAATTCAGGAGGTTTGTTTGATGAAATCGCGAAAAAAATAGTGCAACTTACTGTCCATATTTGGATATTATCTACTTGGCAACGTGCCCACGACGACACAATCGAAAAATAGTATGAATTTGGCGCCACCGACGACGTCGGATTAATAAAAATCAGTCGAGATGTAAGCGGATTACTACCGACTGCCAACCAACTCGTATTTCGCCATTGTGTCCATCCGGCCAACTGTGGATACCAGTTTCGAAATGGGTTCCTATTCAAATAATTACACCCATTTATGGTAAATGTAGGCATTTTTTGGTTTGATGGCATCCCCCGCCCAACAATTATCGCGATTTTATTCAAGAATTTTCCAGAGGTTTGCTCATTTTTTGTGCGCCTTCGTTTTCATTTTCTTTTAATCGCATTAATCTTGATTTATTATATGACGATTTTGATTCACAAACGTCAATATATTGAACGATGTTAAATGGCATATTTGCTCAATTCCATTCTGTGTTTGCTGCTCAATAATTCGGTTTGAGAATCTTCTTTTTTCTGATCCTCAACTTGTTTGCACATTTGAAGTTTTTTTTTTTGAAACTCGAATGAAAGAACGTTGGGTCCGATTTTGTCATACGACTTTAGATAACATCATGAGTCCTCCGGAAACGTACTAAAGTCAGTCAAGTGATTGATAGAACTTGTTTTGTATTGCGGAACATTATGTTTTCAAGTCAAGCACCACATTTTTATAGTATGATTCTTTAAATTCTACAGTAAGTTTTCTCTCTTGTTACTAGGTAGATTATATCAATAATCAAAAACACTACATAGTCTCAAAACAAATTTGAAATTAAAAAGAAAAGAATATTTGGATTTTCAGCCGAGTCTTTTCCAGAATCTTTAGATCAAATCATTTTGATCTACGAGTATTAGCACTATTCAATCAAGATCGTCGAAACAATTTGTTCATTCATTTTCATGCCATTTTGAATTCCCTCAAATTTTTCAGCTCATTTTTTTCTTTGTTGAAACCAATTTGATTGTTTCTTTCAATTTTCGGCGTGTGTAAAATCAGTCGTGTCGAATTTAAAATTAAACTTTCGAGCGAATGAGTGTTTCTGTGTGTAAAGTAAAAGGGCGCATGACTGTTGGGTGGCTGGCGGGTCCCGAAACGAAGAGAGTGTTGCTTTGCACGTGCCGCGGAGACGCAGACAGTCGAGCGCCGTCGGCCGGGAGAAGAGAAACAGACGAGTTCTATATTTGCCTTGCAGTGCCTTACACACGCACTCAGTGCCTCACCTCCTTCCGATCGATTTGTTCAATTTTTCGCTTTTTGTCCCTCTCTCGTCATATGTTTTTTGTTCCTCGTTCGATTCTCGTATGCGTTCGCCCGTCGCTGTGTGGTTCACGTAATTGGCATTATTTTCCAGACGAATGGATAGTCGGGCGTCGACATCGGCCGGTGCACTCCGCGCTCTTGCTCTTGAGCTTAAAAATCTGCAATCGCAGCCGGTCGAGGGGTTTACGATAGACGCGAATGAAGATAACTTGTTCGTTTGGACCGTTGGAATTTATGGACCACCGAAAACACTCTATCAGGTAAGAAATTTGATTAAAAACTAAAAGCGATTATATAAATTTCCATCTCAAAGAGATTGTATGACATTTCAAATGTTGATGGTTTTTCAATTTTAAAAAGAAAAATTGATTTGATGAAAAAAAAAACGATTTCTAGAATATTTATACCTATTTATGTGATTTTTCCAGGGAGGCTATTTCAAAGCGTCGATTCGTTTCCCGTCCAACTATCCATATTCTCCACCATCAATGAAATTTTTGACAAAAGTCTGGCATCCAAATGTTTACGAGGTTCGTCCGTTAATTGCTTCATAGCGCTTCCATTTACGGTGCCCAATGTATTCAGAATGGCGACTTGTGTATCAGTATCCTTCATGCGCCGATCGACGATCCGCAAAGTGGCGAATTGCCGTGCGAGCGTTGGAATCCCACACAAAGTGTTAGGTAATTTCCGGTTTTTTTTCTGCTGCGTTCAACACGACGCCTAATAGGATTGCGAATAATGGGAAATATTCCTCATTAATGAATCATGTCGTCATGAGGAATTATTCATAATTCTGACGCTTTTAACGCGAATTGGATTTTGTGTCCGTTATCGACGTACAATTTTTTTTCAGAACGATACTACTTTCGGTTATATCATTGCTCAATGAGCCGAACACTTCATCTCCGGCGAATGTCGACGCGTCGGTGAGCTACAGAAAGTGGAAGGAGGGAACTGATTCTGAATACTCAAATATTGTTAGGTAAATTTGAAAAAAATGCGGAAAATCATATTAAAACAATTTTGCAGAAAACAAGTTGAAGAATCTAAATTGATTGCTCAGCGTGATGGAATTGTTGTTCCTGAAACCATAGAAGAATATTGCGTGAAATGGGCTCCAGCGCATGATGATATGCTTGACGATTATGGTATGTTCCATATAAAATAGTTTTGCTTATGTTTTTTTTTTTGTTTTTAGATGATGATTTGATGTATGATTATAATGACGATGACGATGATGAAGATGTTAGTGATGACGAATGTCATGAAGAAGATGAAGATAGCGGTCAAGGCGAGAATTGACCTCTCATGTTTATAGGATATTATATTCAATTTTTCTCGCAACTCTGTAATGAGCGCAAAATAACAGACAGATGCAAAAAAAGACCTCAGACAAAAATCGTACCCTCTTGTGCCTATTCTTGTGAGAACTTTCGCTGCTGGAACTTATTTTTCTTTTAATTTCTTTTAAATCTTTCTTTCTTGCTTTTCTCTCTCTCTTTTATGTAACAATGTGTGACTCTTGTGTGTACCGATCATTCGTGAAACCTTACTACTGTATACTGTACAAATGTGAATTGTGAACATTTCAAATGATATCATCTCATATATTCGTTTCATCTAATGCGTGGCTGTGCGCCGTCGTGTTTATTTGGGAAAATTATCATCGTCAAATAAATGCTTCGTTTTATTTGATTTTTTGACGCATCGCCGCCTTTTTTTTCGTTTGGAAGAATTTTGTTGGTTATCAATTTTCGGAGTACCTTGAACACCTTATTGTTTGTTGAAGAATGTTTGAAAATTTATTTTTAGATGAGCAAACGTCAGAATCCAGCTGAATTTTTGAAAAGAATCATTGGAAAGCCGGTGGTGGTGAAGCTCAATTCGGGTGTTGATTATCGAGGAATTCTCGCCTGTCTGGATGGGTAATTTATTAATTTAAAAACAATTTTCATCAAAAACGGTGAAAAATATATGTATGCATTGGATTCCTAAATTCCTTGACCCAATATTTTTATATTGAGATTGTTTCAAAAAAATAATATTTTTTATTCATTCATTTTTCCTTACGAGACCCAAATGCGATATCAAATATTTTCGACGAGAATGCAAAGTTCGTTCATCCGTGAAAATATTCTTAAATTCTTCCGAAAAACAATTTTTCACAAATAACGAAAATCACAAATAACGTCGTCGAACATTTTCTATAAATTCAATTATTTTCTTCAAATAGAAGAAATAAATAAAATCATATCTGGAAATGCTTTTAGCTGAACAAACGAACAAAACGTTCGCATGAATCGAAAAAAAGACACGAAAAACACTAGAAATTAGGTTAAATCATCTTTCCTTTTTCCCATTTTATATAATTAAATAATGTGATGAAGAATAACTTTTTTAAATAAATGTATATATATATCAAGAAACTGGTTGTTCTAATTAATATTTCTTTTATGCGTGTCTTTTTGACAACGATTATTCAACTTTAATCCTTCAGATTCATGAACATTGCTTTGGAACAGACAGAAGAATACAACAATGGACAATTGCAGAACAAGTACGGAGACGCCTTTATTCGCGGAAATAATGTTCTCTACATTTCGACAACAAATAAATAAACAATTCACGTTTCATCTCTTTATTGTTTTTGTTATATGGATCTCAATGAATTTTGCCTTTGTCGTTTTTCGAAAAAATACAATATAGAATTAACAATGCAATAAAAATGTAAAAATTGCATATTTTTCCAATCCAGGAATGTAGAAAATGATCATTAAATGTAATTTTTATTTTTTTTTTCAAGTTTCATTGATAGACCCAATACATTCCATAAATTGGACGTCACTCTTCGAAATAAACGAGGCAATACGTGGCTTTACGCGGCTGCTATGTATTGACACGCGATTTTTTATTTTCCGGAAAGAAATGAAACCACTTTCAGTTTTTTAGTAGTCGAACTTCCAAAAATCGCCAGTAAAATGAGTAATGCTTGGATGAAGTGTGCTCTATTGAACGCGGCGCGGTCACGTACGCGTCGCGCGGGTTTTGACGCGCTCAGCGGTACGGTATCATTTTCGTAAATTTCTGCGTCTCTTGAAAATTTTCGAATTTTATTTGTCGTTTTTAAACCTAGTTTTCGTATTGTTGAAACATTTCGCAATAACAAAATTGGTTTCGAAATTGCGTCGATTCAATTCGTTTTCATTTTTTCAACGTCCATCGGCTTTCAATAAGATGTGCTCTATTTCAGCATTCAATTCGCGGATGCCGCACTTTAATGGCTCGTACAAAAAGCTTAGCCATGTAAGTTATTTTTTATTTGTTATTAAATTAGGAAAGTAGTAGAAATTGCTGCAAAGCATTTTCCGAATGGTAAGTGATGCTTTGATATGACATGCATGGGTTCCGCGGCGATGACACCATGTGAATGGTAGAGCAAAAGCGGGACTTTTGCACATTTCAATGTGATACCATTCAAGTTCTAGTGATTATGCTCAATGTCCGCCAAATACACGAGAATACCGACGACGCAGAGATTTTGAGGATTTATTCAAGACCACAAACAAAAAAAGCGGTCGGTTTAAAACTGAGGTTTTGATTATCTATGTCGCAATTTGAATTATTCTTGAGATATTATTTAATGTTTTTAGGCCCAAAAGGAATGGATTCGATGTCCCAGATGCATTACGAAGAATCTAAAACCTATCAATATGGGTAAAAATGAAAAAGGTGCTACAATGTTGTGGTGGATTTGTGAAAATTATATGGTTAGTTATATTGTTTCATTTTTTCTATGTAATAATTTGTTTCAGACATGCAACTTTCCACTGGATATGTCTGCCGAAGTTTACAACGTCGAACAGACATCCCAGCAGGCGCAGGACGAGTTATACCCTCTACCAAGAATACCCAAACTTGCTCCTAAATTCCATTATATGTACCCCATAACATTTCGGGAAAGCGAACCTAGGAGTCCAAGTGTAGCAAGCCTGCGCAACTCTTCAAGCTCGGGCACCGGTTCTACCAGTTCAGTTGAACATTTCGATTGTTCAAGTTTGTCCAATCCATCTTTGGTTTCGGAAATAGAAGAGCAATCCACTTCAGATCAAAAGGTATGTATTAATAATCTAATAGGTTGAAAAATTGTTTATTCGTTTCAGAAAAGTATTCGAACAAGATCGGAATACGACAGCACTGTCCCCTCTACGTCAAAGACCGCTACGACCGAATACGACCTTATCGAAGATGATATGGAAAGGGATTTGCTTGGTAGCACTAAAAGGATGTTGATCAGAAGACAATTGCCAATTATTTCAGAATCGGAAAGAAAGAAGAATCCCATACGAACTGTTAGAAGGAAAAACATAAAAACCAAATCGTGGAAAAAACTCATTGATGAAATTGCTGACGATGAGCACATATCGAGTGAAATACTCAATATGGAGGTTTCCGAAAACCATGAAAGTTCTAAGAAACATAATTGTGTTCAGGAGTCAAAACTGGTCGAAAATATGAGAAAAGTACTCGCAGAAATGATGAGTTGTCGAAAACCAGTGAATTTTTCACTCAAAGCTCGGGCTAGTACATTTCGGATAGATGATATTGAGCAGGCTTTGCGAATATGTCCGTTTGATGTTGACTGGCAAGAAGCGCGAAAAAAAATGTTTGATTCGGTGGATGCAACTGGGGTATGTTTGAATTTCATTGTATTAATAGTATGATTTTTCTGAATTGCAGGCAAAACGAATTGCAATGAAATATGCAAAGTCTGGGCCAGACCTTCTAGCTGCGATGGGAGTAAACTTTGAAGTGAGCGAATCACGACGTGACGAATTGGTCAGGAAAAGAGCGGAGGCTCTTCAAAAGCGTGTTGAACGTGTTCTTGTAAGTTTTCTCTTCTTTGCTTTATAAATGCATATTAAATTATTTTTTCAGTATTCTCTTGCTCATCCTGAACCGAATGACTCTGAATCTGCTGTTAAGCGAAGAAAAATTGACGAATCTAATGAACAGACGACGGCGATAAAAATTGCAGAAAGCGCTAGAGCACGAATTTTGGATAAGGTTGGTTTTTCTTAAAAATTTCTGAATAAAAATTGTATATTTTCAGATGAAACGCAAGAGATCTGCGCCACCAGAATTTGTTGCTCCCGTGCTTCAAGAAAAAGTGCAATATGAACAGCAAGTGCAACCTCTTTCGACGTATGAGGACGATCCGTTGGCATTGAATCTTGATGGTTTATACGACGATTTCAATCGAGAAATTAATGACGATAATGTTTTCAATAAGCCACACTATGATTATTATGAAGAACCAACACAGGAGCGGGAACCACCAGCTCTTCATTTAGATAGAAATTCACTTAATGTACCGCATGACGCGTTTTCTTTCGATGATACGAGTAATTCTGATGACAACGAGTTTATTTTTGATAATTTTGGTTTTTAAACTGTTTTAGGTGTTTGCGTGTATTTTCTTTCTTATTATTTTTGCCTTAATGAAGTCTTTATTTAGTATTACTTTTAATGTATGTTTTTATAAAAGTATAATTGATAAGAGTTTGTTAAATGATCAATCAAAGTACATATTTCACGAAAAACAAGAGTAGTAAGTGGTTGGCTTGACGCATAAATACAAGGTGTCTTTTCTTAGCTACAGTTTTTTTTTAATTGAAGGTGGGCTTTATTCGCAGGTTATCCCTAGATGTGGTAACTCAAAACCAATCGGACGCGACGAAATTCGGCTCCGGAATCAACCTAATCCGATTGGAAATTCTACGAATAAGATTGGAAAATTGTCAGATCCTATTGGTTTTTTGGGTATTTTCGGATCCCATAGGTAATTTGTCGGATCCGATTGGATTTTCTTCGGATCCAATTTTAATTATTCGAATCTGTTTTTTGTTAATCTTTCAATTGATTATAAGGTTGATTTCGGAGCCGAATTTTGTCGGATCCTATTGGTTTTGAATTACCAGAGTAGTGCGGTACATCGGTTTGTTGCTATGAAAATTTTTAAATATCACCGTGTAAGACGCATACTCTGCATTTGTGCGTCGGGTCTTGTGCGGACCGCATCAAAACTAACAGAATCAACCGTCGATTTTTCTTCGCTATCTCATTTTCCCCGAGTGTTATTATTGTGTTAAAATATGAATCTTTCGATCATTTCGTTGCCAACTGGATATATTTTTCGTCGTTATGCCCGTTTCCAAATGTATTTTTAGTTTTCAGATGGATTACGAAGTCTGTCGCAAAATTTGGGAAGGACAAGTCCCGGTTGAATTCACTCTTCAGACCGATGACAATCTTGAGCAAGTTCCGTATTACTCGATGCTTCCGAGATGCTCATATTTCCCAGTTGTCCTACAAAAGGTGTTCAAATTAGTATTAATAATTTTTTTTTATAAATTTCTAATATAGGTTTTAAATTTCTTCTCGATTGATTATGATGGTAAACTCGAATATGACAAAATTTGGCTCGAATCGAATGGGACTCCGATGAAATTGCACTTACCGATTGGAGTTCTTCACGATTTGGTGCACGCTTCTGAATCCGTTTGGCAAATTGCTATTCGGTATGATTTGGAACGACAAAAAATATAAATAATCCGATATCAGCACATCAGCAATGCCTATTGGATATGTTCCTTTGAATAAAGAAGGCTTAGAATGTGTATTTATGCAAAGCATCAAAGAGGCGGATTATTTGAAGAAAAAGGGTCAGGTAACGATGTTTCGTCATTTTTATCTCAATTGTGTAATCGGGCAACAATTGTTTATGGACTTACTGGTCTTGGCGCAAAATTAAAAGTGTAGATTTACGGGTCTATAGGTTGAAAGCGCACACCATGCACCGAGACCTTTTTTTTTAATTTTTGGCATGTAGCCAATTTTCTACAGTCGCGCGACGTCGATAATATTCGTGCAGTACAAATGTAAAGAAAAACACATTAAAAGTAATATTTTTGCGAAAGCGATGATATATCGATTTCATAGTGTTTTATTCAAATACTCGTTTTCAGACAACGAGTCAAATGCGAAAGGAAGATCAATTCCTATTGTGGAATTCTCTTGTCACTGGTATGTCTTGTGTTTTTATATTGTGAAAAGTATCTGGTTCCAGCTCATTTCAATGATTTTTGGAGCATTAATAAAAAGTTTATGGATACGACAGACAAGGATTTTGAACATATTCCGATTCGAGTATACGTAAGGGATAAACCGTTCAAACAAGTAGGCTTTATTGATTTGAAGACTTTTAAAATCAAAAATTGGCTTACTAAACGTTTTTTTATGAAACGCTAAACTAGTCAATGTTTTTCAAGAGTGAAACCGGGCTTGTTAGAAATATTCAATTTTTAAGCAAAGCCAACCTTTTTTCATTTTATTGTCATTTTTGGCAATTTCTAACCTTTCCGCGCAAACCTGATTTAAAAACAAATAATTTTTTTAAATCTGTAAAAAAGCGAATATGCGAAAAATTCTTTTTTAAAAGTATTACCATGACCGTTGTTTGTGAGAATACGAAAAAATGTTTAAGGCTTTGCTGAAGTCCCACGATAGCGAAGGAGGTCTTCGTACGATTGGCGATGCGGTCTCGCAAATATTGGGACCCGATGACAAGCGTTTATTGGTCACACATGGAATAACGTTGCCCATCGAAACGCCGATTATTTTTGCTGCCAAGAATTTGGCGTACCCTGATAATTTTGTGCACATCGCTGTTTCTTAAGCATGTATCTCGGAAAACTAACAAATGTTGTGCCATCCAATAACTCACTTTGGTCCTTTTCAATTTCCGCCCGAGTTTCCGGAAATTTCTGTCTTTTTGTACAATATGTGTGCACTTTTCCATTCTCATCATCATTTTTCTTTTTCTTCTTCTTCTATTTCGTCCTGACATCTTCTCATTGTAAATTGTACAGATGTAAATATGCAATCCTTTTCCAACAAAAAGTGACGGAAATCATTCATCATGTGTATCGTAGGACCCATGAGAGAATGCTTTTCGCGTCCGTACACTGTCGTCACGATGATTGCGGAACGTACTTTTTTTGTCCTTTCCTGTTTCATGTTTTTGAAGTTGTCAAGTTTCCGAAATGAATATTTGATTGATTTTTTGTTCATGATTGTCAGTTCGCCCGCTGAATAAGACTTCTGCAACACATTGGTAGTCGGATTGCAGCATTATCGTATTGTGACCTTGATAAGGTCGGCAAGGATTAATTGATATCTACGATTTCGATCACCGTCGATTGGCAGTCTGCGTCTCTTAGGAAACTCGGTGTGAGAGTTTTGTGTACACAAACAACACCGGTGTGCATAGGTGGTTCGTCTTGTTCCTTATTTGGAGTATATGTACGACCACCCACCCGAATTCTTCGGCTCTCATCTGTTTGCTTATTTCAATAATATATTCTTTTTCGACAATTGTTTTCTTTGATTTATTATTATGACTCATCGGTTATTTCTTCGAGAATTTTCTTTTTTTTTCATTCTTATTTTGAGGATAGAAAAATCAACATTTAGCAATCTTATTTTTAAGTTTTTTTTTTGACAAAAGAAATAATATTTTATTTCTTCACGAATCATTTAAAAAAGTGAATTTTTTTTTAATTTTTAACAATTTTTTGATTGGTTTCTTTACTTTCAAAATGTTGGAATCGAAGCCAAATATGGTGCCTACTTGAGGCAGTCTACACAACCTCAAGTATGTATTCGTATTGTAGAGTAAATATGTCCAATTATTCAAATTGGATTCCACATCTGTTGGCCGATCAAAAAGATCCCCGAATTTCGGATTGTTGCGAGCAATAACAGATGTCTCATACAAATTGATTATAATTAGCAATTTTTATTGCGAATTAAGCAGTGTGATGGAAATATTCAATTTTAATGTTTCGAAACAACAAATGATTGCATTTTATTAGGAATTCGAATCAAAGAGACACTTGTTTCGAGACATACATTTTTATTGGTTTTCGTTTCGTTCCATTATTCATGGCAACGTGTGTTTGTGTGCTGATTCGCTCATAATACCTCTAATGCATTCTGGGCAGTTCTCAACGACAGACTTTCTCCACTCGAACAGCTGCTCGCATCGTAAACCGAGGCATCGCCTCGACGTTCTCAACATCGTCCCATTTTTACTACAGTTTCCTCTCATACCTGCCGACATTCGGCCATCGACACTTGTCGGCAGATGGATTTCATTAATATTTCATTTCAAAAATGCTCTCCTAACAAATTGATTGCCACATATTTTATTCATTTACTCGTGTTTGTTGCCCCTTCTTAGCCAGTTCTTCGATATTTCCGATCGTGTCCATCTTCACAATGGCTCGGAAATCCTGAACAAAACGGAACGAGTTTTGAATGACAAGACACGAATAAGAAATGGGAGTCATGCATAGGCGATTGAGGCGCGCGGCAATCATCAATCCATCCATCCACCCCATCCCATCCATTCGAAGTGGAGCCCAGAAACGTCGGGCCAGTAGGAGGCGAAACAAGCAAGCAGTAGCAGCAGCAGCAGCAGCAGCATCCCCCCGAAAAACGAAGGCCCGAATTCTCGAATGTGATGACCTCCCGCACGCGTCGGTCCGTCGGCCCGGCCGTCCGTCGTCGGCACGCTCTCTCGCACCGTGTCCACCCACAACCAATGCGAGCGCGTTTTTTTGTCGGCGCCTCCTCGCCGCCCGTGCTCTTTTGCCGGTGTGTCGGGGCCCCGCAGCCGACCAACGGCACCAACGCGCGCGCGCTCTGTTCTGCGCTTTTTTGCGTCTCCTCGCTTGAATCGGGCCCCAACAAGCTGCTGCCGATGACGATGAAGAGGAAGATGAAGAAGGAGCATTGGCAGCAGCGGCTGTGGGCAGAAGCAGCAGAAGACGAAGAAGTTTACATCTTTTTGAGCCGAGGCGTCCTTTTGATGTGTAATGATGCTGCTCGGCATTCTGATCGCCAATTGTTATCGATCGCTTGTACATTTCGCCGATGTGCTCTTCTCATCCATCTCTTCTCCTCCCATCCTCATTCATTTTCGCAATTATCCAAATTACTAGATGGGCGTGACTTACCTAAGCCCCGCCCATCATTATGCAACACCTCCCGGCAATTTTTGAATTTCCAAATTTGAATGAGCAATTTTGAGACTTTCGAATTCCTCCGCCCACGCGTCATGATAAGATTGCCGCCTCCTCAATATCTCTACTCACCTCGGAGTTTGACGAAATGAATTGCGAAATCTGAATTCGATTCGTTTTTAAATTTCTATTCTTGCCAATTGAACATCGTCTTAAAATGTGGTTTTAATAAATTCTAGAAATTTCGAAAATCTGAAAAAAGACAAAATAAAAATTGCAATTTTCTCTTAAACTGGGAACCTAACTATTATTTCTTTTTCGCATTCAAAAAATTTTGAAAAATTTTCTTAAAAAATAGAATTTTATTTTTCAAGCATATGATATTTTTTGCTGGCGTTCATTCCTTCACATTGCTTGCCAGAGCTTTTGAATTTCGCGCGCAAATCAATTCATAATGGCGGAAATTCAAATTTTCCGCCGCCGCCGCCTCCGCCATGATTATTTTTGTTATTATTGGCCGTTTTTGAGCGAAATCCAATTTCGTTTTTCCATTTTTCGTTTTTTTGCTCTTCTCGCAACAACCTCGTTTTTTTTTTGTTACAGCACACTACCGATGGGTGTGTTAAGTCTAAATGTGGTGTCGTCGGAGAAGGGCATCAAAAAGACGATGCAGTTCGAGCCGTCGATGCTCGTTTTCGACGCCTCGAAACTGATACGAGAGAAGTTCGGAATGCACGAGACCGATCGTAAGTAGCAATCGCAAAATCACTCCATAAACATGACAGTCATCCCCGTTTCTTTTTTTTCCAGCAAATGAATACGGTCTATTCCGAATCGTCGATGACCCATCGAAGTGCGTTTGGATGGAGAACGGACGCAAACTTGAATATTACCTAGTGCGGAATGGCGACAGCATCGAATATAAGAAGAAGATGCGATATCTCAAAGTTCGGATGCTCGACGGAGCCGTTAAAACGATATCAGTGGACGAGAGTCAGCCAGTCAGTCAGCTTATGCTCACAATCTGCAATAAAATCGGAATCTCGAATTACGAGGAATACAGTTTGGTTCGAGATGACATTTTGAACAATGGAAATTCGACATGGTGAGTTAAAGGCGCATGAATCAAGAATAGCGAAGACTCGGATTTTTTGGGTCTTGAATGGATGATCGCCTTTTTAATTTGTGGAAATTTCCAATTAATCACATCAATGTTTTTGATTTCTAAATATTTGTGCAGAAATCGCGCAATTTTTGAGTTTCAATGATTTTTTCTTTGAAAATTAGATTTTGAAGCACAATTTTACACAATGACGATTAATTTTTTCAAACATCTTACAATAAAATTCATCTGCGGACAATTGTGATCACTTTATTTCAAATGTTGAACACCAAAAAATTCGTTTGATTTTTGACTTGCAAATCTCGAATGTGCGACGTGATTTATCGCAAAACTCGACGCGTACACCGAATGCGAAAAGATGGTCCCTAGCGAATTCGGTCGGTCGGTCGGTCGGCGAACAACACAACCGCATCCATCCAATTCATAACCAATTTCGTCATAGGAATCTGCGTGAAGAGCGCTCTCGAAGCACGGAAAGAGGCGGAATGATGGGCACTCTGGGACGCAAAAAGGAGCAGAAGCTCGAGGAGCTGCGCAAGAAGCTGCACACCGATGAGGAGCTGCCGTGGCTCGATCACAACAAAACGCTCCGCGAGCAGAATATCAGCGAAGAGGAGACGCTGTTGTTGAGGAGGAAATTCTTCTTCAGGTTTCCTCCGGAAACACTCGGCGAATCACGAATTTGATTTCAGTGACACGAATGTCGACAGTCGCGATCCAGTCCAGCTCAATCTTCTCTACGTGCAATGCCGAGACGGAATCCTTCGGGTAAGCAGGAACCATTGTGTTGTGTAGCCATCATCATCCGTTCACAATGTCTCTCGAACCACCATTTTTTTGCCTCTGAGTATGCCTGCCTCTGTGTGCGTCAGCGTCAGCGATCAATGTGTCGTCGTCGGTGTTGCAGCAGCAGCAGCAGCATTACACATTGGCAGCATGCATTTATTCTCTCATAGTTTAATCTTGACACACACTTTGAATTGCCGCCGCGTTTTCGTTTCGTTGAGAAAATATGAAAAAATTTTGTGATGGGAAAAAAAAGATGGAAAACACTTTTTGAATGGATATGAAAAATCGCATTCTCGACCAGAGTCCACAATTGTTCAAATTGAATTTTGTTTTCTGAAGGCCTCATTCCAAACATTGACAGATATTTGTTTCGCTGCAAGACCATGACGCGTTGTGATTCACGTTTATTTAACGAACAACTTGAGTAATTGTGGACCATCGTGTTTTCAAATTTCGATTTGAACACTGGGAATTCCGATATCGTTCTACGGGTATCCTACGAATGAAATTCCCCATTTTTTTGCGACGCGGGTAGATTTACGCGCATGCGCCTTGAAAAGGTCTCGCCACGCGTGAATGCTTATTTTGCTGTTTTCACGTGAACTGCTTTATTTTTCTTGATGAGTTTCGCATTTCCTTGAATTTCCAACGTCATTCCATTAAAAAATTATCGAACCGGTCGATAAAATTTGAAATAATCTGTTAGTCCTTGCGAGACCATTTCGAATGACGCATTCCCGTAAATCTAACCGCTTACAGCAGTCGCCGGACGCCGATTATTGTATAATCATCCCAAAATAAACGAGTGCCTTGTAGGACCATCGCACATTTTCGAGACGGGAATTCAAATTGAATTTTATTTTAAAAAGATAGAATAAAAACCTGAGAATCAAACTCACCAAAAAATCGGCGAAGGATACTCGTATTTTTTTAGCGAATATAATAATATAAATTTTTTTGGTAAATAATATTTCAAAAATAGTAGCGGTAACCGCATTTTCTTTCATGGGAAACACCTATATCATCTTACCTCAATCTTATCTTCTTAATTTTCTTCAATATTTATATGGATAATCACAAAATCATCATCAATTCTGGAATGGGTCCCGTTGATTCCATTCGATTAGCATATGCTGAATACAAATTTTGCAGGGTCTTCATCCGGTCTCAAAAGAAACCGCCCTCCAGTTGGCGGCTCTTCAATCCCATATCGAATACGGCGATTTTCCGTACGACAATCCAAAGTTCCACGTCGAGTGAGTTTTATGGGTTGACATGCCATTTATGGGTTGGTGCGTGCCCCGCAAAAGAAAAGAATCGACAAAAAAAATAAAACAAAGAAAGAAAGGCGCCGTCTCGGCCATGCATGCCTAATCTTCAACAACCTACTACTATTACTTTTTTCGTTCTCAAACCCCCCCCCCCCACCTACTCTAAACAACAACAAACACACATTTGGACCCCCCGGCGACAATTTTGTGCTTTATATGGATGTAGAGTTTACGCTACACGCAACGCTGCACACCAAAAGAGTGCGCGCGGCATTCGTGTCGTGATTTCTGCCGGTCCCATCTAGACTGTCATTAAATTTAAGTGAGCGTCGACGGCGCAATTTTCAAATTTCGCGCGCGACAGGAAACGAATTATTCTTTCGGTTTTTCGTTCGTCGCCGCGCACTCCAATCAAATATATTGTCTTTGATTGGTCGGCCGGAAGACCCATTAGCAATGAAGGAATAGTATGGCTCAAAAGCTCATTGTTCCTCAAATCAAGTGAAGGAGGTGGGGCGGGGACCCCAAGACTCGATATTTCGAGATTCAGCGGCTTTTTCTCTTTTTGCCTGCGCTATTCACTCGCGCCAAATATGTATTGTAATAGCCACGAACAGTGGCGCTGTTTTCACTTTCTTGCCCAACACCCGCCACAAGTCAACCAACCAACCAACCATATACACGCGGACGAGCGAGCGATTTTCATTTCATTATTTCTCATTCACTCATTCATTCAACTCTTTTCAGTGGTCGTGACGTTCTTCCAAAAGAGTACGCGAAGAACAAAGAGAATGAAAAGAAGGTGGTTCAGGTAGGCGACGTAGGCGATTCACACGCGTGTTTCCAATTCAATGATTTCAGTTGTACAAAGAGCTCAGCGGCACAAATGAGTTGGACGCGAAAAGCAAATACGTTCATCTATGCAGAGAGCTGAAAACCTATGGAGTCACATTCTTTGTGGTTAAAGGTGGGTGAAATGAATGAATCGAGATACGGTAAGATGGGTGACTCAAGTATTTGTATTATAATAAATGATTCAATTCACGTAGACGCCCATTCTCGTATGTTTCATAAAATGAATTCATTTTCAGCGTCGAATTATTATTATTTTTTTTTGCAGAAAAAGTGCCAGGCCGGAATCGGTTGGTCCCTCGATTGTTGGGTGTCAACAAGGAGTGCGTGATGCGCGTCGACGAGAAGACGAAGGCGATTCTCAAAGAATGGCCGCTGGAGCAGATTCGCCGCTACACACCGTCGGGCAACACCTTCAACTTGGTATGACGCTTTCGTTTCTCGTCGCCGCCGCTCCCAAAATTGGTCCCTTGAGTGAAAAATGAGAGGGGAAACTTGCAGGATTTCGGCGACTATCTAGACAGCTACTATTCGGTGCAGACGCCGGACGGCGAGAAAATTTGCCAGCTTATCGCCGGCTACATCGACATTATTCTGAAGAAGAAGCGCACACGCGATCATCAGGGAATCGAAGGAGATGAGGGCTCGACGATGCTCGAAGATGTTGTGGCGCCGGCGAGAGCCACTCTTGTCGCTCACGGTCAAATCGGCAGCGGACAGCACGCCGTCGACGGATCGGTGGCCGTACGCGGAGTGTTGCGAACACCGCAAGGCGGCTATGGGTATGGCATCAACGGAGCGCAATATGGAGCTGTTAGTGGAGAAGTTACCTCGCAGAGTCTCGGAAGGGTGAGAATTCGTATAATTAGCATAGTTAAGAGTAATGTTTCAGCGAAAATTCTATTAGAAAATCAAGGTATTAGCTTAACTATTAAGTTGCAAAGTATCGTATGAAATTGATTTAAATTTTGAAATCAACCATTTATTTTTATTTTGGAAGTTAATGGTCCCATTATTCAGGCTCAACGAATTCGTGTGCAAGACATGTATGAGCACCCGCAGCGCGCACTTATTGGCACAATTGAAGCCACCATTCGGGCGGTCGATGAGGCCGAAGTGGAGCTCGAGCAGGAGCCGCAAATCGACATTCCCAAGTTCACCGACGATCATGCGGCGAACAGATGGATCGACGAGCAGGTTTTTCAATTCGATTACGCCCGTTCGATTTGATGATTGATGCCCAAATTGCAGATGGCGGTTAACAAGGAGAACGTCAACGAGCGTCTGGCGGCGATGGGCGCGGCGACCGCGCAGGTGGTCCAATGGACCGCCGTTCAAGAGGAATACGACGATCGCGTCGGCACAGCCATCGCCACAATCGGCTCGAATCTGCCGGATGTGAGTCGAAACGTGCGCGATTTGTCGGCGCTGATGCCGCGAGAGGAGCGCGGCGATCTCGTCGAAGCCACCCGAATGCTTTGCGGCGCGTTCGGCGACTTCCTCACCGCCGTCAATCCCGAGCAGAAGGAGAAACGCAATGTGGTACCGGACGAGGCCAAAGAAGCTTCTAAATGCGGCGTGTTTGAATTGCAGGTGTTCACCGCGGCCGGACGCGTCGGCGAATTCTCGCAACAAGTCATCAATTCGATGGAGACGCGCACCGAAGAGCAAAAAGTTTTCGATGACCATTTGGTGCAGAAGGCGAAAAATGTGGCCACTTCGACGGCTCAACTCGTTTTGTGGTAAGCGACAAGAAGGATTACTACCATACGCGCCAATACATACATATATGGGTGTCTGTGTATGTGTATGTATATGTGTGCCCATTTTTGGACGAAAAGCTCGGATGACATTCTTCTCACAATGTTTATATTTCGAAGTCGTCCATCCATACACACAATTTGAGACGTTTCGGGCGGAGAAGGCGGAGGGAATTGAATGGAATTGCCAATTTTGTTTGTCATCATCGCTCGACGCTTATTGGATCACGTCTGATTGGGACGACAGTTTCGAATGGCGTCCCTAATGGGGATAATTGGCCCGAATTCAAATCACATTAGGCGCGCAACATCTCTATGAGGTCCCTAATGTGTGCATCGAACCACATGCTATGTTTTCCGCCGCTCAATCACTGCAGCATTCGCCATTGTTTTGGCCCCCATTTTGGGCGGAGAGAGGCCTCGTCTTGGCCCCCCCCCCCAAACAAGGCCCCCTTTAGATTATGTCCCCTGAGAGCCATCTGTAACACTTGCGCGCGCGCGCGCGCAGTCGGCCGGCCCCCTTGCATGATGGATGCGAAGTGTATGTAAATTGTGAGGCGACCGCCACCCAAATCTCCCAAGGGGGGTGCGGTCTACTATTGAAAAAGAGGGCGAAAGAGATAGAGAGAGAGAGAGAGAGAGAGAGTGTGTGTGTGTGTGCGTCATGCGGAGATGATGGTCCCATCCCGTCTGTGTCGCCAACGCCGCCCCGAATTTGGGGAGGGCGCGCCAACGACCGCGGGGTGAACAGACAGGCAAGCAGCAGCGGCGGCGGCGACGGCGGCCGGCGACATCGGCAGCAGCAGCAGCTGGCACTTCCCCACAAATGCACTTGGACTCCGCCCATTTTTTGTCGTGGTTCGTCTCGGTCTCTTTCGCGGTGCTCTCATTCGGTTCGTCGGTCGCCGCAGCCGCGGACGTCTTGGCTCCCCACCCCCCGCCTTTTTTTTCTCGCATTTTATTCGAAGTAAGACAGCCGCCTTCACAACACCACCACCAGAAGCAGCAGCAGCAGCCCTCTTTGGCATGATGCCACTAGTGAGTTTCCTTTTTCGGATTACGGTAGAACCCATTGCGTCATTTGGCTGTTTTACACCCATATGTATATGTATGTGAACTACAGTAAATTATTAGATCGCGAAAAATGGTGGAGTGGGGAGAAATTGCGGGCATTAGGAGAGACAGTCGTGGAACCTGTTAGCAATCTATCCCCCCCCTTCCCCCATCCCTCCCCAAATGCGAAAAAAAACATGAGGAAACCGCGCCCTCCTATTGCGTCGTCGCCTACCCTGTCTTATCATTTATCGGTTGCGCGTAACGAAAGATGGATGTGTTTGTAATAGCTTCCACTCGCCTCCGCCTCCCTCCTCCTTCTCCTTCGTCGTCGTCGCAATCGCGCCCGGCCAATTTTACCCACACATTATTCTCCGTCGTATCTTGACGATCTCTGGAGAAGAGAATATGGCAAAGCCGGTGCTAGTTAGCGATGTGCACATATTCCATTACTATACGTCGCGAGTGCCGCTTCCACGGCGCTACGCGAGCCAATGTCGATTGAATGGAAGCGCTGGTTCATCAGCGGCGTCCTCATCGTCGTCAGCATCGATTCCGCGCTTGAACTGGTACCAAATCAAAATTCTTCGATTCCTTATTTCTCCCCGCATTTTGATTGTCGTATCTTAGCTGTCGACTCATTTCAGCGCGAAGACAATCTCAGCCGAATGCGAGGAGCCCGAACTTCAAGAGAAGGTCATCCAATCGGCGACGAAATGCGCGTTCGCCACCTCACAGTTGGTGGCGTGCGCGCGAGTCGTCGCGCCGACCATCGACAACTCGGCGTGCCAGCAGCAGCTCAACACCGCCGCCACCGAGGTGTCGCAGTCGGTCAGCAATCTGCTTCATGACGCCGAATACGCGGTTGACCGACAGGAGACCTACTCGGATATTCATACGGCCGCCCGACGGGTAACTGCCGACGTCGACGCCATACCAAATGTATTCAATGAATTTTGCAGGTCACCAGCGCGCTCGACAGCCTTTTGGAGCATGCCAAGACTAGTCCGAAGACGACGACGCATCGTGAAGAGGAGGAGGAGTACAATGAAGTGCTACGACGAACCAACAAGATCATCGCTTATCAAGGTCCCAGCGAGGATCTCACGCGAGAGGCCAAACGCGTCATTCGCCACAGTCAGATTCTCACTGAGCAATTCGAGATGGAAGCCAATCAGAGACCCGAGGATCGCGACCGGCTTCTGGATGCGGCTAGACGCGTCGCTACCGCCACTTCCGATATGATCGCGGCGACAAAGGTGATCCGAATGAATCAAACATGCGTCATTCAAATTTGTTCCATTTCAGGATTGCGAATCTCGACCGAGCGAAGTCGACTCGGAGCGCAATCTGCGCACCGCGGCCGAACGCCTCAGTCGCGTGACCAACGAGACGACTCAGGAGCAGCAGGAGAAGCACATCATGCAGCGTCTCGAGCAGGCCGCCAAACAGACCGCCTATGATGCAACGCAGACGATCGCCGCCTCAAATGCAGCCAAGGTAGGGGAAAACAAATTGCGCCATTATTTTTTTGTTGATCTCTGAAATGGACGCGGAACCGTTTTTGATTTGTGGGGGCCGGGTGGGACGGGGTGGACGAACGGCTGGAAATGGCGGTGTGAATTTCAGAAGCAAGAACACAAACACACCGAGACCACAGAACAGCTTCTAGTAGACGATACGCATACAATTTTGCGTATTCGCTAGATTTTCAATTTTTCAAAATTTACACACACACACACAAATCATATCTGTGCATAGACCAAATTGAATTATTTCTTTCACACAATTTTCCCGATGCTTCTTGCCACACAAGTGCCTTCTTCAAAAGAACAAAACTGCCATTATTTTTTTTCTCATCAAAAATCCTTTAGTATCTTTCTTTTTTATTTTCCCTTCATGCCATTTTTTTCCCTTCATACACTTGTCTTCTTCCTACTACAACGACATCGTTATCTGAATAAACAAAATGCTTTCAACTCAAAGAAAACGAAAACCTTGTGTGCAATAAAGAAAAAAAAAGACGAGAGAGAGACGCACGCCCTGAAAAATAATTGAATAGAAGCTGTTTTGTGTCGGGGACAGGGATTGAGAGCAAATTGCGATGATGTAAGTCGTTGGTTGCCGTGAAAATTTCGAAACAAACCATGCAACCGTTTCCGTTTCCATCTCGTTGGTCTGCCCTGATCGTTTTTCATCGTTTTCTTTCTTTCTCATTCATAACACCTAATATGGTCATTGTTTTTCTTGGTCTAACTATGCAGTGAGTTCCTCTCTAATTCATTCTAACTAAACAATTCGAGGTGCCGATTCAATTTCTTGATTTCAGGACGTCATCTCGAACAAGACCTACAGCGACAGTTTGGTGTATGAATCTAGAAGAACTGCCGAGCATTTGCCGCGATTGATCATCTCGATTCGCGAGAGTCAGAATGCGCAGTCGCCCGAGCAGCAGTATAATGCGCAGAGTCAACTCATCAAGGATTCGCATCAGATCTTGGAGACATCCACGCTTCTCGTTGAGTCCGCCAGACGATGTGCTCCGATGGTCAGCGAGGTGCACTTGGCCTCCAACTTGTCGGAGTCGGCGAATCGTCTCACTGACTCGTTGGCTGCTCTTCGTGTCGCCGTCAACGATGCGCAGAAGTTCAACAGCTCGCAACAGCACGTCTACGAAAAATCGGAGACGGTTCACTATTCGAGCGTCACTCAAAGAGGTCCACTGCAGCTCGGTGAGCTCATCGACTTGCCAGAGTTTGGACGAAACGTCGAACTGCTGATTAACTCGTGCACTCGAATCGAGTCAAGGGCTCTCACCAACGAGGAGTTGCTCTCGGTGAGATTGCTTTTCGCGAAAAACCAATTACCATCACATTTTTCAGGAGACGAATTCGGCGACGAAGCATGCCGCAGTCATCGCACAGATCTGCCGAAACGCTTCGACACAATGCGCCGACGCGGAAGTGATGAAGCACTTGGTGAACAGTGCCAGCGAGATCGGATCCAAGACAATCGCACTCGTCGATTCCATCAAATTGTTCAACTCGCGACGCATTCCGGAGAACGAGGACCGCTATTCGGTGTGCAGTTCGGAGCTTCGCAACTACGTCACCCACTTCTACAATTCGCTGAGAGGCGCGCCGTCATCGGGCGATCAAACGGCCGGTCAAGTGGAATTGGAGAAGGCGATTCTGAATCTGCGCCACATCTCCGCGCAAGTCCAACGAAGTGCGATGGACGCGTACTCGAACGCGAATGTGCAGCCGAACGCGACCGTTGAGAAGCAGCTGTTGCAGCAGGCGCAGCACATTACCAACAAGCTCGAGGACGAGGTTGACGACCTTGCCGGACAAGCGATTACCCAAGGCGATCGACTGGCGCACGTTGTGCAGGTGCATGTCAATCTAACGAAGGATCTGGCGAGTGCCACGTGCTCGGCGGCCAGCATTGCCATCGACAGCAATCAGCAGACCGAGTTGTTCGACAAATGTCGCACTGTCGTTGAAGCTGAGATCCAGATGATGCTCGCCTGCCGTGATTCTCAAGGAAACCCACACGCGCAGCCACACGTCGAAGAAGCCGCTGGACAATTGAAGCATGCCATTGGAGACGTTCGTCGGACAATCTCGCGGGTTTCCAATGATCAGGTGGCTCTACGCGGAATGGTTGACACCATCTCGTTGTCGATCGCGAACACTGACATTGAAACGTCGACTCAAGGATCGATCGCGGACTCGCAGACTCGCATGAACTCGTACCTCGAAGAGATCCGTCGAACTGCTCAAGAGATGCCACACTGCAACACCAACGATCTCGGACCAGCTTCGTTGAACCTCAGCGAGAAATACCGACTGGTGGCTTCCGACGTCCGTCAAGCAGTTGGAATGTTGCCAGAAGCTGAAGTTGGACAAAAGCTGAAGGTGGCAGTTCAAAAGCTTGGAACGAGTTGCATCGACACCGTCAAAGTTGCTGGCCAGCGACGAGCTCATCCCGATGATGAGAGAATCTATCGCGAGCTCATCGGAAAGACCGACACCGTTGTAGAACGCGTCGATCAAGTCCTCGCCGCTCTTCATGAAGCTTCGCGAGGAACTCAAGCATGCATCAACGCTGCTAACACTGTCAGCGGCATCATTGGCGACTTGGACACAACCATCATGTTCGCCACTAGCGGATCGTTGAATATGAGCGGCGATCAGAAATTCCCGGTTCATCGAGATGCGATTCTGAAGACTGCCAAGGCGCTCGTCGAAGACACGAAGGCTTTAGTTACCGGTGCTGCTTCGAATCAAGAGCAACTCGCCGTCGCTGCTCAAAACGCCGTCCGCACTATTGTCAACCTATCGGATGCCGTGAAGAATGGAGCTGTCAGTCTGCACAACGACAACGCTGAATCTCAAGTGCTGGTGATTCATGCCGTTCGAGATGTTGCCGCCGCGCTCGCCTCACTCATCCAGGCTACCAAGAATGCTTCCGGAAGATCTTGCCAACATCCAGCGATGACTCAATTGAAGGAGGCTGCCAAGGTGATGGTCTCCAACGTTACTTGTCTTCTGAAGACAGTGAAGAGCGTCGAAGATCGTCATAATCAGGGACCACGAGCTTTGGAAGCTGCTGTGGAAGCGGTCAACTTTGAGATTAAGGTAACATTTAAGAAAAAAACTCAACTTCTAGAGAATTGAATTGTTTTATTTCAGCAATACGACGTTGAAGCGACTGATGGAAGCACTTTCATGTCTGGAGCCAGCGCTGAGCATCTTCAGAATGCCGCTGAGAACGTCTCGCAGGTTACTCAGCGAATCGCCGCTTCAGCCGAAGGCGTCGCGCAGGAGGAGGTCATCGCCATTGCGAACCTATCGCGAACCGCTGTCAGATCACTTCTGGCCGTTGTTCGAACCGTCGCCAGCGAGGCCGACACCGCTGAGCAGCGCTACGCGATTCTCGACTCGGGTCGTGACGTCGCCAGCAATGTGAAGGCGCTTCTCGTCGGCTTGCATTCGCAACTCACCCGTCACCCGAATGATGACACCAAAATGTTGCTGCTCGAGGCCTCGCGAGGCGTCTCAAGGGCATTGTCAAATCTTGTCGGCATCTGCGGTGACATGTCGAACGCCGAGCCAAGAGGGCAAGAATCTGCAGCCGCGCAAGCCGAAAGTGAGCTCTTGGGAGCAGCTAGCTCAATCGAAGCGGCTTCCATTCGTCTCGCTGAGCTCAGGCCACGACACTCCATCGTCCAACCAAACGTTAGTACACTTTGCTTCTCGTCGTTTAGGTCGTGAGTCGCCCCCTCATACACGCCTATATTCGTATGAGTACCGATGCCTACCGGGCGCTGATATGTCTGGTATTCTTGGGTTCAACATCTTGACGAACCAGTGTATTAGACATATCGTCGACCGGTAGCGCATACATTTGTCCCCGACTAGGAGATGAGCGAGAATGCCACAAAAACGAAAATACGAGCTCAAAGAACAACTCGAATCAAATTGCAGGGCCAAGAACTCGGCGACGACGATCAGGAGTTTGACGAGAAAATTCTGAGCGCCGCGAAATCGATCACGTCGGCCGTGCAGACACTCGTGAGAGCTGCCTCGAATGCTCAACGAGAGCTCATCGCGCAAGGAAGACTTGACACATCGCGATCATCGGGACCCGACTATCAATGGTCGGAGGGACTTGTCAGCGCCGCGCGATTCGTCGTCGCTGCTGTTCATCAATTGTGCGAAGCGGCGAACGCGCTCGTTCAAGGGCAAGCCAGCGAGGAGAAACTGATCTCGGCGGCGAAGCAGGTGGCTTCATCGACAGCCCATCTGTTGGTGGCTTGCAATGTGAAGGCTGATATGGACAGTCAGGCCAAGAAGAGGCTGCAGATCGCCGGACAAGCTGTTAAGGTAATTTTAAAAAAATAAGCGAGTATTCGATATTCAATGCGCAATTTTAAGACGGCAACTGAAAGACTCGTGCAATCGGCGAGGCAGATTGTCTCGAGAGACGATCGCAACATCGTCATCTCGGAGCGCCTCGTCTCCGGAATCGCTCAAGTGATGGATGCTCAAGAAGAGGTTCTGCGAAAGGAGAAAGAGCTCGGAGAAGCTCGAAACCGGCTCGCGCATCTCAACAAGGCGCGATACGAACGCGACGGCTCCGCCGATCAAAACTAAATTATGACAATATATACATATTTTGTATTATTTGCTCCTCTTTTTCGTTTGTAAACTTGTCATTCATTATGGTGCGCATTGATTACATGTATAATAATAATAGAATCGATAATTTCTTTTATTTATATTCTTTATTTCATATGCATACTATTTTTTTTTTCATTTCGAAATCTTTCATAATACGATATCGACCAACACACACAAGTTGCCTTTATAATTTGTTATGCAATAAATTTGTTTTGTTTTTAAACAAATTTTACCCAAAGGAGCAGAAAAACTGGAGATGTGTCTTTAAAAAAAAGAAAGTAATCTTTTTTTCGTAATTTTTCTCATCGAAGCTTTTTAGATATTTCGAGAATTGTGTTTCGAAATTGAAATCGAATCGCTGGTTTCCGTTTTCAAATTTTTCTTTTCTCAAAATTTTCTCCGTTTCCTCGAGAATACATTTCAAAAATTGTTTCGAAATGTGAAAAACGGCGAAAATCATTTGTTTCGACTGAATAAACGTTCGCATTTTGAATATTTCATAATGCGACCCAAATATTTCGGCGAACAAAAATGATATTGATTTGAATATTCGAATTTAGGGATGCCTATTCAAATATTTGAACGTTGTCATCAAAAAAACGGCTTCGAATATTAAATGAATTGATTATCGATGGCAATAATGTGTGGGAATATTGCCGTCTAGGCAATTTGATATTCTTTTGAAGCAGCCGATTCGACCTCGTCTGAAAAGAAAAAATTGTTTGGTTACACATATTATCCTGTCCGGAAACGAATGGAAAACATATTTTAAAATATATGAATACTATTGTGGTATATTCGCAAAAAAGAACAAGATGTGACCAGGGGAGGGGGGCGGAATAATTCTTGAAAACATTTTGAAGCTTCGACTTTCAGTTTAAAAACAATTTTTTCTAATAAGATTGTAAAAGGTGTTTTTAAATGCTCAAAAAATTAAAAAAAAACGGAAAAAACACTTATTCAAAAATTACAGTACCGACTTCGCGACGAGACCTGCACAACTTTTCGCGTGCGCCTTTGAAAATAAAAAGCGGAGAATTACGATATATCGCGTCAAGTTTTTGTAATTTTCGACGTGCGTGCATAGGGAATTCAAATGAAAAAAATTGATTTTTTTTTACATTTTTTCATTGCATGAATAGATCCATAAGAAGATGTGCCAATGGAGAATTTTGAACATTTAAAAAATTAATATTAAAAATATTACAATAGTAAAGACTAAAGATTGATAATTTGAAAGAAGGCAAAAAACTTTTTCCTATCTAATTCAAGGGCAAGTTTATTCTACACTGAAATAATTTTATCAAAAAATCCAATTTTAGAGTCAAAGTAAATGACGACGACTATTGTGCTCCGACACCCTCAAAACTCTCTAAAAGTTTATTTCGAAAATTAAAATTTAGTGTTTATGGTAAATAAATCATTTATAGGATCATATTTATTGGTCTAAAAAGCAAAAAACAAAAATGAACTGAGGAAAGTTTTCATCTTTTCGAGATAAATGACAAAAAAATAATTCACATAATTATACGGTCACCTCATTTTAAAAATTATTATTTTTTGTTTAATGCATTTTTTTATGTATTGTGTCTTACTATTTTTTTAACAGTTGTCTGACATATTTGCTGAGGAAAGTGCCTACCGACTATAAAAAATTTCAAAGGGTGTTCGCGAGATATAATTTCGAAATACGGTGCCAATTTAATTGCGAATGATGTGAATCCGAGTATTGTACCATGGATAATCTATTCCACCGTAAATCGGCGTAGGGCGCTTGGTTTTTTTTTGCACAATGTAATACAGTCGGAGTAGGGCGACCAATGTATTGTTGAGAAATGACAAATGTATCTAGGTGTCGTGGGATCCTGCGTTTTGTACGCAATGCGATGAGCCAGTTACCGTAATCGTCGCAGCGATTTACGGAGTTTTTTTTAAATTTTCTTTAAATTTTTTGCTGTATTTTCTAATTTTTTTAGAAATATTTTATTTAAAATCAGTAGAAACCGAGTTTAATTACTTATTTTTCAGAAAATGCACTTTTCCATTTGTCCAGTTGAGTTGGGAGTTATTGTGAAGATTTTGTCGCTCTAAAAATTATTTTGAAAATGAAGAATACAAAAACAAGATAATAGAAACGCATACAAAAAGCAAAACACGAACAAATAATTTTATAAAAGACAAAAATGTTTTCTTTTAAATCTCTGCTGTTTTTTACCAAAAAAATCGTTTAAAAGTAATTATTCTGCTAAATAAATTATTAAACTCGGTTTCTGCAAAATTTAAATAACCAAAAATTTCGAAGGGAAATACGAAAATTGAGCGAAAAAAAAATGAATATGCGAAATTAAAAAAAGTCCCTGTAAATCGCTGCGAGGATTACGGTATCTGTCTCTTAGCATTGCGTACAAAACGCAGGATCCTACGACACCTGGATACGTTTGTCATTTTTCAACAATACCAGGGTTGTGCGGCAATGGAATTGCCGATTCTTGAAATTGCCGTATAGCCGAAATTCCCGATTGGCCCTGTAATGTACGCTGGTAGATTTACGGGTGCGCCTTTCGAAATGGTCTCGCCACACGCGAAGTCTTACTTTTTTAAAAATTTATCCGCATACAGCAGTCTCCGGAGCTGATAATTACATTCGCAAAAAAATGGGTACCCTGTGCCGATTTACGGTGAGTTAGCTTCGCAAGTTCCATAGTACGATATCCGAATTGCCACTGTTTAAACTCAAATTTGAACTACCGCCTTAAAAAATGCTCGTATTTTTTGCGGTCTCAGTAAAGAAATTGAATTCAAATTTCTATTTGCCGGTGAAAATATCCGTCAACACAATGACGCAAAATTACAGACGTGGTACTGTAGTGGTATACACTCGAATTCGTCGATTTATCAAAATTTTGTTTCCTCGTCTGAATAAAACCAAATATTTGTTGGTATTAACTTCCTATGCATAAAACACATTTATTGCCTATACACGGTTTTTATAATAAAATATTTGTCTTCTCCCTTCACTATTTTGTTTCTTCTCCTTCCATTTGCGCCGCCTTTATTTCATTTCACAATCCAATAAACACTTTAGCTCCTTGAGATTTCCCAGATTGTCACATTTGTGCCAAAAAGGCGAAAAACTCTATTCGAAGACCGCGGCGAGGAAATTATGCAAGAGATGTGTCGTCTGCACAAAACGAGTTCGTATCTGTCGGCGGCCGGTCGAAAATACAATTATGAATGGGGGGCAGTTGTTGAAGCGCATTCTGCAGCTGCGATGGCCGCCGCTGCTGTTGGATGCATTGTGCTGTAGCAGTGGTCGTTTCGCTCGCTCGGTCCGCAGCCGGCCTCCGTCGACTCGTAGTCGTCGCCTAGATGTCCTTGCGTGTGTTTTCTCTCGCCTCCGCCCCACTCTCCGCCCTTTCGCGTGCTGTCCTACCCACCACCATTTCGCATTATTCTGCCGCCTTGTTGACCCAAACAAAACCAGTATTGTTTTGGGCTCGAACACCTATGTCAGGCGTCTGAAGTACAAAATCATTAGCCATGAATTCACTATTATTAATTATTTCTATATTTTCCGTCACATATGCGTCGATTTCACCAGGTTTGTATTTATATTTACTTATTTTCTAAATAAAATGCTGGATGTCAAAAGTGTCGACACAGATTTTATAGCAAGTTTTGTACGTTTTTCCATGTTGATTTGAAACTGAACCCGTTAAAACAAACAGCTAGAATGTTCGGCATAGGTCATTTACCGCGGAAATCAGATTAACGACGATGAGACGATGTGCCGATGTCTCTCGGCGTTTCATGCACTATTTTTGCGGCCAAATATTTGTCTTTCGCATCATTTCGCGGATATGCCGTACAATTTACGATCATCGCTCGAGTTTTTCCATCCACTTCTCATTTTTTTTTCTTTGCAGATAACGTATTCTTGGATAAGAACGTCGGAGAATTCCGCGAGCTATTGATTGACCCGAAAGCTGGAGCGCTTGTTGTTGGTGCCGAAGGGGCGATTTTCCGTTTGTGGGCGTATAATGTGAACGATACTGGAGAGAATGTGGTGAGATGTTGGGCATGCTTCATAAGAAATATGAATAACCTCTGGGGATATGAATGAATTATTTTTTGAGCATAGGTTTGCAATTTTTAGCCGGGAACTACATTAGTTGATCCGTTCATATAATTTTGAATATAGATTTTTTTAGTATGCGAAAAAGACTCTTGAATTGAGTGAATCGGAAGAATCAGAATGTCGCAGCACAGCGAGCGACGAGCGTCTTTGTCGTCCATCAACCCGATTCCTTTCGTTTGCCAACAATATGGAATCGATATTCGTGTGCTCGTCGGTCGGCATGCGTCCAGAGATCCGAATGCTCGATGCGCTTTCGCTCAATGACCAACAAGAGCCGCGAACTGAAATCGGAATTTGTGTTGTCGATCCGACATTCAACGCGACGACAGTTCTCGTCGAGACGGGAAATCCAGAAGACGTTGTGTCGATCTACTCAGGAATTCGCACCGGAATGGGCGGCGAGAATCATTTGATCTACCGGCCGCCGTTGATGAAGGCCGGAAGGCAATTACACGCGAGTATCCGAACGATCTACTCCGATAATAAATGGCTGAATGGTAAAATTATTTTCTAAGAATATATATATATATATATATATATATATATATATATATATATATATATATATATATATAATGTATTTATAGAACCCCAGTTTGTTGGATCTTTCGATGTTGGACAACATGTCTACTTCTTCTTCAGAGAAATTGCTCATGACAACGCGTTTGGCGAGAGAATTGTACACAGTCGAGTGGCGAGAGTTTGCAAGGTAATTTATAAGCGAAAAGTCATTTTCCAAATCGTTCTATTTTTAGAAAGACATTGGAGGAAGAAATGTTCTTCGTCAGGTTTGGACGTCCTTCATCAAAGCGAGACTGAATTGCTCGGTTTCCGCAAATTATCCATTCTACTTTGATCACATTCGTAAGTATTTTCCTCGTTTTTCTCCCCAATTATTTGTCTCCATTTATAGAAAACGTTGAACGCGTCGATAAGAATGGAGAAACTTTCTTCTATGCGACATTCAGTACATCTGAAACAGCATTCACATCATCGGCGGTCTGCATGTTCTCCCTTGGATCTATCAATCATGTTAGTTGAGAATACTTTTTCAGAAAGATTTTTCATTCTTCAAATGTTGAGTTTTGTGATTTCAGGTTTTGAACAATGGTCTTCTTCTTGAGGAATCTGCTACTGGATTTTATTCAACGAATGCTGAAGAAACTCCAACGCACCGCCCGGGAACGGTAATTTCCTCTTATTTTTCTATTCGAAAAATCCCCGAATCCTCTTCTAGTGCTCTTCAAATTCCCATTCCATATCTGACAATGATTTGCACTTTGCCAAAACGCATTTGTTGATTTCTGATGCGATTTCTGGTGGAATTCCGATTCTTCCGTTACGCGACGTCGTTTATTCGCACATTTCTGTCGACTCGCTGCCAAATCAGAATGTCCTTTTCATTTTTGATCATAAGTAAGTTTTTGAGAATTTATTTATTTTTTCTCATTCGTAATTTTTTTAAGTGGCCGGAAAATGTGGAAAATTTCGCATTGGAAGGAAGGAAATGAATGGAAATGGAATTTGATTGAGCAGAGAAAATTGGCGATTGATTCAAAAATCAATGATGTCGTATTACTACCATCAGGTTTGATTGGAATTCATATTTTCAATGAAAAATGACCATCTTTAGAATTCTTTTTCGTTTCATCGAAATCGCAAGTTTCTCAATTCTCGGTATCCCGATGCGATTCGTTCCCGTCATGTGCATTGTGCACTCTGGATCCATATTGTAGCTGGAATGCGGTGAACTCGAAATGCAAACAGAAACAGAAATCGCACGAGAAGAGCGTCGGATGGATATCGTCGTCATGGGCGGGGCGAATTTCTCCAGAATGCAGCGCCGTTGAGAAAATCGCAGTGAAAGACATGTATTTGGGAGACGGAATTCGATTGGAAGGTGCTCGAGATGGAATCTGGCAGAAAGATGGAATTGAGTGAGTTTTTTGAGAATTTTCAATCTAAAAAAATGTCTAAATAATCGTTTTCATTTGAATATTCTGAGAAATGCATCCTATGATATTGAATTCAATTGTTTTAGACTTGAATCGAATGATCGACTCACATTGACATCAGACGGTCATCTCATCATGCTCAATATTCAGCCGACCGATTCAGGGACTTACGAATGTGCTCACAACAATGCCATTGTTGTGAGATATCGGATTGTTGTTCATGGTGAGATTTATTTTGCGATATCAATTCCAACTATTTCTTTTTCAGAAAACTGCGCTCGACCGACTTCTGTTGCAGAATATCGATCGTGTCAGAGGGAATGGTGCAAAAAGGCGGATGCTTATAAAGCAGCTCTCAATATTTGGAGCGAAGGCAACAAGAAAAATGTAATTTTATATTGGAAAACCGACATTTTTAATCAATTTTTGTTCAGATTCAATGTATTGCAAACGGTTCTTCTCATGGTGTTCACTAATTGAATAATTTTTATACATTATTTATTTTTTTCATTTTAATTATCTTTCACTTAATTTATACCAAAAATTACTCAAGTTTGTGTCGAAGACGATCTCATTTCACTTAATAATTGTGCATTTACGAAATGCGTTATGTATATACATATAAATTTAATAAAAATACCCATTTACTGGTGGATATGTGATTTGATTTTTGTCAACGAAAATTATAGATTTGTCGGGCCTTGTTATTATCTAATCGCGTGAGGTGTGGCCGACCGGTTACGCATGTTGGGTCAAGTTTATTGTGTCGAACAGCAGGTGACATTGGCAAAGACTAGCAGTTTTGCTCGAATTGAGTCTTTTGACGCTATTTTTCACATCTGTTCCGTTTTTCTTTTCTCAATTGCTTTGTTATTTCGAAAAAGAACAAAAAGACGAAAATGATATTTTAACGATCTACTGTATGCTATGGCAATGCGCTATTCTGCAAACACTGCATTGTTCCCATTGCGGAGATGCAGCGTAACTCACGCCAACTTTCAAATTGATTTTTTCGATTTTTTAGCATTTACTATTTTCAGCAAGTCTTTTTGTGTTTCTGAAAAAAATCTATTTATAATTTTTTTTACAAAGTGGCAAAATTTGCGTTACGTGAGAAGCTTCGATATTTTTTTACAGTAATTTAGGCGGAATTTAATTTAATTCTGTTATATTTTCAAATGGTTGTTTTTTCGCGCGGTTTTGACATGTTCCGTGAGAATTTTAAATATTACGTCATCAAACAAACTATTGATTAGTGTAATTAAATAAAAATCATTGGAATTCAATTATTTGAATTTCAATGGCCGACCTTGAAATGTTTTGTTGTTGTTGTTGTATTTATTTTCCGCCGCATTGAATATACATTTGTCATTTCAGAGAATGAAATACCTTGAAAACTCGACGCTCGAAACGGTGGCATCTTCGATTAGCTCTGGCGCGATGGACTGCTACATCGATTTCAAGTAGTTAATCCAAAAGCATAACTTTTTGCTAATTGTTTGGCGATCCAGAATTGAGTCTTACTCGCGTAAAATGGTGTCAAGCGACAAAAAGCAATGGAAAACCCACGATAAGAATGGGCCATGGACTGAAAGACAGCCGCTTTCACCACCGGACGATTTTACAGGTCTTAGCGCCTCGCCCGTGGCAACCATTGGCCACGCAGCTCGTCTACGACACCTCTCCGAAAGAAGTTGCTCAGGATCCGACAACGACTTCGAAGAGGTATTTTTTTTTCTTAACGACGAAGTAAAAATTATCAAGAAAGTATAGATAAATTTGGTTGACTCGGTATCTCGGAAAACGCTTTACGACATGGTTCAACTTTTGAATTCAGCATTTCCTGATTACGACTTTACCGATGTCAAAAGTGAAGCGTTTTCATTAATTAATTACGAGGTTGGCTTCATTAATTTTTTTTTTTCAATTTATTCTAAATTGCTTATTTAAGGATGTGTGCGACATTGTAGACGCGAAATTGGCAACATGTGTACATAATTACAAATCAAGAAAGGACGAATTATGGGGTGTTGTTGAAGATACGATAAATCCAAACGAATGCAGAATTTACAGGTTTGTGAATTTAGATTTCACCGGGGGAATTTCAGGGGAGCACAAAGAATATACAGATTAGTTCGAATGAAATATTGTAAAACAAAAGTTTTTTGTATACTAGGATTATAAAAAGTACCGTTCTTTTCACAACAAACTCAAAAAACCTATTTTTGTTGGAATTTATTCAATCTCACTAATTTCCGACGATGAAATAAGCTTGTTTGACGACTAAATCAACCAAAGTTGTGCGAATCTATGGGAATTTTTCTAGCTTCAAATCGCAATTCGCCGACGACCCATTCAACGAGGATGGATGCATCTGGAGTCTTGCATTCATTTTCTACAACAAACCGCTCAAACGTTTTTTGTTGCTCACTTGTCGCTGTCTCTCGAAATTGACCGACATCGATTCTTTCGATCAATTGTGGGATATCGATGAAATGAACGAAAATCAGTAGAATGGCCTTAAGAACATGTACCAGTCCTCATGTAACATTTTTCCTTAATTTTTTGAAAATAATTCGATTCATAATAGATGTTTCCATTTTTAAAAAGTAAATTTCTTGCCCCCCCCCCTTGAGATCAGCAATTGTAAATAGATATTCACATAGCTAACCGATACTTCGAAACGCGATTAGAATGGTCTGGACCATATTTGTACAAATAGTTGTATAATTTCCCCTTCCTATTCTCAATTTGCATTTATTTTCCTCTTTTATCTCGATTTGCTGGCCAAATCAACCTATCGCCGCTAGAATTGTAGATTAGCTGCATTTCAATTCTGATCCCATTTCTATTCTTCATCTTTATGAATACTATCTGCTTCTTCTTTTAAAGAGCCTCCCTTTGCTAAGGTCAATTGCAATAATTTTAGTACTATTCGTTATAAAAAGTGCGATCAGTCATTTCATTCGTTTTCTATCTTTTTTTTTTGGTTTGCGGTTGAGATCACCGATTTTCTATCTGCTTTTATTATTGTGTTTAGTCCTCAAAACTTTTCTTCACGACTTCTCTTGTAGGTGATGAAGCGCTCGGGAGAGTCGTCGAATGAAGAGTCTACGTGATTAATTTTTAAACGCTTTCTCAATTTTTTAAAAAATTCCATTTTCAGGGCGAAAACTTCGAAAATGGTGAGCACCTCAATGGTTGAAGATCGTCAGGAGATTGAAGCTCGCCGATTCGAATATCTCGATCATCCGGCTGATGTTCAAATTCACGCATGGGGTAATACTATTGAGGAGGTTTGTATATTGACTTTTTAAAAAAGTAGTGCAGGAGTTTAAACGATAATTTGCATATAATTAACGTCCAACGATTAATATATACGTAGATTTACGAGAATTTCCTTCGCCTTTCACGATAAAGAATTTGGTACCATAATCGAATCGAAACAATTTAAGTTCATTGTCAATTCGATTGATCTCACTTGATGAGATACGGATAATTGGCTCAATTCCAAAACACTGGGAGTTTTTTTTAAGTTTAATATTCTGCAATAAAAAGTTTGGGGGTATAACCATCGAGCCAGAGCCGTTTGATAAATCTTGATCTACCAGATCTCGAAAAATTCGTACTATACCCCAAATATATTTTTCATATTCGGAAAGAACTTTAAAAAATAATAGGAATACATTTTTAAAGTATGCGAAAAATTTAAAATTTGACAAAGTTAGGTTATGCTAAAAAGCGGCTAAAAATTTTTCAAATTACCGTAACTCAGCGCGGTTGTAAAATTTTCCAACTTTTAAAACACAATTAGTGACGCCTTTAACCTATCCTAATGCTTACATCAGTCTGTAAATCGGCACTTTTAGTGTTGCATCTAGACCTCTCCTATCGTTTGTTGGTATTTAGTCAATTTTCCGCTATGTCGACAATATACAAGATCTATTTTCCATAATAAAACAGTATATTTCAGGCATTTGAGGCTTGTTTAGTGGCCATGTTTGGTTATATGACCGACCTCACCACGGTAGAAGAGGTTCGTTAATAATAATAATAATAATACAACATCAAAAACAACAATGTGCCCATTATCAATTCAGAAATTTGATTATCATTGGAGTGTCAAAAGCGATGCTCTTCATAGTCTTTTGTTCATGTTTCTCGATGATCCATTGAATTCATTTCATGCTGAGCCAAACTTTGTCGCCAAAACTGTCAAAATTGTTCGATTCGATCGCGAGGAGTGCGAGGTATTCATTCCTCTTCTTTCTTTTAGAATTTAATTTCAAACTTTATAAGGTTGAATATTATGGACGTGGCGATATCTTCGATCCAACTAAGAATCCATGCGAAGCCGACATCAAGTCGCCAACGTATTCGAATATGCAAATCATTGAGAATAATGGACGATGCGACATCTACGTGATTGTCGACATCTAAACCAGCATTTTCTTTTTTCTTTTGTTTTTTTTTCTTTCTTTTTTCTTGGCGGATTTGTTCAACCTCTATTTTTAATTGAAATTCCTCATTTAATATTGCCGACTAACGGTGTTAATTTTTCATTTTCGATCCCTGTTTTGAGCTCCAACGGGCTGGATATTGGTTAATTTGCTTAATTGGTTTCCTCCGGTTTCATTCCTTCATTTTTCGATCAATCCCGCTGACTTGTTTAATTGTTTCGTGTTTCATAATGTTGTGAATAAAATAAAATAAATTTCAGGCATCAACAATGGGCATCGACATTAAAAAGAAGGTGCTGAAACGCAAATTGAAGCAGATGAAGGAGGGCCACGAGAAGAAGAAGAAGGCGGTCGCGAAGGAAGAAGGAGAGGCGCGAGAGGAGCAGGAAATTGGAGACAATGACGATGTTAAACAGGTAGGGAATTTGAATGATCAAAATAAACTATTTTCGAATATTAGGAAGTTGAATCTTCTGAAGCCAGTGGAACGAAGGTCTCCGAATTCCTGACAAAAACCACATTTGCTTCTTTGGAGGGAAAAGTCAACGATCATTTGTTGAAGGCGGTTGATAAGATGGGATTTACCACGATGACCGAGATTCAAGCCAAAAGCATTGATATTCTTCTTGAGGTTTCTCTTCGAAAAATTATGGATTATTTTCCAATTCTTCTTCAGGGCAAAGATGTTTTGGCTTCTGCTAAAACTGGATCCGGCAAAACGTTGGCGTTCTTGATACCTGCCATCGAATTGTTGCACAAACTCAACTGGAAACAGCACAACGGAACTGGTGTGATCATTGTTTCGCCTACTCGCGAGCTGTCGATGCAGACATACGGAGTGCTGTCGGAATTGCTCGAAGGATCGAATTTGACGTTCGGATTAGTTATGGGAGGGTCGAATCGAAGTGCAGAACGGGATAGATTGGCGAAGGGAGTCTCGATTCTTGTTGCCACACCGGGACGTCTTCTCGACCATCTTCAGAACACAAACGAGTTCCTTGTTAGAAATCTGAAATGTTTGGTTATTGATGAGGCGGACCGCATTTTGGATATTGGATTCGAGATTGAAATGCAGCAGATTCTTCGGCATCTTCCGAAACAGCGACAGAGTATGTTGTTCTCCGCAACGCACTCGCCGAAGGTCGATGAGCTTGTCAAATTGGCATTCCACTCGGCGCCGATCAAAGTTTCTGTCAATGAGAAGGCTGAAGAAGCGACGGTTGAGGGGCTTCAACAGGGATATGTCGTGACACCTTCAGAAAAACGACTTCTACTTCTTTTCACGTTTTTGAAGAAGAATAAAACCAAAAAGGTTTGCATTTTAAATTTTTGACTGCTATTTATTATTATTATTATTTTCTTTTTTTCAGGTTATGGTGTTCTTCTCTTCATGCAACTCAGTTAAATTCCACCACGAACTTCTCAATTATATCGATATTCCTTGTATGAGCATTCACGTATGAATTGCCAGTTCGGTTTTGACAATTTTTGCCATTGTCATTAATTGCAGGGAAAACAGAAGCAGCAGAAACGTACGACGACGTTCTTCCAGTTTTGCCAAGCAGAAAGCGGCATTCTGCTCTGTACAGATGTGGCTGCCAGAGGATTGGATATCCCCGCTGTCGACTGGATTGTTCAGTATGATCCGCCAGATGAGCCGAGAGAGTATATTCACAGAGTTGGTAGAACCGCCAGAGGAAAAGACGCCAGGTAAAGCGGGCAATTTTGGAGAAATCTTCAACTGAATGTTTGCAGAGGAAATGCTTTGTTGATCCTACGACCAGAAGAACTCGGATTTTTGCGTTATCTTCGGGCCGCCAAAGTAACGTTGAACGAGTTTGAATTCTCTTGGAATAAGGTAATTTAAGAATTGTTTTGTTTTTAAATTTTGGCGGATTTTTGAATGCGTGGGATGAATTGCATATGGGAATGTTGATTTTTGTGCATTTCAGGTCGCCAATATTCAATCGCAACTCGAGAATCTGATTAGCAAAAATTACTACTTGAATAAGTCGGCAAAGGAGGCATACAAGTGCTACTTAAGAGCATACGATTCGCATTCTCTTAAGGTAAATTTGAGAACTCGTCTGAAATCGAGTGTACTTTTGCCAACATTTAAACACTTGAGACTGGAAACACTTGTTTGCAATTTCAGGATATTTTTGACGTGACGAATATGGATTTGACGGCTGTTGCAAAATCATTCGGATTCTCCGTGCCGCCATTCGTTGATCTACCAATCAGCCAAAAGCCAAAGGTAGGCGTCGTTCGAAATTGTATTTGAACACGCGTTTTTGAACTTTGAACGCCCGTCGTGGTCAAATTAGGCGGTAATGTAAATCATGGGGCTCTTGAGACGATGTGGGGGGGGTGGAAATTCGAAATTGGTTTTTGGATTTAAATGTCCGGAAAGTACACAAGGAACGTTGCACGTATGCGCGATTTTAATTCAGAAATTGGTTGAGATGATCTCAGAAAGAAACGACCTTGAAATTAAAAAATGTAATCGAGTCGAATCATGAGCTCACGGTTTTTTTTCTTCAGGTCGAAGTTCGTTCGAAATTATCGGGTGCTGGTTATCGCAAGAAGAGCAAACCAGCATTTACATTCAAGAAGAAGTAGATAAATTTTCTTGGCGCTTTCGCCCCTCCAAAAAAAAGCTTTTCGATTGTTTGTTATTTTTGCGTTGTTTGAATTGTTATTTGTTGAGACTTCATTTTTATTAATAAATTGTTGTTAATCTGCCACGAAAAGTGAAAAAAAGATGGTTGGAAGGATAAACTTTAAACTCGGCTGCTCCCGTCGCGCAGATCGAAATCGAAAATTGGCGACGCCGGTTTCACCTGTGTCCGAATAGTGTACGAGATGAAGAGAAGCCGGCGTTTTGTGGGCGGCCCGCGCGATCGCCTTCCTTTTTTGGTTCCACTCGATTGTTCCCTTCCATCGCATACTTGAAATAAAAACCACGCCCACTCTTCTGACGACTCTGCCCTTATTTGGCTGAAAATTTGCGACTGATGACAGCGATGCTGACAATTCTCGGCGTTTTTCTCGCGACAATTCGCTTCTCGAGTTGTATTCCAATTCCGAATGGAATTTTGGGTGAGTAGGTTTTATCGAATTTCGATTTTTTGATTTTGCGATTAAATTATGCGTGTCTAAATTGCTAATTAACCTGTAATACACGAATTTCGCGCGATTTGAAAGGTTCTTGAAGCAAAAAAGCGAATTGTTGGTTTGATGTTCTCATCGAATCGATTATGTATTACATAATGAGACAAATAAGCATGTCGAATGTTCACTTTTTATACTTGTGATTGTGTCCGAATGGAGACGCAGCGAATGATGCCCAAACAAGGCAATCACGAACATCTTTAATGGTATTGATATATCAGAAAGACAGGGTTATGAACATCTTGAAATCCGACGAATCGTTTTGAATTAACCGATTTTGAGGAAATGTCGAAATTGAATGCACCGAAGACACTATCGAGGCAGTTTTCCTAACAGAATCGCCATTTCTCGGTAAATTATCCAATTAAAAAAAGGTTATTCGAAATTTGAGCTATAGGAAGAGTATTCGTGTTGGGCCATTCGCATGATAAGGATTGTGTGTCTCTTGAGAGAGGGCGACGGACCACGTCGATTACGGTGCCGCGAAACAAATGCGGCGTCGAGACAATTAATCGGGTATTGGTGGGATTTTTGAACGATTTGAATGCGCTTTGATTTTAGGGAAATGGTGCCGGATACACTTCTTCCGTCAATGTTGTCATTTCTTTTCATAATAAATTTATCACGAAAGTTGATCGGGTAAATCGTCGACGACCTTGAAATTATCGTCAAAACTCATTTTAGGCTTATAATATCACTTGTTTGTACGCGCCAACCGGCGATGTTGTGTCCTATGCTCTTTCCGTCGAACCCACAGTATCGCCTTTTGAGATATTCATCCAATTATGTGCTCTTGCAGCTCCTCAAAGACATCCAAGTGCTCGCTGATCAGCCGACATGCGAGTATGAAGTCTTCGATGTGCGGACGAGAAAACCTGCCGATGTCGTCAAGGTCAACTCACCGTTGGAGCATGTTTGGACTTGTGATGGCTCAAATTTGGGTAGCATCCAACGGTTTGATGCAAAACTTGAAATATTCAGATTTATTCTGCATGCGAGTTCATGATTGTTTCATTAACGAAGGAAAGTTCAAGAAGTCAAAAGTGATTGACGCAGAAGGGTAAGTTGAGCTAAGCAAGAACATCGAACTCCAATAAAAACTGCCAAAAATATCAGATCCACAAGTAAACGTTGAAATAAAAAATTCCAGATGTTCGCTGGATCCGAAGCGTCTTCCAAATCTTCGCTACGATAACAATAAATTAGTGGCTCGGGTAATGTCTCGAGCATTTCAAGTTGGAAATGATGTAGCTGTTGAATTCGAGTGCAATGTTCGATTAGATCTCAAAAACGGAACATGTCCGGTAATAAATTAACTATTTATTTCTTCGTTTAAAAAGGAACATTCAGCGACCGAAATGCTAGACAACAATGTTATGCCCGAATATGTATTGTTTTGTTGAAGGATCCAAATCAAGTCATTATATAAATTATCATTTATTATGCGAATTTGTATTTGTACTCTCGTAAGTTATGCTTTAACTAAACCATTTCAATATCCAATAGAATGTTTTTATAACTATATTTCTGAAAATTTTGGTTATATGAGAGAAATTCTAGAATAACTTTACTTTTTCTTTTTCTCCATCGCGAAATTGACGCGATTCTCGCTGATGAATAAATGCTCTTCTGGATTTTCATTATAGTCGGAGCTAAACAATTAGGAAATATTTAATTTAAAAAACTTCAGAAAATACCTGGATCTGAACCCAAGATTTTCACAATACCGATGAAATGGTCTGAAATATATATAATGTATTCGAATATTAAGAATCATACATTTCATTATAAATATCTATAGATGATAAATCAGAAGAAACATTTCGGGAATCTTCGTCGGAATCCGAATCGCCGAAGCTTCTTAAATATTGTAGGTTAGAGAATCTCGGATCAGCATCAACCTACGTAAATTGAGTAGACGTCGACATTTTTTGAATTCGATCCTTTCCAATCCGACTATAACAGTCAGCAAGTTGAATATACGAATAATGTGAACAGTTTTTCTGAACCATCGTGTTCAATTCTTCAAACGTAGGACGATCTGACGGATCTCTTTTCTTTAAAAAGAAAATAAATAAACTTTCCGATAAGTGCATATAGAAAGTAAACTAACAATGCATTTTGCTATAATCTCAGAAATTTTAGAACTGTTTAAATGGTCAACGTCTAGAGTAAAGTTGGGATGGGTTACCTGGAATTTGAGGAATCGATAAAAAATTGTCGAAAAAACAAATTACCGTGAACAGAATCTGATGTTGATTCATATTTCTGAACGGAACATCATTTTTGATTTCGTAAAGAACCATTCCGAAAGCGTATACATCGCTTTTCTCCGAATATTCGTACTTTTTAAGTGCTTCTGGAGCCAAGAATTGCGTCGTTCCACATGGGCTCTTTTCCACTTTCTTTTTCGACACACATTCACCGAAATCACATATTTTCAATGTAATTGTGCTCGGTGAGACCCCTTCACAATTTGTGCATATTATACATTTCTGTAGAATTCAAAAATTAAGAAGATTCGATTGAACACTCGGGAAAAATTTGCAACTCTGCCGAAGACATCGAGAAACACCAGCGTAGAATAAAATGCAAATCTGCTGTGATAATGCGGCGTGATTGCACAACCAGTTGCTAAAATAACAATATATTCTGCAATCACGTCGCATGATGTCTACAGACTTGCATTTAAAATTACGCCTAAATGTTTTCAGATGTCACGACGATCTCATCGTTCGGAATTTCTCGGTTTTGGCGAAACTCGCAGCTTACACCGTTTCACCATTTTGATGAAAACAGCACATTTGTTCACCATTTCTCTAAAATTTTCCACTGTTCGCCGAACACGAAAAATCTCTGCTTCGTGAGAGCTAGGTTGTCCCGAGAAGTGGTTGGATTACCTTATCAACAAATTCCGCATATTTGTACTCTGGGAGAGGGCAACAGCAAACACGTTCTTTTATTAAAACTAAAGAACGAAATATTTCATCAAAATGTTTTAATCGTAAACCAACTATTTTGAGTTTTCAAATCTCGGTGAATATGGGTCTTTGATATTGTCAACATTCCGTTTAGAATTTGTCTACTCCAATCAAAAAATACAGATGAAGAAATGGCAATTTGATTGTTTTTCAGCTGCTGAACCAAACTGTCAAGACTCAGTCCTAAAATCAAAATTCCCATCTGTTAATTTTTTTCAGTATCATGCCTGCACAATATTCCATGATTATTCCTTCAATTGGATTTGAGCAAATTCCAATCAATTGGCAGACATTCTCGCAACCAATGAACAACTTCATTGTTTGCGCTTCGTTTATCATTTTGGCTAGAAATTGAATAAAATGAATGATAGAATAAAATCTGAAGTCAAACCGCGAGTTCGCGAGCGATTCTCTAATGGACTGCATTTAATAATTTTGCAAGCAGCATCCTGGAAAATGAAATGGACAATAAAGCCGAATCGTTTCAAACATACCTTTTCCTTGCAGAATATGTGATAAACATTTGCGTAGCCACCAAATCCAATTTTGTTGAATAAAAGCTTATCATATTTAAATTCAATATCGTCTGCGACAATTTGCGGAATACTATTTTGCATTACAATGCGAACATGAAGTGTGCTCACGAATTGAACTAGGAATGATACCTTCGAAAATGACTGATAAGAGTCCGTTTTTATTGAAACCATCGTACAAACAATTTCGATAGCATTATGGCTTCTAATTACACTAGAAAATACAATCAGTTATTCATTTGTACAATATTTAATAAATTCAATCGCCGCTGGGTTCTTCTCAAGTTGCTCTTTGTCGAAAACCTCTTCATTTTTAATGAAATATGAAAACAGTTTGGCAAACTCAGAGGAATATGGAGGAGAAATGATTTCCAATGTCTCAATATTTTTAATTTAACGAATATTATGAGAATATGAAATACCTCGGTAACAAAATAGCGGACCAAAGAGGAATCAATCGAATTATCCTCTAAAAGAGTTTTCAATCGCTCTAAGACCATTATCGGTTCTCCAACAGATAACAAATGCACTAATCTATCCATAATTAGTCTCTCACGCTCCATAATAACCTAAATTATTGACTATAATTGGGCAATTAAATAAGAAATTACCTCCGCGAGAGTTGCTTCATTCGATATTTTGTCAAAATAATCACAATAGATTTCAAAAACCTCGCTTCGAAGAAGATGATGTTGAGTACAAATATTATCAAGAATCACAAAAGCGGCATCGCTGACGTCGCCTGAAATTCATTGAATTACAACAATACGTTGATTGGGCTTGAACTGATACCAATTCGAAACTCTGCCAGGAGCATTGTTCGAATATAATGAACCAATCCGCAAGCGACAACCTCGGTCTCCAATGAAGCCAGAAAATGCGAAAGTAGAACGAAAAGACTATCCTCGACCTCTAAATATGAAAGACAATTTTCGATTTCGCACCGAACTTCTTCTACATCTTCCGTCTGAAATTGAAAAGAGTGAAAATTGAGAATAAAAATGCGAATTTTTACATCATGTTCTCCAGTAACCGGATCTTCATCAGCCGCACTATAGTATGCGAGAAGATAAATGAACTTCATTTTCATTTCTTCGTCCACTTTGACACCGTCACAATGGAAAAGTTGATCAATAAGGAAATCGAAGACAATCGGATCACGCAAAATCGATATTGGTGGAGGTTCTTCTTGAGTAATTTGCTTAAAAAAATAAATTTCGAGAAACAGAAACCAACATTTCGAACCTCATATATTTGATTTGCATCAGCAACGGTCATGTCTCCATGAGTAGCCAATTGAAGAATTTTACAAGAGAATTGATTGTCTTCCTACAAAACCTCACTTTATCATTTTATTAAATTCCGAACTCACCTTAAAGAAAACAGGATTGACCAGTCGTAGACGAATCACACTTGCTTCGTATAATCTCGATTTTGGGATTGCTTCGCGCAATTCGTCCGCAAAATATTCACAAGCCGCTCGAACCCAACCACCATTCTGCTCACCAACTTTCTAAATATTAAAAATATTTCCATATTATCAACGAAAATACTTTATAAAACCAATTTTTTCTATTATTACTAATTTGCAGGTTATCCGAAATACGTTACCCAAATATTAAAGTCAAATTAGAGTTTTTTTTTGCAGTCGTTGGAATCTGACAATATGTATTTAAAAAAGTACCGTAAGAAGAAACATTGTATATAGATAAGTGTGAATCCCTTGTAGAGCAATTCTCTTCTGAAAATAAAAAAAAGAGTAAATTTGGAATTAAAAAACGAACAAATTTGTCCATGGCTTTGGTGAATGCTTCCGAATTAACTCCTCCTTTTTTATTCGCCACTAAACACGATTCCAAGGTGACAAGAAGAACACGCGAGAAGATGCTGAACTGGAAAAAGGAAGAGCTGTTAAAAATGTGCTAGCTGCGGACACTTTACTTGTTGCGTTGCATTGTTCACGGTTGTCATTTCTGTTCGATATCCGGCGTCCGAGATGAGTTTCACCACAAATTTCAGCATATCGCTGTTCTCGTATTTCGACATCAGTTTGTAAAAGAATTCTCTCCAACGTCTGAAATACATAAAATAGAAGGTATTCATAAATTTTCTAAAGAAAATTACTTATGACAAATCATATCCGAAAGCCATTCAATGTCCTCTTTTCCTTCTTCAAGTAGCCGATCAGCCAACTCGGGCTTATACTTTTTAAGAAGCAAGTTCGTGAAAGCTTCTTCGACCGCCTTTTCCGATTCCTCTCTTCCGTTGTATACTTCTACAGACGTTTCTTCTTCAACGTTCTGCTTCTTCTTTCGACGACGGTTTCCAGCAACTTTATCGCCAAGCTCATCGAGCATCCCACACAAAACATTACAGACCTTACGAATCACTTCATTTTTTTTTTGATAATTGGAATTTTCGTCTAACCTGCGCCGATCCAATATAAGTTTTTGCCAGTTGGTCCGAAATCTGTTCCAATGTTTGTCCCTGCTCGAAGCAAGCCTCAACAACTTCATCAATATTCGGCTCCATAATCGCGTCGGGACCTGAACAGATTAAAACGATTCAAATTGTAAAAAATGAATTAATTTAACAAAAACTCACGATTCAATTCGCTAGGATCGTTTTTCTTCTCCATTTTTCTCCTTAAAATCTCAAAATAAATCCGGTATTATTCAAGATTAAATATTATTCAACGGACAATCTCCTGATTTTGCTGATGGATGAAACACGTGAAAATTTCAATTTATTTATTAATCAAAAAAATGCGAAGAAGAGTAATAAAACGAAGTAAGCGAAACAACATTATGGTAACAGAAGAAGCAATGATATCATTTGTTATTAAATTAAAGTTATCAATTAAAAAACGCCCGGCTTTCTTCCAGGCCACGCCTCCTTTGCGTACTTTTTCTTCATATGGCCACTTGTTTCCTCTTCTTCAGGTTCAGTAGATACTAAAAAATAAAATATAAATAAGTTAACATTTCAAAAAAATGATAATACCATAATGATTTCCAGGTTGTGGTAATGTTTTTCCGTACAGCTCCAAATCGGGAGCAGCGTTCAGAGAAACTGGTCCGAAGGTGGAAGAAAGTGGAGCGGTGAGCACTTCTCGACATGGCCTGACAATCTGAAAATGATTCAAAAATATTTGTAATAGCGTAGTCAATCATTTTGAAATTACCTTCTTCGGCGGCTCGTATCGTCCTCGATCTCCTGGTCGTTTGGCGGGATTTGTGGAAATGATGGCTGTGGTTATCAAATTTCGGAATCGTCCTACGCTCGGATCAACATCCTCTGGATTGATGATCTCTTCCTCTTCAATAAATGCCACATTTCCGCGCGGTCGCTTTTTTCGGCGAGCTTCTTCCAAAGAAATCGGCAAATTCGGAATTCGTCGATTCTGCGCTGTATTATATTCGGTGACGTGCTGAAGAAAAAAGGAACATATTGAATTTCGATAGATAAGTAAGTGATTACATCGAGATGTTGGTCGGAAGCAATCGCTGCAGGATCATCCTCAACCGGTTCGTCGACTTTTAGACGAACCGCGTACCTAAAAACCGTATGTTTGTAATTATTAGAATGCAATTCAACTACATACCTTCTAGTTGATGCGCCTAAATGAAACTGTTTTCCAACTTCGATAAAAACGACTTCGAGTGGCTGAAGCCGCACAGATCCAATAAAAGTACCATGACCTCAACATTTTTTATTTAAAAAAATTAACACTCAAATAAGCAGATTTTTCTCCATTCTGCATAATAAATTCAAAACGTACTGCTTTCCATATCAACAATAGCAAATCTTTGTAGTAATCCATGATAAAGCAAAAGACAGTGTACGCGTGAACAAGAGGCGTGTTCAACAGCAAAATCCACCTAAATTCGTTATTTTGGCTTTTTTATACTCCTTTCAAAACTTTGAAACCTGCTTATTATTGCGTCCAAAATAATAGGCTTTTTTCTCATCAATCATTAATTTCTAAAAGACTGAAACATCTAAGTTAAAATCGATAACAAATTACTTGAATAAGTTGTGGTCCTTTATATACATCTAAATGCGAACCCGGTGGCGGTTTAGTAGCCCAAGATGGAATTTCAAATTTACTTCGCTCATCGGGAGCCTCGCTCATTGTAAAACACTAAAAGAAAATCGGAAATTGTGAGAAAATTCGTTCAAAAATGATTAATATATCGAAATGACGGCAAGCGCGCTCCAACGCCAAAAAATTAGGCTAAAATGGAGGCGATGAATATCATTGATATTATATCAATAAAAATTGAAAAAAAATATTTGAAACAAGAAAATTCATTTAAAATGTTAACGGATAACAATATAGGTGATATGATTTGGGTTAGTTCTCATGAGATCGAAGTATAACGATATCCGGAAATTTATCGGAACCCGTTGAATTTATACGCGAACGCGGCTCGAGCGGCACTGAAAATGTGCGGCGACGTTTCCATCGTGGTACGACAACAGTTTGCTGCTCTTCTAAACAAATTTGATATTAAACATTGAAAAAAAAACTTTGACAATACCATCTCGAGCAAATTGATTTCCATTTCGTGGAATTCGGAGCTGCATAAACTCTTGTGAACTGTCTTCAATTGCGTCTGACCGCATTCGTGGAAGCTAGAAAAAGCTTGATTTTAACAAGTATTGCCACCGTCGAAAGGCTTCGAAAATCAACTAAATGTCAAAAAAGTTTCGAAAAAGTCTCGGTATACGCTTTTAACCCATAATTAATTTTTGCACCGAGACCGCTGCCATTTTATTTTTTCCTCATTCCTGTGATTTCGACAATAAAATAAGATTAGTTGTTGCCAAATTGTCCGCAGATACAATTTTATTTTAAAATTTTCCAAACGAGTTTTTTTTTTGCTACTTGAAACATTTTACTAATTAAAGAAATATTTTAGTGTTTAATTACCTTCAGCTTCATCCTAATATTCGGCTCAACAAAATGATTTGCGGACAGTTCGTTATCATTCGAATTTCCATTGTTTCCCGCCAATTCTTTTTCATTCAAACACCAATATACAGTGAATACAAGACCAACGATATTAAGTATGAATACTAGGCCAATCCCAAATAAAATCAAAATCTTCCACGCATCCCATTTTAACACTTTCGGAGGCTTCTCCTCATTTTCCATTTTCGATAGCAGCTACAAAAAAAGATTTTATGAAAAGTGGAACGAAACCCAACATCTTTGACAATTTTATCAATTTCCGATGTCGTGTAGCCACCATTTCGAGTTCTTTGTTTTCTAGAGGTCATCATAAAGAACATATCGCGGATAAATCGTTCATCGAACCTCAAAGCAGTTACCTTAAATGGAAAATAAGAGAAAAATGTGACAAATTAGAAAAATAAGCGGACCTCTCGTTCTTTGAAGAATAATCTACACGATGGTGGAACTTTCTTCATAATCTGCTTTTTCTCGGATACTGTAGTCAGAATGTATTCATCGACCAATTCATCGAAAGCACTGGCTGGGACGTGCTGAGAAAAAAAAACGTTCAAATCTTAATTTAAAAGCACTTATAGATCTCACAATTAGCTTCGAGCCGAATGTCGGGCAAACTGTGTTAAGCTGCTCTCTCGTACAATTCAAATAGCAAGCGAGCGGCCTAAACAAAACAAGGTTTGATTTGAAAATATTCTCGAAAACCTGCAAAAATTCGAGAGATGGGTAATAACATTGTCATTATTCGTATTATAATCATCATCTGGTGGAATCGGGACCATAGTGTCATTGTTGATTTCGCAAACATCCGCACAATCTGAATTTTGAAATAAAAAATTATTTTTGATTTTTCGGGTCATTTTACTATATTCTTCTCTAGCTTCTTGTCCAACTTTTAGGATACAGGGTATCAGATTCTTGAACTGATCCGATCCACCATCCTCGCAAGCCCATTTGAATCCAGACGTCAGTTTTCTAAAAATATTTCAAATTCAATTTCTAAAAGCAAATTGAGAAAACCGGAAAACAATTTGATAATCATCGCATTCCCTCGAATCAACAACGCACGAACTCGCTTCACTGAAGGCACTAAAAAAAATTGGCGAATTTATAGAAAGTGCCCTATATTCGAAACCTGCAAATCTCGTCATGAGAATCCATCGTGATATTCCCGTATACAAACTTCATCAATTCCTGTTTCAAATTTTCCGTACAACTCAATAAACAAGAAGGCACGTGTTTCGAACCAACGAGAAACGATAAAAGTGGTCCTGCAACGAATACATCCTATTCGGAATTTAATAACTCCAATTTACTTTTATTCGTGTCAAAAAGACTGTATCCATGACACAATACTGTGAGTGATGTAAGAAGAACAAATAATATTCTCATTCCCTGAATTTCAATTCGACATATATTGCAGTAAAGGCACTTATCTCAATAGTATGGTGTTTTGATAACCCCAAATCGTATTCAAATTCGTACATTGACCCGAATTTATTTATTTACAATTCAATTCATGCAATAAATTCTCAATTTTCAGAACATTTTAGAAACTGCTTTCGTTTTTTGAATTCCGCGAGCTGTCGAGCTGCTCATTTTGGAGAACCGGACGAATTTGGAACGAATCGCTCTGCTCTGTGTCGATTGCTTCTCTCGGCATTTCAACGAAGTCTAAAGTTCGAATTCTACATGATTTAACACTTCGAGGCACCTGATGCTGGATTTTCAACGGATAACGGCTTATTCGATTTGTAGTCTCTGGTCGCGATGCTCGCCAGTGGCAAATTGTAGTCTGGGGCTTCGAAAGCGGCGTGAGAACTGTAGCGCAGCTGTTTGCGGCTGTCGTGTTGGCGCTCGTTCAAAGAAAGACACATCAATTTGACAGCGATGAAGACGTAAACGAAGAAAACCATTAGGATATTTAGGTAAACGGCTAAGCGGATTCGAGCAATTTCGCTTTTCTTGAGTCCATCCATGAAACTTCCTGCGGACTTCATCACATTCGTCCGCGAACCACGCCCCCTGATCGGCTGGAAAAAAATAAATTCTAACAGCTCATTAAATAATTGTGTACAGCAGATTCTCCTGAAATCCAGCTGGCCGCTGAATGTCCGACAACTCGAATTTCGTTTACAATGGATTGTATCCATCCTGGAATTTCGACTTGGCGTCCGAAAATTTCCACGGTGGCGCCCTTAAATTTAATTAACTCATTCGTTATTGCTTTCGATTATAACCTTTGATTTGAATTCACTGAATATTGGACTGTCGATGGCTGTCATTCGTGAAGTAAGCGACTCATTTGTAGATTTCACATAAAATCCTGAACAATGGCCGACAAAAAAGGCAATTGTGGTTAGTACGGTTAATTGCATTTTCCTGGAAGTCGTATTTATCTTTCTTTTTCTTCGTTGTGAGTGCTTCTTCTTCGAAAATTTTGGCGTCAACACAATTTGCAATTCGAAACAAATATGAGTGGGACGAAAGTAATTGCGCTGCTAGTTGCTCATTTGCAGCTTTCTCAATTTGCAAGACTAAAATTGCAGGAAGTGAGAATATTTAGGGTTTAATGTATCCGAATCAAATGTGTTAATCTTCATATTAAGCTTGAAATAATTGACCTGATGCCTAAATTCAAATCGACTACGTAAGTTAACTTCGGAACCGACTTTAATGATTTCATAAAAATATAAATTTTAAATGTGAAACGTCATATGGCCGGTTTTTTCATAAAAAATAATGTTATTGCATATTTTGTAACCGCCAAAACACGCAAAATAATAAAAACACGAATGAACTGCAAAAAAACAACGACCGGGGCATCTTCCAAAATTAGGAAAAATTAATTGCTCGTAATTTATAACGTTTTATCCGCAGTTGTGTATTTTCTACCGTACCCATTTTCAAGACGCCAACTGAACTCATCAAAACAATTTCAAGTCTACTTTCCCATACGCTTTCATCTATTCTCTCCAAGAATTTCAAGTCTTTTTTATGGGACCCTTTTCATTGGCACACATGACTGCGCATCAAAAGGAGTTTTGTGTGCAATGCGTTTTTTTTCTGTTCGCTGAGCGCTCCGTTTTCTTTACTCAATGTAATCTCTCACGGGATTGAGCATGTGAGCAAGCGACGAGCATCAAGCATTCAGAATCCCGGCCGAGGTGCCGTGTTTCGTGCTCTCGCGCCTCAACTTACTCTTTTAGGCGGCTCACGACCGCCTTCAAATCGATTCGATGAAGAGAGAAGACGTGCGCGGAGCTCGCACACGCAAAAAACATTGTGTGCAGTCGGGCGAGAGGCAACCGAGCGCCGCGCGCCCGCCCCATTTTTTCATTCTTTTTCGCATGTTTTGTGCATAACAACGCGCGCGTTAAAAAAAGAAGAAGAAGAAGAAAAATGCCGACAAAAACGAAGCGAAATGTAAGACAACAACACCCGACGCCTCATATGGATTCGATTCTATTTCGAGCCTCCGCTCGTGTGTATTTTTTCATTCAATTCTTCCTCAATTTTTTGTTCATTAATATCGCCTTAAAATTTTTGCGTCGACCACCAAATTCTCATTTTTATTTTGGCGTTTTTCGGCTTCTTCCTCCTCTTTTCAAAATTTAGCCAACCGAACGCGCAATTCGATCGCTTTTTTTCGTTCCTTCGACGACGCAGTCAACAAATTTTTCCGCTCTCGTATTTTTCTTCCGAAAATTCAACGAAAATTGATTTTCTACGCGCAGATTGCTAATTTTTGAAAACTCGTTAATGTTTGATTTTTAATCGAATAAAAAAATGTGCAATCACCGTTACGTTAAATTGCGGTTTGCTTTCAACACGATTTTTACGGACCATTGGTTTTCTGTGAAATTTCAAAGATTCGTGGAAGAAATCTCAAAGAATTTGCTCCAAGTCGGGTCCGTTTTTTTTTTCGAGTCGAAAGATTACGGTAGAATATTAGCTTCATCGCAAAAATAAATAACGGAGAGATTTACGAGCATCGCTGAGAACGACAGGCTTCTTTCTCACATGTATATGACACGAAATTTGGCTTTTTTGGAATTCGTTGCGTGACCAAATAGCATTTAATAGAATGTTATGATAGTAGTACTTAAATTATAAGATATATAAGATAATCTGGTTTTTAATTTTTTTTAATTTCCCTCAAAGAATAGGCCATTTTTGAGGTATTTCCTGGATTGTGCCATTGGTTTTTTTTAAATAAATACTCTTGATTATGATAATTGACGAAACAATGGGTTATCTTTGAACTTATGAGAGTCGTAAAATTGAATAATTAGCATGATAAAGAGTGTTATCAATTCAGCGAGCATTTATTAAAGACCTCCATATTTTTTGTGGCGAGTCCGCCGAAATCAAATTTCACAGCGGGATGTCGGGGGACGCAATTTTCCAACATTTTATTCATTCACATCATTCATTGCGCCTCGTTTTTTCCTCGTCGCCAGTTTGCTTTTTTGTTTCGCAATTATTCATATTTTGCAGAAAGAACAAAAATCAATTATGGCGGGCTTTCTGATGAAACAAATGGTCGGCAATCAGCTGAATGAGGTCACCGGCGGACTCGGCCTCAACAATGACAACAACGCGGAGAAGACGGAGACCGGCGAGGATCCAGAGGTATCATCGCATAACGACAACCCGGGTGGGACAATTGTTGTGCTCAGGTTGTAGCGGCGCGTCTCGAGCAAGAGGAGCGACGGAAGGAGAAGCATCGCAAAATGGAGGCGGAGCGAGAGAAGATGCGACAGGGAATTCGCGACAAGTACAGGTATTCTAGATGACGTGTGTGTGTCGGTAAGAATTCAAATTTGTTCAGCATCAAGAAGAAGGAGGAAGGCGCGGCGATGGATTTTACCGAGGGCCGCATCGGTGGTCCGCGAAAAACTCCAGAGGAGATTGCCGCCGAGATGAATGCCGAGGATGACAGCATCATCGGACAGCTCGGGCTCACCGAGCATGTCGAGAAGGCCAAAACCATGGCGACAGGCGCCTTCGAAACTGTCAAAGGATTCTTGCCGTTCGGAAAATAAGACAAATTTTTCGGCATTTTCCAATAATACTAATAATCCCGTTTTATGTCAAAAAAAAAGAGACTTGAACAAGTGTATCGATCTCCTTCACTTCAATTCTCGCAATGTGTAGTATTTATTTATTAAATCAAAATAATTCCTTGTTTAATATAATATGGCATAATAATTATAATATTAATAAAGTTTCGGTAGACAGATTCATTTCGATTTTTTCGTTCTCGCCAACTCGAGATGCTCAAATTTCTTTTGGCCCGTCTTTTTCCGCGTTTTTCTCTTGAAAAACAAACATTCCAAAACGGGCAAAAAAATGGAAAACCAACGGCATATAAGGTGACTTGGGTTGGCTCCTTCGTTCCAATACATCGTTTTGAAGGAGCTTTTTTGACTATCGATTGAGAGCAGCCTTCTGAAAATCGACGAGCCGAATCAGAGCGTGTTCGGCGCTCGATTTACCGCCGGTCGTGTTGATCATTGATCTCAGCGTGTTGCCGAATATCACGTCCTTGTCGAAAAACGCTTTATCGCGGGATTGGAGAACTCCAAGCTCGGCATATGGATCGATTGCAACTCTGAGTCGCTGAAAATGATTCAAGAAACATGAGAATTGATTACGGTAGGGTTGGCATGGTTTTGAGTTTAATGTTTCCATCGCTGACGCTCAAAATAGTTTCGGCATTCATTTCTCGATCTTTTGGCACTCCTTCCTGAAATGTTTCCACTTAAAACCGAATATTCTTCAGGTTTTCCTCAAATTCAACCATTTCTTTTTCGTCCAATTTGCAATACAACCAAAATGGTTTGCCTCGAATAAATAGTTTTTGTTTTGCCGGATCAGGAGATGAGCTTTTGGGTTCCTAGAAATTGATAAGCCGTCACCGACGCGTCGATTCGTTCGATTACCATATCCGTTTTCTGTTCGCCCACCTCCTCGCACGTCACTTCTTTCTCTAAATCGACGACGGGAATTTCTAGCATGTTTTTCGCCGATGGGAATATGTCTTCTCCGAGTCGAACTGCCGTCTGAACCCTTTGAAAAATGAATTTTCCTTTTTTCAAAAATACCGCTGGAACTCTTTTCGATCTCTCAATAACCTTCTCGACGAGTCTCGAAACGCTTTCTTCATTTATCGGTTTACTCACAAACCGTTTTACAGTTCGAGTAAATATATTCGATGACGGTTCTGAAAGGACCCGTAAAATGTCCGCTGCTGTTTTCAATTTACCCGATCCGTCCGGACTTTTCTTTGGTAATTTTATTACTGATTTTTCCGCTTTCGATCGCTCCATTTTTGATTTGCTACTATTTCCTACTGGTTTGGCCATTACGGATTTCTCAATCCTTCCAGCGGCTGAAGATTTTTCCATTCTAGATTTTCTAAAGAATTGAATTTAAAAAATCTATTTCCAGATTTAAATTCTACTCTGCTCGACTCTCGACTCTTGACCGTGTCATTTCCGCTTCTTTTCTTCAAAATTTCTCTTTTATTTATTCAAATGTTTCAGATTACTCCTACACTTTGCTAATATCTCGTATTTTGCTCCTGCTCATATCTGCCGATTTGTCCTCCTTTCGAGCTCGCCTTTGCTTATTTGTCGATTTTCGGAATTTTTCGTCATCTTGAATGGTTCTTCTCTATAATTGTAATTTTTTGAAATTTAATTGCCAAAGTTACGTTTTTGATGGTATTATATTTGCTGCTTGATGCCATGCTAATAAGTCGTTATTTTTATTGACTATAATCACTTTATTTTACCAATTATGCTAGAAATGACTAAGAAGGCAACCAGTATTTCAAGACGCTATCATTTTGCGTTAAATCTGATTTTTAATAATTATTTATATTTAGAAATACTATGTATTTAGATATTTCTAAATAATGGAATGAAATCACGTTGGATTTAGTAGAAAACTTGAGAAAGCACGTAATGCGTCAAGCGAAGAGAACTGACGCATTTTTCGATCATTGACTTCTTTTTTAAGACGTAATTTTTTCGACCACTTTTTGCTTAAACCGAATTTCAATTTCGGAACCTCTCAATAATTTTTCAATACATTTTTTGAAATCAATTTCTGCAAATTTTATGTTTTCAGATGTCATTTCTTGACGAAATCTCGAAATTAACTACTCCGGCAGCAGAATTGCCGGATGTCGAAGACGACGATTATGATGGAACCAAAGCAAAAAAGTCATCGACTTCCGTTTCTAAACTACGCCCGAAATTAGATTTCGAAGAGGGAAAGTATTCGGGAAAGAGGGTCTGCCAATTCTTGGTGTTCTCTTAAGAAATTAGTATTTTCAGATAAATCGAGCTGATTTGTTTGGAGATTCAAGTGAAATGAGCGGCCTGAGCAAATTAAATGAATCTGAAAGTGACGATGACGAAGAGTTTGAAGGTTTTTAAAAGAATATTTTGCGATGTGTTTTTCTATGCATTTCGTTTAGGAGAAGACGAAGAAGAAGAAGAGGACGATGATAACCAGGAGAATCAAATTTCAAAAAATGGAGACCAAGAAAATAGTGATGATGAAGAGATGGAGGATGAAGAAAATGAATCGGGAAATGAGGACGAAGAAGACGAGGAAGATGATGAGGATGATAACACTGGAATCACCAAAATCCATGTTCCTACTGATAATGACGCCACAAAAGATAAAGGTAATTATTGTATTATGCATTTAATTGAATTTAGTTTTCAGCGGAATGTATTCGAAACCAAAGAAAGGTTTGGGAAGACGTCATGTACACCAATATTCGAATGCACGCCCTTTTAAATTCCGTTAATCAATTACCACGAGGAGAAGAAAGGAAAAAAATGTTGAATGAGGCGGATGACGTTACGAAAGAAAATCTAAACACTGGTACTAACTTTTTTTCCGCAACCAAATTGAGAATGATTGAATTTCAGCTCTTCAAAATCTAGGAAAATTACGGAAATTATTGAAAGAAGCTGTTGAATGTTTCAATGAGAATTCTCAAGAAGACGATGACGATGAAGAGATTCCAAGTGACGATGAGATGGAGGAAAATGACGAAAGCGAAATTGACGATGAAGAGGATGAAGGGTATATCAGTTATTTCTTGTAGTTAAGGATTGCTAACTCTTTTCTAGGGAATCAGACGACGAAGAGAAGGTTGCAAAGGGCTCGAATCAAGGTGTCAGCATAGATGCACTATCAAAATTCCTGGCCAAACATGATACTGATATCGACAAATTTAGGTAAATTCCTTAAACGTTTGTTGGCTGCCTTTCTTCCTTTCTCAAAATTCCATTTATTTCTTCATTTCGTAGTTTTGTTTAAATGAATAACATTTTCGCTATGACTAGCAAAAGACGAACGAGCGTCTCCAGCTAGCGGAATAAGTTTCAAGTTTGTTTCTGTTTTATGTGAGCTCCAAGGAGCTTTTCTGTGATTTATCGCGAGTTTTTAAAGCAAACATCAATTCTAAGCCATTCTTCAATAATAATGGGTCTGTTAGAGACAAAAGTGAATAATTTTATGAAAATGTTTTCATTATATTATTTTCAGGGCGACGACGATCACAAAATGGTATAATCGGACGAAGCTGCTCAGCTCGAAATCGGCGAATAATGCGGATTTCAGTGTTTTTGAGAAAGGAAGTATTCTGAATCAGATTTCTAAGGTAAAATCACTGAAAATTCTATAAAAATCGTCTCGATTATTGAAGATTCTAAATGATGAAGGAAAATTGCTAAGAAAGGTTCGTACGAATCGAGGAGGCCGTCAACGAATGGGTCTCGACGAGACAAACAATGACGTTGACGATGAAATCTTCGACGACACCGACTTTTACCAGTTTCTGCTCAAGCAAATGATTGAAGCTCGATCCAGCACTGTGAACACCAACGAAGACGGAGCGGATATGACGAGAAGCTACATGGAATTGCAGAAAATGTTCAATAATAAGAAGAAACGCGATGTGACATCGCTTTCATCTAAAGATAGACGCCTGAAGTATGAACCTATCGCAAGACTTATTAATTTTTATCCTGCGAACCCTGCGGTAGTCACCTGGTCTCATGAGTCTCGAAACGAATTGTTTAAATCTCTATTTAATTAATTTCTTGTTACTGTTTGTTGTTGTTGTTGTTGTTGTTAAGTCTTTGTTTTCTTTTGTTGTTTTTAATTAAAACATTTAGTAATAAATGAACGAAATGGAACAAAACGAAAGAATTGGCATTAATTGATTGCGATTAAAGTGTTACTCCGTGAATTGAAACGTATACAATATTATTGAACAGTCGGTTTTTTTGTCCCGATATCCCGTATGCATCACAGTAAACTAGTTTCACAGAATGGAGAAGATGTGGAGGCACTGGTGAAAAAATTCTTGCGGTTCGCATTGGCTAATCTTGTATCCGCTCGCGGTACACGTAGCTGCATATTTCGCCGTTGAGCATCTTGGTGCACGTTGGCCAGAAAATGCAACTATCTGGATCAGAATAGCAAATTAATGCTAAAGCAATGAAGAAGATTCCAGAGCAGATGTGACATGGTCTGAAAATCATTTAATTTATTGAGAAGACAACAAAATTTCTTAATTTTTTACGGAGAAAAACAAAAGAAAGCAAGAAATTTCGCGAACTATTTGTTCAAAATTTGAAAAATTTCAAATCCCTAGACGAAAACACCATCATTGTGAGAAAAATTTCGAATTAAAATTTTGATTAAAGATAAAGAAACCTTGTGAAATTAACTTTTTCACTATTATGATACTGTCGGCGTCGCACGATAGCGTAAAATTGGCTAAATGCCAGAAAATAATGACAGAGGCCTTGGCATAAAACTAAAAGTGTAGATTTTATGAATAGTCGGCGTCCGGCGACTGCTGTACGCGGGTAGATTTACGCGCGTGCGCCTTGAAAAGGTCTCGCCACGCGTGAATGCTTATTTTCCTGTTTTCACGTGAACTGCTTTATTTTTCTTGATGATTTTCGCATTTCCTTTAATTTCCAACGTCATTCGATTCAAAAATTATCGAACCGGTCCATAAAATTTGAAATAACCTGTTAGTCCTTGCGAGACCATTTCGAAAGACGCATTCCCGCAAATCTACACGCGTACAGCAGTTGCCGGACGCCGACTATAAGTATAATTAAAGGCGCACACCGCGCACCGTAACCTCTTTTTAAAAATTTTGACATTTAGCCGATTTTCCGCAGTCGCGCGACGTCGACAATATTAATATATTCCATTTAACAAAATAAATTTTTTTTCATTTTAAAGAAGAAATTCGGAACACGATTGTTCACCAACCTTCTTTCGAGAAAAAATCCTACAATGTAGAACCACATGAAAAGTGCTTGTTCGACTAGGAACATCGGATGAATCCAGTGCTTCGGAATTAGCAAGACCGGAATCAACCATTGAAGGCAATACATGTTTTACTGAAAATTAATTTTGGGTAACTTTTTGTTTATCCATTGTTTCGCAATTCAACAAGCCGTCCCGACGTCCAATTGACAAATGCAAACGAAATTATAAAATGTTTATTGTCGGATTAAGCATGATATAATGAAAAAAACGGAAGCGGAAGGAAGAGAATACGGGAAGTATAAAAAAAAAGAAAAAAAAAATAAAAATCCAGAACTCTTGATATTTGCGAATCGGTGTTTGCGGATGATGCATCGCACTCTACGTACTAATCGCCTCGTATTATTTTTTCGTTTGCTGTCATAATTGATTTTTTCCTGATACAAACAATCGTTAGTTTCCTTTCAGCATGTTCAAGTATATATGGGAAAACGATGTAAATGATCATTATTTTAAACCTCCTCCATTTGATGAAGAGAATGCGATTAAGAATCTCTACAAAAATCAAGTTCTGAAAGGCCATGAAGGTTGTGTCAATACATTAAAATGGAATAAGTCCGGAACGTATGTTCGCAAGTTTAGAATTTTCAGTTTTGTAATCGTTTAGGCTTCTTGCATCTGGATCGGACGACAGGCACATAATTATTTGGAGAGGAACTGGCGAACAGGTGCACAATATACGAACAAATCACATGGGCAATATTTTTGCCGTAGACTTTATGCCACAGAGACCGCAGCTGCTTGTATCTGGAGCTGCAGATCACACGATTCTCACAAATCATATACTATGTAACTTTAAAAAATTCTAGAATCTTCTTGGCATCCCGCGATTACGGAAAATTGGCTAAATGCCAAAAATTTATGACAGCAGTCTTGGCGAAAAATAAAGTGTAGATTTACGGGGATAAGCATAAGGAGAGGTTAAAGGACTCACCTTAATTTTCTGGTATTTAGTCAATTTTCCGCGGTCGCGCGACGACTACAATACGTACTTCTATGTATTTATAGATGGAAATGAAGGATTCTGGCAGACGGATGGACGGGTTAAGCGAATTATCACATTGGAAGAAGACCCGTTTTTGCTCTGGGCAGCCGTTGAAGACGGAACTGTGAAGTAAGCTTATAGATAGTCGTGAAAATTACTTAATTTTTTCAAGACGAGTCGATATTAGAAGTAACGAAATGTCGACATTCATCACTGTTGAGGACAAGGACTATGCTGTCAAGACAATCGCCAACACCGAAATACTTCCATATCTTGTATGGTGCAACTTTTTGAACATCGATGATTATTTCGAGTATTCAGATCGCCGTGGGATTCGATGTAGCCGAGACGCACATATACGACAGAAGAAATACAACGAAACCGGCCATTATTCTAAGACCAAGTATGAGAGTTTTCAAAAAAATTAAAATGTTTTAAATCGCTTTTTTTGTGTTTCGTCAAAATTTTTGATCATAGTTCAAAAGGATCATTGCAGGTGATCCATCGATTCAATACGCGCACTCGACTCACGTGACATTTAACAGTGCTGGAACGCATGTATTGGTAATCGAACAAACATCCAGTCGATATTACACAAATTGATTTTGTTCAGGTGAACCTCGGAGGTGTTGGAGCTTACCTTTACGATTTGAAAGAGGGCAATGAACCTAATATACTAAATTCGATTTATGATCTTATAAAGACGCCTGAGGTTCAAGGTATTTTCATTAATAATTTTTAAGCAGTTGTTCATTGTAATTTAGATCCTATTATTCGTCATACCGAATTGGAGCATCAGGATATTCGCAATAAAGGAAACAACTTGATTCGTGCAAAGAAATTCTCAGAGGTTTAATTCTTACTTTTAATAATTTTTTTAATGTTCGATATTTTAAGGCAATTGATTACTATAGTAGATTAATGGAACAAAAATTCAAAGATAATGCGTTGAATAGTGTAATGGCCTCGAATCGAGCGTTAGGATTTCTTTTGAGACGTCAAAAAGGAGATTCATATTCATGTGTGCGCGATTCTATTAAGGTAATACAGCGTTGCTTCTTTTTTTTATTTATGGTTATTTTGAGGCATTGGAATTGCATAATGGAAACGCGAAAGCATTATATCGATTGGCAAATGGATTGATTTGTGTTGATCAATTCTCACTAGCTGGAAAAGTTTGCGATGAATTTCGACGACGTTTTCCGAATGACAAATCGATTGAGAAGCTTGAGAGTCAGGTTACGGATATGAATCGAAAAGGACATAGCCGTTCAATGGAAATTGGAAATGATGAGATCGATTATATCTGTAGGGGAATGCTGAATTTTGATCACAATTCATTTATTTAAATTGTAGCTCGCTATCATGCCCATTTGAATGATCAAACTGATATAAAGGAGGCAAACTTTTTCGGAACTGACGACAGATTTATTGGTAAACTACTTTCTTTGGTTTTTAAGTATTGTCCTGTATTTTTTTAAGTTGCCGGCTCGGATTGCGGAACAATGTTCGTCTACGATACTAAATCAACCGCATTGATTGGGGCATGGCAAGCTGATGAGAATATTCTCAATATTCTACAGCCGCATCCATCCATGTTCATGTTGGCCACTTCTGGAATTGACTATGACATCAAGCTATGGGAGCCGAGATTTGAAAAAACCGAGGAGGAGACCCAGGTAAACCATAGAAATGTTTTTTGAGCCAAAAACATTAAAAAAAAATCTTTCAGAATGATTCGAAAATGCCGGATCCGTATGAGTTTATGGAAAGAAGACAAAGGAATGGGCTCGAGTTCACATTCATGAGCCGTCGCGTGTTGCGTGCTCAACCCGAATGCGTTACTTCTTAACTTGAACCTTTATATTGTACATTGTAGATTGTTGCTGAAAACGGGTTTCACTCGTTAATAATTTATATGATTTAATAATCAACCCCACATGTAGATTTGTTCCTAGAAAAATAAATATTTAAGATTTTGACTTAAAAAAAACTATATCTCTGGCATAATTCTGCGTTTTTGTGTTTTCTTGTCTTGTTTGTGCAATAACTAAAAGATCATTAATTCATAAATAGTTATTGAAAACGATTTTTCGATCAATTATTTTTGGGCGGGCCATAGTTTATATGGTCTGCATGGGATTATTTGCAACCAATTTGATACCAATCAAAATGGTCTGTTCTTTAACCACGAAATTTTAGTTCGTAGGTGAATATCGGCGGACACAATGTGTTCATCGTGGGACAATGGATATATATTGGCTTAGGTCTCATATGGGAGCTATCTGTCTCCTCAGCTTCATAATTTCGTGGATGATATATGTTTGTGGTCCCATTGAATGTGCTCCGTCAGCAGTATACATATATTTTATTTGTATATGGACTCTATGTGGTTTGGCGTGAATATTATATGGAAGCAAATTTCATTAATGATGTTGTCTCCCAAATGGAAACATATAAATTCGATTCCTGTCGACTCAACATCCGTCCGCCGCGTTTTATCTGCGTTCTATTTCGGACTGAAACTGCTTATTATTTGTAGATTTTTGAGATTTTTGCAACTCAATTCGCAATTGAGCCGAAAAGTGTAAAAATAAATTTTTCTTTAAAGCAAGGTCCAAATGCATTGGAATAATAATAATAATAATAATATTTTATAACTCGAGAAAACATCAACAATGAGATAAATGTACAGATTTTCTTTTCTACTAGCTATTCAAAATTGAGGGCTGATGGCGATGGACCTTTCCGACAAAATCACTGACATAGATCATCCATTCATCGATGGATTTGCCTCCATTTATCAAACGCCGGACACTGATTACACCTGCAAATTGATTGATTCCCACCGCCACACAAGCTGGTTCTGGTTCCTTCAAAATGTACTCAGTGCCAACATTTTCAGATATTATCACACACTGATGCTCTGGTAAAGATTCGCGATTAAAAAAACTGCTCTTCTTCCTTTATGGGGGGTAGAATTACGAACGCTGTGGTCTCGCGCAGATCCTTTTTGCGAAATTGCGGGTCCACACGTCATCAAGTACGAGCGAGTTGTTCGTAAAAAAAAACAACTGAACACCAACTGATAGCGAATTCAGCCGCCTTCTGCTGCTGCAGCTACTCGTTGAAGCTCCGCCCATTTAATGCGAGAGTCGCTTGCTTCTTTTCCCTCAACGTTTGCAAGAATGTTCACACAATTACTAAAATTGCTTTTAAATCAATATTGTTTGTGCACGTTTCGAAAGTGCAACATCTGTCGGTTAGACTATTTATGATTCTTATCAATCAACCTACCCCCTCAGTTTATTTCATCAACAGAACAACTTTTCTTTTTTTTTCGTCGTAATGAAAATGAAAAAAAATGTGAGAAAGCGTAAGAATTGACGAGTGCTCATCGTACCATTTTGAATGACGTTTTGCGTAGGCCGCCGTCTCTCGTCGTCAGCATCTTATTAAAGAAATTAAATCAAATTTAGGTTTGAAATTTTTTAAACATTTTTGAATTGCGCGCGCATTTATGAACTCTCCAAAAATTTTTTTTGAAAAAATTCGATAATCAACTTTTTTAAAGTTTTTAAATTATGGGATGTGCCTTTTTTAGCGAGAGAAATTTTACGAAAAAGCATGAATTAAAAACAAACAGACATTAGAAATTAGTGTCAAATTATCTCATATCGCTTGGAAATACCTCATTATTTTTTTTTTAATAATTTTTGGTCGAACAAAATAATAACGAATCAACATGGAGCGCGTAAATGTTGGTCTTTTTTTTATCCTAAGAGCGAGCCACTGACTTCCCTCCGCCATCTTCTGTTGTTTTTTTTTGTGTGTGTGTTTTTTTTTCATTTTTCATTTCGTTCACTCGTTCCGCGTATTTCTTTCTTCTCATTCAAAACGATTCCATTCGGCGCCGGCCAAATGTAAATAAACACGTCAATTTGTTGCGGTTCGCCTAATTTTTCATGATTTCTTTTCTTTCTTTCTTTTTTTTTTTGCTTTGTCCATCGTCTGTATTGATTGTTTTCAGAGCGAAAACATGATGAAATATATGTGTGATCGCGAATTCGGACCGCCGCTGATTTCGCGTGTGATCGACGAAGACGAGGCAATTCATTCGTTGCTTAATAAGGAGAAGCTTATCGGACACACGCAAACTGTAAATTCGTTGAAATGGGATAAGAAGGGAACGTAAGAATTTTTTAAAAGTGAGACCGAAAGAGAAGTGGACTGGCAGCTGGCGACGAAGTTCGCAAATGTCCGCAGCTGTTTAAATGTATAAATGCGAGACGTATTAACTAATTGTCCCCGAATTATTCATGGAATAAAAAATGTAAAAAATTGTACAATTAATTTTTTTACATTTTTTGTAAAGAAAAAATAGATGACATGAATCATTTTATACATCGTCTTGTGCAATATTTCGATTTATTGCCGCAATCGTGCGACTCTGTCAAATTGGGGATAAATGCCATAAATGGTCTCGAGAAGGCGAGATGCGCGTTGTGTACTCCACACGGAGAAGGCACCACTCAATAACGTGGCGTAAATATCCCCGCGCGTAAATCGACATTTATGTTGCGAGACCCAAATCTACAATTGACCACGCGATCCGCAACAGCTTGACTTTTTGTGGGGAACATTTTTGGGAGAGAGCGAGAGAGTAAGAGAGAGAGAGAGATTTTTTTGTAATGCTAGTAATTTTACAATCACTTAAGATTGATGCACATCTATCTTGTTCGTCTTTTTTTAGTCTCAACAATTCCCGAAAAGGTATTTTCGGCAAAATGAAATGGGTATGTTTTCCATCAAATTTTTACACAAGGGAAGCATCGAACGTTTTTTGTTTCGAGAAGCCGATAAAACCTTGAATTCTGCTTCGTTTATACCCTTGTTCTTACTAGAAGATCGGAAAAAATTCGAATGATGACATATTTCATTTTCCATCTTCTGAGAATCCAGTTGTTAATATCATTTCTGTTCCCCTGTCTTGAAATGTTCCACGAAAGATTCATCGCTTTATGAACAATTCGTTGCCGATCAAAACGATTTCTTCGTAATTTTTGGAACGGATCATCAATATCGGTTGATCGCAAATTCCAAGTGAAACTATATTCTCGTAACACATGTGTTGTGTCTTTTAGAGAACGTCGAACCAACAAGAGAGCGTGAAAGCGTTCCTTATATAGCCCTCCTATATCTTGATAAGGGTCGTCGGTCACGCTATGATGATTCTAGTCACAGCTCCAACAACCTGGATGTGGTGGAGCTGTCGTGTGACTGAGAGCCTATATTTTATATATCCTTGTTATTGTCGAAATTCAACACAATTCAGTGTCGATGCAATCAGTCACAGTCGGCAAAACAATCAGGATAACAATCTGAAGCAGTGGAAGCCAATTGCAAGAACCTGTGTCCTCTCTTCTTCAGATTTAGAAATGATTTCCCTTTGGACTGACGGACTCACGCGTTTCAAATATAATGAAAAAGATATCTTGAAAATTATGAAGTTGCTCAATCATTGTGAAGAAAGAAACACAGAAAAAACAATCCGTCGAAAATAAATTTGCTCGGTGCTAAAATGGCGTCAACTTTTGCAGATTCCTCGCATCGGGATCTGACGATAAAAATGTGATCGTTTGGAGAGCTAATCACCAAATAAAGAAAATTGAAACGGCTCATGCCAAAAATGTGAATGCAGTCGACTTTATACCATCGGAAAAATGCAGTGTTGTTTCGGGATCGCGCGACGGCAGCATTCTCAAATATGACATCGAAAGTTTGCAAATCTCAACGAATGATATTCACTCGAAATTTTTAGATGATTCTCCTCCAAAACGATGGCAAATCGATGGTGGAGTGAATTGCATTGAAACCAACAAATATGAGCCACACTATTTTTGGGTTGGATGTGAAATTGACGGAGTCAAGTAATTTGTTTGGGACCATTGAAAAATCGAATGTTTTTTTCCTAAAATAGGGAATGCGATGTTAGAACACCGGAAATGAACGAATTGATAAGATATGAGAGAGCGAGAGTGAAATCAATTGCGATTTGCGAAGAGCATTCCCATCTGGTTTGTCGGCTTCTCGCCACTGACTATCGAGTATATCGAAACGATTCAGATGGGCGTTGGCCTATCGAGGACAGAGACTGAAGTTTACGATAGAAGGAATCTCAAGACACCATTGCTAAAATTGAAATCATGTATCAGAGACGAGCATTTTAAGAAAAATAAAATTGATTTTCAGCTGAATGCCCTGAAACATTTTATGCGACTCACATAACCTTTAATGAAACGGGCACTGAAATCATGGTAATCGATGGGTTTTTTGAAGAAACGCAATTTACTTTTCATTTTTTTTAGACAAATCTGAAAGGCGGCAGCATCTATGTTTATGATTTAAATGAAAATAAGAAGCCGAAGACGCTCGAAGCGATCAATGCTCTTATCCGTCCGCCTTCTGAACAGAGTATTTTAAAATCAAAACAATTGTTCGAAGTGGGTGGTTGTCGTTTTAGAACCTTTGCTTGATCCGAAACATCCGGATTATAGACGGGATGTTCAATGGCTTGATCTATTCTTCAAACAAAATCATATATTATTGGTTTGTGAATCGGACTTTGCAAAAATTTAATTGAAATCAAATTTCAGGGAATCGCATATTTCAGCGAAGTGATTCAATCGAATTGTGTCGATCCGCAATATCGAAGCTACGCGTATACCTCGCGAGCTGTTTTGTGCACACTTACCCATCGCAATGGGGATCAATATGAAGTGATTCGTGATTGTGTCAATGTTTGTTCGAACTGAACTCATTGTGTTTCACACTCTCGTTTCTCAGGCTCTTCAAGAATGGAATGGCAACTCGCTGGCATTGGCCACACTTGCTGCCGCATTATGTCGCCTCGATTACTATGATTTGTCGAAGCAATGCTGCGACGAATTCAATCGCCGTTTTCCAAATGCACCCGATATTGAGAAAGAAAAAATCACAAAGACTTTAATAGTGGTATTTTTTTGTTTATTTTTTGAGAAAATCTGAATATAATAAGCGTCTTGAGAGATTAGTAACTTATAAAAATATACTAAAAAATTTCAAATTATTTTTAGTAAATAAAATGCACTATTAATGTATTAATCTTTCAAATTTCTTGTAAAAAAATTATATTTCATGAAATTTAAATATATAGGATAAAATTGTGAATTTGCATTTTTTTTATTACCATACCAAAAAACGAGCGCCTTGTATAATTATGGACCATCGTTTTTTTCGGGTGGTAATTCAATTTTCGATTTGGGCTCAGGGAATTCAGATACCGTACTACCGGATAAATATTGCAGTGAGCAATCAATACATTTACGGTAAATTGAATTCGACGGTAGTATTTTTTGTGATGGTATAAAATATCCAATGCTTTAAATCAAGAATAGAAATTTTCCATTTTTAGAAATCGAAAATAAGATTCTTAATTGATTTCCCTTGTTTCTTTCTGATATATAAAATTGTTTAGATTAAAAGAATGAGACGAAATGCGATTAGTTTTGATCTCGAATTCCCTCCTGGTGTTATGGATTATAAAGGTTTTTCATTCGTCATATTCAGTCAAACAATTGTCGATTTCAGAACGATATACGGGTCTATTCAACTATCGAAATGACAACAGCGAGGCTCATTTCTTTGGGTCAAGGCAGCAATATATTGGTATTGTCAAAATCGCGCGACAAAATGGCTCAATGCCAAGAGAGAAGACGAGATGCGTGTTGTGTACTCCACACGGAGAATTCACCACTCAATAACGTGGCGTAAATATCCCCGCGCGTAAATCGACATTTATGTTGCGAGACCCAAATTTACAGTCGACCGCGCCACTCGCAATCGCTCTAATATTCACATTGATATGTGGCAATTTCAGTAGCGGGTATGGAGAAAGGCACATTGTTCGTGTGGGATCGAGAGAAGGGCGGAATCACCGAGATATTCCAACCGCAACGACACGTGCCGAGTATTGTTCGTCCCCATCCGACGAGCTTCTTGTTGGCGACATCCGGAACGATTGGAGATGTTCACATTTGGGAGCCAGATTTTAGCGACAAATATCTCGATGCGGACGAGAAACGACAAATTCGAAAAAGAGTTTAGAACTAGAAATGGCTCATCGAAAAAAAAACAATTTTTCGTTTCTCAGAAATGGACAAAGGGAAATGAGAATGGATTCCAAGTTGAAGAGCGAATGAAATATGTCCAGGACAATCTGATTTCTCCGCTGGCGATGAAACAAATCATCGAATATATGAGCCTCAACGAGGACTCGCATTTCTCGATCAGCACCGACTCGGAATCAGATAATGAGAGTTTTGCCGAATGATATTCTTATAAATTTTCAATATCTCCTGCTTTCTATTTTATCTTTGGCTATCCGTTTTTCATTCTTTTTGTAATTTTTTTGTGTTCGACCTGAATTTCTCGGAAAATATTTCACACAATAGTTAATCTAGATCAGAGTTGGGAGGGATTTCACAAATTTTTTTCTATTCCGGATTCCGCGTTTTCAAATTATTCATTGCACCCAACTATGATCTAGATGTTTCATATTTTTTTGCTAACATCGCGCGAAATTAGGCTAAATACCAAAAAAAATTAAGAAGAGGTGCGCCTTCAATCTATTTTTATTTTTACCCCGTAAATCTACATCTTTAATTTTGCGCCAAAACCGCTGCGTTTGTTTTTTTTTTTGGCATTTACCCAATTTTCCGCAATCGCGTCGAGAAAACATGTCGGAAAATATTAAATTATTCATCATCGAGAAATTATTTTCGTTCATTTTAAAGGTTTTCTGTTCAACTGAAACTGCTTAATATTGCTGAAAAAAGGTCAAGGGGACTTGGAAAAAATATTTCTTCTATGAAATTTTTTTTGCTCTATTATAACTTGCACCAGCAGTCTGCAAGCCCAGGCTTGTCAACTTTGCGGCCGACTTTCGGCGTTTTTGAATTTTCGCGCCGCAGCATTTCGGGTGTAATGGACCTATTCATGCAATGAAAAAAATTTTTTAAAAAATCAATTTTTTCATTTGAATTTCCTATGCACGCCCGTCGAAAATCACAAAAAATTGACGCGATATATCCGCTATTTATTTTTAAAGGCGCATGCGAAAAGTTGCGCGGGTCACGTCGCGAAGTCGGTACTGTATTTTTTCAATAGCTGTTTTTTTTCGATTTTTTTTATTTCTTATGCGTTTAAAACGTTCTTTTTTGGATATCTGTAGAAGTATTTTATTTAATAAACGCTGAAGATTCATCAAAAGCGTCATCGAGCGAAGTCTGCATCAAATTAACACAAATATCACGATTTTTCATGATAATTTATATCTAAATGACAAAAAGTAGACAAATATTGTCGAATTAAGAGTAATTATACCAACAATAATTGTTTTTACTCGTTCTTAAATCCGTTAGTCATTTTCTCTTCGAAGTTTTTGAAAAATACGGAAAACTAGCACACAAAATGAAAAATAAAAATAACAGTACCGACTTCGCGACGTGACCCGCGCAACTTTTCGCATGCGCCTTTAAAAATAAATAACAGAGAATTACGATATATCGCGTCAATTTTTTGGAATTTTTGACGTGCGTGCATAGGGAATTCAAATGAAAAAAATTGTTTTTTTTTAATTTTTTTCATTGCATGAATAGGTCCATAAACAACGGAGTGTCGTAAACGCCCTCGTTTCATTTGTACTGTTTTCACTCACTCTCTTAAGTTTTTTATTTCACGTTCTATTTTTTTATTTTTTTACACTTCGAAATGCGAATTTTAAAGTTGTGCTTCGATTTGAGAATTCTCCACAAATTACGTTTGTTCAATGAGCGAATGCCGCGAAAAATTGAGGCAAAATTGGCATTTTAGCGAATTGTGGTCAATTTTCAAGCACAGCACCGATTTACGTGAAACTTTAAATGATGGTTTAAAATATGTCAATAATAATAGCTTCAAACGGAATTGTTTCAACGCTGTCCCAATTCCAAACAGAGAAGCTTGAAATGTTAATTTTCAGCCATCCTGTATTATAATAGTAAAAAGAAAATGATGCTTCGGCGGTAACCCCGTTAGCCATTACGTTGGAAGGTGATTGTCACCGTGAATTAAGATACGATGAGGACATTCAGAGGGTAATAGACGAAATCGCGGACGAAAGTTCTTTTAATAGCGACCATACAACTTCAAAATAAGAGGAAATCGATGAAGAAACTTCGCGTGACATCAATTACGAAACAAGTAAAATTTTAATATTGTTGTGGAAACAGGGCTATGTGGCAATCGGAAAATCAGAAAATGGTCAAAAATAAAAATTTCGACAATTCGGCTTATAGAAAAATGTCATTGCCGCCAACCCCTGGTGTAATGGTCTTGCTCCAAGATCTTGTTGGGGCCATATACCATATTGTTGGCATTTTGCTAACTTTTTGTAGTCCGCGACGGGACAATACACTCATTCTAATTATCACATCTCATTTATTCAGTACATGAATCTCAACAAAATCTTCCCGGAGATTGTTATTAAAGGTACAGACCTCTATTAACGCGTGCGTAGTTTGATGATAAGTATCTTAATTAAGGTATTTATATCCTTTAATATTCCGTTTTCACAGCTTTTTTAGCTCACTTCACCGCCACTAATGATTTGGCTTTATGCACATTCTCCTAATAAAGCCACTGATTCGGTTTTTTCACCTCTGCGGAAGAAATTTTGAGCACAATTATTGGTTAGTAGTCTAATTTTCGCCAATTACTATTCGCTATTTTAGAATTCACGTTCGATTGACTAGGTGTGCATTTACCGCTGGAATACGATACTTCGAATTTCGCAGATATCGACAAATCAGCTCCATTCTTCGTTGAACTTGGAGAAAACGATGATGCCAGGATCAACGAAACACTAAGGCGGAGAGAAGTCAGATTGTCAATTCGACGAAAACTGCACGAGTCATTAACAACGACTCTGTAAGTATCTCTTATTTCGTTCGTATATAGTTTCTCTTTCAGTACATATCTGCGAGAATGGTCCTACGATGTCGTTCAAAGAAAACGTAAAGGTAAATATTACTTTTAAATTGGGACGAAAAGTTTTACGATTATAGCAGGGTTGGTAAATTGAAGCCGGGGCCGAAAGCCGGCCGACCGGCCCGGTTTTCGGCTTCTTTTTGAATTCCCGCTTCGGCCGTGCGGCCGTAAACAACGGAGTGACGTTGTTTCGGCCGGAGTGTCGTTGTTTTATTTTTGATTTCAAAAATATTTATCCTGTTTTTCATTGTTTTTTCGCTCTTTATTAAATATTTTCGTTGTTTTTTCTTTGATTTAACATTTATAAATATTTTTTTAGAAGAATTTACGATTCTCGCAAAAATGAAGCAATAAAAGACGAAATTGCAAATGTTTCGAAGACCACAAAAGAAGTTTTTGAAAAATTAACTAAAGGCACTGGTGGGCCTAATATGATATTGGTATGCATTTTTTTTCTAGTCCAAAATGCGTTACGTTTCAGATCCCATATCTGTTTCATTCATCTGATATGATTGGTGTTCTAGACACAATTTCAATAAACGATGCTGGAAAATGTGTAAGAGCTAAGTTCTTGCTCTGCAAATTATGTAAAGAGGTATTATCAAAATATTTTTTTAACAACCTGAAACAAATTTTCAGAAATCATGTAAATATTTGTCGGCGAAAAGCAGCTTCGAACAATGCAAATTATGGTCAAAATCGAAGATCGAGAGTGGCATAAATATTGCCAATTCTTTCCGCTGGATCACCACTTAATTGCTTGAAGAAGAACGGATTTCGTCAATTAGTTGCTGACTTGTTAGAAGAAGTGTATACATTTTACATAATCATTAATTAATTACTATTTTAGTAAAAGCGGTATAATGCTGGAGAAGCCGATAATGTGTTTTTGTGAATAAGTATCATATTTTTTATTGGATTTTCTGTCTTTTCTCACAACTTATTTTCTTATTGTCGAAAGGTATGGTTTTCACACTTCGGCCGAAAATTTGACAGCAAAAATAGCCGGCCGGGCCCAAAATTTAACAACCCTGGATTATAGGGTAAAAAATCGCAGCATCTATTCAAATGGAGTCGATGGAAAGCTGTTCTGATGCTCAACCCGACAACAGAGAAAGAATAAGAAGAAAAAAAAGAGAAGCTCTCGGAGATTGAGTAAGTTCCTTTTTACTTTGTTTACAACTTTGGTGTTGAATTTATAGACAGTTTAATGTGGACTTATACCATAATTTCAATGCTCTATTTGTGGTTTTCAGGAACATTATTCTTCGCAATTGAGGAGCTGAAATTCGAGCCAAATGGATGCGTTTAAGTTTAATTTGTTTTTTTTTTTCGTTTAATAAATTTTTTATAAGGAATATAATAAGTCATTAATTGTAAGATTAATCTTTATCTGAAGGCCACGCGACGGCGATGTGAGGGCCCCGTGATGGTGATACAAGGGCCCCCCTCGAGTGTGTGTTTGCCCCTCAATTTTACCCGCCAATTTTCACCGAGTTCGCACTGAAAATGCTTTCATAGCTTGAAAATGGGAGATCTGGAATGAAAGGATGAAGCGGTGACACTTCGAATAAGGCGCTCGAAAACAGACCAGCTGAGAAAGGGAGCGGAGCTCCGTCTGGCGCTGCAGCCGCAAGCGGTGGAAACTGGAATGGTTCAAGGATTTGGGAAGAGTGCCGCAAGGAAAGGGCAGTCATGGCTGTTCGAGAGCAGGTCAACAGGGAAACCAATCACGCTGTCGACGTATCGGACCGGCTTGAGAAAACTTTTGGCAAAAGCGGGAAAGGAGACGATTGGAATCACTTAACACAGTTTCAGGGCGGACGGAGCGACGACGTTGATGAAGGAAGGGCAATCGAAATTGGAATTGAAAGCAATCGGCAGATGGAAAATCCAGCGCCGTTCTCGATTATCTACTAGCACCGGAATCGGTCGCGCTACGAAATTTCCCCAAATAGGCTCTCAAACATATCCCACCACCCTTTGTTTTGTTTTCTTTTACTAATATTTCGGTTGTGAAGGTTCCTGGGGAGCCTATTATTTCTTGGAAATTATTCATGTGTTCGTTAGCTAACCCCAAAATTAAAAAAAAATTAAAAAACGCGTTTTGCCTATCAGATAAAGCTGAAAGGAAAAATTAAAATCTGCACTGATTTCGTGAATTTGAAGGCTCCCCCTTCCTTCAGTCGTTTGATGCCGACAATATGTTCGAAGAAAATGAATTTGTTTACAAAATTCATACAATCGCACTATTTCGTAAAATTGCCGTTGGCGACAATTGAAGTTTGGAGCCTAGCGGGAGTCCTCTTTTTTTCGGACAACCCTGGTTCCTGCGGCCTACATTTAAATAACACTTGCTATCGTTGTAAATTTCAAAATAAATGTGATAAATTTTATTCGACAATGAAACACGATAAAGACATTTGAAACCCGGAATTATTTTGGAACGGTATTGGACCCGAATTAGGAGAATTAAAAAAAGAGCATAAAATTGACGAAAACGGCGATTTTTGAGCACATATTATGACAAACGAGATGAGGCGAATCGCCAAAAAGAAAACAGAAACACAAAGAAAATAGGCAGATATTTGACAAACAGTTGAGGATAACAATGGATAGAAAAAGCCTAAATAATAAATGGGTTAATCTAACCATAACACGTTGGGAATTCACGACGCAATTGTTTACGACTAGATTTTTCGAGCAAATCCACGTATACATGGGTATAAAGCTTTTTGAATTCTAAATTCAGCAGTTTATACTTTAAAGAATTGACACCATCACGCTGCCATCTATATCTAGTTCGACCCATAAGTTTATATCGACACCTGAAAAATGGAAAAATTCAAATTCAAACAGTTCAATGATAAAATTCACTTATTAACGGGATTCGTGCTTTCTTGCTTATGCCTGATCATTTTATATCGAGCAATTTGCGCCGGATACCTCGAAACGGACAAACCCGCCTCATGAGTCCTATAAATACAAATCCATTTTTTAATTTGTTTTTATTTCGAACGAGCTACCTCGTCGCTAAATCATCATCCTCTCCTCCCCAGCCCCAAAAATCATTGGAGAATCCGTTGATTTTGACGAAATGCTCTCGAGTTAGCGCGCTGATTCCGCCAAAAATTGTAGAATACGGCAACCTATGATATTCGCTTATTTGTCATAATATTTTAAAAACTGCCTACTTATAAGAGAACTTGTCAATCGCAACACTCATATGACGAGGCATTATCGGACATGCGTACAAATTTCGATCATCTTCTGGAAGCAGATCGACGTCATGAAAGATGAAACACTGCCAGGGATACAATTGCGAAGCAACTTCGTATCCCACATTCATCAACTGCAATTGCAAATTATCGATTATTACAACATATCTTTGATATCCTACTTTTCCCCGATTGAACGTCTGATTTGCTACTTGTTCTATCACAAATATCGCATAATCGAGTTGTTGCTTTGTTAGAAGCGAATGTAAATTATGAAGAAGGATTCGAAGATGAGATATTCGATCTCTAAATGGGATAACGATCGCAACCTGTAGATCAAATTTTCATATTTCCCCCCATCCATTTCATTTATTTACCCTATGCCATGAAGTGCATTCCTGCGGTTTTCCATGTCCACCCATATGCAAATGTGCGAACATTTTCTCCATTTCCCCGTCAGTTGGCTCATCTTCGAAAACCCTAATTGGGCCGACGAGGCCCGGAGGTGTCTTATTGCAATGCGGTTTCGATTGCTCATCGGCGACCAATAATTGAAGGTCTTGAATACTCATTCGGTACACTTCACACATTTGAAAAAAAAAAACAAATAAAAACCTTGTATAAAAGACGATGTGTTCCCTCCAAACGGCGACGGTGAAAATGTTGAATTCATCAGATCCGAAGTGAACCAACTTTCAGATGTTGCCGTATTACTAAGAACGGCATCAAGAGCATTCACATTTTCGATTATCGTGGTTGAACTCATATCAGAAGCATAATAGAGCACTGGAATCTGAAAACTACTAATTGATAATTAGAAATTCAACAATAGACAATGAGAAAAAAGTTCGAAGATATCACATATTAACAGAAGACCTCTGGATAATCATCGGGCGAAACGATAAAAAATTTAGAGAACAAATGGCTTAAAAAACGGACCAATTTAGTTGCTTATCTCAAAGCGGTGAAATTGTGTAACCCTTGCCAAAACCGAAATTTACCTCGTAAATCAAAACGTGAACTGTAAACAGTAATGTGCACACCAACACGAGAAGTTTGACTCTCGATGTGGCAATACTGCGAATCGCCATTCGAAGTGTGTGCCATGGATGAAACCGAAGAAGCGGCGTCTGAATAACATAATTCTTAACAATCGAAAGTTGGCGCGGTGAAATCAAGGCCATTAAATGGACAAACACCATCAATCATTACTGTGTTACACGATTACCCAAATGTGTGTCAAAAAGAGACGAACCTGCATAAAAAATGCAGATCTTGGCACCAGCCGTCTTGATCGACACTAGTCCCTATCACTGGCCGAATCGCAGCTGAAATGCAGAAATATGAGTGGAAAAAGCAAATTCACGTGAACACAATTTCAACGTGTTAATGAGACATTTAATTAGTTAAAACGAGGAAAAAAAAGTGAATTGAAGATGATGACAATCCCGATTTCAGGATTTATTCATGCGTATGTGTTTTATTTTTTGAAAAACCCTTTGAATGAAAATTTTGTACAAATTTGAAAAAAAAAACCCAAAATCTCAAAAGTTTAAAAACTTTTTTTTTTTAACTTTTCAGATTTAGCGCGTTTATTAACTATATATTTATGGAATAATTTGATAATCTTCGTTTTGTTGGTTGATAATTTTCGATAATCAGATTGAAGCCTTCTGAAATAGATTAAAAGAATAAAAAAGAAATAAACCGACGAGAAGAAGATGGCGTCGTATTCATTGCTTATAATCACTATGAAATTCGAAACGTGTCGATCGAATTCCAACAAAAATAAATAAACATAAATATCGTCGAATGAAGGCACTATAATTTATTAAAAGATCATTTCGTTTATTTTAATTTCGAGATAGATGTTCCAATTTGTGAATGAATATCAAAATTAACATATTGCTCGGTGCGCGCAATAATGAACCTATTCAGCGTTTGCAAATTTTCGAATCTAAATTTGACTCTAGAAATGACTATTTTGCATCACACTGAATAGGTCCATTACGTTTTCATTATGAAGTGTTCATCTCCCAAAGGAATATAATCCAATTTTCGGGTGGAATAAGAAGGTCGCAACTAATATAATTATGCGACAATGGCCACAAACGCGGGTTTTCTATTTATAAAAACAAACATTTGTTTGAAATATTTCATGGAATTTTTAAATTTCCGCCCCTAAATCAGCAAGTTTGGGTCAGACGATGACGAATACGATATTTTCGTTTCCAATCAGATTTTCGCTGGATTAATGATGCTAAATAGGCGAAAATCTGTGAAAACTGTCGAGAACATAACCAGTTTTGTTTCTGTTCGGTACAATAAACACAACGCACCGAGATATGCTAGATAATGCAATATTGTCGACGAAGATATTCTTCAAAAAACGATTTTATTCAAAACAAACGGAAAAATGATGAAAACAATTCGTCGGCTGTCAAATGTGCAAGACAACATACGAAATATTGCGGACATTGCAATTGTCGGATTTATTGCAACTCAAGGGGATTTCAAGAATAAAATGAGAATAAAAGCGGCGCATTTTTCTCACGTTTGATGAGTCGGAATATAAAATTACAGAAAACGAGATTGTTGCAGAAAGAAATAAAAAAATGAAAAAGGAAAATTCATAAATAAATATTTCAATAAAAACCAGACCATTTTTTATTAACTTGGTATATAAAATTGCATTTGCTATTGGAAATTAGATGTTTTTTAATGGATACTCTTACCCATTCCCATTTTCAAAGTATTAATCGAGCAAACAAGATTCATTCGTGCAATTATCTCAATTACGCTAATGCTTTTCTCGCGTTCTCCATATTTGTTTGTTTCTTTGCCGAATAAATATTCAAATTCGCTTCAATATAATGGATAACAATAAAATTTGAACAAAGACGTAAAAAACTAGAGCAATTTTGTTGAAGAAAAAAAAAAGCCGAAGGGCAGAAATAAGTTTATGGGTTGGTGGAAAACAAGTGGCCCAAATTGCTGCCAAAAGTTTTTTCTCGAGCAGGCTTATACATATGACAGAATATGGAAAACAATCTCGCTTATTGGAATTCGTTGGGATAAAAAGAAATTAACCTACAAAAATATTGTTTACACATCTCAACAGCATTCTTTTTTATTTTTAAAATAACGTTGGGGCTCTCAACAATGAAACATAAATAAATCTTGGGGAAGAATGATGAAACGGCGCAAAAACATTAGAAGCAATTCTCCGATTCAACAATTCTTTTAAGCGATTGTGGCAATTGTATTAATGGTACTCGAGATAACCGCATTGGCATGTGTATATTAGTATAATCAAGTATCGCCCGCTCAATTATGAGGAACATCACGGAAAACTATGAAGAAATGAAGAAAACCAGTCATTAATGAGACTTTTTGAAACGTAGAAACGTATTTGTGGCAGGATTGTCGAGAATAAGATGAAAAACGTCGGGAATGCAACATCACATTGTTGAATTTTGAATGAGAGAAAGGCTCGTCGAAAGTGAGAAGAGCGAGAAGACCACGCCCATTTCGGGCTGCGGCAAGAAACTTGGCAACACGATCGCATGGATGTGCGACTTATTTTATTTTTCATGTTTGTTGATTTGTTTGCAATTTCGTCGCATTTTTTCCGAAAATTTAGGTGTATTTAAGGAAGTTTTAATTAAAAAATCATTCCGAAAGCAATTTCGCTTTCGAAATTCACAACTTTGTATGCGCAATTTATCGAAGAAGCAAGTGCTTGACGTTAGAAGTTATTTTTAGCTTCCAATTTTTTAATTGTCGATTTATGACGTTTTACATATTTTTACATTTAAGTTTAAATCGTAGATGATAGTTGTTTTAGTATTTAATTTGAATTTTCAGTTTGGGACAGAAATGCCGAAAAAGTTTGCAAACGAGAATCCAAAAGTTGTTGCTGCTCGGGATCGAAAAGCAACGGCAAAGCGGGAGGAAGCCGAAAAAAAGCAAAAGGTTCTTTTTTTGGAAAAAATCATGTAATTAATAAAATATTATAGGCTGCTGAGGATGCTTATTGGGCAGACGATGATAAATTAGTTAATCGAAAGCTTCAACGAAAGGTTTCATTTTGGATAGATAACTGAAAATTTTGAGATTTATATGGTCTTTAGGAAGAAGAAGAGCGAAAAAAATTGGAAGCGTTGAAGCGAAAAGAAGAAAATCGCAAATTGGCAGAGGAAGAAATGAGCAGTCTGTCGAAAAAAACGGAATCTGCACCCAAAGTGACACGGTAAGTGGAATTTCGCGCCGTTTCTCGACATTTTTCTTCTTTGACAGAGCTGCAATTCATCAGCGTAAGGAACAAGAGGAGAGAATAATGAAGGAGCTAGAAGAGCGAAGGCAAGCGGAAGCTCAGAAAATTGAGGAAACATTGTTCTTGAAGAAATGGAAATCCGAAATGCGCAATTTTCAGACCGTCACCGAGCTCGAGGAGAATATAAATCGATTGGATATTGAGGCAGCTTCAGCAAGGAACGTGGATGAAGCCTTGAAGGCTCTAGGAGATGCAAAAGCCGCTTCAGAAATCGATAAACACCCGGAAAAACGTTTGAAGGCTGCATATTTGGTAAAAACAAAATTATGCATAAGTAGTGTTAATTTTGAAGAAAAAAAATATGAAAAGTATTAATTTTAACCAAAAACAGTTTGAAAACATTTTTAAAAAATCCAAACATAACAATTAACTGAAAAAATAACTTTTCGTGGTTGAATATTCGTTGAAATGTCGACATAAACATACAATTTGAAATGCTCATGCATGTTTAATGATGAGCGATCATATTTGAATGATTTACAAATGGATTCTTTTTTCATGAATGAAGACTCGATGAATGTATAATAATGTAGCGGATAACAGGATTTTGTAGTTCTTAATTCAATTTGTTTGTATTTCCAGGCATTCGAGGAGAAACGCCTTCCACAACTGAAAATAGAACACCCAACGTATCGCCTGTCGCAACTGAAACAAGTCCTTAAAAAGGAATGGCAAAAGTCGCCGGAGAATCCGCTGAACGCGAAGATTATGGCTCTCTCACAGTAGCAATACCTAGTTCCGATAATTCCGGTTTACTTTATGGGTTAACATAAATTATGCATTCTAACTTTGAAAAAAAAATTGTATGTATAAGAAAACAAAAGAAGTATTTATTTCTGTTTCTCATCATCATTTCAAAGAATTTAAGTAAAAAGGGTGTTTTTTTGTGCCCGCACAGATGGAAAATTCAAGGCCTTGTTTAGGCAGGGATATGGTTGAGCGCTGCCTCACTAGACCAGCGATAGTTTGGTGCTCCTGGAGAGAAGCAAGTGTTGTCTTCCATCACCTAAAATAACAATTTTAAATCAAAAAAATCATTCGAAAAAATTGATTAATAAAAAAAACGAACGTCTCCGTCGGTCCAGTACATGACGTAAAGATTGCACATCTCGTCTTCGCCGGTCGCTCCCATGGCGATGTCGCGGTTCTCATTGTTCTTGAGAATGCATCGTGCGGTTACCATGTCGCCCTTAATTTTTCAAATTGGTGCTCATTTTCTATTAGAATCCTCCTACTTGCGAAATAACGAGCGACGAATTGTCGACGGGGACGAACATTTGCGGTTTTTGCGGATCACGTCGGCCAATCAATGTCCAATGATCGTCGCCATTCTCGTCTTCCTTCACAATCCAGCCGCTAACATCGACACCATGACGATGGGTGTGAGTGCGGTAGGCGAATGGGTGCATTACGACGTCTTCTTCGATCACGCAGGCAGTCTCGAATTTTTCTGAAAACACGAATGAGACATTCGGACAAATCAGCTATATTTATGCGTAACACACCCGAGTTCAACCTGACGACAGGGCAATCTGATTTTGATTAACCAATACTTAAAATCAAACCTGTCTTGTTGGCTGGAAGGACTCCTCCGGTCACCAAAAGCATGGTGGCTGCCAATTTCGGCTGTGGCTCAACGGTGTAGGTGATCTCAACTCCGCTCGCATCCGGGTTCGGCTTGTCATGCATGTAGTGAACCTGCATGACGAGATGTCTGACTGGAGTGTTGCCTCCGACGCGGAATCCAACGTCTATGATCATAATTACGGTAGATTAGCTATGCGACGAATAATTATACCTTTCGGCAGTTTGAGTGGTGGAGCATCGTGAGCCCATGCGTACAGAATAGCTGGTTTGCTGCCACAGGTTGGAGCACGCGGCATTCCGTCCATCGGTTTGCTCATCTCGCCGCAGTCCCTAAATTCAATGAGTGACGGTCATTTTTGAAAGGACTATCATACCAAACTGGCTCATCACTTCCTGGTTCTTCGCAACCAAAAAGAAGAATATGATGCACATTTTTTTCCTCGTTTACAGCCTCGAATCCAACTGAAATTCGTTTTCCTTTTGGGGAAAAAATAATTTTTTAATTATTGTCATTGACGAACAAAAATCACAATTTTCATATTCAGGGGCTTCAAATAAAATTTGAATTAATTCAAAGTGTGTTTATATTACGTCATTTGATGCTTTTAAAAATAGTCAAAGTACATAAAATCCATAAAATTAAAAAATTCTTGTTCACATTTTGGTGTTTAACTTAAGCAAAATTTTTCCAAGATTTTTTATATGAGACCTAAAGCGACAGTTCATTTTAATAATAATAATAATTATTATTATTATTAAATTCCAAAAAGTGCACTTTCATACATTCTAAAAAAATTTAGAAACTGTTTAAATTGAAAAAAGAAAGATGACTCACCCAAATAATCTTCATTCTCACTGAGTTCGACCGATGTGCACAAGTATGTCTCCGCCTGAAACACTATCATTTTGCGACAACTTTGACATCTTCTTTCTTTTTTGTTTATGGTAATTTGATTCGGATTTTGACGTCAAGATTGGATTGGATAATTTTTTTTCTCCCGAGCATACTAGAATCATTGGATGGACAAAGAAACAACCTCACTATGTTTTCACTAGATAACCCAATAATCAATGTTTTAACCTACAATTCATTATAACCGTATTTCCTCAATGTAGGTAATATCGATTAACAAATATTGTTCTGAAATTTATTAGGCACACACCTCTGTTTGCATAATTTTTTTGCTTAACTTATGTATTTATTGTCGACGTCAAACGACTTGGCAAAATTAAAAAAATTATTGGCTATGTGTCAATGTGTATAATAGCGTCCGATTACTGTATCAATCTCCACAAAATGGAATAAGTGATTTTTAAAACAATTTGAAGAGTTTTTGAATTTTCGAAATATTTTTTGGATACCGTTATAGAAAGCTCACATAGCTTTTTTGTGCTAATTTTTTCAGAAGCATGTCATTGTTTTTGTTATATTTTTTATTCGAAATCACGAGATTCATACATTATTCTACGAATATATGAGCAGAGTTTCCGCGAAATTATTGCGTCATTGATACATATTATATAAATATATAGTCATATTATAAAAAAATATATAAGAACACGTCGTCAGATTTATTTTTATTTAAAACTAAATGTTATCATAAAACATATTGCCGGTCAAACGAATCGCCGCAACTCACGTGTGGCCTAGAAAAATTGGTCGACACTTTCAAAAAGCAAAAATGCAAGTGCGGCGCACTACTATTGACTAATGTTATAATTTTTTTACTTTTTTCCACGAAGATGTGATTTCTATTTTGATATCTTGTTTTTGAAAACGTAAACACACAGAACATATACGTATTTTTTTAGTTCTACTTAATTAATTAAACTAATCCAGCAAGTGTGGCCGTGGCCGAATCTAATTTTCAAGGACATTTTTTCTAGGCCAACAAGTGCGTTGCGGCAAATCGTGAGTTTCAAACGGTTAATTTATAGCGGGAACTTCCATTTCGCTAAATGAGTAGATATTTACGTATATGTCAAAATGACACTATTAATTTACACATTTTCTACAAAAATCATCGTAATGAATTTCGAACGTTTCATCCAGGGATGTGAAAACAAGGAAACCGTCGAATGGCCCAATAGGCTCGCGGGCTTCCTATTTTTTTAAAACAGAACAAGAGAAATTTCATTTAAAACATCTGCGGACAATTTCCGGGATACGTCACAACTCGCCGGCTGTTTTGCGAAATTAATTTTTTTTTGTTCAGCGTGATCACAAATTCGAAATTCAAGACATGACAAATTTCTGTCTCGACATTTGTTGTTATGTTTGGTTTTAAACTTTTGATAAAATGATATAATATGATAACAATACTATTTTATACAAATGATATCCAAAGATTTGCGTTTTCGTCTTCCAATGTTCGATAGATTTATAATAATTTTGAAAATGGCATTTCAAAAAAAAACATTTCGTTCCAAAGTTTATTGTCTACAACAAAAAACAGATGAGCTCTGATTTCTTATGTTTGCTCAACTTCCGGTTTGTTGAAATCCAATTACAGTGGTATTTTCTAATAAATGAGCATCTGCATAATCCATGTATATTCAATTCTGTGCTACTATTATGTGCGAAACACAACAAGTGAGTGAGAATGAACTGATGACGTCATTTATCCATTCATTCAACCAGCATTTTCGTGATATTTCTACATTTTTTTGGAGAGAACCAATAATGTTCGAAAAAAATTTTTTTAATGTCCCGATCTCGAAAATTTCGTGATTTCAACAAGATTTCATTTAAATTTGGGCATATTTCTTAAAAATTCAAGATTTTCGGGAAAAAATGAGCTCTTAACATGCATATAATGCTAAGAGTGAGATTTAATCGAAAATTTACAGGGTAACCCCGAAATTTTTGAAAAATAGAGAAATTTTCAATGTAGCAAAAAGGAAAAATAATATTTTTTTTTGCATTGACCCTTTAAATAATTCCAAATATTAAATCTCTTTCTCTCTACAACATAAAAAAAAATTCAATAAATTAAAATAAATGTTTGGGTATAAAAAAAATTTTGGAATGCTCTTTCTTTTATTTCCTTTCAAGGTAAACTCAAAAACAAGGGGACCATAAAATACGAACATGAATTTTTTTAAATCTTAAGCTTAATGGATCAATGCAGAGAAAATTAAAAGTCATTTTTTACACTTTTTGCATTGAAATTATGCCTATTATTTATTTTTTTTTAATTTTCTTCGAATTTCCTTATAAATATCGCTTCATTTTAAAGAAACAATTTTACCATAAACGGAATCTTACCTCCGGAATGACACCGGGCATCAAGAATTGCGTTTTGAGTGCGTCGGTTGATAAGAAGCCGACAATTAATATAAGAAATGTCGACATTGCCGCCAACATTCCGGGCGATTTCCGTTTCAGAAATGGAATAGAATGAGCTCGCCTAAAAGGAAAGAAGTGGGCGGTGTGTCGTGCGTCCCTTTATCGATTCGCGCGACACGAGAAGCAGAGCAACAGCAAAAAAAAAAAAACACACACACACATAAGCACATGGGCGTTAGGAAATTGGGGTCCCTTCAGGCACTTCTCGTCTGAATCGCATTCTTTTTTTCCCGTTCCAATTTTGACGTCATTTGCAAAAATTTCAAAAATTTTATAAATGACAAGATGGTTTTTGTGACAAGATATTTAACACAATGACGATTCTCTGAAATTTTCATGAAAGGGGCGGGAGCACGTGCGCGGCGACCACTCGCACGTTCGATGGTAACTTTGATGGGAATCGGATCATCGTCCATTCTCGATATTCTTTGCCGTCGCTACTCGTCAAATTTCTTTGCGTTTCAATTGTCATGAAATCATCTAAAAAAAAAACGATTCTTGAAACATTCCGAATTCATTTACCTTCGACGGGCGAACAAATTGGATGCGACTTCTCAGATACGCCATTTAGCGATCGGAAGCCTGGCTGAAATTAGAGAGAATATTAAATTGCGCAATTAGAGAGAATATTAAATTGCGACGAAAGTAGGAATTTGAAATCTATAGAAACAGAATTTGTGAAATTATTCAGAAATTTACGTGGTCTAAGGTGAAATTAATTATAACAACAACCATGGAAAATCAATACGACAAAATTAATCTAATAAAAGGTAAAATTGGATCTTGGAGAAAAAATATTAAAATTAGATAAATAAAAATAAATTGTCCATTTTAAATCCATTAATAATTGATTATAATTTAAAAAAAAACCTTTTGATTTCATTCTTTTTAGTAATAAACATTTATTTTTTCTTTAATTTGTGAATCATTTCGTTATTATGGGGAATATTCTAAGATTTTATAAAGGATCAATGCTAAGAAAATAAACCAACAAAAAATAAAATTGAGAAAATTTTTTTCTGTGCTGCCCCACAATATTTTTTTGTCTCTAGAACAACTAATCTTCAAATGTGTAACACAAAATTTTAAATTCAATTGTCTTAAGAATCTTTTTTTTCAAGACAGTAAACATTTGATTCTCAAATTCTTGCCATCCCAATTTTTCCACGAATTTCTAAGAAACCAAGTGAACCTCGTTGTTAACATAAGGTCAACATATGCAAAAAAATTTAAGAAAGTAACAACTACATTATGATTCCTGGGCATTTGTCGGGACGACATCGACATTTCACTGATTCGGCTCGCGTTCCGAACATTGTCCGATTCAATGGATCTTGTTTCCACATCGGTCTTGAACAAACTATCCAGCTGTGAATCGAGAAATTGACTATCGAGGGCATCTGAAACACCCCTATCTTAAAAAATAAGTCACGAATATGTAATCATTTATTCGGATTTGATTTATTTGCATTAGGTCAACGGAAATACGTTATAGATAATGTGATAATCTAGCTTACTCGTAACACGAATTTACTTTATTTCTATTTTTGGGAAACTTTAGACGATTATGTGCGAATTATAAGTCCAAATCCACTTTCTGGACGCAATTATTATCATAAATTTAAAAATATTTTAAAAATAGAATATTTACCGCAGCAACTTCGATCCTCATATCTATCGTCGAATTTCTTTCGACTCGAATTATACGGACTCTCGCGAATATCTGAATAAAAATTTCAAAAAAAACGATACAGAGACATTTTTTAAACAAAGATCACTTCAAATAAGAAATTTAATTTCAGCCACACCTACTTTCAAATTGCTTATGCGACCAAAAGGTATTATAAGGGTAAATACGAAAAATTGTGAGTAAAATTTCGGCCAGTGTATTGAACAAAAAATATTTAAAAAAAACCTTTTCCAGGACAATTGTTCGAAATATGTCCGGTCTTTAGGCAGTTATAGCATTTCACAGAGTTCATTCTTCTATAGCTATTACGACTCCGATTTCTTGTGCGTCGACGTGACATCTCTGAAAAAAATATTCTATGAAATATCTCGATGAATTTTGAGAATCCAACCGTTTCGCGAGTTGCTTCGTTGTTGTTTATCATTTTCATCGATATACCGATTGTTCGAAAAACTTCTGAACCCTACGAAATGTTGAAAAGTGGGCGACAATTAAGGTGATAATTATACCTGAGTTTTCCGCAGACGAATTAAACCCGTGGTTATTCATCGTTGAACATCTTGGCCACGAGGAGATGAATCGATCATCAGAATAAGACATAAATTCAATAAAATTTTCTAAAAAAAAAATCTATGAATTGAAATTCAGCGACACGAAAAATTTCTGCTTTTACGAAGGTTTATATTTCTGTACTTTACGAGTTTTTATGTGTGAAATGCTACATCAAACATCGCAAATTTGATTTTGCATTTGGCAAAAGGAAAATGACCCTCCGATTAACTTCCGGAAGTAAATTTTGTTGAAGAATGAAGGAACAAAAATTGAGACGCGAATGAAAATATTTTAATAATCAAGTAGACTACTGTATTTTAAAATCGGTGCAGCGTGATTACACCGATGTATATTACAGTATCCTCCATTAATTAATAATTCAATCATTCTTCAAGCATAATCATATACAGAACGTGTAAAACTATTCAATTAATTAACAAGCATTTTCGTTGAAATGTTTATCTAACATTTCAAATATCCTCCAGAGAAAACATTGGCATTTATGTATCATAAGGTTCATTCTATTGTATTTCAAATGTTCTTTTTTGCGAAGTAGGCGTGTCTTGAGTCGGAAAGCGAGACCAAATCACCTTGGCAACACCGCTGCGATGGATGAACAAGAGACACGCAGAGAGCGCACACGCCGAGAGCCTCGCGTCCTCCCTCACTTGGATATACGACGACTTGCTAGCAGCTAGTAATAATAATAGTTGTGCTCCTTGGGATCCACTCCAGTCGGCGCCACCTGATGTGCATCTAATTTATGCTTCGCTCCGGCATCACCAACTACCAACTATTTTCATACGTGTTGACCTGTTTGATGCTGCCGGCGACCATATTCGCATTTCTGCCAATTCTCACACCATACGTCTCAATCGGTAAGTACCTACGTACTATTAATTAACCACCTGTTCCTCGCTTCATTTTTGTTTTTTTTTTTTTGATTATTATTGTTTTTTTCATGTTTTTCATTCCACCCCCGCTAATGTATATTAATTAAATATTAAATAGACAAATGCGAAAACAGCCTTATTATTTTCTCTTTTCCTTTCTACTTGATTGTTCGAACTTCCTCTTCCAAGTGCGGCCGTGTGCAAGATTGTGCAAAATTCTTCGCAATTTTCTTGAATCAGTTAATTTTCAATTAGACATTGAACAATTAATGATTCATTTGACAATTATCTTAATTTTTATTTCTAGTTTTTTTTTTCGTTAAAGACGGAATATTTTAAATTCAAATTTAGAAGAGGACGTAATAGCTTCGACCAATTTACGATATTTCTTTTCAAGGAATTTCTGTGAAGCTTTTAAGCTCACACTAATAATTGGAAAATAAAGGCAATTAACCTAATTGGCAAAGAAAGAGCAATAGACATTCCCCGAAGTGGGTCCTGTTAAATTGTCCGCAGATTCAATCAAATACAAGTCATTTCAATTCACAACTCATTCATTTAATAACTTCAATCGTCGCGAGATTCAATTTAGAGTAAATGTCTAACGGCTAACAATAATGTGCCGAATAAAATTAAACACGAATGCAATTTTATCGGGTCGATTCCAAGAATTCCGTGGAATTTGTCGTAATCCCATGTCATTTCTTTTCTAAACGTTGGGTTACCGTCATTTGGATAGTTTCCAATTCGAATTGTGATTTTTGTGTTCTCCGCCATAATCGAAGCCCATTGGGGAAATTCGAGACGTTTTCCAAGTCGATTTTCCCCCAAGTGACCGTTTTTGTGCACGTCACTGTACTCTCAACATGTTTGTCGCCCACGTTCCAATTTCGCTCCGAGACCAAACGTCACTGTAATTTTCAAATTTCTGTTTTGTGCTCATTATTGCGAAATTCCGCAACATTTTGAAATTATCAAATTTTCATTTTGTTTCCAATGTTTATCCGCCAAATCTGGGTTATATAATTTTCGAAATATCATGGAAATATGTGTGTGATCTTCGATTGTCGGGTGGTCTCACAACGAATTCAAACTACAGTAACCAGCCAACTTTTGGGATTAAAAGGGTCAATGTTATTCTAAGAATCGTAAAAACTCGTATAAAATGTTGCAACAAAATCAATTCGAATTCGAGTTTTCCGAGCGCACTCGCGCTTTTCCCATAGAGTAATTCCATATTTGGAGTCATGTTTGTGCTCTCACAAACAATCAAAAAAACCGAGCTCAAAATTGCGTAGTCGTGACGTCGACGACAAAAGCCGAAAATCACCTGAGCCGTTCAGCCGTCGGTCGCTTGTTGGGATAATTTGTTTATGTCGGGATCAGCAAAATGAAAAGTGAAAAGTTATTTGGTAATTACAGGAGTCGTCCTTCTCTACATTTACATCTACATTCTGGTCATTTATCTGACGATTAAAGACGCATGTGTGCCGGAATTGACGCGAAAAATCAAAAAGGAGGGATTCAAGCGGAGGCCGTTCAAATCCGAACCCGGAAGGCATGTCATCGAGAACAACAAATGCAATGTGTGCGAACTTGTTGTGTAAGTTCGATTCATTTCAATTATTTGTGCTGCGGACAAATTGAACCAAAAGGGTGCTTTCTTTTTGAACGAAATTAACCATCATTTAATATATTCGATTTCATTAGCATTTTTTTTGGAAACAAATTAATCTTATTGTCAAAGACTTTGGGGGAAAAATTTGATCTACACAACTTGCCCTCTTCATATCAAAGGCGCATGCAAATATCTGTTAATTTCGCGTCAAGAAACAAAACGGTATCTGGCCTAAATTCTTCTAATTTTTCAAATGAATGGGGTGTAGATTTACGGATGCGCCTTTGATTATGGTCTCGTCACGTAGGCTTATTGTGTTTGTCCCACACGAACCATTTTTTCTTCTTGGTCAATTTTAAATTATTTGCATTTGTGAGGTTTTAAAAATCAAAAGTTCGAAAATCGAAATCAGCCAATCAATAACGAGTTAGTCGGCGCGAGACCACAACGCCCGTAAATCTACCCCAGCATTCATCAGTCGCCGGACGCCGACTATGTCGTCGCATCTGTTGGTAAAACGGAAGAAATGGGATTTAATCTACATGTTATTTTTAAGAATCTGGTTTTTACGTGAATTGAACTTTTTAGATTTTCATTTGTTTCTCTAGAATAATAAGCCGAACGCATAATAAATTTGCACTCAAATTCAAAAACACATCAGGATAATTAAAGATTAAAATCGAGCCCTCCTGTCTGATTATTGTATTTCGTTTAAAAGACAACGGCGATTTCAGCGAGAAATACACGAAACACTGTAAACGATGCAACTACTGCGTCGGCAAATTCGACCATCACTGCGTTTGGCTCAACAATTGTATCGGCTCTGCAAATTATAGGTAGTAAGGATGCAAATTTTCGCACAAAATCGATTCCATTCGACTTTTAGAACATTTATGTGGTTAGTTGTTTCGATATCATTATCATCTCTAGCAGCTCTTTGTCTATCATTTGGCGTTTTGTACTTGTGGTTTTCGAATAAGAACAGCACCGCATTCACTTGTTTCGGTTTGTTGGCTAACAATTTGAAACAATCTGGAATTCCGATATTTTAGGACAATTTACGGAACCGCTTCGAATCAGCTGGTTGCTTTGCTGTGTTATTTGCGGAATTGTATACATGTTCGCGTTCGTTACAACCACACATCTCCTCTATTTTCATATTCGATTATGTAAGTTTTTTGTCTAATCTCCGGTTTTTCGAAAAAAAAAACCTTTTTTATTTCATTGCATTCCACGAAAAACTCAATTTTTTGCTTCACTTATTGCTTTATCTGAGAGAGAAAAACGCATTTTGGGGTCTCGCGTCTCGCACGTGTCCGCACCGTACTCTTTCGCGTTGTGGGAGCCACACCGCTTGGTGTCCTGCGCCTTCAAACCACGCTACTGTATTTGTTTTTTGCAATCCGTTCCTCAAAAATTTTCTATTTTTCGCAGTTGTTCAGTAACAAATCCAAATTTCTAGTTTGTTTTTAACAAATTTAAAACAAAATTTTTTCCATATTGTCAGTGTCTCGTTCTTACTATATCTCGCAATTTTTGGCTTGTGATTTCTGGCTCATTTTCTGGAATACTCAAAAATGATGGGGTCCTGATGGGGTCAAAATTAGAAATTTTTGAATGTTATATGGTTCTGCATCATTTTTAATCAATTTTTTTGAGTTACCAGTTACCAGTCCGCTAGCATAATTTTCTGATATTTTAAAATACCAATTTTTACCTCTCCCTAGGATCTCACTTTAACTCTTTTGACACATTTTCGTAGCATTTTCTGAAAATGAGCCAAAAATCACGATCCACAGATTATGGATCAAAAAAACCTTAAAATTTATAAAATCTTCGCAAAAATCTGTGTTAGTTTAAAAAATCTATAATTTTATAGAAATATACACTTGTAATTTCAAGCCTTTTTTTGAAATTATTCACAAAAATTTTAAACTTTAAAAGCTCAAAGCTTTCAGACCGCTTTCCAAAATTGGAATTTCGGCACATTTATATGTGCACTTTATTTGCAAAATATCGTATTATTTATTATAAATCTAATGCCCATTGATTATATATGTAGTCTGCTTCCGAAAAAAGTCAATTATCTTTTTTTTGCAATATTTGCGTTTTTGAATTACTTTTGTTCAAAAATTTCATAAAAATTACCTTCGGGAAAATTGAAAAAAAATCCGAAATCAATGGTTTAAAAACTGACAACTTCTGGAATTTTTCAGCGAGACATTCACATAGCCGCTTGTTTAGAGGGGTCTTGGTGTGCAGGGTGCAGGCTTTAATCAATCCTTATATGTATTTAGCCCATCCCAGGATATTCAAATATAGGAAAATAGAATCTGTGTAAATTCTAATATGTGAAAACTCGGCTTCGACCATCAATGTCTGTGCAGACCTTCAACAGCACGCAGTATTCATTTTTGCGCAATAAAGTCATTGCATAGACCATTGTCTTTTTTGGCATTTAGCCAATTTTCCGCATTCGACGTTGACAATATTTGGCAGCGAACGAACAAAAGAAATTAATATTGTCGACGTCAAACGATTGAACAAAATTAAAAAGGAAACGATTGGCTATGTGCCAATGCGTCTCGACGTAGCGAGAAGTACGCAAGACTGCGTACATTGCATTATAGTCTACGCGTAATTGATTTTCACTCAATGATAAATTATTTTCACTGAATTTGAAGGTCCCGCCTCTCTTCAGAAAATTATAAATTTCGAATTGAATCATTTCTAAAAAACCATTTGAATTTCCAGGGAAGATGGGAATGACGACGTACAAGTTCATAGTGAGTAAACGCCGGGCGAAGGTTTCGTCACTCGGCACAATCTCGACGGTTTCGCGGACGAACACTCAAAATACTCAGCCGGATGTGCCCTAATCCATTCAATTTTCGTGTCTCTTATTATTTTTTTTTGCCTTTTTCGGTTTCACAATTAACCTCAAACCACATAATTGTCATTCGAATTGTGTGCCTTTTTTTATTTTATTATTATTTTTTTTCAAATTTCAACTCGGGGATTTTGTTGTTTGGCTCACACGGAATGAAAATGAAAAAACGAAAACGTGCATTCAAACACTCATAATAAATTGTAATATTGAACGAGGTGATAATGGTGTGATCACATCAGATCAGTACGCGATGTCGGATGAAGAGACGTAGAGAAAAAGGTCAAACGGACACCCGTCGGGCGGTCTGCGGCGGCGGCGACGACAACGACGACGACGGGGAGTGAGTGTAAACGGGGGCCTCCCGAAACACCCACGACGTTGTCCAGTTCGCCGCTACAATGATCGAAAAGGTGCGACTGCTCACCGCAATTCTCGTCTTGTTGCTCGTCAATTCCGCATTTTCAGGTTTGTACACAATTCGACCACCTTTTCGATTCGTTCCTCAACAATTTCTCATTTATACACCGCTTTTTTTTATTTCGCGTTATTTTCATTTTAGAATTTTCAATGAGAGAAAATGCCATTTTTTCGAAAAATTTATTGCCTTTTGATTGGGTTTTTTTAAAACCAGAATGCCCTTTGCAAAATTATTTGTACGACAAACAATTTTGAATCAAACTTCCGCGAACAAATTCCGTTGGATTCACTTCTGTTCAAAAGAGATAAATGAAGAAAATAGTATTTTCCAATCTGCTCGCATTTTGCAGATTTTAGCTTTTCATTTAAAAAAAAAAGTGGAAACCTGCTGCTTCCCTATTAATGATTCGCTTGATTTTTAGCTGAAATTTAACATATGAATTTATTGTTTGAATATCATTTTCATTGTGTTTTGAAGAAAATCGATAGTATACCCAAAATTGGAGTTGGCGCTTCTATCAATATGAACTACTATGTACTTGAGCTGTGGGTAAACAGCCGACGAACGCGATCGATGCACAGTTTTAACTATATGTATAGCAATTCGTAAAACGTACTAGTCGGTAATAAATCTTTTCTTGAAAAAACACTCATCTATCCGTCTTGTTGGCATTTTTTTCATATCCCGGAATCTCTCATCTTTTTGTGTGCCGCGGCCGCGGCCATGACGTTCGTCGACGAAGACGACGAACGAGAGATTGATGATTGATGGAATTTTACACTTTATATTAGCTATTATCATGCGTTTTTGATCCATCACCGACGTGTTCTTTTTTGCGCAAATCATTTGAGCCGAAAATCATGAGAATTTGAGATTTTTGTATAATTAAAAATTCGTCAATTTTTTGACGTTGAATAATATTTGGAAAATATAATGCTTACCTATTTTAGGAATAAAAACTCAAAAAATTAAAAGCAAAACTAGTTTTTGTTGCTTAATTTGCATTAGATTTTCAGAGTTTAAAAACATATAGCTTCTACAGGTTTTTTTTTTTGAGTTTTTATTTTGCGAAGTCTGTGTAGTACCATTAATTGGAGAAAATGCAGGGGTTTATTTTAAATTGTTCGTCCTTAAGCCATTTTGTCGGAGTCAAACGACTGAAGGGAACCGGGGCCTTCAAATTCGCGAAAATAATGTAGATTTAAACTATTCGTTGACTGAATGTTAAATGCGCGTACGTTATAATGCAATGTACGCAATCTCGCTTCCTCGAGACGCATTGGCACATAGCCAATCATTTTTTAAATTTCGGGAAGTCGTTTGAATCCGACAATATGGAATGGAAGCCCAATTTTTTTTAGCTTAACAAATGAAATTTAATTTTAAACATCTGCGGACAATTTTCCGGGATGCGCCACAATCGCTTGTTAGCTGTTATTAGTGGTGGCGGCAATTCAAACACTGATTAGTGGTCCTATTTTTTTAACACAACGAAAATGGAAATATATAGCAGAAAAGAACATTCAATGTGTGCTCCGTTTGAGTCAAAAATCTGAAATTTGTCATCTGAAAATCTCTTTTTGTGTTTCAGGGACATGCGAGCAAAACGCGACAACGATTTTATGTGAACGACAATCGTCATCGAATCCGCTTTTCACGGTAATTTTCTTTTGAATTGTTTTTTTAAAACAGAAATCCCATTGGTTTCAGATTCGCGGAGACGTCAGTCGGGTTGAGACGATTATTGTGCACAACGCGGAAATGGATCTGACCGATGATTTGCTCAAAATAGGTAATCTCGTCGCGATGTATCCACTAACGGTGTCCATTTTTTCTAGATACAACTCTTCCAAATGTGAGTCTGATGAATTTGACAGGCAATTCGATCGAGCGCATCGGTCCACGCGGTTTCGACAAAGTCCATAATGTTCAGTATCTTTATTTGTCGCGCAATCCGATTTCGATGACACAAGCGGACACATTCATGTCACTAACGAGGTATGTTGATGGGCCCAACAAAGAAAAAAATAGAACGAGGAACGAATCGTGGTGTTCGAGAAGATCCACACACAAAATTGAAGAGGGACTTTTTCGATTTCAGATTGGAGCGTCTTGAAATGAACGATGCCATTGCGGGCTCCTCAGAATTCAAACTACATTTTTTGCTGAGCATCTTGCACACGAAACATAAGTTTGTGCATCTCACCGAAATCCAACTCAATGACAATGAAATCGAGGAATTGCATCCGATCACATTTTGCGGGGTCCAAGGGCTGCTCAGACTCGAGTTGTCCAACAATAAACTCGAGAGTCTCGATTTTACCGCGAAGTGCTTCTCGAATTTGAAGGCGCTTTTCGTGGCGGGAAACAAGATTCACCACATTCCTGCCGATCTTTGGGACAGAATGCCATCATTGACAAGTCTGGATATTTCGAAAAATCCGCTTCATTGCGACTGCTCGATGGTTGAAATGGTCAAGTCTGATGATATCAGTTTCCTGAATCAAGTAAACTATTTCGTTCTAATATTGCGAAAAAAAATCGTTTTCGCATATTTTAGGGTAAGACATTCTGCGCTTCTCCTTTGGAAGTTAAAGGGATGAATGTGTTCGATTTGCCGAAGGAGTACTGCAAAAAGGATAGCGGATATCACACGTTCAGAAATTGCATTGTTCTCGTCATTATTGGAGCAGTTTGTAAGTCAAAATGTTGAAGAATCTCCACAATCCTTTATCGATTTCGAAACGATTGAATTATTTTAAATATTGGATGTCTGAAATTAGAAATATGCAAAAAAATGATTGAAAATTCCAAAAAGTACTTATTTTTGCAGGTTTGTTTCTTTACAAAAAATATCGGGATCGTTTGCCGAAATGGTCAGGAGTCGCCAGCTACCACAACATTGATCATGAAAACGTCGTCGTCCAACCGGAATTCGTATAAATCATCATCAACCGGCAAAAAAAAGAAACACGGAGAAGGCCGTGCCATTTCATTCATTTTTTTCGTTCTTTTGCATACGGGATTTTATTGATCTGTGTTTTACGATTCACAAACATTTATTTTTTCGCATAAATAATTTAGTTTTGTGTTCTTTTTTTATTCGAGAGCGGCTTTTTTCGTCATCATCATCATCATGATGTGCGCGGCTTCAACAAAATCGGGGGTTCGATCGAGATAGTGTTCGCCTCGCCTCATTTCGACGCACAAGTGTCGAGAATTGAGTAGATCGACAGATGCGGCGGTTAGGCGGCAAATTTGAAAAAGTCCTCGTCCCGAAAACACGCCAAAAAAGGCCAAATAGGAGGCGAATCGTGGAGTGAGAAGAAAGGAAACGACAAGAGGAGAGGGGGGAAGGGGGAGGGGAGTGGAATGCCCTTGATGATTCTCTCGACGCCGTGCTGCCGGTATCTTCATCGTTTCGGTCGTCCCTCGTTTGCCTCACTCCTAAAATACTTCGATCCGATCCGATCCGATCCGACCGATATTGCATAAACTTTCGCTCCTCCTCCTCCTCCTCTTCCGAATAGGTCACCGATCCACGTCTTTTCTTTTGTTTTCCTCGTCCATCCGATTTGTTGTGTGCGAAATTATGAATTTCGACGCCAATTGATTGCGTAATTCGTCGCCGACGAATCGTTTTCGACATCCGTCGCATTTTTGAGCGATTTCTTCGCAAAATTCTTCAAATTCACAAGATTTTCATATTTATCCAATCAACTTCCTTTTTTTGCTTCCATCAATTTTTAAAATTCGAATTTTTTTTTTCGCTCAAGTTTCATTCACTGAATATTTGGATTTAGAAATTGTTGATAGGTGGAATTATTTGACGGAATATTTCGCTATGAGACGATTAAAAAAATATTTTCGATTTCCAATCACCGATTGGGCCAGGGCCTTCATTCTGTCGAAGTCAATGCGCGAATTTGAAAATCTACAGCAATACATCAAATGTTTGTTTGAATCCGACAATTAATTGAAAAATTCTCACAAATTTAGATTTTTATGATTGATTCTCTGTTAACTCAAAACCAATCGGATTCGACTCCGAAATCAAACCGATCCGATTGGTAATTTGCCAGATCTGAGATCTGTGGTCCATTGCAGTTTTTCCTGGCGGCGATTCAAAGTGAAATTTATACAGTAGAAATTCGGCTACCGTACTACGGACCATTGAAGAGAAAATAGAAAAGATAAAACAACGAAAAAAATATGCATAAGGGGGCTCTAAGTAAAGAATTGGTTTAAACCGAGACCTCTACTAATTTTTTTTGGCAATTAGCCAATTTTCCGCATGTCGGCCATAGTCTTAATAGTAAACATTTCTTGTCAATTCATTTTTCAACCCATCTGCGGACAGTTTGCAGGATTAGTTTCCTCGTCTAGACATTCCAATTCGAATTGTTTCCGTTCTCAATCATCATCATCATCATCTTTATCGCAGAAATGAATTAACAAATCAGATTTGACACCACACACACACATGTGTGTGTGTGTTATCAATGTGGAATCTATACGTATCTGTTCATCTATACTATATGTATATAGTATATAAATATATATTACAGTATTGTGGTGTTGTCCGAACGGCGACATGCGCCAGATTAGCCGTTGAGCACACTCTCGAAGCGATTTGGTGTTTCGCGTGAAATAGCACCGATTCGCTCGTTTGACTGTTTATACAATTAACAACAAACTAGGCGTTCGTTTATTATCATCATTCTTGCCTGGCAAATTTCCGGTTTCTTTTCAGCTTCTTCTTCTTCTTCTTCTTCTCACGAATTCCAATTAAAATACCAAATTGATTTCAATTTTTTTGTCGCCTGATGACTCATTCGCAATGTTGCAATATATGTCTAGTGGATTTGCATTTCAATTACCTTTCGACTCCAATTTTTGGTTCGAACAAAAAAGGTATTCGTGCCGGTTTGACAAAAAAAATGTCTGAAATTCAATAATATTTTTTTCTGTGCAATTTATTGGTTCTTCTCACTTCTTATTCGATGGCTTCTTTTATTGTGATTACCGTTTTCATGTCCGCTGATGATATTTTTAAAAGATGACGCAAATAGAAGAAAAATATATTTTAAAAAAATTAGAATCGATTTCGTTTATTGCCAATTTCCTTTTTTTTCTAAATAAAAATGTTTTATTTAAAAATTGTTTATTCGTATACGATTATTAAAGAGAGTATCAAATTTCTAAACCTGTGAAATGTCCGAACATGGAATACCATATTGTTTTTCCAGAAAATATTAATGCCACTTGTCCGTTTGAATGCGAATGCGAAAATCGTTTTTTTCAAAATATACCTTTTCCCCAAAAAATATTTGTTGAAGAGAAAATTATATTAAAACACGCTGAAAAAAAAAAGCAATCTTCAACTTGTTTTTTTCCCCAATTGCCAAGGATATGACTTGTTGATAAAATATATACAATACGTAAATACAAAAGCGCAGTTTGTTTCTTTCATTTTATTGTTTTTCCGCTCTCTTCCACCTTGGCGTCGGAGGGGGTTTGTTCGCCTCGAACAAACGCAAACATTCTGCGTTTCTCCTCGCGCCTGTTTTTTGCTGTCCATCTAATTTTCGCAATCCCAAAACAGCGGTTTTTCCGTCCTTCCTGCCCGCCTCATTGATCCATATTGTCCGTTTACGGACATTGCCTTACGCATTGTTTTCGCTTTTGACGAGTTTTGATTTTTTTTTTGAGGAGGGGAGAGGGGGGGGGGATGAAATGACCCCTTCCCCTCCTGGGAGTATCAATTCGAGTTTGGCGTGCTGTTTGCAACACCACTTGAATTATTACCAACTGAATCTATTAAGCGGTTTGGACGTACCGAACCGATCGACGCTTTGATATTTGCATAGTACTGTATTATTCATGTTTTGTATGAATGTGTGAAAGAATGCGTCTTCTTCTCCTTCCACTTGGCCGTTTGATGTTACTGCTATTCCTGCTGCTGTTGCTGCTGCTATCATCATCAACATCGCTGATGTTGTTATATACCGGCACTCACTTTCTACTATTTGAACTGTTCGCTATTTTCCGTCGTTGTACTTCCAACGACCGTCATTGTTTGAATATTTCTTTTTGTTACTATTAAATTCCCCCTTTTTTGTTGGTGCAATCCTTTTGGAAGGACTCAGAAATTTTTTGTATGCAATATTTGCGGCCGGGGCAGCTGTCATCAATAAAAGTCGAGTTTTGCCAATTTATTGCTTTCGATGAAGATATAAAACGGTTCAAATCGCATTGCAATTTTGATGCAGATTTCGAGAGAATTTCACAATAATAAGATTCGACTTTTATTTGAAGTGCGAATTCTCATCTTCCGATCACGAAGCATCATCGTCTTGGTCACACTTGCGAGGCAGGTGTAAAACATCTGTGGGTGAATCATTTCAAATTCCTTCAATATTTTTACTATTATTCATTTTTGCTTTTGACTTTTGCAAACATTTTTATTTCCCTTTCATTTTTTGCCGACTCTGTTTGAACTTCTACCGAAATTAGCGTAAATGACAAGGTGACTAACAATTTGAAACATACGGGGATGAATCATCACTTTGGGGCAATGGCGCTCCATCGCAACGCAAAAATTTAAATTTTCTGCGCGAACAATCAGTTAATTTAATTGTGCAACTCATATAATTAATTTTTGTGCAACTTGGCTGAAAAAAATCGCGAGAAAATAAAAGAAATCACTTAAAAATCCGATTTTTTTTAATTGCATGATACCGTAACATTAAAGGAACATTTAAAAATTAATAGCTGGTCTTGTCGCGAGTGCGCGAAATTCAAAATCGAATTTTTATTTTGAGTTTTCGCTCTAACATCTCCGTTTTCAGCGGGTAATCTAACCCCATTAGTGAAAAAATAAACTCGAGTTCAAGTGGTCACAGACTCTGCGCCAACCGTCAGCTGCCCGTCGCATTCGATGGCGCTTGCGCGATTATTGTGTCTCAATTTTCCACCAATTTAAATTACCCGATTATGAAATTGAGTTGTTTTTTTTTTTTACGTTGGGCCTATATTAGGTTCGCATCGTTGTGAATCATATTTTATCGCCTACGCATTGTAATAAAATCCAGAATGCAATGCAAACAAATATCTTGAACGAAAAAATGAATGCCTAGGTGGACCCTACAAGCACATTTAATATTCATCGAGTTCCGTTCAATTTTTTTGTGCTTTTGCCGCGTACACTACATGAATTTTGCACATTTCATTCATTTCGTAATCGTTGCCCTCTCGCTCCGTTCAAATTTGACCACCTCAATAATATGAATTGCAGGCTCCTGTGAACGCGAAACATTGGGAAACGTTTTTTTTTCTCTTCTCAAGTTGAGCGGAATCGCGCACAAAATCATCGAAAATGTCCAAAAAAGCCGTAAGTTTTTGCATATAAAAAATGGGGGATGAAAAAAAAACTGGAAAAATTTTGGTGTCGAGCGATAATGAATGGAAATTTGTCTAGCTAGTGTGTGTGTTTGAGGGTACTGGGCGGGGCTTTTGTGTGCATACCAGGGAACACGGAGCGGGCAAATATACATACAAAACGCTTTCTTTTTATCACTGATTTTGGACGACAGTCTTCTTCAAGGCTTTCTCTCTTTTTCTCTCTCGTTTTTGCATTTTTTTTGGTACGGTTTTGTACGAATATTGTGCCTAGTTTCGTGGTTTCCAGATTCAAAATGATGGGCGAACGACACCAAGATCCTTTGGTGACAAACCAAAAACTTCCAAAAGTATTCAGAGTTTCGAAAATTTTCTCCCAAAATTCAATCTTATTTCAGATCAATGTGCGAGTAACATCAATGGACTCCGAATTGGAGTTCGCCATTCAATCCAGCACCACGGGCAAACAGCTTTTCGATCAGGTTGTTAAAACCATAGGACTCAGAGAGATCTGGTATTTTGGACTGCAATACACCGACAATAAAGGTTCCTAATTATTTTCGGGTTTTTAGAAGTAAAATTTTTATTAAAGGGTTCCCAACGTGGCTCAAGTTGAACAAAAAAGTAATGTCACAAGACGTGAAGAAGGAGCCGACACTTCACTTCAAATTTCGCGCCAAATTCTATCCAGAAGACGTCGCCGAGGAGATTATTCAGGATGTGACTATGGTAAGGAATCAGTGCTTCCCGTTGGCGGCAACCTGTCATGTGCTGAAACTTGAGAAATTGTTTGTTTTCGGGCGAACAAGACGAATTAGCGTTTTGTCGGTGTTTTTTTCCGGCTTTTTATTATGTGGCCAGCATCGCTTGCCGTTTTTTGGAGTTGTACACATTTTTGAAGGCAGTGTGTCGTCGCCGCCGCTGTCGCGCCGCTTATCAGTTTATCGAAACGCGCCTATGTGCTCGAATCGGAATTCCACGTTTCTCCATGACGAAAACGGGTTTTGAAACGAAAAACCGAATATCGGTCTTTCATATTAATACAATTCTTGAAACTACTTAATTGAGAAAAAAATAGTGGAAATTTATTTTAATTGAACAAATGGATTGAAAAGAAATTTGCTCGAAATTATAAAATTGGTTGAATTTAAAGGGAAAATAATTTTTGGAAAATGAAAATTTTCAATGATTCGAAAATAAATAAAAAAAATTGAAAATAGACAAAAGAAAACAATATTTGTGTTTTCCTCCAATTTAATTACGCCTATAATTTTTTTTACCAATGTATCAGTTGTGAGTAATTGTATCAGGTGTTCCGATTCATTCCTTTATTATCAAATATTGTCGTTTTTATTGTATCAAAACTGTTTGCGACATGGTTTTTCATGATCAGAAAAAAAGAGTGCAGAATGAGTCATGCGAACCGTGACAATCGGTCGTATTCGATGCCGCTGACTCAATGCGGCGAATATACATCAAAATCTAAGGGGTTTCTTGTTGCAGCGACTCTTCTTCTTGCAAGTCAAAGAAGGCATTCTGTCAGATGAGATCTACTGTCCGCCAGAATCGTCGGTTCTTCTCGCCTCGTACGCGATGCAGGTCAAATATGGCGATTACATTCCGGAAACGCATGTTCCTGGCTGCCTGACGGCCGATCGGCTCCTTCCGCAACGCGTGCTTGGCCAGTTCAAATTGAACACTGAGGAATGGGAGCGGCGAATTATGACATGGTGGGCGGATCATAAAGGAACATCAAGAGAGCAGGCGATGCTCGAGTATCTCAAAATTGCTCAAGATCTCGAAATGTACGGAGTTAATGTAAGTTTTGCGGACATTTTTCAATATGATGTGCTACTGATTTTCAGTATTTTGAAATTCGCAACAAGAAGGGGACCGACTTGTATCTTGGCGTTGATGCGCTTGGTTTGAACATCTACGATAAAACTGATCGTCTTTCTCCAAAGGTGAATACTTCATCATAAAACAATTTTCCATCACAATTTCGCATTAGTACGCAATAATTTTGCAATGATAATCAATCATTATTCAGGTTGGATTCCCTTGGTCGGAAATTCGCAATATTTCTTTCAACGATAAGAAGTTTGTGATCAAACCGATTGATAAGAAGGCACATGTAAGCTGCATCCGTTGTCACAAATCACTCATAATAATACATTTCACAGGATTTTGTCTTCTATGCGCCGAGGCTTCGAATCAATAAGCGTATTCTCGCGCTTTGTATGGGCAACCATGAGTTGTACATGCGGCGAAGAAAGCCTGATACCATCGAGGTTCAACAAATGAAGCAGCAGGCGCGCGAAGAACGCGCTCTCAAGATTGCCGAGCAGGAGAAGCTCAACCGCGAGATTGGAGCTCGCGAAGAGGCTGAAGCCCGTCAGCGCGAAGCTGAACAGCGTATGCAGAAAATGGTTGCTGATATGGAACGCGCTAGGAGGGAGCTCGAAGATGCTCAGCATACTATTCAGAATCTGGAGGCTCAGCTCAAACAGCTTCAGATCGCCAAACAAGCGCTCGAGAATAAGGAGGTACAATCGAGGAATTTTCGAGATCATCGAGTTGTAATTGATTGATTTTAGATGGAACTCCGCGAGCTTACTGCTCAATTGCAAAGTGAGAAGGCAATGTCTGACGAGGAGCGACACCGCCTTCGCGAGCAAGTCGATGCTCGTGAGCGTGAGGTGTTCACAATGAGACAAGAAGTTGAAAGACAAACCACCGTCACTCGCCACCTTCAAACTCAGGTATCGGTTTGATATTCAGTTGAGCTTTATCAAGGAATTTTGAAGGTCGACACTTCGCGCAACCACAGCAATCACGTCCAAAGTCACACCAGAGATGAAGCTGCAACTGATGACGAAGATAATGGAACTACTGGTAGCGATTTTTTTCGAAGTTTTCTTTTTGAATAGAGGAGTTTGTTTAGAATTGACCAACGATGCTGATCAGAACGTGCCACAACGCGAACTCGATCGAGTCACTGCTGCCGAGAAGAATGTTCACATCAAGAACAAACTTGACATGCTCACCAGAGAGCTTGACAGTGTCAAGGATCAGGCGGCTGTTACGGATTATGATGTTCTGCATATGGAGGTGATTTTTTGTCCATACAAAACAGTCATTATGACTATTGTTATGTTTTTAGAATAAGAAGGCTGGACGCGACAAGTACAAGACTTTGCGACAAATTCGCGGCGGTAACACAAAACGAAGAATTGACCAGTATGAGAACATGTAAAATGAAATATTAGGTGTTTATTTATTTATTCTTTGCCTTATTATTAATCCCCTCCACAATTACCCTCTCGAACAATTATGTGCCTTTTGAAAGAGAACTTTTATGCGTACCGTACCACTTATTACTTTCCGCACTATCTCGGTTCAGAAATTTTGTTTGTTTTCTTTTCTGTCAAATTATTTCTTAAGTAAGGTCATATCAAGAAATTTTCCCGAATTATTTTGTTCCCAATGAAAAATTTGAATAATGACCAAACGTTTGTGGCACTCATCTTTTCTTCTTTACGAAACTGCTTTATTACTGTAGTTTTCTTTTTGAGAAAGAAATGACACGGCGAACTACAGTAGTAGAATCCCCATTATTCTTCAATTCTTTTCCGATTTATGGCGAGTGTGTGTCTGTATGTGCTTTTTTTTGGTTTTATTCACTTCGTTTTCCTTTCAACTACTTCCCCCTCCATGTTTTGTGTTGTCTCTCACTCGTACTTGGGGTTTTTTTGCCTTCTTCATCTTTTTTTTCCATTAATTTTAACTTGGAAAATTCGCTCCTTTTTATATTAAATTATCCAAAAAACCCGCCACGTATTCATATTCTCTTCCGCGCCACTCCAAATCATTTAATTAATTATTTTATGATACGAATAAAGATGATATGTAAATGTGAAACATCGTTGTATTCTGTTTTAATTATTGGACCATTTTTTCTCTGGGAGAATTGTTTGTCATCAATACCACACGGAATATTTTTAAATGGTTCTTAAACTTTTTTTTGAAACAAAAATGAAGATTTATTTGTTCAGACGGATGATATCGCAATGTTTTGGGTGTTCTGAAGCGAGGGTACCGAACTCTTCTAGGATTTTTGTAAGGTTAATCCTTTTTTGAATATCTGAAATAATAATAACTGGAATTCGTGTAATGCTACCAAATGCGCCATTTCTAAAAAAAAAACAATTATTGTTGTTTTTCAAAAAAGAAATGCCTTAAAATTTGAATTGGGCTGGCTAGTTTTGAAATATTCCGCAATCTTCTATTACCATCCCAAAAAAAACGACCGTCTTGCATAATTGGGGACCATCGCACTTTTTTAGGCGGTATTTCAAGTTCGAATTTAAACTGTGGGAAATTCGGATACCACACTCTTTATAATCTGCGAAGATAACTTAACGTAAATCGGTTAATTGCTGCTCAATTCCTTTACTCATTCATTTGTTTTACTAATCTGAAAAAAAAAACAAAAAGTTTGAAACAGAACTAGTTTTCAACCAAATCTTCAATTTAATTCAAGGAGAGTGTCTGTTTCGTCTGCAATTTTCGCAAACGTTTTCAGATGTATCAACTCGTTTAAGAAAAACTCACATTACGATACACTTGGCGTCAAGCAGACAGCTAGTCTTGATGAGATCAAATCGGCATTTTATGAGAAATCGAAAAAAGTTTTCTACAAGTTTGTATGAATATTCAAAGTTGATTGATATTTCAGCTTCATCCTGACAACAATAAATCCGACGAAGGATCTAGTAATAAATTTGTTGAATTAAAAACCGCTTATGATGTGCTGAGGTTAGATTTGGGTGCATTATTTATTGTAAAACGATGGCACAGTTTGCAGACGACCTGCTGATCGTAGATTGTACGATATAAGTCTTCGAGGTGGTAGACCGAATCGTGGAGATTTTAGACATCCTTACGCCGGATTCAGACCTCCTCCGCAATATGACCATGGACGGGATTGGTCGTCATTCTGGAGTCAGAATCCCGGAGATCGTAGTCGCGAGGATTTCGAGGCAATGCAAAAACGATCTGCTGATTTCTTCAAGACAATGTTTAAATGGACCGCGTATGGCGTCATTTTTGTCATTTTGTATAACGGAGGATACTTGTTAGTTGATTTCCGAATTTTTTGGTTTTTTTTTGCATTTTATAGTTTCAGATATATGATGAGCTGGAATCAAAAACAATTGGACAAGTTGTGCGATGAAGACGAGATTGCAAAGTGTTTTCTGCGGCAGAAAGAGTTTCGAAATGCCGATTACGATTCGGCCGAAGTATTTAATTATTATAAATTATATATCTGAAAACAATTGAAACTATGCAGATTGCGGAGCTCGGACGAGTTCTCAAAGCAGACATCGATGAAATTTGGAAGCAAAAATGCGACGAGAAACGGAATCCAGATGAAATTCGTGAGGAGTACAGGTGAATTTTAGTTTTAGAAAACTGTTCATGAACTTGTTCTTTCTCGAAAAATGCACTAAAATAAATTTCTAGATTTGAATTTTAAACGTATTTCTAATTTAATGCTCCTAGTTGACGATTGGTGAAATTTACCTCACATTTTCACAATCATTTTTTTCTCAAAAACTTCTGATTTATTGATCTTACATCATTTTTTCTTCTTCTACTCGCCAAAACCAATCAATCACAATTTATTTGATTGATTTCTGCCAAAAATCGATCCAGAAATTGTACAAAACATGTCTAACAAGCAAACCATCGTTTTCTTTGAGTCTCGCACTATTTCGCCTTCGCTTCTCGCATATTTGTTCGTTTTTGTACTCTGCTCAAATTTTCATCATCTTATCAGTTATGACTCGTCCCAATTCATTTTTTATAATTCATAATCTCTTGTTGTTTTTCATCGTTTTATTTTAAATTTTGATATGTGTTTTTCAGATGGTTTCGCGCCGTTCAGGATCCTGACCATATTCGCCAATTGAAAGAGAAACGACTGGCACGGAAAAAAGAGGAACGTGAGAGATGGCGAAACGATACCGAATAATTTTTTGCGACGATGATGATGTATTGATAGAACTGATAGATAGAGATTAAAACTAGGTTGCTACTAATCAAACGGGTTCTCCGAAATTTTTTCTATTAGTCCCTTCATTGGTGTCGGTTTACTACTAGTCTATTCGCATAAATCGTTTGTATCTGAAGAATATATATCTAATTTTATATATGGTTATTTTTCCTTTACTTTACTTTGAAAAAAAAAACGAATTGTTACAAAAAAACGAAAAAAAATTGTTTAGATGAGTGACTTAGCAGGTATTAACATTCTGATAACTGGGTCCACTACTGGGTTAGGTAAATTTGCCAATTTTGGTTGATTTCCGTATTTGGTCCATTTTATAGGACTTCATACAGCCAAATCGCTTTTCAAAAAAGGGGCAGATGTTATTGTCACATGCCGAGATGAGGTTTGTTAATCAAAAATGAAATTAATTATCATTTTGACGCATCCGCCGTCATTTCGAGTGAAATATTCCATTTATTTGTCCAAAGATTGAAAAATATAAATATTCATACTCTTGTTCTTTTCAAACAAATTATATTTTTTTAAATATGCCATTAAGAATGATTTATGAAGAAGCGCACATTTATTTTGAAGGTTCGTGGTCGTAAAGCGGTTGAAGAAATAGTTGCATCGATTCCGGCCGAGAATGCCGCCAAAGAGCAAGCCAGAGTTCATCTTTACACGGTATTTTTGTTTTTATGAATTAATTCAGTTAAAAGATTTAAAAATACATTAGATTTGAGTTTTGCATTACAAATTCGCAATATTCTTTTTAAAAAGAATTCCGTTTTTGCTTTGATTTTGTTTGTTGACATAAATAGTTCCAAAATGCTTTTAAAACGTTATTTACACAATGAAATTTTCTCCTCAAATATTGTAATTTTCTTTTCAATTGTTTTTCAGCTCGATATCACCAATTACAACTCAATTCTCTCATTCTGCGAGGATATTTATCGAGATTTCGAGAAAATCCATGTGATTATCAATAATGCCGGAATCATGGGATATCCGTTTGAGGTTTTCAATTTGATTTTATTTTCAATTCTCATTTTTTTTTGTTTTCTAGTTATCGGTAGATGGTGTTGAAATGCATTTTGCGACAAATATGTTTGGACATTATGTGATTGTCAATCGTCTTCTTCCGCTCCTTTGCAATGCGACGACTCAAAGATTCCGTAGTCGAATTATTGTGGTCTCGAGTGGACTTTACAAAAATGTATGCCAGGTTTCGAATTGTTCAACTTAAAATTTAACCGGTTTAAAGGCGCATTCCATTCCGCAAGTTGGTAAATTGCTAGGTGAGAAAGATTGGGATTTCAATGCTCGACAGGCGTATGCGTTCAGCAAATTGGCCAATTGTCTGTATACTGTTGCACTTTCCAAGTTTGTCATTTTTGAATCTTGCAATTTTTCTTTGAATTGGCTGGCTTTCAGAATGATTGAGAAGTACAATATTGGAGTATACTGTGTTCGCCCAGGATTTGTTAAAGGAACGGAATTGGGACGCGAAACACATTGGTTTCTTCGAGCTCTAGCTGCTCCGATTATTTGGCTCGTCGCCAAGAACTTGGACCAGGGAATCGAGACAATTGTGTATTTGGCGGAGACGAATTCTGAGGAATTGAAGACTGGCAAAATGTATTATGACAAGAAGGAAGAAGATTACAATGATATGGTTAATACTGTAAGCGATAATTTTTAAAAAGAGAAAAAACAAAAAATATTCAACGTTGTAGCTTACTATCCGCCAAGTTTGGGCAATTTTGCGCCATATTGAAGACCTAATTTGGAAGAGAAACAATCGATTAACGCAAGCTCAAAAGGATGAAGGATATGTGCTCCGCGATATGCTCAATGAGTCGCTAATCGTTTACGATACACAAAAGTAGAAATTTCAAACAAATTTGTACATGTATAAGCTACCTGGTTCGATTATTACCAATATTATTGCTTGCTTCATTAATTTTGATTTTGACGTACGAGTATATATATTTAAACAATGTAGTCGCCATATTATTTTGTTGTGTATTTAGTTGTTCATAAATTATCCAATTGCTTCAATTCATTGTTAGACAAGCCATCGGTCAAATATCCAGCGGAATTATCTCAATAAGCAACCAAATTTGACGGAAATCGAATGCGAGTTTTAGAAATTGGAAAGTGAATGGATGAGGTTGTCGGTGTTGCACCCGACAGAAATCGAAAATGGAACGGAGTCGCTTTTTGGTAAATATTGGAAAATTTTTGAAACAAAATAAATGCAATTTTTCAAAAAATTATTTGATTTCAACAAAAAAAATGCTTTAGAAAAACTCGCGACTTTTGCGCAAACTTTAAAATGTTTCGTCGTAGATTAAAATGCACGTCTGCAGAGCTTAAACGGCGTGATTGCACAATTTATCCAGAAAAAAAGTTAATTGTTGTGCAATCACGATGTAGGATGTCTGCGGACTTGCATAAAAATAAATTGATGCCTAAAAGTCTTGATTTGTTAATCATTGCCACAAAATTCTAGGCTGCTTGGATTGTGCAACAATTTTGCCTATGTCGTGATGCTGAGTGCTGCGAAAGACATCATGGAAAAGGGTCAGTCACACGATTCAAAACCATGCAGAGTGAGGGGTCCATTCTCCAACAATTATTACCATTCTATGTTTCAGACATCCATCGACAGTCGGCAATGCGAGCTGATGTCTACAGGTTCCGTTCTATTGGCTGACATACTTCCAGCGCTTGTCATCAAACTTTCAGCTCCACTTTTTATTCACCGAATCCCTTTTGGGTTTGCTTATATTTTTTTAAGTGTTAAAATAAATTATTTTCAGAATGCGGCATCTGATTGTAGTATTACTACAAGCAGCTAGTTTTATCATAGTCGCTAAATCATCTAGCACATATTTTGCTTTATTTGGTAATTCTTTCTGTTTTTCGAAAATTCATACTTGGTTTTTCAACTTTCAGGTGTGGTTTTGGCAAGTTTGGGAAGCGGTCTTGGAGAGATCACATATTTAGCTTTAACGTCAAACTATCCATCGTAAATACTATGAAAAACTAAAAAATAATAGAATTCTGTTACAGAAAAGTGGTTTCGTACTGGTCTTCGGGAACTGGTGGTGCTGGAATTATTGGCGCTTTGGTGTACGCATTCTTCACTGAACCTCGATTCCTGGGATTCTCGCCACGAACCACCATGATGCTTATGCTCACACTTCCTGTTCTATTCTCTGTAACATATTGGAAGATCCTGACAATTCCCAGGACTGTTCACCGAGTTCAACTGCTCCATCTATCAACGTATTTAGTTCCGAGGCCAACACGAAGGCAAAGTGAAGAGACGGATCAACTGATCGAGAATCAAGGAGTCGAATACGGTAAGACTCCGAATAAGGTATTAATCAGAACGATGGTACTATTCAGATCGAATTACTCCTGTTGGAACCCCAAGGATCACTAGAGTTGCTACACTTCTACCCTATATGATCCCATTAATTCTAGTCTATTATGCGGAGTATTATATAAATCAGGGATTGGTAAATTATTTATTCACCAGCTTAATGGTTAGAATTTTTGTTTTCAGCTTGAACTTTTGGAATTCGATTGCTCTCATGGATTCGGTATCAGCCCTGACAGTCAATATCGGTGGTTTCAGGTGCGTTAGATTGTTAGTTAAAAAATAGTTTTGACTGTCAAAACCGTTTGATTGAATTCGAACAGTTATTTTAAACAGAACGTCTTAAAATTGACTAATTTATTGCGATATCAAGGTTTGAAAAGCAATGAACAAACTGATACACGAGCATAACTCGTCACTTGGAATATTCTTATTGTTGACAATGAAAATGGTGAATTCATTTTTTTTTCAACACGCTGAGTAATTTTTTTTAACCCGATATTTTTTGTATGCAGTGATGCCTATATTTATTACTATAATTTTTATTCTGACCATTAACTCAGCTCGCGACGCTCAAGACCTAAATTCTAATGTCCCTTAGCAACCCATGTTCATTGGATGGGCGGAAATATCAGATCGCCCAGGCCTTCATCGCCGAAGACTGGGAATCATCAACCCCGACGTCTTCAACGCATGATTAAGAGAGCCATTTAAAATCTGATCGGCATTTCTATATTTAGATCGTTTGTAATATTTTCATCGAAATGGATTAGAAAACGCCAAACACGAATAGAATACTCAATCAACTAACGACAAAGTAATTCATAACAAATAGACATCATATATTATACGGAACCACAAATGATATAATTACGCTTCAAATAGCGTAATGTTAACATTCAACAGATATCAATCAATAACAGAAAAAAAACCAGCGAGTCTACTAAAAGCTCAAACAATTAAAATCACTAAAACTGTGCAAGTGCGCGTCAACTCTGGCATGTCCGTTCGCTCCCGCTATGGATTTCTTATAGTCGTATTATAAAAAAATTATATGTTTTAAAGCGATTTTTGAATGCGTTGGTCGATAACAAAAGTTTCAAATGAACGATTAAAATCTTCAAATTCATCCGAAATTATTGCGGTCGTGAAATGTACCATGGCCGAATAATTCGCGGTCACGGATCGGCGGCGGCCGCCCGATTATTCGCTTGCCCGAAAGAAAGCCTTACATCCAAAAATATGGAAAATTAACTTAAAAAACAAATCTAAGTTAAATAAAAACGATACTGTGGATTCTGTCTATAAGTGTGCATACCTTGAATATGTGCAATGGGTTTTTTCTTGGTACGGAATCTTTGGTTCGTTTTCTTTGAGTCTCGCGCTAATCTCTTTGGTTTTCTTCGGAATCTTTGGTTTTTTTTTCGCAATGGAATTGGAACTCTCTTGCAACAATTAATGTTAGTTGGTAGCCCTAGATGGTGGTATATCATTTTGATTGCCTTGAGTAATCCCTTCCTTTGAATTATCGTCAGTCTGTGTTCCTCTCGTGCGTGTAGTCCAGCGGTCGCAGTCGCCATCACAATTACAATCGGACATTGATGAGAGCGACGGCGACGAACGGGAAGAAGAAGACGACGATGACGATGATGAGGAGTTCGACATCGTCGCTCTAATGTCTTCCAAAGATCCGAAATTGGAATCGACATCGGAGTTGCTCATCTACGAAGAGTACATTGAATGAGACGAACCTGCTGATTATTAATACCAAGGATGAATCCTCCGATAGGTCGACATGAATTCGTGCATGAGGTGCCAAACGATCTTCAATCGTATAGAAAACTCGACGAGTTCGGATGACGTATTCGCGACGAGTCGGATGATCAACAGTCTACTCGGAATTCTCGATTTGCGGCATTGCGCTGTAAAATAATAAGACGAATATATTCGAATTATTTTGAAGACATATGCTGCGCGAAACGAACATGTGCACGAATTTTTGCACTTTGTAAATCATCCGAACAAATGGGAATGACAGATGTTGATGGTTTTCGTCGTCTAGGTTTGTCATTTCGACAAGTATGTTTTGCTTTAGTGGAAATATTAAAATGAATGGAATTGAATAAATTCGTCCGCCGATTCGATAAAATTAACATAATGCGGAAATTACGAAAAAAAATTAATAGAATAACTATTGGGACCATGATTTTTAGAATTCGAGGATGCCTTTTGACGTCGATTTCCCATTTTGTAGGCGTTAAATGGGCGTAACAAAAGAAATTTCAAAAATGTCGCCCTGCTTTTGTGCAGCGTGTATTGCGGACATTGCGCGCGGCCCAAAATCGGAGAAATAGAAAATTTGCATTGGGTCTCGTCGCGTTTGAAAAATGAATTGGAATTTTTTGTTTCGACGAATACCTTGGTGATTGAAATTGCGAGGGTTTGTCACGCTCTGTTCTCTATGTGTTTTTTTTTCAACAGCAACACGAATAGGAAAAAATGAATAACATTAAAGAAAATTATTGGAATTATCAAATTTTTTTCCGAAAGTGTTTTAGACTTTTTAAATGTTTTATTTCATACGCATTATACAGTGCGTTTCACATTTATAAAGCCACCCCTATCTTTGGGCGTAACTTTGTCAATTGTGAAAAATTTTAAATTCTGTTTTCAAATTTGAATTCAGGGCTTAAAAATACATGTATGTTTACCGATTTTCATAATGATATCTGAAAATTTGGCCGAGTGGCATTGAAAAAACTGAAAATTGGTCACTTGCAACCGTTTCACATTTATAAAGCCACCCCTGTGAACGCAGTAAAAACTCTATTATAAAACCAGATAAATATTTAGTTGCGGTGTCTTTTAAAGTAATAACGTCGTTTCACAATTGACAAAGTTACGCGCAAAGTTTGGGAATGGCTTTATAAATGTGAAACGCACTGTATAAGAGAGAGGCGTCGGCGAAAAAAAAAATTGTAAATAAAATGAAATGATAAAGAAATTCTGAAATCACCAGGGATTTCTTGAAGCATTTGATTAATGACTAATTAAGAATAACAATTTTGAAATAATCAAATGTTCCAGGTCACATATCAATTGGGCGTCTTCGTGTCGAGATCCTCGTCGGGTGTGTTCGCTATTCCGCCCAAATACTTACCATTATTGGCTTTATTACAAGTAGAAGAATCCCTCAATAAACATCAAATGTTTCATTTTAGATCACAAATTCGGCATTATTCACCGCCGCTGCAATTTTCTACTTTTTGCCTCATATTTTTATTGCGTTTTCGGTGATATTCGTCGAAGGACTTCTCGGCGGAGCTTCTTACGTGAACACATTTCGTGCTGTACATAAACAGGTAGTCAGGCGATGATTATGAAAAATGCAGTATCCCCGTTGTCAGGTTGCGGAAGACGAACGCGAGTTCAGTATGGGAGTGGTGTCGATATCGGACACGATTGGAATTGTCGCCGCTGGATTCACCGCAATCCCTGTACATAATGTGATTTGCTCAATGAAACTGTAAATTGTGTGCTATAAAAATTCTATATATAGACATTTTGTCGGAATAAAACGCTGCGCATTTGTTAATATTTAATTTGAATAACGTTTGGAATTAAAGGAAGTGTGAAACTCAACGATTCCAATCGCAAAAATCACGGACACCCTCGTTACTGTAATTGATTTCCTTGTATTTAAAAAGCATGCATCTTGAGTAATTGTGGACCATCGCGTAGTTTTCGAAGCGGCGGCAACTCAAAGGGGAATTCGGCTACCGTACTTCAGTAAACCTGCGAATCAAACTCACTGTAAGGGATTCTCATTTTTTACGCGGGTAGATTTACGGGGGATGCGTCTTTCTCTTGGTCTCGCGCGGACTATCTGGTTATTTTGGTCGGTTCGATTTTGAATCGAATTATGGCGAGTGCACGTGACGAGACCATTTCGAAAGGCGCGTGCGCGTAAATCGACAGCAGCCACCGGACGCCAACAATAATACAAAATGTAATATTTCTGTGATGCGTTAACCAAATTCCCACTATGTAAATGCAAAAATTTGAAAAATCAGCCAGCTCAATTTTTGCAGTGATATTGTCGAAGTGGCGCGACTAATCAGTTAATGCCAAAAATCGAAGGAATTGGTCCTTCCAGGACCAAAACTCTGTAGGATATTGTAACTGATGTCCCTTCACTTACTTAGTCACATAGTCGGTTCGTTCTTCGCCTGTTGAGGCTGTTGAGAACCACAGCTTTCCAAAGCTTTTCGGTCCTCGGACTCTCGGAGAACCACAGCTTTCCAAGCTTTTCGGTCCTCGGACCACGGGGAGCCCAAATAAAAAACTGGTCAAATCAAAAGGACTTCTTCACACTAGCAATTAATACTACCGATGCACACAACAAATATCATCTGGCTTTTAGCAAATTTTTCGCAGATGCTGAAAATATGAATTAAAAATTACGAGTTTTCGTGAAAAAAAACCAAAAAAAAAATCAATAAAATATTGCAAGACTGGCATTTCCGGAAATCTATCCGCCGTTTACGGTAATCGCCCGACACAAGCTCCATCACACCTCCCCCTACAACATATATTCATGTTTGTTTTCAACGTTGATTCAATTTTTGATCACCTACTTAAAAAATACACCTGCTTCAAATTTTTCACATTCATCGCGAGCTCAGTTTTGCTCAGATTTTCGCGAATGTCTTCGAAACCCTCCCAACTCGTTTGTCCGACGGAAGCACCCGCATATTACATAATGACACTGCATACGATCGCAGTAGTCTCTCTACCATTCAATATCACTGCATTCTATTTGGTATGGTTCCATTCGCCGAAATCTTCCAAATATCGATATTGCCTTTTATATGTTCAAGTAAGAGAGAATCGTTTTGAAAAAGAGCCCGAATTCGTCATTCGATTCAGTTGTCAACATTTTTCACCGAAATCTACATGTCGTGGGTCAATCCGGGCTATTATTTCTTTCCGATGATCGGCGGATACAACACTTCTCCGCTTAGAAAATACATTTCGACTCCAGTCAGCATGGTATGATTGATCTGGTAAATGAAGCTTCGAAAAAAAAGAGAAATGAATCGTATTCGATTGGAAAACATGATTTGGATGGATTCAAATCATCTTCAAAATCGATTCATTTTTTATTAACATAGCGAGCTTAAAAATTTGATGCGATTTGGTCTCGGCAATAATTTTCGATTTGGCTGCGTATCAAGCACACGAACAGTATACATAAAACAAGCAATTTTTGGAAACAAACGAGTCATATTTTTTAAGACAGACGATTTTGGGGAAAATTTTGAATTAGCACAACAAATACAACTTCAAATCAAAGGCGCATGCAAAAATCAGCAAAAATTCGCGGCAACAAACAAAAAAGTCTCAAATTCGTTGATTTTCCGAAATGTGCGTGTCATCGATGAATCGAGTTTGATCGAATATTTTTCGAAACTCATTGATTGTTACCAGCGGACATTTGTCCGGGTTCATCAAATTCGTCGTTTTCAGTCGATTTACGTATTCGCATTCTGCTTCGAGTTGCCGTCGTATCTCATCTGTTTCCTCTACCGACATGAGTGTGTTTTAGAACTTGATCGGGTAATCAAGCTTTGTGCTCGAAACTAATGAATAGAAGTTGGTTTTCAGTCGAAAAAACTAATAAAATCTCTAAAATACATTTTTCTCGCGTTTACTCATTTGTTTCCATTCGTCACCAGTTATTTCGTTTATATGGCAAAACTAACATATGAGCAAAAAATAATTGCGATTAAATTGGTTGAGTTTTAATTATAGCTGTCGTCCGGCGACTGTGGGTGGATTTACGGGGATGCGTCTTTCTCTTGGTCTCGCGCGGACTATTTTGCATTTTTTTTTGGTCGGCTCAATAATTCTTGAATCGAATGATGTTGAAAATTCAAAGTCATCAAGAAAAAATAAGTCGTTCAGGTGAAAACAGCAAAATAAGCGTTCGCACGTGGCGAGACCTTTTCAAGGCGCATTCGCGTAAATCTACATCAGTCACCGGACGCCGACTGAATTTAAATGATAATTTGACAATTTTCGATCCAGTATTTTCCAAAATGCGAACATGCAATGCTAATTCCAAGTTTCGAAATTTACGACTATCGAATTAATATTGTCGTCGCCTACGTCGGTATCGGAGCATTTTTGTTCATTTTCTTCACCTCAATGTGAGCCGAAATTCAATTAATCAAAGAGAGCGGTCAATTTCAAGATACATTGGCTATCTGACATTCACCACGAGGCGAATATTGCGAAAATTGCGAAAACGAATGTCGGTTACAACGTATTCAATGCACCGATCATCGTTGATCGCACTCTCTCTACAGGTCGGTTGGCAACTGAAAACTATCTAAAAATTTCGACAAGGCGCCGAAAATGGCAGATAAGACCAACTTCTAAAAAACCAATAATGTCCCCCATTTTGCCAAATGGGACCTGAATAAACATGATCATTTGTGATGTAATCCCCTTCTTACTTAGTTACTTGTTAGTCCGTTGGTCCTTCGAAAATTGAGGCGCGAATTACAGCATTTCAAACTTTTTGGTCCTTACAAGCTTGAGTGGACCACTTGGTTCCATCAGCTATTCCTGTGGTGCTCTCCTTCCAAAGCGAGTTCGACCATCTCATCGGAGGCCTTCAAATTTTAGATGTTCTTGTGGGGTTCAGAAATCTCGAAACATTTTAGATTACCAATTTATTTCTTTCTTTTTTAATATCCCCTTTAGCCGAATGGTCCCCAGATTTTTCTACAAACTTGCCCTCTTTTGAGCAAATTTGGGAACACGCCAAAATTGGACGAATTTCGTAGGTTCTAATTCCGCTATTTTTGCTCGTCATTCCACTATACACAATTGGAATTGTGATCGCCAAAGATTTGTACCAATATCAAGGTAATTCTTGAACATCTCAATTTCTCATTCGCAGTCGAAATTTTGAAGAGCTCGCAACGAACTCGATGTTCATAATAGTGGCTCATTCGCTGACCAGCTCGATTTGCATGATTGTGACGAATCCGCGACATCTTCGAATTCTCATTGATAAATTGAGGTTATCACATTGATTTTTAAGAAACATTTCATATTTTAGATTAGGTCGAATTACTGGAAGATTCATTGGCGCGCGAAAAACCACATTTGCACATGTTTCATCGGTTTTGAATACGGAAAAAATGGCTAATTAATATTCTCAATTATTCGTCGAGATTCGTTGGAATTTGTCGAATGAATCGTCGAACTTGCAATTGTTGTACAAATGCTTTTTTAACAATCACCTACAACGTATGATACATTGGGGAATTGCTTCAAAATTGTATAAATGTACTCCTAGTGCTGGACGGGCAATTCCTTGCCGAATTGTCAAACGTTCTCGTAATGAGTGATTCTAAAAATTGCGAATATCGAAAAAATCAAATGTTGATTGACAGCCAACTCCGAGAAGGTAATCGGTGAGGAATTGCTGAAAATGGAACGTGATGATGCATCCGACACACGCGTTTTGAAGTCCTGCCAGTCCGCCGTCATTCGCGGTGATCAGCAATCGAACGACAAAATTCAAATCTTCAGTATTCTGCAATTATTTCAAATTGTAGCATTTAAGAAAAATGCACAATTTTTTACATTACTCAATTCTTCATGACAATGCCTTTCAATGGAATTTTTAAGAGCATTCAAGTCATTCGATCGATAAGTTTGAGCTAGTTGAATAATATCAGAAGCGAGTGAAGGCGTCATTTTTGATGGCGGTTTGTAGCATCCGGTTATCAGATGAGTCAACGCCTAAAATTATAATTCAATTGTCCGCACGTGTTGTTTTTGTTTTAAAATTTCCTCCTTATGATTCAATTATTTTTGGCGTTGGTGAATTCGAGAGAAAACATGAAACGAAGAAGCGGTTTTGTTTCGTGTCAAAACCAAGATCAAAATGCTCATTTAAAATTTTCAATTTCAGCCGTCATCCAAGTAAACATTTCGATATGAAAACCCAAGTTTATTTTTTCAAAGCCGAAAACTCAAAAAATAATAGTTAGTGACGGGATGGCCGCGGCCGAGGATGTGTGGGCAGCGGCCGACTTCGGCCCTTCGGCCATGCTCAGGCAAATCGAAGAAAATATTTTGAGAATCAGATATTCAATAATAAATTCTTTAAAGTTATAAGAAATGCTAAAGTTTATTAATACTTTCTAAAACTTATTGAGAATCACTAAACTTAAAAATATTTTTTAAAGTCTTAAAAGATTTTCCAAAATTTATTGAACAAATTTTAAATTATCTCAAAAAATTCTAAAATCTTATAAAAGTTCTAAAGTTGATTGAGAAAATTCTAAAATATTATAGAGACACGTTAGTTTCTCAATGAATCTCAAAATTCTTCCTCACCGTCTCAATTGCTTGTACTGTTCCAATCTCTTCGGTGTATTCTGTCATAAACGCGGTCAGCCGATTCCGGAAATAATGGGAAGCCAGAAAGAGCGCTTCTTTACACACGCCAACATATCCGCCTTGTCTTGAAATCACTTTGAAGTTTTTTCGAGAACTGAAATCATAAAATGATGAATATTGCAGTTTTTAAAGAATTGCAGTTTTTTACGGATCGGTGAGCGAATTGAACGTGTAATCGAGCTCGAAGGGCACCGGAGGAGCTTCGATGATCGCTGTCGGCCGGCTCGCCAAATCGACTTCTTTGAAGTTGATTGTTGTCACAATTTCCGCTGTTTTTCCTGAAAATCATCGCATTGTCTATGAAATGATCTGCGGACAATTTTCGAGTCCCCCCAAATCATAGGTCCTTGCCATTGAACAAACGCTCTTCGTGGATTTTTGTCAAGAACAATCCCAATTCGGAGTAGGGCTCAGTCGCGTAGATCATTCGTCGGGTGCCGCGAGGGAGTCCCATTATCGAATAAAATTGCGGTTGCAACACATCTGAAAATGCTCATCGGAATTCTCGAAAAAAATTGCGCTTAAAAAAATTGCCGTTGCCGTTTTCGTCAAGAACTCTCGCACGGAATTCGATGCTCGTCACCGACGGATTCATCGCGATCAAACCGCTCTCCTCTAATCGAATCTGAAACCGCCTCCGTCAGACGTCCGCAGACGAATTCTCACATTACACAATAATGATTAGAAGCGTTACTGAAACGTAATGCCGCGCGCATTGGGAATTGACGATCGACGAGTATGTCCCTTTAAACGGATTACGGTAGATACTACAGTATAATCAAACCAGCCGATCATTGCATTTTTGTAAACGGTGTTGAAGGTTTCGCGAGCCCTTTTCCGACTACCGGCTAATGTGTATCGTAATGTATGACAATATGAAATTATACTATTCGAATCTGAAATTGAAAAATATTTAAATATTCCAAATATGGTGCCACCTTCAATTTGTTTCATTTGCTCATCTAGTCTATTCATTTACATCAATTTTTTAGCGAAATGATGAAATCGAATGATATTGGCGTGAGATAATCAATTTTCCGATATTCGCGAATTTTTTTTTCGTCGGCTCCGCCTTTTGATGTCACCGGATTTCGGACCAATAATCGACACGCCGATTTTATTTTTTTTTTGCGCATTTTCCCATGCCCAAAACCCCCCTCGTTTTTTTGTGTATGCCGATTTTACGAGTTTTTTTCTGTTCTCTTGCCCTGTATGCTTTTCATTCATTCTTATCGCCCCGATTTTGTTTTTTTTTGGTTTTTCACAGAATTCATCTTTGAATTTTAATTTTTTTTTGGAATTTTAGGAGCCAAAAATTTATTTTGATTGGTGTATTTGTTTTAGAGCATTAATATCAATCTATGAGTTTGGCACCTTCCGGTGACTAATGCCAATTATAAGGTTATCTGTAGCACAATCCAATATTTTAAAGGATCGTAAGGTGTTGATTTACGGATGCGCCTTTAATCGTGGTCTCGCCACGTGTTATTCTCACGTGAACTGTTAATTATTATTTTTTTGGAAAATTTGTAAATTCGTAGAATTTTAAAGGTTAAGAATTATCGGAATCAGTCATTCAATGCGAAATAACTAGTTTGTGTTTGCGAGACCATAGATCCCGTAAATCTACCCCAAGCATTCCTTAGCCGCCGATTCGAATTGTTTTCAAGGTGCACACCCACACGTAAGAAACATTTATTGGTGGCGCCGAGTGCCCTCAAATGGTATGCGCCTTTTTGTTATCGATGATAAGACTCATGCACAAGCAAACTCGGACGCCTCTCTTCTTCTCCTTTTTTGTACAAATACACATCGACACATACCCGGGGCACACACACACAAATACACACATACCCTCAAACGATCTCAAGCAATAAACGATTTGAAACTGATGAATCATTTCAACATATTTGAATGGTGTCGACGAACATCCTCCACCCATTTCCGTTCAGCCTCGATTTTCATCAATTTTTTTAACGGCGTTTGATTGATATTTTTTGACACCAAAAATGGAGGTCGTGTTGTCGGAAGCGAACATAAATTTGAATTTGCCAAAATCGTTTGATTTATCGCTTCGCGCAATTAACCTTTTCTCGTTTTCATTTTATTCGTTGGCGGCTGATGATAGACCACCCTCAACTTTTTCTTCATTTCATTTTTTTGGGTAGGGTTTGGGGGCGGGCAACTACTCAACATTTGTCAGATCTTCGATATTCTTCCAATTATTTTGTTTTTCTCGATTTGAATTGTCCGCAGCATGTCTCTTTAATAAGACGCAATGTGTATCAGGGCGTTATCAAAAAACCTTGTCGGCCTAATCAAATAGTGTCATTGTTAAGGCATTGATGCTCAAGCTCGCACTGCTTCTCGCAGTGTGCCACCTCGGCATTGGTCAGCTTCTCCCCGGCGGCCAATCAACGGATTATGTGGCGAAGCGCGTCTACCTCAAATATCCGTCGTCGTTTGTGAATCTGACGTCGGAATCGTGGAAGACATCAGGTTTGTCGTCAATTCTTGCCCTATCTTTGCCGGCGAAATCGATTCAGTGCAAATAATTGAATAAGACGCATTAAACGCCAGGCATCGTTGAGTTTTGAATTGACATTGTAAACATTGAACGAGTCACCCATTTCGAGTTTGTTCGCTTTTTTTTCTCGAACTGTTTTGGTTTGTAAAATTTAAAATTGGGAACAACTCGCCTAATTTTGAATCCTCGATGATTGTCCGAAGATGCGATTTGTGATATTGAGAATATAATTCCCGTCATTATTTAATAAATTTTAAGCTAATGACGATCAAATAGTCATTGGTCTCAAATTCCAATCAGTGAGCACAGTTGGTCAAGTCTACAGTGTACGCTTCATTAATCCGAATGGAGCACTTGAAGCTTTGGTAGATCAAAGAATAATGTTTTCTAGACAAATATGATCAGGTTTAGCTTCGCGTGAGCCTTGCTGAAGGTTTCCTTCAAATCGAATTGTTCAATAAGGAGTCGCAAGGGATATTGAACAAACCAATCGGGAATATTCCAATCAGTTCGTTCTCAGTCTTCAACTCGTTTTCCTCATCAATTTTATTGCAGATGTGAATGAGCAAAATCTCGCGTTGAGTCTCAACACGACGTCCAAATCTCTTTGGTATCGAATTGGTTCGACCGACATGAGCGCTGAAATCAATGAAATTTTGAATATTGGGAACACCGAAATTGTGGTGACTCTTGGCGGCGGAGGTTTCGCTGATTCTGGCGATCAAACTCATTTTTGATCTACTTCTAGGCCAATCAATGATCGGCTGCGTATCGCTGATAGCGGTTTCTGTAGGCAATGGAAGTCCTGTCGCCGAGGTGCACCCACTGGGATTGGCCGACATCGACGATTGTCCAGCTCCGGATGAATGCACTACTAGAGATTGTCATACGGTAGATCAAATAATTATGAGAGAAATGTGAGACGATTTCAGGGACGATGCAAACTATTGGAGGTGCCGACTTGCGATTGCTACAGCACTGAAATGACAGGCCCGAATTGTCGAACTCGTAGAAGATCTCGTCGATTCGAAAATCCTATTTCTATATATTTGCAGCCGGCACTTCGCTCAAACTTCGAAACAACGATGATGAGGAATCATCGGCGTTCATTCGATTCACACCATTCGCGACGTCGCAAACTGTCAACCGAATTACTATGGATTTCAAGGTGCCAATTTGTGAGAATTGATCGCGAACTTAGAGTGCGAATTCAGTTTGGCGGTGATATCGAGACGCAAGAGGGTGTTTTGGTGTACGCAGTGACCACCAAATCGAAAATTCTCAAGATTTATGTGGTCGCCGCGAAAGGAAATGTGATGTTCGATGGAAGGACAATATTGGACTTCGAACTCGAAGCTCGATCGTCTCTTGATGATTTTGAGAATACTTAATCAATCAATCAATGATTTTCAGGATTCATTCGTTGGTTGTTCGATTGAATGAGACGGGATTCTCATTGTTCGTCGATGATCGAATCCAGCGAGTCTTTCTACCCGATGCCGTTCAATTCGAAACAATCCAATTCGGTGCTCCGATTGCGAATGAGGGAGTCGCTGAAGTTGGAATCACCGCATGCGTCAAGAATGTCTATGTTGATCATTTCGATGTCATCGATTTGCTGAATAATAAAGATCCAAGGGTACGAATCATTTGAAGATATAATCAGTCTATCACGCAACAAATGATTTTAGGCGACTTCGACGAAAATGGAAACATGCACTGATATTGATGAATCGCTTGCGGCGATTGATGGATCCCCCATGTTCTCGCCAGATCCGCTCGTGGTACGTCAATTCTCTCGTGGCTTGTAGTCAAAATGAAAGGTCTATTAAAAACCACCCCCACTTTTTAACCCCCACCCCTGCTATTCCACCCCGACTTTTTAACCCCTTCTTTTATTTATGATATCACCCCCACTTTTCACCCCCAATTTTTAGATTTCACCTCTACTTTTTCACTGCACTTCAAAATTTGCAGTTTCTAACAGTAATGTTTAGCAGTAAATTAAAAAAGAAAAATTTTTAATTTGCAATAATTCAAGTTATCAAGAGGAAATTGGTAAAATTGATGTCTAAATTAGATTTTTCAGAAACTATGTAGGCTTGCAATGAAGCTTGATATCAAAATGCACAATTGGACACTTGAAATATTGACAATTGTTGGAAAATACGAAAATCTTACGAAATACGAAACCTTTCTGAACCGGGTTTTCCGAGAATGGTTCATTACTTGTTAAAATTTTCAGCCTTTCATAAGAACAGTACATTGTTTCTGAAAAATCTAATTTAAACATCAGTCCTGCGAATCTCCTCTTGATAATTTGAATTATTGCAAATTAAATTTTTTTAATTTACTGCTAAACATTACTTTTCACTGCACTTCAAAATTTGCAGTTTCTAACAGTAGAGGTGAAATCTAAAAATTGGGGGTGAAAAGTGGGGGTGGTATCATAAATAAAAGGAGGGGTTAAAAAGTCGGGGTGGAATAGCAGGGGTGGGGGTTAAAAAGTCGGGGTGGTTTTTAATAGACCAAATGAAATAATCGTCTCTAAAAAATAGGAAAGTATACGCAAATAAGATATTGTTTTGGTCACGGATGAATTTGTTTTTGAAAAATCAATAATTAATTTTTTTATTTAATCGTAATGTGTGCAAAATTGCGTCTGGGTGCAAACAGACAAGAACGAGATAAAATCAAAAACGTGCGTTTGAATTATTCTTTCTTCAAAGATTTTGGAAGATGTATGTATATTTTTTATTTTTCTAGATGATGAACTCACTGAAATTACAATCGGTATCTAAAATTTTCAGATTTTAAACCAAAACGATGATGAAAAAAATGAAACATCGGAAGAGGATTCTTCAATTAATTTGGCGAATATGTTCCCGATACCGTCAGGAAAACGTACGGTTTTGCATTCTCTTTTATTTAATTTTAAAAAAATCATTGAATTTTAGAATCAAAGAGTGGCGAAAACGCGAAACGATGCGAAAAATCGCAAGATTATTTGTGTCAAAATTCGGCAAAATGCGAGAAAACTGGTGAAAAAACGTTCAAATGTTTGTGTCGCGATGGATATTTAGGCAAATATTGCCAATTTTGTACGTTTTTTTTGCGAATTGAATCGAAAAAAAATAATTGAAACGTTTAGCAATTCTACCGAAAAGTTGCGCAGAAGCTCGCGATTTTTTCAAATTAGCTGATGGACCCACAAGAATTGATGTAGACGGAAGGAGATCAAATGAGCCGTCGGTGGCACTTTGTATTAATGGAACGTGAGCAAAATATTAATGATGGTTTGATGAAATTCAATCAGAATATTCAGAACTGTCGTGATACATGATATGAAGCCGAAGACGGTTGTGCGGGACGCCGGCTTCAACACACACTCCTTATTTGCAATTGGCTACAGAGACTTCAAGGTACTTATTTTTTTTAATTTTTTTTTCACATTTGTCAAAAAGGGAAATCTTGGTTTTTTTTAAATTTCAAAAGCAAAAATACTCAAGACAAATTAGATCTCGATGAATCCATCCCTATGCTGCAATTCAAAGCACTTCCCTTTTGCTAGAATCTATGTCGGGCTTCTTCCAATTGGGGTCTGTCAAATGAGTCCAGTCGTTCAGATAAATGAACGTCTGATGTTTGACCCTAATTGGGAAAATGGGACCACCTTTTTTGAGAAACAGGTGAACTTTTGTTGGATTGAAAATGATTGGCACCTGCTTTCTTTGTCTCGCTCAGCCAACGTGCAAAGCAATGAATTTGACAATTCTCGGTGTAACCCGCGAATACTGTTCCGTCGATGAATTTATATCCGACATTCCAAATTTTGTCCTTTTCGGCACTGCCGTATCAATATTATTGGTCCCTTTGATCTATTTCATTTCAACTGGTCTCATGTTTCCACTATATGTCTACTTCTTTCAAAAAAATAAAGAGAAAGATATCAAAGTAAGATTTTAAAAAATAAAAAGAATTTGTGCCTTGCATTATTTTTCTCAGCTCGCCGTTTACCCATTAGTCCATCATTTATTCATTCTAGTGTGCTTTAATCAAACATTTATGCTAATTATGGCATGTTTCTTCACAATTGCATATATGTTTAATATGACTCAACTTTATCCGATTACAATTGTTTCAATTTCGATTATTTTATTGACTATTTTCTACATTGCCATGCCTTTTTTGGGAATGATGCAAGGATTATTTCTATTCCTTCTTTCGTTTCAACGACTTCTTCTTTATTATTTTCCGACGCACCGAAATCGAATAGTTATCGACAAGTAAGAAAATCTTTCTTTTTTTCAATTGATACCAAATTATTCAGCGAGTTTTTAAACAGATTCGTAATGTTATTCTATATCATCAATATTGCAATTAACTCGTATATTAAGAGTTAGTTTTGATCATTCAATTTCTTTAAAAGTAGATTTAGTTAAATTTCTTCTTCAAATTGGTTCATATTCAATTTTCGACAATTCTTTATGAAATCATATATAATGTTTTGTTTTATTTCTGCCATTTTTCCGTTTTTATCACTCCATTATTTTACATAATAATTATCAAGAATATTAAACGGATTGCTGCGGACATGTCGAACGGAAAAATGAAAATCGAGAAATATATCAAAATACAGACAGTTGTTATAATTGTTGCAAAAATGGTAAGTTCTTCTATCTTTGTGATACTTTCTATCAAATTTGATTTCGTGTTTCGTTGGATTTTCGGCGCACGTTTTATTTTGGCAGATGTTAGGAAACCATTGTATTCAAAATGCACATCTGACGTAAATTTTTAGTTTATTTTTTGTAAAAAAAAATACATTTCATGAATTTACCCACTATTACCTAATACCAGAAGCTAGAAGCCACTTCTTTTCTTTCTCTCCCGTCTGCCTTCTATAAAAGCTAGTGGGTAAAAGATATTGGCAAAATTATGATTGTCGGAAGTCTGTCATTTAATTGGGCAATGCAGAGATTCCCCTTTTCCCAATTTCAGTGTATTAAACTCATTTCGATTATTTTCGATTATTAATGACGAAAGAAGTTCAAGAAAATAAACGACTAAAGCGAAAATTAGAAAAAAAAAACATCCGAGAAATTGGCAATTCTTTTTACAGATAACCATACCATTCGCTTTATTTTTAATATTTTTATCTTTCGATGAACCCAATCAGCGAAATTTAATCGTTTGTTACAAATTGCCAATTCCAATTTTTGTATCTCTCTAATATTTTAGATGACTGGCTTATTTATAATTGAAGACAATTTCGTAACACCTCCACTTATTCAAATATCGTATATTTTTGGGTCCCAATCAAATTGGCGACGCCTGGTTTCTATGAAAATGTGTCTGATAAATTGTTGGCAATGTTTGGGAAGTTCGACGCAAAATGCTATATATCCGCTATATATCCCGACGACAATTATTCAGAATTGAAATGTTTTGAAGGCAAAAGATATTCAGAAAGCAAGAAATAGATCAAAAATAATTCAATAGAGCTCAAAGAAAAACTTATTTTGATTTTCAGCCATGGCAATTATCAAGTTTGATCACTTCGTCTGGGTTCTGCGGTCAAAATGTGAGCTATCGTTGCAATAAAGCTCCATTAGGGTAATTTTAAATATTTCGATGATGTTCTTCTTCAATTAGGGTAATTCGTTTTAGATTTGAAGCTGGTCGAACGTGGTTCAAATCGGCGGTGAACGCGTCGCGACGAATTCAGCAAATTGGAAATATTCCGAAAGCATGCGCGTGTTTGGATTCCGGATGTCGAAATGGGGGTAATTGCGAAATTCGGATCACACTTGAAATATGGTTGTTTTCGGTGAAATTCAGTTTATTTCACCCGTTTTGGACATTTAGTGAAGAATGGGGATCAGATGAGAAAAAATGGTATGAAATTGGGATTTGGTTGAGCTTCTTTTTTGGTTTTTTTTTATTTTGAGGGGCACATTTTTTTTTTGCTTGAGAATTCCTAGAGAAATTTGAAATAATCGAATTATAGAGCGATGCAATTGCGACGGAAATTCGATATCTGAGGATTTCGGACAATTGACTGGGCCGAATTCGGGAATTACCGAGGTAAAATTGCCGGTGCATATGAGAAACTTTTTGGTAAATAACTAATTGTTTAGATAGTGGCACTTCATCGAAAATCTGATGTCAATGCCGAAATGACTTTGGGAGAATTAATGTGTTCGGGATACGGTATTATGACACCAAAAATGGGTCAAATCACGAATTGGTCAAATTTCTAGAAATTGTCTTTTTTTTATTATACCAATTCGAACCCCGCTTGACCACTATTATCTATCATATAATTCGACATGCATTTTTGTAGAAAATGATGCGAAACCAATTCGATTTGTAAAGAAAACCGAATTGGAGCTGTTCGATTGGGTCGGAGAATCGGTTGAACTCCAATTCCGCACGAATGACCGAACGGCGACAATTGGCAGAATTCGCGGGATCAATGATGAGCTCCTCGTCACCGTGTCTCTTTTGGATGGTAACACACGACTCATCAATGATTTCTGACATATTCGTTTAGGTCACACTATTGAGTTGAAGCATTTAGAAACTGTAAGAACAATTGAATCACAAAACAAGTATATATTTACTATTCATGCTCAAATATATTGCTCATTTTTATTTAGACTAAATGATAGTCAATGGCATCGCATTCTCCTCGAGTTTTCTGATGGAGAATTTCGATTCTCGATTGATTCCTCAAATATTGTTTTGGGAATTGAGGAGACCGTTGTTCTTCAAGGAAGATTAGTGATATCCGATTACAAAAAGTACAATTTTTCGTGAAATTGATTGATTGAATTTGCGTTTCAGTGGAATCATTGGATGTATTCGTTCATTGCGCTTCAATGGAGATGGCGTTGATTTGCACAAGTTTATAATGAATCGAGACGGTAGAAAAATGAGAGCACACATTTGGTTGATGATTGTTTTCAGATGAAATCAAGAAGACGTGCGCCACGCGATGCAATCAGAATATTTGCGAGAACAACGCGAAATGCTATGACGATTTTGCGACAGAAACCTCGTATTGTCAATGTTTGTTGCCCGAAATTCATCAAGGAGAAAACTGCGAAATTAGTATGTGCTCGTCTAATTAATTGTTCATCGATCAATAAACAAAATTCAGATGTGAATACAAATTCGTCGGTTTCGTTTTACGGAGGACACTTCAAACTAATGAATACATCGAATCCGCTTACCTCGAATGTCTATTTCTCATTCCGAACCGATCAGTCTGAAGGATTGTTGTTGTTTGCTCATGATGAGAACAATAACTTCCTGCAGGTATGAGTGTCGAAGCAGATCTCACCAAATTTTCTTTTACATTTTTTTAAATTTTTAAATTTATCTTTATTTTTAGGTGCATTTATCGGAAGAAGTCAATATTACTTTGACCGTCAACAATTTGGATATTGTCTCAAAATGCACAGTTCGAGCTCAACGAGGTTCCGAATTTGGGGATATGCGATGGTTCCAAGTGTTCATTTCGCATACCGCCGAGTCTTCTCAAATTCAGGTCGACGAAGCAGCGTGCATCATTCGAACGGTATTTTATAATGAAAATTTTTTCGCATTTTTCTATCACACATTTTTTTAGACGCGTAGTTTATCGCAAATTCCGATTCAGCGATTCCTTGATGTTCATAAATCGGATATCGTTCGTCTGCCGGTTGGACTCACTAATCCGGTCAATCCTGATCCATTCGTTATCACCTTTATTGGCAATGTTGATACCGGTGCCAATCAGAACGATGGGTCCATCGTTCTGAGCCCGAGATATGATTCTCCAATCAAGCAATTCTTCGGATGCATTCGCGGATTGGTGATTGACAAGAAAACGATTGATTTGAGAGGAGCAGCCGCCGCAATTGAGGACACAAGTGAGATGAGAGTCATTATTATTGTTGAAATCATTTCGAATCGATTTTAGGCTCGATTCGAATCGGATGCGATGTTGGATGCGAAGAGGTTGATTGCAGAAACGGAGGACATTGTTCGGTTGGATGGACCAATTTTGATCCGACAGCTCTCAAAACGGCGTGCGATTGTTCGCGGACAAGCTATTCTGGAGCAACATGCTCCGTGGGTTAGTTTAGGACTTCCATTGGGACCTTAATCATTTTTTATAATTCGCAGACGATGGTGTCCATATTGCGTCCGGCGGATTCCTTCATTTCGAAATCGGACGAGAATTGCGTCGACTCATTTTTCAAAACGCAAATGTTCCCCAAATTTTCAAATTCGCATTTTCAACTAATGGGCCAATCAAGTTGAAAAAGAAACAGCAAATTGCTAAAATTGAATTCTCGAACGGAAGGTTGAATACCCTCGTAAATTGTGCCCAATTAGTATCACCACCTTCTTGTAGATTGCTCGAAGTCGAATTGAATGTCAATGGGACCATTAATGTCGGTGTGATTTGGGACAACTCAAAAGACGATGTTTTGAATTTCGATGGCGATTTCGCTGATGGTTATCGACATTTTTTCGTCGCCCAATTCAATTCGAAACGATCCACTGCGATTATGGTAGGGGATTTTTGGATTGAACTCGCATAACATATATTTTTAAAAATTAAAAAATTTTGAGATCGACTCGTTCCGACAAGACATTCCGTTCCATTCGAATAATCTTGACATGTTCTCAGCGAATTTTATAAATATTGGAAAAGATGCGTTAGATGGCAGCAACGGAAAAGCGGGATTCGAAGGATGTGTTTCAAGTATTCTTTTTTTTTTGGTGATTTCTGGATCGAAACAAAATCGAAACTATTTGAGATATACTAATTGATTTCCAAAGCGGAGCCACCCTCCAATTCGCACCGATCAGTTACTTCAATGATGTTGGGCATGCGCTTCATCGTCTCATTACTTCACAGAATCTCGAAAAGGGCGCTTGTGCCGCATTCCGAATTCCGAATGCGTTGCCAGTTTACCAGAATCGCGTCGAGTTTCCTGTTTGGGATACCGCGTTTCAGCGCCAAATCTATCGAGGACCTATTGAAAATGAGCCGCCCGTTTGGAATAATGATGATCATCGATCAAGTAATTCTTTTTCTCGACAATAACACAATTTTTTGGTCTTCACTTCTTTTTAGTTATTTCGATAATTCTTGTGCTTGCAATTATAATTTTGATCGCTTGTTTGGTTGCTCTTGTCATTATTCGATGTTGTAAAGAGAAAATTTACAACAGAGATCATGGAATGAGCCTGGACGAGGAGAACATGCGACTTAGTCCGACATCATATCGGCCACAGCAGCCAAGTCCACCGCGTAAGAAATATCTTGAAAAATGTTTGAATCACCGTTTCTTTTTTTATTTTCAGCCCAAAAGAAATCAGCAGCAAGTTATTATGTTGTTCCAGATCCAAATATCGACTTCAAAAGCGTATGTTCCTATTATTTTTTATAGTTTTAAAAATGCTTTTTTTTTTCTGAAAGTACTCCTTTATTTCCCAGCTTTTATCGAAGCTTCAAGATTTCAAGGGCAATATAAATTGAAGTGATTGTCGACCGCTAACAGATGTCAACAGTCTGAAAGTGGTCTTTGGAGGGTGTGGGCTTTTAGCCCAAGGGATGGTCACAGGGACTTTGTTTTGAATTTCCGCCACCACTAATTTCACACATCAACGAATGAACGATTGTTGTGTGTCCCGGAAAGTGTCTGAAAATGTTTAAAATTAAGATTCTCTTGTTAAGCCCCTTTTTATTCAAACCTGCGCAGTTAGTTTTGTGATAGTTTTTGACGGTCGTGCGACTCCGGAAAAAAAACGAATTTTAAAACTTCATTTGTGGACATATCTGAATTTGTCAGGCTCATATTCCAAACTTTTCTCATTAACAAACTGAAGTATTTTTTGGCAAAACAATGCGAGATTTGTTTATTAGCTTAGTCTTCGTCTATTTTGTTTTGATTTTTTCGAAATGAGTGATGTTCGATGACGTGAGTGGTGTTTTTCTCTAGGATCAGGAGAAGCACTCGCGCGGCACCAGCATCACTTCATCGGGTATCAGTGGATATTTCACCGCTCAGGAAGAACCGCTTCTCGACGACAATGATCCGGACTCATTTTTGAACATCAACTCCGACGACTATGATCGGGTTTCGAAGACCGACAGCGACGCGACACTTCGACATATTGATGATGATCTTTCGGATAGTGACGTCACCGTTATGTATGTTCACTTTTTAGCTTCAATTATTATTTATTCGTTTTAAGATCCCGGCCGACCCAAATACAACACATTCCGCAACGAGTGTCTTCATTCCGCGGCGGTGATCCAACAGCTCCAAAGGATAGTCCTCTGTATTCGGAATCTCGAAGCTCGGCCAGCCCGATGCCTGTAAATGTGCCAGTTCCTCCTCCACGACTACACCAAACTGACGTTTAAGCAAACGGACCCTTTCGACAGAGAATCTCGTATTTCTAGTCAAATTGTTAATTTGTTTGATTGCTGTGCCAACCCATTTCGTTTTTGTTCTACTCACTCTCTTTGCCTTTTCTGTTTCCTTTATAATTTTAATAATATTGTGAGCCATCCACGCAACACGAGTATCACATGTTAATTGTATTGTTGTTCGGATAAATTTTGCCGAAGTTTGTCGATGACATTCTCAAAAATACTTATTGAACAAGATTATGCGTATCTTTTATTGTAATTGAATTCGGATAAATATACCCGCATTATATCGGAAATATTTAATAGAAACTTATTCGGCCGTTTCCGACGTTGTCGGGATTGCTGATGGTGGCGGCGGCGGCAGAAGGTACATTCCGGTAACGTGGCGCTTCGCGATCATTGCTTGACCGGTCCAACGCATATCTTGGGAATCTCGCCATCGCTCATCAGTCTCAAATTCCAAAATTCAAAGCCAAATTCGTAGCAAATTTTATAATTGATTAATTACAAAAAATGTTTAAAAAAAAACATCTTTTACTTTCTGAATTTTGAAAACAATTTTTAAGTTTTTACAGCATAAGAAGGTCTATAAATATTTTTTCAATCTTAAATTTGTGAATTTTCCTAGTGAACTTGAAAAACCCGTCGAATACAATAATAGCAAAATGTTTCGCTTACCCTAATGAAGACCATATTCGCATCTTTGTCAGTGCATACTAATGTTCCGCGAACAATTCGACCATCAGTCAACCACACCTTCAAATATCCCAGATTCAATATTTACGGATTCACGGATTAACCTCATATCTCTTTCCCAGATATTCTTTCACCGCCTTTTCAGCTTCCGACAAATTATCATTCTTCTCGACACAAATTAAATCACTCGGGGTTGGTTCCTCCATTCTAAAAAAAAATCCATTCGTAAATGAAATTACAGTTTTGAAAAAAAAACACCAGATAAGTGGAGCAGAAAAGATACTGCAGAAGAAGTTTAGAAAAAAATTACCCATGGCAAATATTGTGTCAGTTATTCATTGAGATATTAAAATAAACAAAAAATAAGTGATTATGCACGAAAGAATCACAGATTAAAACAAGGGCTACCGTAACTGAAATATCAACGAAAATAATAAATTGAAACTAGAAAATATTGAATAATAAAGGCAAGGAATTTTTTTACAAAGATGTATAATATAATCAGTTTTGTAAAAAATGTTCTCTATAATCGGGTAACTTTAATGATATCCTCTTTCTTTGATTTGACTTGCGGCGTTGACGTGAAGATCGGTCCAGGTGGTGGCACCGGTTTATCCGAACGCACTGTATTCCGACGCATCGGCGTTGAAGGTGAATTCTACAAAAATATTTGTATTTTTGAATTTTTTAAATTCAATATTAATTGCACCATTTATCGAAAATTATTTGTTGAACCCATAAATGTCTCGTTATCAAACAATTCGACTCACCGTTTTAACCATTATCGGAGTTTCTACAGCACGTTGATGAACCGAGGGATAATTCGAATTGTTTCGATTCGCAGAGAAGCTTACACTTTGATTTCTCGGCTGCATATGAATGCTTCCATCGAGATCATGTGAAAGGCTCAATCGTTTCAACGGACTGAAGTCGGCGTTCGGATTATTGAATGTTGACGTTGGCTTAAAAATTCCATTTTTTTGCCGTTTCACATACCGTTTGGATAAACGAAAAAAATTCCATTTTTTTGCCGTTTCACATACCGTTTGGATAAACGAAAGTGATGTGATCGATGAGTTCAGCGAGAATTTATCGAAATCACTGGGTCTTCCTATCATTTCAGGTTCACTCCGATCATCACTCAAGGTTACTGTAGATTCAACAATTCTCTGAGTAACGTCCGGCACAGAATAAGGATAAGCCGAGCTGAACTAAAATAAAAAAAAAATAAAGAAATATTTAATTAATAAATTAAAAAAACCGTTTCAGGTAGTTGAATTTGTTTTTTCCACTCGACATCGTCAACTTTTCGATTAAACTTCGACATTTTCTCGTCAATCGCCTGCCATTCTGTCAAATATCCGGCATTCTGCAAAAAAATGCGTAATTTTATGAGAAACAAACAAAAAATGAAATTCACCTTGAAATTAGCAGGCAATATCCACCGCAAATAGCATTCTTTCCATAATTTGATATCGCAAAACACCTTGGGTGGCCGAATAAACTCGACCGCCGCCGATCTCGTGTTTCCCGTCGCGATTTTCTGGTCTAAAATCGTCAAAATCCGATGAAAATCGTTGAAGTCCTCACGTTTTTTGGCCGCTTCCATATACAAAACCGCGTCGTGATAGATGTTTTCAAACAGCCTAATGTATTCGGGTTCGAAATAGATATCGACGGGAAATGGGCCGCCGCCGACACCCGAGACGAGTTGCTCCTCGAGATTATTCGTGCAAAATGCCGGAACCATTCCCGAAAGCGACAAATCCCAAAGTGCAATCAACAAGTGGAATGAGAACGAAAATCTGAACGAAAATTGCGAATCCATATTCATTTTTCCAACGAAATCATACTCTTTTTTATGATGGTGAAGCAATTGGGAGCAACAATCGAGAAAAATGAGCCAGACCGGCGAAATGTCAGTGGCATCGCTGGTTGAGGACGATTGATACGGTTTGATATTCGTTTTCGGTTTTCTCGGCGACGGAGCCTCGGAGCCGCGGCCGATTAATCGCTCACCAAATGGATGGCCGAATCCGATCCACATTTTTTCAACTAATTGTTGAAAGCCTGAAAAAAGGATATATCGGGCGAATCAGGTCGATTTCTTACCGCTTGTTGTTCTATAGTAGGGATCACAACAAATTTGTGTTAAACTGGCTACTACGATCGCCATATCGCGATTTTCATCTTCTAAAAAACACGAATGTATTCTTGATTGCTAAATTTCAATTTATAAAAAAAATTTACCTGTGATAATAACCGATCGATCTCGATCCACAAGCCATTGAACAGCTTCATATGTACTAGTAAGGCACAATTTAACTAAATGCAACCATCCCGTCTTGTGAACTTTCGCATTGAAATTCAGCTCTTTCTCATTGAACTGTTCATAGGAATCTGAGAAGAAAAAACAATTAGCAACCAAAAACCAAAAAAAAAGAAAAATTCACCTATTGCGCATAGCTTGATGAGTTGATCAAAGGATTTTCCAACATTTGCGGCGAAACCCGAATCAAGCTTCATCACATACGGCCGCTCGTCTTTTGCGTGACATCTTGCGACAGATTCAATCACCCTCAAATACACAACCTTTGATTTCAATCCATCTCAACAAAATAAAACTTCGCTCGCAAATCGGATGACGCAATATTATCTTCTTGTCCAGCGGCGATTAAAAGAGCAGCGTTTCCACTGGCTCGAGACCATGCCCAAACCTGAAAGGAAAAACGTGAAATGAAAAACGTGCCAAAATGCGAGAAATACGCGAAAACGCCAAAAATTCGACCCAGACAATTATCTATTTTAAACTAATAAATCATCCGTGGAGCAGACATGCTGGAGGCACATCACACCATCGTCTTATTGCCTATTCGAAATTTCTTCGCTCGTCATCCTATTTTCATCGAATTTATTCGGAATTCGGTTCGTTTTTTTTTTCATTCGAAATATAGATATTATCTACTTAGAAGTGTCATAAAGGCATTTGGAAGCTATTTTCGGAAAATATAAAAAAAAACGTAGTTGATATTAGAAAATGAGGCAATTAATATTTATTGCCCATAAAGTTGAAATGTGAGGAAAATTGTTTCGCAAATTTCCAAAAATTTCTATTTCGTTACACATTTTTATTTCTTTCGTCGGACGAATAGATTTTTTGTATTTTAATTTTTCTGCAATTTATTTGCCTAATTTTTGAAATTGCCATAATCATATTAAATTTCCGACATCTTTCTTCTTATTTTCAACCATATTTTTCTTGGCTTGAAAATGTATCATCTTGAACATCTTGTTTCATGCGGACCAATAGACTCCGCCCATGCAACAGAAGATGGGATCAATATCCATTCTATCCGTTCCTTTACCTATGGATTAGGTCGCATGTCTCCTCCCGGGTCGCCACCCACTATCATATTCATATCTTATTCCAATAAAGTATTCTATGGCTTTACGAGAGGATAGTGGAAGCGGGGCTATTAGGGACCATAGTAACCCCTTCCCCCGACAACCTAAAAAAAAATCCAAAAAATGAAATAATATGATATCGGGGGAAATATTGATTGTCGGCAAAAATCATGTGATTTTTTGCTACTGAAAATAATAATGCCAACATTTTCTTCGATAGTGAGGTGCATAACACATTTTGCATGACTTTTTTTTGTATTCTCATGTGTCGCCTCTTACCGGAACCCTTCCGTATTTGTAATTTTGCAATATCCGCGACATATCAGGCTGTGATAAAAATGACGGAATTACAAAATACATGGGGTATCTGAAGATTTGTAAATTCAAATTTCATAATTTCATGTGTTTGTCAAACCCTTGCGCCGGACAACTGATTCCTTCTTTAACCGGCGCGCAAATTCTCCAAACCGACGACGAATCAGTTTGATGTCCGCATCGTTGCAATTCGGTCACCCAAGCATCACGTGAATTATAATTCACTGAAAAACTCTTATCGAATAAAAACTCTAATATTCTTAATTTTTGAGAAAATTTACGTTTCAACGTTTTGCCTCGATCCGGCAAAGCAGCCCCAATTTGTGTCATATTCTCAATCGGGCCGGCTTTTGAGAAAAACAAAATTTGATTCGCCAAATGAGTTCCATTTTGCGATTGGTGCAAATCGATGGTGACCACTCGAAAATCCTATAATAAGCGTTTCAAACAAATCTCGAACTTCATTTTCTTTTAAGACCTTGAGTATTAATCGAATCATGGAAATAACCTCCATACTCGACACATTATATTCCATTCGCTGGAATTTATCATGTTTCCCTTTTGTGCTGTTTTTCACAATAGCCACAAAAATTTTCGCAATGCTACATAATGGGACATCGTAGAAATCATCGATGAATTTCGAACGGCGCGGTAAATCCCTCTAAAACTCGTCAATTCAATTTAGTGAGATCATCATTTTCCCCCACAAAACAATCTCACCCGTTTCGCGATTAATGGTGTGAATCGTAACCGAAATTTTGTGCAAATAATTCGGCCTTGCTCATTTTCACCAAATTGCATCGAAAACGACACATTTTCGCATACCGAGCTTTCAATTTCGTCTGAATTTCGACAATTGTTCTCATTTTGATGCAAATTGACTCACTGGGAAGCAATTTAATCGGACTCTCGACAGCTTCCGAGGTTGTTGCCGTACTATAATGGCTTGATGCAACAACATTGGGCTGAAATCCATCTCTTGAATAGTTTTAAACCTTAAATTGCTAGTTTTGCATAAAATATGTATTTTTGTTTTGTGAATATTTCGTAATCTCTTTAATAATCTCAATCATTAATCGTACATTCGCATTCGGAAAAATATTCAAAATCAGAATACCATTGCTGTTCGATGTTTTCTGGAAATAATCATTGAGCAGTTCTCAACATCAAATTAGTGTCATAGCTCACCATTTACAAAAACCGCCGAATGATGAATGGGTAACTGTCGGTCGGTTCGTTTTCTCTCGAAATGAGTCACTCATTCATCTTTCGTTTCATTTCTTTTCGTTTCGACTGTTTTGTTTGTTTATCAATATTTTTTGTTTATAAACCATTTGAGATTTCATCGCGAAGTTGAACAATTGGTTGTCAGTTTAGCATTTTCTTGGTTTGTATTCATTTACGAGTCCATTTATTTCAATAAAAATTGTTTTGAACTGGCGAATTTTGGGGTTCAAATGTTTTTTTTTTCGAATGACCGCCTTGTATGGAAAAATTCTTAGAAGCAAATTTCGCAATTTTCAATAATGTTTGAATTTATTACTTTTCAGGATTTCAGAATGAAACCGAAAATTCCTGGTCAGAGTTATGTAGCTTTAATTCAAATATTCCCGAACGCTTTTCTTTTCAACAAATTCGTTTTCCAACCAAACTTGAGTCGAGTAAAACAATTCATTGATGGCTTAATTAGAGGAAATCGAATTTCAACGACAATTTATTTCTTTCGTGAACGATTTGTTTCAAATTCTTCCGTTACTTTATAGGTTTTGTTGGGTTTAGTTGTCATTTTCCGAAAAATAGAAACCACGTCGATAATTTCGCATCACGTTTCCTCAATTTTGTCAAAATTCACATGAAAAACCTTTTTTTTAATTATTCACAAATATATCAAATCATTCAAAAAAAAATTTTGAAAACTTCCAGAAAATATGTTATTTTTGTCTAGAAAATTGGCGTTTTCACTTTTTTGTATTGCTATGCTGATTTTGAATAAATACTAAAAAAAACTGGTTACAAATAGTTCTTTTTGCGAAATATACATTGTATCATTAGAATTAGAAAAAAATAATTGTTTTATTTTAAAGAAAATCTTCTTTAGGCAAATTTCAGTGAAAAAAATTAAAAACTTTGGAAATGTTCATGAAAATGAAAATTATAAAAAACGAAACCTTTATAAAACTAGAAAAATGCAAAAAAAAGAAGATTGATACCTTTTCAATGTCATAATCGACAAAACTTGTAAAACCTGACATATCACTGCATCTGAATCATTCCTTTTCGATTATTTCAACATTTTTTCGAATTTCATTTATTATTTCAATATCGAGTGTTTCAAAACACACCATTTCTAATAAAAAAAATCATGAGAATCATAAAAGAGGAAAAAAGACAAAAATTTATTATACTTGAAAGAGTTATTTATGCGTTAAGTGAGAGTAAAAACGTTGAGGACGAAAAAGAGCAAATTGCACGATATCAATTCGAAATTGAAAACCGTTGAATACAAATATTTTGGCACACGAATATATTTCAAAAAAAAGATACAAAATCGTTTGGTTTGATTCAAATACGGAGCAAAATCAGATTTTTTGTTCTGTTTCCCTTTTCAAAGTGAAACCAATCGTTTGAGAGCATTAATAAAACAAACAAATAACAAAACAATAATTTCAAACAAATTTCCTGGTCTCGGTAAAATTCTTTTTTTTTGTTTGAAGAAAATTTCCAACCGCGTTGAGTTTGTAATTCGCCTATATATGACATCGGAAAATTTTTGTGAAAAAGGGAACGAAAATCGGCTAAAACAGTAGAATCGACTAGATAAAGATAAAATAAGATATTCAAGAATGGGTCCTGATCATCAAGAAACCGTTCGTGCTATCGTTGTCAATTTTTGAAGAACCTGAAACAATATTTTAATGAATTTAGTTCAAAAATTCGAAGAATTCATTTTTTACATAGTTTAAATTGTTTACACGAATATCGAAAAATAATCATACGAGGATATTTTACAAATCTCAAATCGATGTATACCCGCCTTCGGGCCAATAATGTACGAGGGTAAATTTACGGGGTGCGTCTTTGTGGTCTCGCCACGCGAAAATGCTCATTTTTATATTTTCACGCAAACGTTTCAGTGATTCTCGATGAGCTTGTCATTTCCTTGAAATTCGATGCCATAAAAACTATCAAAACGACGCCTCAAAATCAAAACAACTATAGTTGGTCTCTGCGAGACCACACTGAACAATGTAAATCTATTCGCGCCTTGCCAGACGCCGTCAATAAGAGTTCGTGCATTTTTCGTTTTCAATTTTTTGCGGTTTATCCAACATTTAAACAAATATTACATAATTTTTGATTAATTTCGCGTTTGGGGTTTATTTGGAAAATAATTTCCGTGCTTGTTAAAGGGGAAAGTCTTAAATTTTTAATATTTAAGTTATTACCTGTCCAAAAGAAGGCCTATCCTGAGGTTGTAAAGCCCACGTCTCATTCATAATCTTCATCACTTCAGGCGGACATCCTTCGGGTGCTTCCATTCGATATCCTTTCTCTATATGACGTACAACATCTTGAATTGGCTGAAAATGTGATAATTATTAATTTCAGCAGAAAATCATGAGAAAAATGCTTAAATCTGGAAAAAAAATTAAATGAACAAATTGGACGATTAATTCGGTAGAAGAGGTCATGAAACAAAATTTGCGGTGATCGAAATTCAAATTTTTCGGAGAAAAAAAAACAGGAACCGAAAACAACCAAAATATTTTTTTTTTCTGATAGTCAAGTAAAAGTAGAGGAAAATAGGAAAATTTCACGTCAAACAACATACCGAACGACCATCTGCACCCTGAAAAATGAACAAAACAACCACATATGAAGAACAGTGCACAACACGCATTCATTTGGGAGAGAAACCGAGCAAAATGGCTAAATTCCACTTACAATTCGAGGGTACGGTACCCGTCCAAAAGAGAAGATCTCCCATAAAAGTATGCCAAATGACCAAACATCGCTTTTCGTTGAAAATTGCTGCAAAAAATCAATGAGAAACGGAAAAATTATTAATGATGAACAAATAGCTTATTTGAAAATCCAATAATTAATAAAAATTACCATAGCAAAAAAGAGCGACCTGGTTGTTTGAGGACCACAGCATTTTTTGTGGCGGCAATTTGAATATAAATTTAAATTGTGAGAATTAGCAATTCTTTATTCTTTCTTTGCAATTTCAATTATTTCGCATTAAATATTTATAATAAAATTACTTTCGATTAGGCAAAAAATAGTAAACTCAACTTTTTTACGATTTTCAACAATTTTAACATTATCCCTTTCTTTAAATTTTTAAATCATTCGACGGCATATCACAAATCGGGATATCACACTTTCCTCTTACCAGCGCTTACTCAAATTAACTTAGAGCAATTTGAGACCATAAACATAATTCAAATTCAAATTTGAAATACCGCCTCGAAAATGTTCGATGGTCCACAATTATTCAAGGTGTTTTTTTAGTGATGGTAATATCTAATAAAGATACTTACACTATGTCGAAGTGCTTCTGGCGCAGTCCATTTAATTGGGAACTTGCCCGTCGACGAATCGTGCGACACACTATTCGCTTTCTTGGCCAAACCAAAATCGGAGATTTTCGCGACAAGATCGTCATCAAGAAGCACATTTCGAGCAGCAAGATCTCGATGCACAATCTGTTTCGATTCCAAATAGCACATTCCTTCGCAAATATCACTAAAAATTCAAGAAATTTATCAAAAATTAAACATTTGATTCTTACATTGCAAACTTCATCAATTGGCTTTTCTCCAAGTAATGCCTTCCTCGTGATCGAAGCAATTCAACTAAATTCCCGTTCGCCATATATTCGGTCACCATGTACACATTGGCGTCATCCAGTACAACTCCGACAAGGGTGACGAGATTCCGATGGGATAATCCGCTGAAAAAACAAACACTTCAATTTCGGCAAAAATACTTCAAAGAGAGGAGAAATAAGAAAGAACTCGCAAAACGCCGAGATGATCGCTTCAAATGTTTTGGAAAATTTCAAAAAAAAAAAATGATTTTGAAACTTACACCATAAATCTGGCCTCATCCAACAGTGAATCCAGCATCCCATTGCCATGCCGTTTCGAGACCTTCAAAGCAACTTTTCGGTCCTTGTATATTCCCAACCGAACGTCTAAATTGGATAAATGTTGTAAGAAAATTTGGGCATATCAATTACCTCCAAATTCGCCATTTCCAATCGTTTCGCCAACTCGAACCTCACTCGATGGAATCACAAGACCAGCTTGTCGGAACACCGAAGTGCGATCATCAAGATCGGCGCCACTGCCATACGAGCTGCTGCCGTTCGAGGGAAATGAGCCCGTTTCGCAGATTATCGGAGTTACTAATCGATGACACAAACCGTCGGCATCACGTTTATAATGCTGTAATACAATGGCTATCTCTAATTGTATAAAAACTTTGATAAGGAAACGTGAATTCATTTTTTCCCATCCGATAATGTTTTTTGTGAGTCACAAAGACGGACGAAAATGCAATTTGTTGTGTAATTAGACATCTCATTCATTTTTATGGCATTTTCTTTGTCTGTACTCACCGATACGAGTTGCGTTAAATTCGAAAAATACTCCTCATTATCGCACGTGATTTGACCTCCAGTTGTTTGATAAATTCGATAGTGCTCAACTTTTCCGCGATACGCCATCGATAGTGTGAAATCGCCGGGGAAATTAGTCGATTCTCGAACGAGGAATGTGCCATCGGGTTTGCCAAGAAGTAGCCTAAATTTCTTTTGTTCATTTTCCTTGAATTTCCAGATAAAAAATGTTTTCCACTTTTCAGTGTTTTCCCGACTGATCATTGAATGAAACCATGGTTGATTGTGCGTAACGTGCGAATGGTGTGACGACGTCGAAGAAGCGGTTGAAGTCGCCGCGTCACATGGATGAGATCGAACGCGAACCCCATTATCGGCACCGAATCCACTGGAATATTTAATTGAATTTCTTTTTTATTCTAGAAAAAAAGTGCGAATGCACTTGTCCTTTCCCACTGGAAACAGTTGTTCGTACAAATTTAATCGAAATAGATATTATTTTGAGGGAATCGGTGTGAGTGGAAACAGTTGTTTTGGCGGTCAATCGAGTGGTTACTCAGCATTTTGTCAACACCTGGCATATCCAGTTTCGGGCGCGATATTGGCATTGTTTAAATACATAAGCAAGGAAGCTTACTTGGATCGAACGACGCAGTCGGCATGAACTAATCCTTCTTCTTGATTCGAATTTCGCGCCCGATACCACAAAGGATCCTGGAAATTGCTATTTACAATAGCTTCTGACGAGATTTCACTTACATTTGTTGACCCGAGAATCCTGACATGATCGTCTTTTCGGAACACGTTATCCCTTGACGGCATTCCATGCGAATAAAACGATGGAGACACTGTTCGTGTTACAACAACGTCGCTTCCTTCAATAAAATAATGATTGCGAATGCATAATTAGCAAGTACCTGGTGATAAAAAGTCTTTGTTCGCATTTATTGAGTTCATTACTCGATGCGTCTGAATTGAATGTGATGAGCATGAGTTAGGAATTGAACTTGTGAAGTGGTGCGTATAGCTGTTGCCGTTGCTCATCGCTGAAATACAAATATGTGGAAATATGATTTGCAAATAAATTTCGCAATATCACTTACCAAATATACCATTTGTTATAAAATCGTCTACCACTCTTTCTGCTGAGGCATGACTTTGTTGTCGCCAAAATTTTCTGAAAAAGGAAAAAAAATGAAAAAATAATTGACAATGAAAAAAAGATTTAAACAAAAATTGTGAGGATTGTCGTCAATTAAAGTGTCAAATTTGCAAAATATTTTACGGTAAAAAATCACGTGAAAAAAGAATCAACTTAAATTTAAAAAAAAATTAAATTATGATTTTCAATCATTTTTTACAAATTGTAATTTTTTAAAATTGTAATTGCGCATCTCTTTTTAAATAGCAAAATATATCCAACTTAAAGGCGCATAAAAGTTTCAAAGTAATTGAAACGACTAAACCGGTTCCTTTTTTTCGTGTTCAAACAAAATTTTCAAAATTAACCTATCAATGTTCGGAAAATCTTCCAGAAAAAATTGAAGTTCTTCGCTGGTCGCTGAAATTGTCGGACTCGAGCTACTACCGCCCAACGAACGTGATCGCTGAAGAATGCACGAAAATGTCAAAACCGTTTTGTTCAGGCAAAAGAAAAAAAGTTGTTTGTGTGTTTTAATAACAAACCCGGATAATTGAATCGCTGAAATGCGGAATAATTCGTCGCTGTGAACGACTACGACACAAATTCATCGATGGCTTGTTTATAATAACGCCGTTCGACATTGTCGGACGCGGATAACGAGACTGCTGATATAGAATTGAGGAAGGTAGGCTTCGGTGTTTGTTTCGACCGAAATCTGATATGATGCGGAAAATAGCTAACTTTTACTGGTCACTCATTCACAACCCGATACAATTCGAAGCGGTCAAATATCAGGGGCGCTCGCCAGCTTTTCCCTCTTTTTTTTTTGAAAAAAGCTTGAAACACAACAGGAGGGATTTGGCAAATTAATTGGATATCAATTCAAGGTAAAAAAAATAGTCACGAAATACTAATCATTGAACAAGTGAAGAACAAGGTGCTGGTAAGTGGTGGCGGTTGGAGGGGGGGGGGGGAGAAGGCATATAGAGAGTGGGTGCTGCTGACGACGCCGACGAAACGACTCGCGCTCGAATAGCGTGGAAAAGCGAGAGGCGTCAGACAGTCGTCGGGCCGTACAATCCCGGCAGATTACGGCCCGTGCGGATCGAAAGTCTAGCTGGCTGGTAAGACCTCGAAATTATCTGCGCCGTCTCTCCACGCGAATTGGTTTGAAGACGAACACCCAAGAAGCAAGTTATTATCATATTAAAGAAGACGTCGAGATTCTCATAAATGGTATTCGAATTGCGAATCGAATTCGGACAACAATTGACGTTTTGTTAATCGGGTGTGCCACCACCACCGCCAGCAGCAGCAGCAGGTCGCACGTTTTGTTTGAACACGGTTGTAGGGGCCGAGTATTGATCGAAATGTTAACAAAAAAAGCTAGAGAGATTTTTTTTTTCAAAATTTACAATACAAATATGGTAATGGTTATCTTATCAACAATTTTTGAAATAGTGTTGCATTTTTTGAGGGAGAAAATATGTGGTAGACATTTGGGAGAATTTTGGGAGAATCATTTGGGAGAATCAAGCAACGAGTATTCGAAATTTCTCATTTATTATTCCGCCAATCGCTGCGAGACCTTTCAAAAATTTTTTGAAAAAAAACCACATCGAAAATTTTTGAATAAATGTCGACACAAATGAATAAAACGGCGGCAAATTTATGTATGAGAAATTCTTCCCAAAAAAAATTTGAAAATCGAATCCGGAAAAATTATCGAGTTGATTTCTATCGACTCCGATTGATATTCAGTTACTATTGAAGGGTAGAGCAGGTCTGCCGCAGTTCATTTTAGGTCCTCTCACAAGGGAAGTCATGTTGCCTCCCGTTTTGTAACTTTGCACGCTTAAACTAGAAGGTCTTCTGAGTGTGCCTACAAAATTCCAGCCTGCACTGGGAGGTTTCAAACGAGTTCTGGCAGTCTGAAAATTGTAAGCGGGATGCAATCTTTGGGATTTTTCCATCGGATTCCAAATTGTGGCCACATATTCTGCAGGATTACTTTGAGATATTTGAAGTCGAGAAAAAAAAAGCGAGATGTGTATTTAAATAAAAATTAATTTCCAAATTAATCAATAATAAAAATAACTTACTATTCTTGAAAAAAAAGTTCAGTTTTAATTCTGGATTTTTTTTTGAATTTTCATGTCTAAAAAATGCGATTCCTTCTAAATTTTCTAAAAATATGGATCGTCGAATCTCAAACTTTCGTTAATATCCAGGGCTTCGTTTTTTTTTCTGCGATCCCTAGTCCGTCGGATCTGCTTCACCAGCATTGTTCGCTTGCTTGCACTGCTCTTTTCTTGACATCGGGACCTTGTTATCTTCGAGCCCTCTTGAGAACGAATCCATGTTTTGCTCGTTGCTCTACAAACTCCGAATATTCGATCTCTTTATGTATGTGCGAATCCACTGTTGTTGCGTCAGCAAACAATCCTTCATCGATTGTTCTTCCTCAACTCACATTCTCGAGTCTTTGCTGTAATTTCCCTCGTGCTTCCTGCTCAACAATCATCTTAAACTGTTCGAACTAATCTCCAGATCACGAGGAACTCGTATTCAAGGTCCCCAATTATAAGGATCATGTAGGTTCTCATTGAAATTGTAGCTCAAGGATCTCGACGTGGCCCACGACCAATACTCATTTTCATTTTGCTCATTTTTTAAATATTAGCCGATTAAAACTTGGATTTTTTTTGAGAAAACTTAATGAGGTAGTCAGTCTTAAATCATGAAAATTTAGGAATATTGATTGTTTCAAACAGTTTTTTTGTGTTGTGTCTAACTTCACACTGATTTTATTTGGAACCCATTGTCGAAATCAAACGACTTGACGAAATTTAAAGAATTATTGGCTATTTGCCAATGCGTCTCGAGGCAGCGAGATTGCGTACATTGCATTATAGCGTACGCGCATTGAATATTCAGTCAACGAAAAATTTAAATCTACACTGATTTCGCTAATTTGAAGGCCTCGCTTCCCTTCTGTCGTTTGACGCCGACAATATATTACAACTGTTTGTGGAATTTTTATCTTTTTTCATAATAAGTGGGGACATATTGCCTGTGTGGAATATAATATGAATGATTCTTGGAGTAGTCGGTCAGCTCTTCGAGAACCTTCTTTAACTACTCGGCGCCCAATCGTAATAAGCGATTATCGCGAGTTCACCCCAACGAGTTTAATTGTTTAGAGAGAGAGAGAGAGAGAGAGAGAGAGAGAGAGAGAGAGAGAGAGAGAGAGAGAGAGAGAGAGAGAGAGAGAGAGAGAGAGAGAGAGAGAGAGAGAGAGAGAGAGAGAGAGAGAGAGAGAGAGAGAGAATTTGCATAGTTATAGTAGTTTAGATTATTATAGTAATCCGAGTTCAGAATGTGAATGTAAATAACCCCTTTTATGGAACCTCATCACAATACGTTTTTTTTTAAATTTTGTGTTTAGTGGATAAAACGAAAATCGTCATTTATAAAATAAATGGCTACAAAGATTTGTTCGAAGATAGCCAGAAGAATTCGGCTCGAGGTGGAATATTTTGAATTTTAACAAAAAACGTGTTTTTTTTTTGTTATTCTCAATCTCAGGTTCGCATGACGTTGAACAAAAATTTAATATTTTTCCCAAGAAAAACTTTGAGCCGTTTAAGCTACTTACCAAGAATTAATGTTCGATCTTTAGCAGGACAAATCTGGACTTGGCAATGTTTTATATTTCACCGATTGTTGCTATTCAAATTGGTCCCCATTTTTTTTGTAATTTTCGTTGTAATAGTTGATGATTGGTCAATATACCATTTTTTTGCCATATGTCGAATCGTAAATGTTTCCTCTTCTTCGTCTTTTCGGATTTTGATGTTCGATCTCATCGGCGCAGATGGCACGATCTGTCCGTTAGCCGACTTTAAAGGACCATATATCATATTGCTTTTCCTCTAATTATACCTATATTATTTACGCATAATTAAGTGCCGCAATAAGTGCCTTTTGTTGAGATTAGCTCGCGTTATTTATCGTTTCAATTATGGATATTTTGATTTCGAATTTCCGCACCTCATAAATTGGCAAATTGACATTAATTACTTTCCAAATTTCGGATGATTTTACTTTCAATTTTCGTTTTATCGGAAAATGGAAAAAAGAAAAAGAGAAAATCGCGAAAAATTTTCCATTTAATTTCTGAAAAAAATGATGACTTTTTAAAATTCAAATCAAAAAATTTTTGGAGTGTTCTGTCAATAATAAATCGAACAATTTGCTCACAAAATTTTTTGACGTCGAACTCGATTTCGTCTCGCGTTTCTGCCGACAAATATTGTTTACAAACAAACCGAGCGACGAGAGAGTAGGCGAAACGAGGAGGGCGCAGTGAGCGGCGTGTTACAACGCACCAAACGCTGCAGAATTCGTCGTTTTGGGAACATTTTGATTGTTCCCACTTGAATGTTTTCGCATCCCGAAAAAAAACAATCGATTTTTTGCTTCCGTTTTCATTTCCCCAATTTTTTGAAACATTCTAGACCGTCTTTGACAGATTAATTTCATATTTTTTTAAACCAAAAATCAAATATTTTCTACAAAAGTTGAGTTTAGAAACGATTTTAGACGCTGGAATTGAACATTTTGTTTATTAATTGCAGAAATTTACCCTAAACCCCATTTCAAACAAATGTCTATAAGACGTTTTTGCATTTGAAAAATATCAGAATCTGTAAGCCATCCAATGTGAATTAATTTAGACTTGCGGATGTCCGCAGCAGCAAATATTTCATTTCAAAAATTTTATGGTTTTCCATGAGTGTCGTGTCCTTTGATTCCCCCCCCCCCGCCATACATTCACGCTTCACAAATTTCGCGAATCAATTTATAAACGTTTTCTAGTAGACCCCATAATTTGGGCCATTTCGCCGTTTGAACTCTGATTTCGTCCACGGCGACGCCGGCAAAAAAAAAGAGGCTTCAATTATTATGTCTGGCAGATGCTTTTACTAGTCTAGCCCCATTAATTTTTGATCGCGCGCGCATTCAACCGATAATGATTGAGGTGTAATGGATACTCAATGCGGCTCTGCTGCGGACATGAAACCGGTCCCCGCCGAAATCGATACAAATCGAATTATCTCGGCTGCGAATCAGTTTTATCACAATTCATTGAGTGTACAGCAGTCATCATCATCATCGTCGTCGTCGTCGTCATTTCTCTCACATTTCGATCCCTTTCTTTCTTCTTCTCCCCCGATTTTGCATGATGATGATGGCGGTGGTGGTTGATGGTGGCTGATACTGAATTGATTACAATTTTTACGATCAAAGATTGCCCGGGAGAAAAAAAAAAACTAGGCAAGGATTATTTGGCGGCCTTGAGGACCACCGAAACCGGATACGCAATATTCTGAATAATTAATTTCACACACGACGAATCGATTAATGATGCGTTAAATGTGAGAAAAAAAATCAATTAAATGAGAAAATTGAAATTTAGATTGACTACGGTGGTTCAATTATTAATTAAATTTTTTTTTAGAGATTTTTAGCACCACACAAATTTTATAGCCAACTCAATAATACCAATATCGTATATTTATTTCCAAAGGATCTAAATCTCTTGACATATTTCGTACAATCGCTTGCCGATATTTTG